CCTCAAGAGTCCGTCTGTCTCATATCGGAGACAAATCCACAGACGAGCATGTGTATGTGTGTGTGTGTGTGTGTGTGTGTGTGGGAGAGAGACAGACAGCATCTTTAATTACCCAGGTAACTGAGCCAGATGCTCCATCACTCTGGCAATGGCAGTGATTAAAAGCAGTAAAATATTCATTTCAATCAGACGCCCACATGCCACATGTATAATTAATGCACAGCGGAAGGACACCGCAACTTTTACCACACACACACACACACACACACACACACACACATGCACACATTTCCATCACTGTATCTCCTCTTCCAGCTGCCTCATGTGTGTAGAAGCTAAGCTGTGGATGAGCCACTTGGAGCAGCTCTCCTCGGGGAGGTCAAAGGTCAGACTGACTGCGTTGTGGGACATTGTGGAGCCACCTACACAGCAGATGTGTGGTTTGCTCTTTCTCTGCCCTGACTCTCTGTGGGAGCAGTTTAGCTACAGAAACAGAAACACACTCTCTCTCATTTTCTCTCTCTCTCTCTCTCATTCTCTCTCTCTGTCTTTCTGTGAGTGTTCTTCCTTTCCCGTTACTTCGTCTCCTACTTAGCGCTGCTCGTCAATACCTTGAAATACCTGCGAGCGGATTGTCGGAGGTCTCAGAAGCAGCCTGACGTCTCCAGTGGGTGGAAGAAGAAGAAGACAAAAAAACAAGCAGAAAACAATAAGAGAGTAGAGGTGAGTTTACAGACAGAAAGTAGACGTCGGATTTCTGACTCAGTGTGAGGATGGGGGAGATGAGGAGATAGAGGAGGTGGTCTACACCCGAGGCTGCACATGTCAACACACAGAAACACTCGCAGTACAGCAGGACGCTGCTGTGCAGTTTTACAGCTTCATTTAAATGTAAATAAGAGGAAAGTGTCTCTCTTTCACACCTGAATAACATCTTTTCTCCCTCCTGTCAGTCCCCACAGCTCCACTTTGTCTGTTTTCTATTTCGGTCCTCCTCCATCTGACTGCTGTCTCTTTGTTTCCCCTGATTGAGCTCCCTGTCGCAGTATTGTTTAGACTCCAGCAGCAGGCTACAATTACTCAGAGCACTCTGTGTGTGTATGTGTGTGTATCACAATCATTACAATTACCTCTGGGTGTGAGTGTGTCATCTGCTGCCTGCTCCTGCAGTGTGTGTTTGTGTAGAGAGCTGCTGATGCTTCAGTGTGAACATGTTGTGAGCAGGAATCAGCGAGTTTCTGACTGAAATACAGAGAAAGTTTAAATCTGAGACTCCAATCAGCAGCAGAGAGTCAGAAACTGATGGAAATTCACTTCTTCAGAAATACAATCCTGACAATTTTTAGGAAAATTTCAGGAGCTCTGACCTGAAAATTTACCTGACTGTACAGTTCACACTTATACCATCACAGTGTGAAGTCTCTCTTGTTCGGTCATGGTTTCAAAAGGCTGATCATACTGTCAAATAGACACTCTGATAGTCATAATATAAAGTAAAGTGACTTACTTTCGCCTACCGAAGTTATCTTGAGAGCCACCGGGGTGTAGTATAGCCAGATTTACTGTTGACGCATCTTCCTTAGCTTACTTGTTTCCCAGCGTAAATGAAACAGTTCATTAAAGTCTCATTTACTTTGTCTCATTTCTTTCTCATTTCCTTACTTGTTAAAGCAACTTAGTGCAAATAAAAGACAAAGGTTAATCAAACAATGGCAACAACAACGTTAATGTTGATGGTCAAAAACTGTGTGCTTCTCCAGCTACAGACACACCTGTCACTAATTGCGTCTTCTTCTACTTATAGTGAACACACAGGAATTCACGCCACCTGGTGTGGCACCAAGGCATTACAAATAGTTCGAATAGGTAGATGTTCTAACCTGCACTAGGCTCTAGGCCCACCTCCACTGGGAAAAGTCGTGTGCACCAACCATTCTCCCTGCACTCTGCCACTAGGTCGGTGTTTTTTGCCCTCTTCCTCTCATAGGCTCCATCCATCCCCTCCTCCCACGGCACAGTCAGATCCACCAGCAGTGCAGACCTCTCCGCCTTGGTCCACAGCACCATGTCTGGTCGTAATGCGGTGCTGCAGATCTCTCTTGGGAACTGGAGCTGCCTGCCCAAGTCCACCTCCATTCTCCACTCCACACTTGGCAACAGACGGGTATGTGCTGGTCTTGCATTGAGGTTTCACCTGCTTCCCCCCTCCCTCAGGAACTGGGTCCAAATAATAAAGGTTTCTAAACACAAACCCAAAGAAAATTCAACAATTAGCTCTGACATAAAGTTTTCCAATTATTGTAACACGGTAGTTTCAAGGTTAGCTTACAAGATCATCAGATCAGAGGCATGACTGACTTGACTGAGGCAGGCACACTGAGAAGGTGAAAGGCCTGCCTTTGGTGGCTTGACCAAAAGTTTGATTGAGTCAATATTTCCAATAAGGCGACCTCTGTCATCAACAGTTATCTAAAACAGTAAATATAAAACAGTATCAGACCTAATACAAATTAAAATGATTGACAAAACACGTTAGCAAGAGGCTTAATGGATATATAATAAGCACTATCACTTTTACAGCTCTGTACTGATTTATATATATATATATATATATATATATATATATGATAGAGTAAAGTTTTATCTTTATGTCCTCCTTCATCTGACAAGGATTTGGTCACTACCCGGCTTCCTGGTAACACATTCACACTATTCAACTTCTGTAGCACAAGGTAAGTTGGGAACCCGGAAGCAGACTCACACTCAAGGACACATAAGTTCAAGACCAAGTCCAGTGTGCAAACACTGGAGCATGTGCAGAACACTCAGGCCAGTCTCAGTCTGATTGAGGTGAATTCATGAGAGAGAAAGTTCGAACCTTATCCACATTATCAGGTTTGTTAGTCTGACTATGAAAGGTTTGATCCAGTGTGATTTCAGCTGAACTAACATATGTACATTGAGTACTTGATTTTTATGAACAACGTGTTATCCACCTCACCTGTAAGCAGTTATTCGGTTATGGCTGGAGCAGTAATGATCATTTTCTTAAATCTTTGGCTGTCAATTGAAGGCAGTAAAAACCTGAAAACAGATAATCAAAGTAATATTTATGTTATTCTTTTTGCACTGTGAAGTTGTTGTGTAGCTGTGTCTGACAAACTGGATCTGAATGTGTCTTTAAATTGGTTTAACACAGCTGAGTGTGTTTGTGGTTCATAAACAAAACTAACATTTTGATCCTTGCAAGTAAACTATGACATTGCTAACCCCTGATTTTCCTGTTGCGTTAAATTTTCTGTTTAGGTGATTGGTGCAGCAGAGGGCTGGAGTCAGAGAGGAGCTTTAAAGCTGCTCTGATGCTCTCACTGAAATCTGACTGATCTTAAAAAGCAGGAGGTTGTAGCAGCTGGCAGAGTTTTACAAGAATGACGCAGACTGATGGGAATTACCTCGGCTTTCATTTGATCACTCTGTAATCTTCACTGACAGGTTTCCAAACGTCACATCTGTGTGATCAGCTGAGACAGGTAGAGGAGGAGGGTTTCCCCACGAGAACATGGCACCTCTTTCCCATCCCCACCTGTTCATCCACACCCACACAAAAATTTCTAACCACATCTCCTCTTCTCTGTCACTTTGTTTCAAGTTTGAGGGACAGTAGGAGGATTTTATGTCCTCATGTAGAGTCACATCAAGATACATCAAACAGTCTCCATCATCTTAGTCTGGACAATCCCTCATTGTACATATTCTAACACAGACTGATGCAGAACTCATCTGTGTGAATGATGTTAAAGCTTCCTGGAAACACGACTTTGGGCCAGGCGGTGTGAACTATAACGCTCAGACCAAGAGGACAGAAGGAAGGTCCATTTTAGAGGACAGGATGAAATGAGATGATCCAAACATGAGGGCTGTAATTAACCTGTGAATATTATTCAGGATTAGAGCTGCAGACACAGAAAAACATTTTTAAAAAGGGGAGCATCTGAGAGAGAAACATCTGATAAACTTTAAGTAAAACCTGGATAACTCTGGTATCTACTCAGACAGTTTTATGATACAGACTTAAAAGTTTAGAGTCTCTGGCAGAAATTTTGTACATCTTTATCATAGGCTGTATAAAACCTGTCTGTAGTCTCAGTGCCATTACCCAGTGGGTTTCTGCAGAGGTGGAATGAAAAGCAGAAATGATGCACAGTTTTAAGCTTCAATATTGTTGAAACAAATTACTTTAAAATCCAGAGTATCAGCCACACCTTTAAACACCGGGGTCGCACTCTCTGTGTCTGATAGGATGACCACACTGCCACGAATCGTACAGTGGTTTCCTGGCCGATCATCACAACTGAGACGATTATGTTGAAAGAAAAAGGGGCTAGAAATGGTACAAGCAATGCAATGCAACCAGTCGAACAGATTTTAAAGACGTGCACAGCTGATGTACCAAACTAAGGCTGGGGGCACATGGCCAACGTCATGCATTTGTGGTGCACAGGGAGCTGGCAGCAAGTATGTCTCCAGTCTTAGATGAAAAAAGGTTGGTGAAGTCTGTCTTTGGCTCCAAATTGTATAGTGAAACAAAGTTCAGTCTGTACGATTGTCATGAGTAGAGAAATGAGCCTTAGAGACCCAAACTGTTTCTTTTGCAGCCTGTAAACATGATTATTTCAGCTGTCAAGTTGGACATTTCAACATGGGCCTTTATGGCGACTGACTCACCATACGACACAGCCTCGAGTGGACACTGGAGGAACTGCGGTTTTCACATTTCCACACTGCTTTCACTTTTTCACTGAGAAACACTTTCATGATCCCCGAAGGTAAAGAAAGTGATTAGCGGTCTAAAATTACCTGTGCAGATTTTCTCTGAACTGTACTTCAGTCTAAAAAAATAAAACATATGAAATGTTTGAGAGAATAAGAACTATATCACACTCAGTGTGAGTAACAATACACTTTCACTGACTTTAAATGATGAAGGAAATAAAGAGACATTTTTAATAAGCTGTTTTATTTTAACCACCTGCCCTCAAAATCAAGTACAGACAGTGTATGCTGTTAAGAGCTACTCTTGTAATGTACAATAAGTACCAACATTCAGGGGTAAGTCCGATTGATCCTGAAGAAGATGTCTATCCACCAATCAATCAATCAAACTTTACTTATAAAGCACTTTTCATACAAAACCAGTGTACCCCCAAGTGCTACAAGATGCACTGGGACACCTTTAGTCTGTAGACTGCATTGGTTCAAAGCAGCATAACTCAGGAAAAGGGAACTATATCTCAGAAAGTCCACTGCTCGCATGTCAAAAGGCTGTCACATGAAGCTGGCTGAAATGATTCTGACCCTCAAATATGAAGATGTTTTTACTTACGCAACGAAAGAGAAGACCAGTCAGCTTGATTTTTTTTTAATTCATTTATAATTTGACTTTTTCATCAATCTCATTTCTTTGGATTTTGTCCAGTGTATCAGCAACAAAGAAATAAATAACCTAGAAGTTTTAAATCCAGCGTAAAGAGTTCAGACTGATGTTCTGTGGGCTGATACCGACTCTTTACCTAAAACACACATAAAATCCTCATTCACAGATGAAAACACATCGATAGCCTTTTTTGATTTCACAGTTAAACCAAGTGTACCACTCTGCTGCAGCACGCACACATTCACAGATTAGAGCGATATGAACCATGGCGGCCTCCTCCTTCTCACTGTGTGTGTGCTCCTGCGGGCTGTTGTTGTAAATACGAGTGTTTTCTCAGTCAGCTCGCCTTGTTAAAGAAGATTTTAGAAAATCCCAGGGAAGATTTCTCAGAGCTTGACGCTGGATATTTGGCATTCCTGTGCAGATGTCTGTGTTTTAAAACCTGCAAACAACCGAGCATAAATTTACACCATTAAGTCCCTGAGGCTGCAGCAAACATAGAGCGCTGCATGCATATATGTGTGTGAAGCAGTCATAATAAGAATGTAGAAGTCCTCCGAGGCTAACATGCACACAAAGTGCTTACTCTGGTCTGTTTCTGTGTGTCCATGAATAATGCACATATTCATCTCACACTGTATGGAGGCTTTAAGGTTCATTCCTCATTACAGGACATCTAATTAAAGTGCCGACTTTGTCATCACTGAGCATACAGACTCTCTCACAGGATGAAGCAGACCCTGATTTCATTTTCTGCTGGATTTTCCATTTAAATTACGTAAGCAGTTTTTTTTACCCCCAGTTTTACCCACTTATGTGCCAAAAACCAGTTTGAGTCACCAACACAGTGAAAAAGACAGACCCTGCATGTAACTGCAACCGTGAGTAAGAAGATGAAAGTCAACTACAGAAAGTTGACTGAGAGACCTTGATTATCACTGAAGGCTTTTACACGAAAAATGAGCCACATTTGCTGCTTCAAGCTCCAAACATTTAATGAATTTCTCCTTTTTTCTTTCTGTTGAAAGTGGGTTTATAATAACTTAACACTGAGCGGTAGATTCATAAAGGATTGTGCATCGTTTGAACCTTTTCTGCTCCAGCTCAAGGTCCAATTCACAAAGCACATCATCTTAATATTACCCAAGCACAAAAGGTCTGCACAGCCTTGCAGCTCTGTGCAGTATACTCTTGTGTTGTGTCTGAATGTGGGGATGAGCTGTCGTCATCTCATCTCCCTGCTGCACAGAGCTGAGCTGTGCACTTTCATCCTGTCAGGGGCTCAAACCTGTTACATACCTGTTGCACACAAAATACAAGCTGCATAGGGATGGAGTATTTCTTAGTGTATTGTGAAACTGATTCATGAAAAATGTGACTTAAATGAAAGCTCATATGCAGGCCAGTGAGGTCAACTCATCCAAATAAAAAAAATCATATCTCTGTCTCATGTAATGGCCAAGTCCAGCTGGATATGGTGTACCTGTATGTGCAAGTGTTGAGCCAAAGTGAATGTGTCACTCTTACTTAGCGTGAGGATTGTGAATGAGAAGTTTTTTCAGTAAAGTTTGTTTAAAAGTGATCAGTTTTGTTTGTTTAATTGAATGTATAACCACTCATCTAAATGTGTGCAAACAGCACTGATGCACTGACTTTTTATTCTGCAGAACAGATTAGAGCGCATTTAACCCCTTGCATGTGCTTTGTAAATTTGTCCTCATTTTAAGGGGCACAATCTGCACAATCCTTTAGTTAATCAGGCCCTGAACATGTGAATATGCTGCTCATGTTAATGCCCAAGTACGGGCAAATGTTTAAAAAAAGAGCAAGAGCAACAGGCTAGCTTTAGCTCTACGTTGGAACTCTGAGAAATCCAATTGTCCCCATTGAATAAAGTCAAATCAATACCTTAATTACTGACAGTAAATAGACTCGGAGATTAAAACTTGACAAGCACTTTCAGATATTTTATAAACAGCTACTTGATAAATCTTAAAATGATGTTCAGAATAATTGATGATGACAACAATCTGTAGTTGCAGGTTAATCTCTGTGCAGCAAACACTCTAAAATCTAAGAGATAAAATACTCCTCTAGCAACAGTGAGGAGTTCAGTAAGTAAACAGTTGAACAGTTTATTTCTCCTCAGATTCAACCCTGTCAGCTGGTGCTCCGCTCCTCTGACACAGGCGTTCCCCCCTCAGCAGCAGCAGCAGGAACAGCCAACTCTGAAACTTTACTTCCCTGACTCTCTTTTGATGAAAGAAGGGGGGCAGTTTGTGTGAGCAGAGCTGCAGAGGGGAGAGGTGAGGCCGGGATTTGAGGCAGAGGGGGACGGTGAGGTTTTCGTGGCCCCTCGAGCCCTCCTTCTTCTCCTACTCCTCTTTCCTTGTTTTTGGTGTCTTCCAGCAGCACTCGGACGCTCTGAGAGAAAACAGCTCGAGGGTCAGTGGGAGGAAGAGCAGGACAGACGCAGCTTTCTCTCAGCTCCAGAGCCTGGACCCACAAAGAGAAGCAGACAGAGGAACCAGGTGTATATTCAGGTAAACATGTCACATTGATCAAAAATACAAACTCTCACTTACAATAGATACAGAGATGATACGATACACCCTCTGATTTATTTTCTTTTTTTTTTTTAAATCTCTTCTGGTTTTGTTTGCAGGGGAAAGACCCAGACATCAGGTTTTGTTTTAAAGCGGGTACATCACTTTCTTAAAAGCAGAGAAACAAAGACAAAGAAATAAACAGATGCACTGGTGTAAAGACAGAGAAATAAAACAACAGCACGGTCTGCAGGCATGCTGCAGGGGCAAAAAACCTCATACTCCTTTTCTTTAGTGTTGGAATAACAGTAAATCTGAGTTTACAGCGGAAAAAAAATCATCCAAGTGCTGCCTCTGAAAAACTATCTTGGCAGTCAGAGAAAATGTAGTTCATAACTCGACAAATATGCATCAAATCTTGCAGAAAAAAAATGCTGGTCAAACTGAAATGTTTGCTTGATTTTTAGAAGCTTTAGCTCATTCAACACATCCTCTGCATTCCTGAAAATTTCCAGGAGGGCTGCATGTGTGAACGTACATACACAGGACAGTGGAAAGAGCAGAAAAAGAGCAGAGAGAGTGGGAAGTGACTTGTGGAAAAGGAGCCACAGGCCTGTAGTGAACCTCAGCCTCCTGTTTAAGACATAACCCCTACACACAGGGCATTTGCGTGGACTGCTTATGCGTGGACTGCTAGGCCAGTGGCACCCTGTGTTGTGTTAAAGTTTAATGACATAATGTATTATCTTGTTTTCAGCTCTCTGCTCACACCCATTTATAAACCCTTTATGCTCAAACCTGTCATGATTTTAAAATGAGTAGACTAGATGTGTCTAATCCTAACCTCAGACGTAAAAAACTTTGGCTTCTGCTCCTACACGCAACCAAAATGTCTCACAAACTGAACATGTGCAGAGGCGACGTGCAGAAGATGTACAACTACAACTTTATAATTGTAGCAGAAAGCCTACAGAGAAACAGAAGTCCAAGGAAAGACGTCTCAACTCTGGAACAGGATCATCTCAGAAACAAGAACACTATTAGCTTTGCAGATATCTGATCATCGTACATCAAACATACGCCTGGAGGAAAGGTCAGAGAAGCATCAACCCATGTGCCTGATGTTCAAGAAAATAGAAATACTTTTGCAAAGTTTTAATCTATTCAGCAGGTGTTAAGATATTCCAGTCTGCAGCTGACTGTAAATATTTGAGCCACTTTGTGCAGGTTGTGTGAGCTGCTCTCTGTCTGTCTGTCTGTCTTTCTGTCTTTCTCCCACACACACCGAGTCTCCCGCACACACCAAACTCATTAATCGCTCACTTAAAATCACCTACAAGACTCGGTGCACGCACATGCACTTGGCTTCCCACTCAACAGGCTCCCCCTCTCATGCTAGCAGTGGACTTAATGTGCTTTGCTTGAGGATGATGAGCGCTCTCGTGGAGGCGGATCGCCCTCACAAGAGCCGGGTTAAGTAGCTCGATGCTGTCACCCCGCACAAGGTTAAAAACATCACATTATGCATCATCTCAGCCTGCAGAGCGAGCGGGGATCCGCCTGGTATGGGCTGCTTCAGCAAACTGTTCAGAGAGAGAGTCTTTACTGTACACACACACACACACACACACACACACACAAATAAACAAAAAACACACACACAGGAAGTAGGCAAGTGAATCCCCAAACAACAGTCCACATCACTTTACGACCAATGGCTGCTGCTTGATCTGACAGCGACTACTGCTAGAAGGGTTATGATATGATGCACAGAAACACAACACAAGCATGCACAAACACAAACACACACATACATGCACAGAGCACCTACACACTCAATGACACCTGATGGACAATTAGTGGTTTACCCATCTGTTCCTGAATCCTGCTCAGAGTCTCTGACTGTGTAACAACAATCTGGCTCACTCTCAAGGTTAAGCTGGCTGTTTCTCCACACACACACACACACACACACACACACACACACACAAACACACGCACACACACACACACACGACACATGACACAAACTGTGGATTCCATTTATCTTATGCCTGAGCTTATTTTTGTTTGTCTGTTTGTTTGTTTGTTTGTTTGTTTTTTACATATTATCTGTATTTAAATAGCTGGTATACGTAGGTATACAACATTGTGGAAATGGTCCAGCAGATTGATTCAGTCAGCAGCAGGCTGTTACCAGGCAGCAATATCAGCTGATACAAAATCAAGTGTAAAACCTGCAGTTTTTCTAGTGACCTTTTGAGGCTGTCTACAAGAGCCTGGGAAGGTCCCATGTTAGAATGTCCAACTTAACAGCAGATTTAAACATGTTTACAGTCTGCAGCAAAAAAAACAAACCAAACCAAAGAAAACCCTCTTTTTATTGCTTTAACTGGTTTCTCTATTCCTGCACACTGCACCGCACTCACGTTTTAAAGGCTCAAATTATGCGCAAGGCAAACAAAAATAAAGTCAAACTGAGTCAGGACTGCTTCCATCAAAAGAATTAATGACTTGCATGTATTTGTTATAATTGGTGGTAATAATTGTTGAGAGCTCCCTACCCTTCCATGTGTTTATGTGAAATGCCAAAGCCTGCAGCAGAGTGAGAACCTTCCCTCTGTTTCATGGGCAGACATGAAAAGCCAGGGCAGGGAAAGCATCAGAAAAACCCCCAGCACAGAACAGAGCCAACCTCAGAGACAATATGACTCTGATAAAATCAGACACAGTGTAAGAACAAGGAGAACAAGGGTGGAGGAGGGTTTGCAGAGGAAGCAGCAGGAGGAGACAAGGTGAAGACTTAAATACAACAAAAACGTGTTCACGTGTGAGCAGGGTTATCAGCTGAGCTGTCAGCTGATACGGGCTGGTGGGACAATCAACTGATGTACCGTGACCCGGGCTTGACTTTCCTGTCCTGCCTGAGCTCACACTACACTCACTTAGTGGACACATACCGTTAACAATAAGGGCCAAGAAGTTTCTGAGTGTCTGCAGTAGTTCAGCTGATCCTGCAGCAGACACTCAGGCCATAATGTCTGCAACAATAAACCTTGACATGTCAAAGTGTGTCCACTAAAAGTTCTTGTTTTGGTCCCTCAGGCTCAGGTTGTTACTTGAAGAGTGTCAACTTTACACAAGACATTCCTGCAGACAGAGAGCTTTTTTGATACAGAAGAAGATCATCAAATTATAAAGGACATCAAAGTCATGAAACAACTTGAATAAACTATGAGATCCACACAGTGGTAGATCAGCAACTCCTGTGTTTATTCCACTAGAAGCACTGTTTTTTGTACAGAAATCCTCATTCTCTGTAATTAAAAGCTCTCACTCTGTAGAGATCCCTGTCAGAGACAAAAACTACAACTTTTACTCTCACACTTGGATCCATCAAGGATTTGGTTAGATATTACAGTGTGCAGGATCATACAATAACTATAATAAACAGTTATGCATCCTTGATAGTTCAACCCCTAAAACATACGGCAATAATGGATCCCAGGTTTAAAAACATAAAACTCCAATTATGTATCGATTGATCTGTCTACGATTATTTGGACATGTGGGCGAAAGTGAATACGGGCCCATATGTGCTCAGGTACACTGGCATATGTGTGCATGTTTATTTTCTGTTTTTTCCTTTTTCTGTTATTGCTGTTGTTTACCCATGTTTTGTGCAAAAAAACTTGAAAAAATAAAGTTAAAAAAAAAAACATGTCACTGTCTTACAGCAGTGTGAGTGTCTGTGTTTAATCTGCTGCAGTTTTCTTTCAGCACCTTTAGTCACAGTTTGGGGTAGTTAGCAGTTAGCAGAGACTCCCTCTGAGACACTCTGTTGTTCCTGTGTTTCTAAAACCCTGCATCTTTTCCTCTCCTCTTCCTCCCTGCCCTCCTCTTGTTTCCTCCTCTGTTTCCATCTCTCCTGATGCTTCATTAGTTCCATTAAGACTCCTAAAGCTGCTCTCCTTCTGCTGAACAACAGGCGGGTGAGCGTCTGTGTCCTCGCAAAGAGATCAGAGACTGTACACTAACACAGCTGTGTTTTTACAGAGCTCAAACATAGTGACCATTCTGTGTGTGTGTGTGAGAGAGAGTGTGTGAGTGTGTGTACCTGGGGTATGAGGCGGTCCAGCTGAGTGAACCTGTTCCTGTGTGACGGGTGTGTGGACAGCCACTCAGGGAGGGTGGGTTCTCCTGTCAGCTGCTCTCTGATTTCCATTTGCTGCCAAAAAACGGGGCCGGCTCGCACATCTGCACACGCCTGGACACACACAGGCACACACAGCATGGAGTCAGAAACACACATGTACACACTAACAGAAACAGCGTGGTATCCCTCCATCCTGTGCTGAGGCAAAAATCCTCCCTGACGCGTTCTTTGAGTTAACTTTACTTTGACAACAGTGCCCCCTGGTGTCCTGCAGGCAGTTTACAAGCTCCCACTGCTACACTCACAGAAGTAGGCTTTAATTTGGCTTTTGATGCTTTTGACATCAAAATTACTGAGGTCCTAACAGAGGTAAACACTTTTATGTGAGTCTTTTGTCGTGTCAGATGATACTCAAAACACACCTTTAACATTATTTTGTTTCATTGTGTAAGGGTGACCATACGTCCTCTTTTACCCAAACATGTCCCCTTTTTTTTGGAGCTGTCCAGCCTGTCCGGGGGAGTTTATAAAACCCTCCAAATGTCTGGGGTTTTGTTTGGAAGTTTTGCGTTTGTGTTGCATGGACTTACTGAGCTAGAAGCGCGTAAAAAAACACTCGACCCAACCCAAAAAACCTCTCAAAATTTACTACACATGACTCTGTGACTCCACCACACGTAGTTGTGTCCTCTTTTTTGGGGGATTCAGAATATGGTTACCCGAACTGTGTTGAAATGGAAGCGCAGCACTTTGAAAGAGGTGTGGGTGAAAAGAGGGAGGGACTGAAGTAACAACAGAAGCATTAGAGACTGAAATAACCTGATTTACCCTGATGGATCAAACTCCAGAAATACTAGAGCCTCAGCTTCACTAGTGTTTGGAAGTTTATCACATTTAAACAGCTCTGTTCCTGCACAGAGGAAAGTGTCCTCTGGACCATCATAATACAGGGAAAACACTCTTTGGGCTGTTTATGCATTTATATACAAAAGGGTATAGATATAGGTATGTATGTATGGATGGATGGATGGAGATTCTGTTTATGCACAAATAACCCAAACCACATTCATCCTGTCCAGTATTACAGCATGGGGGGATTAGGAGGAAACCTGCAGCTTTTTACATTGTCTACATGCAAAAATCCTTCACATATTTTTTCAGCATGCTTTGCCTAAAAATTCACACCTCAAATAAATTCAAACAAGTCTCACAAATCAGGTAAAATGACATTTTAATGTCCTCTGTATTGGCTCTTTAAAGTCGGTTTTATTTATGGATAAGGTCAAAGAAAACCTTCAAAATCCAGAGTAATGACACTTTTAAGGAGAAAATACCTTTGCAGCCAACTGCAGTCCGACTTCATCTGCCTCAGTCTCCAGTTTCCTGCTGTAAGGACGATGGAACATCAGCTGAGAGAGACAAAAGTTTAGGAGATGGTATAAACTCAGAGATACAGAGACAGTCTCCTTCAGTTCACCAGATCTGCAGAAACACTGACAACTGTCAATTCTTTCACATGTCATGATATTAAGAATCATCATCTCAATGTCCCTTCAGTTCAGCTGAAGTTGCTGGGCTGGTGCTCAGGTGTGGGACTCACTTGGGAGAGTTTGCCCTGGACCCACTGTCCCAGCAGAGCCAGGCTGTCCTGAGGACACATGGCCCAGATGGCTGTCAACAGAATCAAGGACAGGAGGTCGACAACATGGGACAGACTGGCCTCTTCTGCCTGAAGAGATGGAGGGATGACAGGGAGGAGAAAAGGTTAGAGGGAGGAAGAGAGGATAATAGGAAGTGGAGAGAAAATGGAGGTAAAAAGTTTGTGGGAGGTGAGCGAGTCAGGTGGAACGTATCGATCGTTCCCATCTATCCTGGAGGAAGTTCATCGCTGTAACAGATTTAGAGGTTTAACAGACGATCCTGCTGAGAACACCTACCGAACCATCGATTTTCATTCTCCAAAACTAATTAAAACCTCCTTTGAGCATTTCCTCCGAGGACGTTTAGAGTCTGAAATACCTCTGCTTCATTACACACACTCAGAAGAAGGAGGAGGAAGATGTGGTTCAGAGAGGAAACAGGTGTGAGGGAAGAACAAACAGGTCTGCAGGACTTTGGTCATCACAGCACAAAAGGATCAGAGAGCAGATGATGCAACAACACTGAAACTTACTGACCGGCTTCAGAGGTGAGCGCAGCGAGGATAGAGAGTCGCAGTGTATCACACACATACAGCAGGACCACATGAATATTCACATCCTGCTGTGAGAGACCTGAACACTTACAGCTTTAGCTCCTGCTGTGTGTCTGTGTGTGTAAGTGTGTCTTTGTGTGTGTGTCTGAATGACTAAACTTTGCTTTTAAACAGTATTTCTTCTCAGAGTGTTGCAGTGACTCATCCTGCTGCACACAAACGTCTGCAGCTCTGCAGCTCAGAGCTCTGGGGTCTCTGCAGCTGCTCTCATCAGTCTACATCCTTCACACAGACAAACACTTCCATGTTTCCTGAATCAAACACACCTGTGTTTTGAAATACTCAGAGAAAAATTGAAATGATTTGACTCCTTAAATTAACAGACTGGTGACACTTCTTGTTAGTGTTTCTTGCTTTAAGAACAAAATGTGAGTTTTTAATGTGCTTCATGTTGTTTTTTATTCTGATTGAACATGTAAATAATGTTGAACACCAAAAATTCAATCCTGCCGTCATTTAACGATCACAATGTGGAAAGATTGTGTTCCTGCAGCATTTGTCCATCCTGTCCATAAAAAGCTGATTTGAGTTTACTATCAGTTGGTATCAGGCTGTGTTAAATACTTGATTCTGATTGGTCAAACCTCCATAAAAACAATCAGCGCTGCATTCATGTGGTGTCAAATACATCCGAAAAATGAGTTTCTGAGTTGGAAAATGCATGCAAATTCCTGATCATATCTGAATAACAACTTGGGAGAATTCGGAGCCCGACTTGCTTACTTGATGTCATACAGCCTATCAACATGTTTTGACCAATCAATGGACAGTTGCTTTATTTCTCCTGAGGGGAAGTTAAAGGGATATTCCGGCGTAAAATTAAGTTAGGGTCAAACACACCGTAAAACTGAGTAAGACACCCCCTCAAGAGAAGAATGTTGCCGACTGCTTGCTTATCCAGTTATACCAACTTTAGTAACGACCGCACCATAGCAATACACAGCGGTCTATGGATCCATGCTCACACCTCAACCAAAAAGCCACTCTATATCCACAAATAATGCTCAGAACAGCACCTAACTTCATCAACAGTACATATAGGGTCCCAGCCATAGCACTAGCCACCAAACATCTTTTTAGCTTTGCCTGATTACTTTAGCAAATAGACATAACACAAATCACCCACTCTCTCCAAGCAGCCGCTTGTTTGTGGGGGAGCCCTGATGAGTCAATCACCGAGTGCAGTGGATCATTTCCATGAAGTAATAATCATCTTTACAATCATTTTGCACTACAGACGCGGTAGTTCCTCTGCCTAGCATCTCGGTCTGATTGGATTTCTATAAAGTAATGATCATAAGTGTTCCTCCGTGAGCTGCGAAACTCCACTGCACTCGCTGATTGACTCGTCAGGGCTTCCCCAACAGACAAACGTCTGCTGGAAGAAAGTAGGTGAGTTGTGTTTAGTCTCTTTGCTAAAAAAAAACAGGCAAAGCTAAAAAGATGTTTGATGGCTAGTTATCTTGTGGTTGTTAGAGAAGCAAGCAGTCGGCAACATTGATCTCTTGAGGGGTTGTCTAACCCTGTGTTACGGTGTGTTTGACCCTAACTTAATTTTACACTGGAATGTCTCTTTAAGGTATTTACAAGTTTGCAAGGCCCTTGATATCTGTCAGATAAAAACAGCACAGTCATATCTATGACCCAATTTGTGCAAGAAGCAAGAACTGAATTTAAGCATTCAAAATAAAGACTACTTTGTCCACAGGGGTGCCAAAAAAACTGACACAAAGTGAAAGTTCCTTACAGGAGCTTTAATTAAACTATAAACAGTGGTGATAACAGCAGTGGTGTGAAAAACTGTAACATCTTCCTCATTCTTGTTTAAAGGTGTGAAAGCAGCATAGCACAGAGAAGGAGAGCTGAGTGAAAACAGAAATGTTATCAGAAATATTCCTGCAGAAATCTGGTTAACCTTTCCTAACATTTTCTTCAATGGAGGTGTTCACTTAAATGCTTGAATATCATTAACTTTTGTTCGCCAAAAAGTCTGTTTTCTGCAAGTTTTCAAAAACCCTATGAAACAATCCTCTAACTTTTTGTGGAGGTAAAGCAGGGGGGTGGTTACTCCTGTTCTTACTGATGAAAATGCTTCACTCCACAGGAAATAAAGTCGTGGAAAAATTCATTTCTACACTCTGCAGGAGGTTTGTACTCACAGAGTGTCCCAGCAAAGCGTGTGCCATCTCGTGTCCCAGGACGATGGTGAGCTGGTGAATATCAGTGACAACATCCAACATCCCCGTGAACATGAACACCTTCCCATCCTACAGAAAAAAAAAACCAAAAAACAAATATGAGCCATGAGGACGTCTACAGATGAGCACAAAAGCAAACCAACTGTGAATCACTACCTTTGACAGTTACCCACATGTTTTAAGTACAGCGCTTTGACTGAAGGATATACATCTAATTTATCTATTCTTTAAGTTCTGAGTCAGTTTATGTGATCGGAAACTGTCTACAGCAGACTACAGTTAAAATCTAAAAAATCACTATTTGATAGTTTTAACACTGTTTGCTGTCAAACTGAACCATCCTCCCTCTCAAGATGCTGTAACCTGATAATATGAAATGACAGATGTGTGTGTGTGTGTGTGTGTGTGTCTCTGTGACTGACAGGGAGGACGAAGGCGTTGATTTCGGGACTCTGCACCACGTGGACACTCCAGTTGACATCAGTCACCTCTGGGATGTCCTTGTTCCTCTGAGCCAGGTGCTGCACCACCTGCTCCACCACCTGGTGACGGGCATCAGAGACCGGGAGCATCAGCTCTGCAAACTCCTCCTTGTACTGGAAGAAAAAACACATACACACATGCATTTAAGGGATTGTAATTTTTTTTTTTTTTAATCTCAGAGTTTTGAGAAAGTATAAAGAAGATGACGACCAATTCTTTCCCTCTTTTCCCTCGCTTACCGTCCTTGACGTCAGAGCAGCCAGCTCCATGAACTTGTCTTTGCTGAACACCAGGAGGCGAGTGCGACCAGTAATCGGAGACTCGTCCAGGTGGGTCAGGAGAAGGAGGACCACTATAACCATGGTAACACCTGCACCTGCGGCAAGGTGCCACCGCCGTTGCCGTACCCACTCCCGCAAAAGCTGCTGGCGGTTTGCTGGAAGATCCACCCACCACTTCCTTATACTCCTGCACACAAATGAGGGTAGACTACTGCTCAGGAAAAACTCTACACATGCACACACATTACACACATTACACACATTACGGTAATAATATTGGGTATTTTATCTGTCAATTAAAAAACTAATTAATCATCATTAACATGGCAATAGTTTTTTGTGTTATTTAAAAAAACAATTATGTCGACAAAACAACAATTAACAACAATAAAACCCGACCCTCCCGCCCACACACCCACCCATGGACCCACACACACACAAAGACACACACCCACCCTCACTCACTCACCCACACATACATACACAAACACAACCGCACACAGTGTGAGAATTTAAGATATAATGTTAAAGAGACATGGCTTGACACCGAGACATTACGCGAGGAAAGAGCTACCTTTGGGAAACACTGGAGATAAAATAAAAATGGTAGAAGAGAAAAAGTAAAACCTGATGGACTAAAACAAGAAAATAATATTAAATGAACAGATAAGTAAGAGCTCTTTACAAGGTAAAAGGGGTAAAAGAAGTAAAAACCTCTAAGACAGGAATTAAGAAAAAGACTAAGAACGAGATAATTAATAAAATGACATAAAATAAACAATTAGAACTTTGATTAAAATGAACATTTGCAATAAGAGAAATATAACAAGGCAAAGCCGGGTTAAAAAGATGAGTCTTAAGCCCCTTTTTAAAAACATCAACATTCAGGAATTTAGGAACTTATTAAACTGAAAGTTGAATTACACAAAACACATATTTTCATGTAGAGTACATTTTATTGAACAACAATTATGTGCAATTATCTTTGTAGTTTCATCAAATTTTTAAAAACAGGTGTAAATTTGTATTGTGCGTGATGAGCCTTTCTACTGTACGTGTGTGTGTGTGTGTGTGTGTGTGTGTGTGTGTGTGTGTGTGTGTGTGTGTGTGTGTGTGTGTGTGTGTGTCCCACCTGCCAAGGACTATAGCAACGAGCTTCTGCAGAGGTTTGAGCACCATCCACAAGAGGGGCCCCGGCAGAGCCCTCACCGGGGCCGAGGTGTGGAAGTGGAGTCCGCACCGTGTCAGTACAGGACCAGGGTCCAGCAGGGAGGTGGTTCTGGATCTAAACCGGAACAACACTGTCCTCCCATTGAGAAATAATGAGGCAGGTGAGGCAGCTCTGAGGTGGAGAGGGTCCGTGTTTTTGTTGCATCTTATGAGAGTCTTGCTCAGGTTAAGGTTTTGTACCAGGTGTGCAGAGCGAAAGCACAGATGAGTGCTCCTTAACAAATTGTAACAAAATAGACCCATTTTCTGTGCTGGTCAGTGAACGCACCTCGTCCTCACTCAGAGTTCAGACTGAAGGGGCAAGAGAAATAGAAAAAAGAGCATTCATTTTAATTAATGAAAAACTTAACGGAGGTTTATGTGACTCTTAATTACTCCATGTGCTGCTTTTCCTCTCGTCCAGCTGTCCTCAGTGGTCAGGGTCAGGGGTCTGTCATTGGACGGTGTGTGTCCGTAACCTCGGTAAACACCGTCGAATCTCCGCATCTGTGCCGAGCCTTCACCGTGTAGACTTCAACACCGAGAGTGAAAATAATGTGGCTTAATTAACGGATGAAATGACTAAACTTCAAACACCGGATTGAACGGAACTTTCGGCTGTTTTGGTACTTTAATGTTCCTGCTTCCAATATGATCCCTGCGGAAACACATAATACAAAAAAGGTTCCGCTATGACAGTTTGCGTCACAGTTGTGTAAAAATGGATGATGATAATATATCAACCAAGATAAATGTTATAGAAATGTGTTTTTATTGTAACGTAGTTAAACTTTTTCTATTACTGTAACAACAGTCATACACTTGTCCACTAACGAGTAAGTTTAAATCCAGACCAGTTTTGAGACCAATATAAAAGCTAACTTTCAGCCTGATTCACAGTAAGGTCCATAGACTGTATATACTATGTTAAGGATACTGTGTCAATTGTTGATTAAAAACGAAATTTGATGGTGTTAAATGTTATTGTTATTGTTTTGTTATTTGTAGTTCAGTGCAGCAACATTGTTCTGAAGGTAGTTAACAGAGCAACCAAACTGATTAAAAGATTTTGAGGAACAACCAAACAGAATCTAGAGAAATCTCTGTACAGAAGAGACAAACAAAACCAATACTGGACAGTCCTCTTCAGGCCCTTGAACAGCACTGCATTAAAAACAGACAGGACTGTGTAGCAGAAATCACTGCATGGACTTAAAATCTACTCCAAAAACTGTTGTCAGTGAACACAGTCCATCACTTCATCCACAAATGCAGGTTAAAACTGAACCATGCAAAGAGTAAACCAGATACAAGCATGATCCAGAAACACCAGAGACTTCTCTGGACCAGAGCCCATTTAAGATGGACTGTCCTGTGGATCTGGTCTGTTGGGTTCACTAACATTTAAAGAGTGTTGGTGACAGAAGAGCTGGTGAGACACAATGAGAAACAAGACTATGTAACTACTTCTTAAAAATGTTAAAATGTTACTGACATTGAAAATGAGCAGTAATTCAAACATTTTTCAGCTGAAACCATTGTTTTGTTGTTTTTGCACTTCTTTCAATTAGAAAGACTTTAAAAGGTTTGGAAACCATCACAGTCTGTTTTCATAAATATTTTTGCACAACCTCCAACTCTGATGGAACTGAGATTGTACTTGTATAGGTGAGACCAAGCTGTGACTTAAGTTTTCAAAAACTAAATATTTTTCTTTTTATTTATGTTTCTACTGGTAGGTGCATGGTGGTCTCTAAATTAAAACCTTTTATCTACAGCATAACATCAATAGGACCACATGGTGTGAAAGTGTTTTTTTATTTCCCATCTTCAAAAAAAAAAAAAAAAGCATTTTCTCTAGGTTAACACACATTCTTCTTTTCTCACACTCATACATACACACATTTACATATAGACACAAACAATCACACACACACATTCATGTACTGGTGGTTAGGGTTAGGTGTCTTTGAGGTTTTGGTATAAGGATTAAAAAAACAAGATGCTCAAAAACTAACTTTATATGCTGGTAACGGTGGTAATCATCATATTTACATAAAATAATCACTAAAACATGTTCAGTCAGGATCTCTAAAGGGTCCAGGATCAGAGTAAATAATCGTGCTCAGAGGACAGTACAGAGCCCAGGTGTAACACTGTGCTGCTGTCTGCAGGTTTCAAGCTGCTGGTTAAAGCTCCACCAACATCTTCATTAGAGTCTCTTCCTGCCTGCAGGGGGCACTCTTCATTCAGCAGAACAAAACCCTGCTCATCTGAACCCAGCTGTCTGTGTGAGGTATTTACAGGCTCCTCAGACTGCTCCTCTTCCTCCTCCTCTTCTTCCTGCTGCTGCTGTTTGGAAATAAAGTCTAACTGGAACAGAGCCTGGATCTGTGTGAGGAAGGGGTCTCCCTCTTCATCCGGCAGGGGCTCCAGGTACCGTGCCAGAGACGACAGCATCTAAAGAGAGGAAAACAAAAGAGGTCAGCGAGATGTGCACAAATAATACAAGCTGCAAACAGGCAAGACGGACCTTCTCCAGACAGGTGAGATGAGAGTCTTTCCGGAAGAACCTGTCCATCTGCACGCTCCTACACAGAGCAGAAAGAGAAAAACTTAGTTTTTCCACCAGGAAGGGACAGATCTGAGTCTGGAGGACCACCATCACTCACCCCCGTGACTGAGAGTATTTGTCGATGATCCACTGAGCTCTCCTCAGCGTCTGATCCCAGTTTGGACAGTCTGATGATGACAGGAAATCAAACCTGTACGGCAGCTCTGAGGAAGAAAGGCACATTTACTAAAGACCTTACATTTAAAATACAAAGTGCAAGGGTGAGCAGACAGTAGAGGAAACTACGAGGCAGAAAAATTACAAAGTTAATAAGCAATAGGACAACACATTTTAAATCAACAAAGTATTTTAGACCAACATTTGGCCTCTATTTCCGTGTTTCATATAACCAAGAGTATCTCCTGAATTTCATCTACTTTGCTCTCACATCTGCTTACCCCGGCTTTTTGCAGAAATATCACTATATTTGCATGTCAACATAAAACTGAAAATTTTTAACTTAGTGTGTCTGTGTGAATACAGGTTTGGTTTTTAACAAAAGCACTGAAAGAAGGGTCACAGGAATACACCCAAAATCTGTTTTGCCTGCAGCAGTATGAGTTTGAGATTACAAACGAAGAACCTATTTCCCTGAGTGACAGAATTAAGCGTACATGCTGGTGTTTCTCTTCCTGGTAAGTATTTTCAAACAACAATTACAACTTCATTGAAGTGACGCCTGTAAAAAACACAGGTTTACAAAGTGCTTAGACAATCAAACTACAGAGTAATAAAAACACTAAAAAAATCAACCACAGAAAACCCTACAGGAAATCTCTTTATGTTGAAACTGTCCCTCTGCAACAGAACGCAATTTAAAACTGCTGGGCCCTGTTTGTCCTGGATGAGATGCTTCTGTAGAGCTTGTTTATTCTGTTCAGACTTTAAATGATCAGATTTAGAGAGTTTGTCAAGTAAATATCCCTCTGTATGTGTGTGTGTGTGAGTGTGTGTGCTGAACTCACTCTGCAAGCCTGTGGGCTCCAGGCTCTCTCTCACTAACAGGCAGGTGGTTTGGGAGTGGGGGGAGCGGTTAGCCGGGTCATATGGGCTCACAATCATTCCGATGAAGGGGGCTCCACCACGAGAGAAATAACTCTGTAATGTGCATGCAGATAACAGCACCAATCAGATTGCAGATGTTTACATACTGCATTGCTAACAGTTAAAAAAACAGCTTGCTGCATTTCTTTGGTGATTTTGCAGTTGAAATACTCAAATCTCTTCTTATTGTACAAGCTGGACCAGTTTTGATTTCTGAATATATGCAGACAGACACATCTTGAGACCTGCAGTAACTGTTCTTAGTTTAACTCGTCATAGAAATCATCAGGCTGCAGCTTTAAGAAACAAACTCTAAACCTTCTGCGTTCTGAGGGTTCTGGTCTCACCTGGAACTGGTCCTGTGTGTTGATGTCTCTCACTGAGGGGTTTGGGTGGAAAGACGGGTGTGAGTGGTACCAGCCCACCACGCTGAAGCCCAGAGAGGAGAGCATGTCGCAGGCCTGGGTCTGAGACAGCGGGTCCATCTCACACTGCAGACCTGTGCTTACACTGTTACATGGCTCGGCTGCAGAGATCTGCAAACATGCACACACACACACACACAAATACACACACAAAAACACAACCATCAGTCTCTGAAGACAGACTTTGATTCTCTCTCCTCCTCATCCTCATCTCTTACCTTTAACACTTTCTTCTCCTCGTTAAAAGTTCCTCCCAGCAGGCCAATGACTTCTCCCCGTGACACGTGAGCGTGCTGACAGACACACAAACACATGTTTTTTTTTGTTTGTTTGTTGTTAGTGCATCTAAAAACAAGGAATAACATGACAAACGCAGTGGAGACAAAAAAGGAATAAATGGATGAGAGGAGCAGAGTGTGTGTGTGTGTGTGTGTGTCATACCATATCCATGATAAGCAGAGTCTCAGCACACACAATAACCTGGAACGGTTCCTGGAAAAACAACATTTGATCCTGATTCAGTCTCTTTAATCTGAGTGTGTTGGTGTGATGAAGAGTTTTAATTCTGTAGATAAACATGATGAATGCATGAATGTAAATATGCTGATGTCAAATAAAACAGCTGATTGCAAACTGCAGATTGAGATTTTATTTTTCATTCCAGACATGCTGTGTGTGGTTGTATGAGCGCCTGCATGTTATGTTGAAATGTTTGAGTTGGGCAGTGATTCAATCAGCCAATGTTAAAGGAATAGTTCCTAGATAGAACCAGAACAGACTAGAGTGACTGATTATCAATCAAATGAACCAACATCCAGAAGCTCAAACTGAGACAATTTCTCCCATAATCCTTTTTTTTTATGCTGTAAAAACTTTTTTTGAACCTGTTTTATATTCTTATTAATAATTTTAAAGATATCTTGTCCTTCTCTACCTCTGCATCTCTTAATATGCAGTACCTAATGAATGCTCTGCAACAGTAAGAAAAAAATGTCTCTCCTGCTAAAGCAACAATTGAGGTGTGGCGTCTCATGTTAAACATGAACTTTTTCATACTGCTGCTTCAAAAGTTATATGCAGCTGGTTGCATGTAGCTCTTTTATTCTGCACTTTCTTACTTTTGGATTATTGTAAAGTGTCATTGACAAGCCTTGTTTTCACACAGATCACCTGATGTGATACCCTACTATGACGTGGCAAGATTACAAAACAAAGTGTGTCTATATTAGTTGTGTTGCTGATGAATACAGTAAAAATCAGTGGAGGTAACAGTGGGACGCACTGGTTGTTGGATTCAATTTGGTACGCTTACATTTTGTCTCATTTATGTCAGTTATTTCATTATGCAACAGAGTCAAACAAGGACCTGGAACAACATACTTCAAAAACACAAACTGTCCCTTTAAGGCTGAAAATCAGGCCATCTGTTCAGGGTAGGGGTTCCTCTCTTTTTGACAGCTCCTATTTTTCAAATCAAACTTTTGCTCCCAGCTTCACTCAATCCTTTCTGTTGTATTAAGTCCAAATGTTGCTTCTTCTGCTTCATTATCAGGCCCTACTAAAGACTAAATGAAGTAAAAACAGCCTCTAACCTGAACGTCCTCTCCAAAAGACCTGCAGAGAATCAGCTGAAATGGATCTACAGACCTGAATGAAAATGGGAGGGTGATGTTATTCATCATCAAACATACATAAACACAAAGCTGCATGCTGCGTGTGTTTCTCACACTCACTCTCTGAATCTGGAGCTCTTGCAGGGTTTAGGTCGATTCTTCATCTCCTCTCTCCTCCGAGCGAGCTCCTCTGCACTGAGGTGCTGATAAAACACAGGAGGAGTGATTAAACTTATCAAAAGTCATCCTCTGATCACTGATAAAATGTGAAGAATGTCTCATGAAGTCCACACCTCATAGGTCTGTCCCTCCAGGTCTTTAGGGTCACACCAGTTCCCCCATGTGTCCCGAACTCTGCGCTTCCTGGTCCGCTACAACATGCAGCCAATCAGCGGTTAGCTCAGACCTTGTTATACTCATATTCAGATGATTGATGATTGGATCTGGATTACCCACCATGCTCTGTAGCCTCTGAGCCAGCTGGTACGCCTCCATCACGTCTCTGCCCTCCTTCTGTCTGGACCGGTCCACCACTCTGGGACGATTGTAGACCGCCTGTTCTGTGAGAGGAGACAAAAAAGAGATTTACAATTGTTTAATAACCCCGCTGTCTACATTCTACGAGTTAACTCGACATTTCCCTTTAGCCCCAATCATTTTACCCCATTTTATTTACTCAGTACAAATATCTTAACCATTCAAGAAGAACAGCGGCATGTTTTCCCAGGTTTAGTGAACTCACCACAGCCAAAGTTGATGGCTCCAATCAGCTCCAAGTAGGTGTGAATCCTCCCGATGCAGTTCACGTCTCCACAATTCTTCAGACCGGGCCGTACTGAAGTCTTATTCAGGTACCTGGGTCTGCTCTTCATCCTAAAGCACAAAACAGAAACTGAACTCCTCTTCCTCATCTACAGAGTAAAGGGTAAATGCACGACCTATTGTGTCAGAATTTACCACTGGTCCAGGATGTAGTTCCTGATCTTCAGGTATCTCTCTGGGGTCTTAGACGGTCGGCCCTCAAAGAACTCTGGGATAGCTTGTTTCTCATCCTCACTGATGGTCTCCAGGTCCATCTCCACCTCCTGCTCAGGGGCCTTCAGCTCCTCTTCCTCCTCTTCCTCCTCCTCATCCTGCTGGTCTTCCTCAGGTGCATCGGTCTGATTCGGCTCTGTCCTCTCAGCAGGATCTACGAGGAAAAATAAACAGGAACATTACAAACAAATACAAACAGGAAGTGTGTTATCATGAGTTGGATTCACAGGAAAGCTTCAGTCCCACCTGATCTGTCTCTGCAGGTGTCCTCCTGCTGACCGGTCTGAGCTGGACCCTCAGGCTGACAGTCCTCATCCTCAGAGTCTGTCTTTGCTCCAGGACTTTCAGGAGACGAGAAGCTCTCACTGTGCTGGTTCTCAGTCAGACCTGGTTCGGACTGATCCTGTGTGAGGGGGTCTGTGAGGGTCTCGGTCTCTGTTTGCAGCTCTGGTTCACAGGATTCCCCATCCCCTTCATCACTCAGGTCATCAGTGATGTCTACCTCCTCATCCTCCTCATCAGACAGCTTCTCTATCCGCACCGTTTTTGACAGAGCGAGGGGCTGGGAAGAGGCGAGCTGAGGAGGCTGCAGGTGTTCCACAGGACCAGCAGGGGGGGCTGTAGCTCTGGAGTCAGATTTAGTCTGAAATAAATGTGCAGATGAAGAAGCAGTCAGTTTAGCCTACATTTTTACAACTCAGAGAAACGCTTTGGTATTAGAGCTAAATTTAAAGAATTCACAACTTAAAAAAAACAAACAGGATTAAAATGTTATGAAGCGTCTCACCTTGTGTTTGAAGTACTGCCTAGCGTAACTCTTCACCTGCAGGACAGAGCGGCTACCCAACAGCTTAGAGATCTTAGTCCACCTTCGACCAAACTGAGCCTACAAGGAAACACACATCAGACATCAACACACTCTCCAACAACATCAAACCTGTTACAGACCTGTAATAACAACAAAGATAGTAAAAACGTTATTTGAATAGTACCTTAAACAACAAAGGTTCATATAGTACTTTGACATACAGGCAGAATAGGAGAAACACAAAAAACAACATCATAACCCAACAGCAATATATTAAACATGTGAACCCAAGAAGCACAAAAGACCAGCAAGTTTCTGAGACTTTGTGGACTGAAGATGACAAACTAAAAAAGTGACAGAAAGGAAACAGAAACCTGCTTCAGACAATAAAAGCAATACAATAAGAGAAGTGAAACAGAAGGAAATTAAAATACCAAGAGAGCCACAACAATATAAAAAGGTATATAAATAGGTGAAGTGCTGAAATTACAGTGTCGATAGTTCAGTGACATAACTTAGAGCCAGACCTATACTAGCTTTAAGGTACTCAGGAAATCCTAAAATCTATTCTAAAATGAACAAGATGATGTGGGGAGGACTCACCAGTCCTTCCTCAAACAGCTCCCTCTCCTGTTTTGACCAGCGAGACGAGGATCCAGAGGTTGATGTCTTGGCAGGAGACCTGAAAGTCCAGGTGAGAAAAGCAGGAAATAAACAAACCATACAAAGAAGTTCATATAAAGTTGATGTCTGAGGAATAACTGACTCACTTCTTCACTTTGGCTTTGTTGTTTATATCACCCTCCCAGATGTGATTCTGGACCTTCTCCCCTGTCAGGTAGTATCTACAGGTACAGCTCAGGACAAACACACTTCACACTGAGATTTAAAATCCACATATGAGGAGGACCTTGTTCATGAGTGAGGGTAGGATGGAGCGGAAGATCGACAGGCGGATTGGAGCGGTGTCAGCAGTGATGCTGGTGCTTAATGGATCTGTCGAGGTGAAAATAGAGCTGAGCTGTAAGGCGGGACTCTCAATTCACTGGTCGATCTACGTGCCGACCCTCACCTATGGTCATAAACCTTGGGTTATGACCAAAAAAACAAGCTCGCAGCTGAAATGGGTTTCCCTTCGCAGGGTGGCCGGACTCAGCCTTAGAGATAAAGTAAGGAGCTCAGACACTCGGGAGGCGCTCAGAGTAGAACCACTGCTCCTCCATGTAAAGAGGAGTCAACTGAGGTGGCTCGGGCATCTGGTTAGGATGCCTTCTGGATGCCTCTTGTTAGAAGTTTCAACCGGGAGGGGACCTCGTGGTCCCCTAATCGCCCAGAACCAGGTAGAGGGATTATATCTCTGGGCTGGCCTGGAAGCGCCTGGGATTCCCCCAGAGGAGCTGGTGGAAGTGGCTGGGGGGAGGGCCGTCTGGGCTTCCCTCCTGAAGCTGCTGCCCCAGCGACCCAGGCAAAGATAAGCGGGAGAAAATGACAACGATGACACATGAGGAGGTTAAAGTGTCAGTAATTGCATTTTTTTCCTGTCCTTTAAAGCAGTGTGTGTGTTTTTCTTTCAAATGCAATATGATAACAGGAAAATCCACAAATGGAGTCAGTTTCATCTTTTAAACCTGCATGTTTTTCTACCTCTGGTCTTCCAAAGCTTGGATTGTTTTAGTGAACTGAGCCTGACCTTACAGTGATGGCAGTGATCTCAATATTTTATCTTTAGTATTTTATTACAGGTACTTGAGTCAGTATTATGAAGAATAAAAATTATATATAAGCTCAGTATTCAAATTTAAGCTGATTTTTATGACTAATTTATGGTTTATTTGTTAAGGGTGGATGCAATATACAGAGATAAAAAGGGAGCAGCTATCCAGTTTCAGTATGTAGTGTTTATAGTGGATGCTGATTTGCAAAACCCGTCTCTGGAGGGAATACTGAGTATGTGTGTGGTGCGTTTAAGGTCAGTCAGGATACTGTTCCTCCAGGAGCATCTTCTCTATCACCTCCCTGTTCTCCGGGCTGATGGAGGAGTCCAGCTCCCACGGCTAAACAGAGACACACGGACGAAGACAGGTGAACAGAGGTAGACCAGTAAACAGATAGCAGAAGGTCTGTAAGTTTTATAGAGACATACGAGCACTCCGGCGCTGCTCCTCCAGGCGGACTGTAAGAAGTGATCCTGGACCAAACCCGCTCCCTGCAGCTCACTAACACACAGACGACAAACCGCCAACTTTACAATTCAAATAAACATTAACTGTAACATATCAAACAAAATAACATTAAAGTTAGCTTTAAAATCATATGAACTCTTAATTTAACATTATTCTGCACAGTAACATGAATACAGTAGATAAACGCTCCTGCTGCCCCTCAGACTGAAGGCTAACCCCGACCTTCTCTCTCCTCTGTCGGACAGAAAAATGAACCCAAGTCCTGGTAAACCGGTCCAGACTCCGACTGAGAGCACCAGCGGAGAATCTACGTGTTTTTTCATCCAATATATTAGAAATCTTACTTTAGATCGCTGTCTAACTCCTCTCCCTCGATGTCAACATCCAACTCGTCCTCCATGTTGTTTTTTTGATAAACAAACGCTGTCCCGCTCTGCGCACAGCGACACCGTGTGGCCGGAGGTTACAACGGAGATTAAAAAAAAACCGATTCAATTAAATCCAAGTAAAATAAAATATCATAAAAAACTAAACGAGAGATTGACTAAAAAGAAACAAAATACGTCGAAATAAGATATATTAAATAAGAAATTAAATTAAAATTTTGAAATCAAATGTAAATATAGTAAAATTTAATTTAAATTAAATGATATGATATGACGTAAATTTAATTGAATTAAGTACAATAAAACAAAATCATATTAAATCAGATGAAATGTAATTAAATAAAATTCAATATATGAAACTAATTTCTTACTTGGTCACCTTAAAATATTAAAAAAAACTGTTTTGTTTTTTTAAATTGAAGTTATTTCTGTTTTGTGAGTAAATTTCTCATTTTGAGGCTATTTTGTGGAACTGTGTATAGACACCTATGAAAGGAGGACATTTTCTTTACTTGTAATGTTGTCAATCTTTAATATGAAAGAAAGGAAATGAAAAATATACATACTGGTTTCTACGCATCAATATTAAGCTATCAGTGATTTTATTTAATGGTGTAACACTTTAAATTCCAATTCTAATCTTAATTTCTTTTCAATAAATGCAGGCAGAATTTGCTCCCAGTTTTGATGACCCGGAAGTTAAATTTTCTCAGCCCTTGAAACAGACTCTCTGAATTACTTTTAATATTTTTACCTTAAATATTTCCAAATATCTTCATCTTACACAGTGCAAAAAAGCATAACATTTGAACCTTTACATGGAGCACATTTTACATACGTGGTAGGAACTTTGCATACTCCCTGGTTAATCTATTGCACTTTTTCTTTCCAATTTTCTTTGATTAGGTCTGAGGCACAATTGAAAGAAAAATTAGATAATGGGTGTCCATGTTTTCTGCCCTGCAACTAGACTCCTCTGCATGCAGCCTTCAGTGTTAAGCGGTGATCAGGGCTCACTTCACGAAGTGCTGTAATGGTTTCTGCTGAGTCGCTGTACTGAAGGAATAGAGGCGTACCCTACTTACCTTATCCCCGCCAATGAATTACAATCTGGGCCAGTTACTGGCACCAGGATCTGGGTCTGTGGTGATGTCAGAAGAGGAAATCTGTCCTGGCTGACCCAAAACTCTCAGAATGACCCAATACTCTCAGATTTAGGCTCTTTGGGAACAACTTTGGCTTTGAAGTGAAAACCTTTCATGCTTTTAATCCTCCTTAGAAAGTAGGAAAGCTGCAGAGCTGTCCTTAAATATATGCAGGTAAAAAAGTAAATAAAACTATCTTGATAAATAAAATAACTTGACTGAAAGCTTTCATCTGTCTTTGTTTAGGATATAGGCCCTCACCTCAACCTATAAATACATTTCTAAACACAGGGCCTCATCCTGTAAAAGAACCTACTCCGTACTGCTGATATTTCACGATTACGTTTTTGTGCTACATCAAATATCTATAAGGGAAAAGACCTGCATATGAAAGTCAGTGGTAGCCACCTCAGGGTCCTGGCTATACTGACAGTTTTCATATGTGTGTTTTCAAGTAGCAGCACTTTCTGAATTTGGTTGTTCTTTCTCAGATGCAGTTACTGCATTAGACCTGATCTTTTGGTGCAAAAGTTTGACGCTTCCTTAGTTTTAAACATGCAAAGTCAGTGGAAAGGTGCAAAAAAGCAGCTGGTGACAATAGTGCCAAATTTTCATCAAATAATTAAATCTGGGCAGAAGTTTCATGATTTCACAGTTGACACACTCTCCTTGAGGGTAAACATTTGCACAAACCACCTATAGGTAACTTGCTTTTTACAACAACATTCCGGCTGAGCTTACAAACTGACTCTGACAAAACTTCACAAAACTGTCCAACAGGATAGAATGACTCAGAGATGATGTTTGTGATTCATGTCTTTTGAAAACCCTTTATTGTTGACATTTCCTGACATCCTGATACTCACCAATCAATCCTTGATGGTGGACCCCAGACCCAACCTAGGTAAAACCCTATTTCTAAAAATTGTCACCCTCTTAAAATAATGGTCTAAGTCAATGATCAAGTCATTTTTGTCAAAAAAGTGACGGGCCATTTTTTTAAGAAGGTGACAGAATGTGGCTTTAAGCTGTGGACTAGCACTTAGGCTTATTTTGCATCAAATTTAATTATAATTACTATTCTTGTGCGTCTACAGGGCATGCTTCGCTGTGAGATTGTCCTTTCTTAAATGATATTGTAAGTAAAATCTGTTGCTTGTGAAGGTGTTTGGTTTAGTATGTTGCTTTGCACACAGGAAGGAGGGCACCACCTAAGCCTTATTACGAACCAGGAAAAAGCTGGATAAGGAGACCCTCTGAAAGCAGAGTGCTGAGAAATTTCCAGGTGGAGTGTACACTTAAACTGTTGAGCTAATGTTTTGGTTTAGAGTTTGTTAAAATGATCTGCGGAGGCTGATAGTCCAACTTCTGTTCTTGTTCTCTAGAAAATGTCTAAACAGACACACCTTACACTAACTGACAAAACGTACACTGCAAAAACACTGAACTATTCCTTTAATACAACATTTCCCCTTAGGTGTTAAGTTACCCACAATGAAAGAAAAGGAGGCGATGTGAAAGACAACAAAAAAAAAGGTTTATTTAGAAATTCACAGTTTCTAATGGCACTACAGTTTTGTAGTTACTCACACCTGCTCAAGAGTCCTGTGCAGCTCTTCAGAGTGATAAGAGAGAGAGTGAAAGAGAGAGAGAGAGAGAAGAAAAGAAAGCACTTGACATATAAGGTAGAAAAACAAAAAGGCATGAGGAGTCATACAAAGTGCACACTGAGAGTTTCTCCCTCTGCTCACTGTGTGACAGGATAAGTAGATTCAAAGTAGTCTTACTCCAAACTCACATAGACACACACACACACACATAAAGGTCAACATGCACACAAGTCCCTCCCCCCCCCACCCCTCCCCACATACATACACACATACATACATACATACATAAGATCAGACACATTCAGAGGCTAAAAAAACGACGATTCACTCGACTGTGGAACAAACAGAATCACATTATAGTGTTTGAAATTATCCGTCTGCTCGTTCCCTTTATCCATCAACATCCTTCACATCCTTCGCTTTAAAATCATTCGCCAGGGAGGGGGCGGGGCATGTAGGGTCATAACAAGTGAATAAAAGAGTGAGCGTGGGGGCGCACAGAGAGCTCAGGCTGCCAGAGCGGTTAAAAGAAGCAGGCGTGTTAGAGGAGGAGGAGGAGCTGAGAGAGGTGATGAAGATTGTCTTTCTCTGTCAAGAATGAGCAAAAACAAACACGCAGAGCCGCTCAGAAACTGAACACTCACAGGAAACATTCACTCGGTTAAAAATCTAAAGTTCAAGCCCTGTGTTCACGTCTGTGGGCTCAAACTTCCCTCCGAACAGGTCAGTCATGTGACCAACAGGACGAGTTTCGATCAGTCAATACAGAAAAGGACTCTGTGGAGCCCTTTCCACTAGCAGCTTCGAGCAGACACAGACACAGCAGCGGGAGGATCCTGACCAGCTCTCTGAATCTGCTTTGAAAGCAGCTGCTGCAGGAGGAGTGACTCAGATCACACCTGTGTGACACCTGAGGCTGAGGCAAACCCACTCCAGGCTCAGAGACAGTCGAAGAAGAAGAAGAAGAAACGAGACTTTACTGTGTGCGTACACGCCGTAATATTCTGTGCAACTCATTCTGGACTCGCTGTGACTCTGCAGGCTGCAGACTGACGGACCGAAGCCTCACGTACAAAAATCTGTCAGCTTTAAATAAATAAATAGATAAATAAAACCGCTCTGTCAGACTCAGCTGCAGCGTCACAGGAGTCTATAATACAAGTGTGTTTGTGTGTAAGTGTGTGTGCAAGTGTGTAAACATTCAGCTCTGCCATCTAACGTGCTCCTACAGTACAGTGAACCTCTAACTCCACACCTGCTGCAACAAGAAAACGAGTAAAAAACAGCAAAAAAAAAGAGCGAACGCCTGGAGTTTGCCTGCAGCCCGATCACCTCCACACTGACACATTTCCTCCTGTAACAGACTTTTTATGCATGCCTCAGTGTGTGTGTGTGTGTGTGTGAGTGTGTGTGAGTGTGTGTGAGCTTTGCGGGCCCAGCCCAAACTATCCTGAACTCTGAGGATCTTCAAACTGCCGTGTCTGAGTCTGCCATTTGAGGTTAAACAGAAAACCAAAGTGAAAGGACTCACACCTTCACACACACACGCAGAAGATTCTTCATTCAGCTCAGGTGTCTGGTTTGACACACGTCGACAGAGAAAGAGAGAGACAAAGAGAAGAGAAAGGAGAGAAAGAGAAAGAGAGAGAGAGAGGCTGAGGCATAATGGAGGTTAAACACTCTGGTCCCAAACAATCAAACTCCTGCAGTTGTGTCAGGATGTGACACAAAGTCAGAGAAGATGAATGTCGACAGAAAAAAAGTAAAAAGAGGAAAAGAGGAGGATCTGCTCTGCTTTTGGTCCACAGAGCAGCTGAATTCTTCATGATGTTCCTGCAGGAGAAGAGCGAAGGGCAGGGGGGCGGGGCCTCTGCTCTCTGTGCTCAGAAGGGGGAGGGGTTCATGCTCACTGATGCTCACCTATCAGGGCAAATGTGCTTCTCCAGTTAAAAAAAAAAAAACAAAGACTGTGGGATCAGACTAACTCCTGGAGTCTGTGAGTCCATCGTCATTGTCACGTTAGATTCATGAGTTCAGCTCTAAAAAGGCACGTAACCGTAAACAGGTCTCTGAGGAGGGAGGGAGGGAGGGAGGGAGGCGAGGACCGGAGGATGCTCTGCTGCAGCTCTGCGGCGCACCTGGGTGCTCATGGGAAATGTGGTTCTTTGGGATGCAGTAAGACCTCATCTCCTTCCTACACAAGTCTGCTACTGTAAAGAGAGTGAGTGTGTGTGTGTTTAAACGTGTCCGGTGACGGCGGTCACCCCAATGGTCCCCACGTTCAGCTCCTTGTTTCCCTTCATCAGCTGCTGCAGGCTGGGCAGAGTCCCCACACGACCCACCGGCACAGAGGGGAACTGCAGCTCCGTCTGCCGGGACTTCCTCCTCTTCATCGAGCGCTTCTCCTGACGGGACTTGTTGAGAGGGGGCTGGAGTTGGAAGGGGAGGGCATGGCCGTTGCAAAGGCCGGCAGAGGGGAAGCTGGGGGAGGGAGGGGGAAGGCGGCTCGTGAAGGACTCCTCCGAGTGCGTGGAGGAGCTGCAGCTGCTGGTCTCTGACAGAGGCAGGGATGTCACCTCTTCTGCAGAGGGAGGGGGAGGCAGGGGGATGACAGGAGGGAGAGGAGGAGGAGGAGGAGAAGGAGGGGGCGGCGCAGGTGGAGGTTCAGGGAGGCACGGCTGGAAGCCGTTACACTTCGGCCCCCCGTTAGTGAGCAGGACCTCAACTTTGTCCAAAGATTTTGTTTTGCAGCGTTTTTTCTGCAGAGAGAGAGAGGAGGGAGGGCGATCAAAACATGTAGAGAAACATGAGAAGGATCTGAAAACGTAGAAACAGATTAAAGATGTTTTTACAAGGACGATGAATTCACACAAACGGGTCAAAGAAGGGAAAGACTGAGAGAAATGACTGGAAGAAACAAAACCTTTCAAACTATTCCACTGAAGGGAGCAGAGCTGCACAGTTAACTGAACACTGATGTCATTATTTATACCGCTGCTTACTCTGCTGCATTTGGAATAAGATTCTCAAGAAAGTTACCACAGCTCTGCCTCTCCTCTCAGGTAACATGTCCTACTTTTGTGCAGACCCCATGTCTCTTTCATTAGAGTCATTTAACCTTAAATTATGAGGGGTACACTCGCTTTGTAGCCAAGCAACCTGGTCTGCTTTTGCAACAGATCCTGGTTAATTGCCAAATCTTGAATACAAGATGAAGAAATATATAAAAACATCACATTCAGCGTCATTATCAGGACACTCAACGGCCTGCCTTGATGTAGGAGATGCACTGTGAGCTAAAGTCAGAGTTATCTGGATGCAGAGACATCTAAAAAGATGAAAGCACAATCCTGCTCCTTTTATGGATCAAAGTAATCCAGGTCATGGTTTTGGTCTAAATTGTGCAGCTCTGAAATAAAACAATATCTTTAAGTGATCCTGATCCTGTGCTGTGACTCAGATCCACAGTTTAGCATGCCACCATGTTCTCATGCATGTGCGGGTATGTGGAGTCAATCTGAGCTACCCCACAGATCTAAATGTCTACCACACTCATCAGACAGGCCTACAAACAGACAGACAAACAAACAAACAGACGGACAGACAGACAGAGCGGCCTGACAGCCAACAGCAGCAGGTGGAGCAGACACTGTACCTTTTTCTCTGGAGAAAACCTTAGAGGTTCTACAATGTACAAGTCATCTGGACCTACTGGGGAGGGGAGAGAGGGGGAGGTTAATGATGGAATGGCAAACAAGAAAACATACATGTCACAAGCATGAAGTGACCTTGCAAGTAGTTTTATCAAAAGATACACAAAAACATGTTTTATAGCTGCGGTTGTGGATGAGATGAACACATGAGAGTAAAACCACACAGGAGAGGAATGATTCAGCCGAAGATCACTACTTGCAAATGTCTCAGAGCCAGCGAAGCACCGACATGCTCTATTATTATACTCCTTCAGCCTGCATGTGCACACAAGCTGGCAATGACAGCCTCTCAAGGGCACGCACACATACACACGCACACACACACACTCACACAACTGGGGGATAATGATCAGCAGGGGGAGTTTCAGGTTTCATGAGTCAAAGATTTTCTTTCTTTCGGTGTTTGCAGCAGCAGACGCCTCCTGAGGACTCGAGCTGCTTGAAGCAACAGCGGCACACTCACACACATACACGCACGCACCACCCTCTGAGCATGCTGTGTGTTTGTTTGTGTGTGTGTGTGTGTGACAAGAAACAGCAGAGAAGAAGTGGACAGAACTTATACAACCCCTGGAAAAAAAAATGATGGGATCACCAGTCCTGGAGGATGTCACAGACATGACACAAATCTAAAGTCATTCAAAGTCAAACCACGATTTTTATTCTTGATTTTTTAGTGTTTCTTTAAGTCAGAAAGTTGCCATTTTAAATGACCTCAGTTCTGTGTCATGTCTGTGACATCCTCCAAGACTGGTGAGCTCATCAGTGTTGCCAGAAGAAGAAGTGTGTGTGTGATTTACAGCGAGGTCTAAAGGAGAAACAGAGAGGAGAGAGAAACCGACAGACAGAGGGAGAAACAGAGAGGAGAGGGAAGCCGAGGACACAGGGCTCTAGAGAGACTTAGGTGTGTGTTTGTGTTTGTATGTGTGTTAAGGAGGCGGGGCTCTTACCTTCTGTAGAGGACAGGTGGAAGGACTTGGAGCGAACAAGCGGACAGGCCACCCTGCGCTTCAGGCTCATGTCGTCATATGAGGAGAAACACCTGAGCGGAGAAATGAAACTTGTGTTGGTAAAAAAATATGATTCACAAAGTTGAATATGTCCTGTTATGTTCTTTATGGTGTGTGTATATTTAAGTGTATGTGTGTGTGTGTGTGGGTGAGTGAGAGACCTCTTCGGGCTGGGGTAGTGGTTGCTCTTGGGCAGGGCAGCGGTGTTGGTGTTGGTGTTTGGAGAGGAGCTGCGGCAGCACTGCAGACACAGCAGGACCCCCAGGAACAGACAGAGAACCAGGGAGACCACCAGGTAGCTCTGACGGTCCGACACCTGAAGAAGACGACAGCAAACAGACTGAAAATCAGCTCATGAACAACTTCAGAGATCAGAGTCAAGGATGTCAAGAGCTGCTGTGAAGAACTTCTATCTAGTGTAGATTAAAAAAAAATCTGGATTATTTGAGCATCCCTGATTTAAAATCAAAACTGCTCAGTTGAAAAAAGATGTAGACACCCTGCAGTTAGTGTTGAAAAGGAGGAGAACCTAACAGCTTGTTTAGCAGCCTCAAACTGATGCAATTTTTTAATACCTTGTAAGTAACTGAAAACTCAAAATACAGCATGCTGAGGCTCGGGTTTGTACGTTATTTTCACTTTGAGAGTTTTAGAAGGGTGTCTTCTTTCCTGTTTGAGGATGCAGTTTTGTACCACTCTAGTTTTAAGCTATAACACTTTGACCGACTGTCTCCCACTGACAGATTCTGTTTCTCAGATCAGCTCTAAAGTGGATCAGAAAGTAAAATTAAGGAAGTGGATCTTGTCCTTTAGGACTCTGAAGCCTTTTTTTTTTAAGAGAGTGCTGTTCCTGATGTGTCTGAACACTCTGTTCTATATGTCTTCACAAACCTTCACACTCAGGTCATGTTTATGTTTCTTTAAGTCCGTCCCGGGGTCAGCAGCTGCACTGACACTCACCGTCAATGAACACGATGTTCAGAGTTATGGAGAGTCGGCTTGTTTCAACAACATGATTCTGAGAAAGTCTCGCAGACATATTTAGGACTATTGATCTGTTTGCTCTCTACATCTTTCTGCATGTTTTTTCTCTCAGTCTGTGAGCAAACTGTCCAAAGTTCAGCTCACTTTATTGCCACCAGCTCATGGACTGATTCTGAACAAATCTCCCTGCTTCACATATGAAAATATAGATCAGATATCAGTCCAGAGTCAGTATGATTATGATTAGTCTGGACAGTGTTTCTGTTCCGTTTTAGTTTTGCTGCTCAGCCTCTTCTCAATCAGATCACATGACTCAAAAAAGCCTCGTATCTGAGCTCAGTTTGGACTCTAAGGAAACACAGTGTGACATGTTTCTGATTCTGTTTGTGTTACACATGAAAAGAGAAAATCTGATGAGAGAGTTGTTCCTCTGATATCAAGCTGAGGTGGAAATAAACTCATGCTGTTTGTACTTTCCAGTTTCTGCCCATGAAAAGACAGTGGCTAATCAGCTACATTTGAATGTTTAAGTGTGTTTCAGAGCGGTTTGGTCATGTGACAGTGATGCCAGCAGCTTGTAGGTGTGTGTCTGTTAGGTGTGTTACCTCTCTCTGCAGCTGGCTGACTGTTGCAGTGAGGTTCAGCATCAGTTTGGTGACGTTCTCCAGCTGGCTCTGCAGGATCTGGATGGAGTCAGTTTGTTTCTGATCCTGATCAAACAAATCAGTTTAACATCCATCAGTTGAAGTGAGCAAACACACACAAACACACACACACTCACAGGACTGTTTCCTGTTTGTATTCAGACTCGTCTCGCTCTGTCTGGTGTAAACTGACCTGCTCCTCGGCGATGCGGGAAGTGTTCTGCAGCTTGATGATGGTTTTGTTGAACGCTCTCTGCATCTCCTCCATCTGTTTACGGTACCTGGTGAAACAAAATGCAAAAGTCAGCCTGTCAGACCCACTGCAATGATGTTCTGAATTGAGGTGGTGATTTTTTGTAACCTCTCCAAATCTGCAGTCAAAGAGATGAGCTCTCATGGCAAACTCAGAGATTTTCCAAAAATTTAAGGAAAAGTTTCAGCAAAGTGAACCACTTTCTGAAGACAGCAGGTGGCATCACTTTAACTCTGCTTGTCAAATATTTGCAGTTTTACATCAGTCGGAAGCAAAACCAGCTTGCAAAGAAAGCCACAAAACAGAACAGAGGATTCTCCAATAGTTTGCATGTGTTTTTACGGCATGTCAGAGGATAAACTTCTGAAATCAACAAACATAAGATCCTCAGTCTCTAAGTTCACAACTTACATGTGCCAAAGATACAGATCTAGACATAAACGACCAGGTAAGTGCTTCAGGAATCAATAAAGAGCCACAAATTTACATCTATTTATGTAACCTAAGTTTTAGCTTGTTTATTATGTGTATATATATATCTATATATATCTATATCTATATATATCTATCTATATCTATATATATATCTATATCTATACATCTATATCTATATATCTATATCTATGTATATATATATATATCTATATCTATATATATAAATAGATGCAGGTCAGCTGTAACCTTGTGTAACAACCTTTAACCTTGTAACCTAATGCTGGATGCCAACTCGTGCACATCCATGATATATGCTCCTCCAGAAAAAATCAACAGTCAAAGGTGCCTGAATAATCGAAGTGGGGTGAGTGCGGATATTTAAGACTCAAGATGACAACAACAAAAAAAGACACTTGAAGGGGTCTGCAGACAAAACCGGAGACTCATGCACGCTTGGGTAGTAGTAAAGGTTTGCACTGAACAGAAAAAGACCACATTGAGTTTTGAAAGCAGCTTCATGAGGTTCCTGGGTCATTAGTTAAAATGATTGTTCTCTCAGCCAAGAGGTCTACAGTGTGATACACAGTTAAACGTTTCATCATCAGTGATTATCATCTCTATTTGTAACTTTTGCAGCTCAGAAGTTTGAACTCTGGTTTGAACTCTTTGTCTGCTGGTCTCTGGGTTTACCTCTGGCTGAGCTCCTCCAGGTATCTGCTGGACAGGCTCATGTTCATCTCCAGAGCTTTGATCCGGTTGTTGAGTCTCATGAAGACGCTCTCCTTCTGGCTGGAGCCATGCACCGCCGCCCCGTTCAAAAGCACGCCGTTCCCGTTCAGCCCTCCCCCGTTGTAATCGCCCCCGTTCTGCAGCTCTGCGTAGAAGTCCGTCGCTGTGCGGTGGATGTTCCCGTTTGAGCTCAGCAGGTCCTCCTCCACAGGATCCTCCACCCGAGGGGTGTCACCTGTCTGAGAGAGGGGGTCCACTTGCTCCCCATGAGTCTGTGGGTCCCCACCCTCTGTTTTTACTGACTCTGTGGGGTGGTCAGTCTGAGGGGGAGGGGCTGGCAGCTCAGTGGGAGGGGGAATAAGGTCTTCAGGTCTGGTTACAGTGGGAAGGGGCTGGACCGGCTGCTCCTTCACAGGGGGGACCACCACCAGGACAGGTACAGGTATGTCTGTGGGTGCGGGCTGAGGGGGGGCAATGACAGTAGAGGTGGGGGCGACGTTGTTGGCCGCCCGGGTTTCTGGGATCGAGTCCTGCAGGGGGGGAGTGGGGACAGGGTCCAGGGCTGCATCTTTGATTGGGGGCAGCAGCTTCTCCTCTTGAGTGGGTGTGGGCCAAGTGAGGCCGTGGGAGTCAGAGAAGCTCTGTGAGGGGAGGGAGGAGGTCCTGCTGGGCTCCAGGAGGATGACAAGCTCCGGAGTGTGTGTGTCAGGGGTGTGCGTGTCCACCTCCTCATTCTGATCCTGAACAGGAACTTCAGGCTCTGGAGCTGCTTCTGCAGGGGGAGGGGCTTCTTTCGGGGGGGTGGGGACAGGAGCGAGGATCGGAGGTGGTATGTGTGTGACGGAGGGGGTGTGTGTCTGCGTGTGGACGCTCAGCTGCTTCCTTTTCAGGCTGCGCAGTCGCTCCTTGGCGAGGCGGGCGGAGCACCAGCGGTGTAGCAGCTCGGGGAGCGTGGCCATGCAGGACAGAGAGAAGGAGGAGAAGGGACAGTAGGTCCGACTCTCCCACACGTTCCTGTCTGCTGTCCTCCTCGAGTCCTCCTCCCTCTTCTCTTCCTCCTCCTCCTCCTCTAACTCCTCCTCCATCAGGGTGACAGTAGACTGCCTCGGCTCCTCCTCCTCCTCTTCCTCTTCCTCCACCAGGGTGACGATCTGTCTGTCCTCCTGGGGGTCTGAAGATGAGGGAGGGCGAGAGGTGGGGTCACTTGAGACAGCCGAGTCCTCCGGGATTTCAGGGTGATGAGGCTGTGAAGGATCAAGTCTGCAGGAAACACACAGAGACTCATTTAGACACTTGAGGAGGGGACTCTTGGATTTATTCTGATTTTTAAAGATAAAATATTAAACTATGATGGCCTCAAAAACATTTCACCAAATGTATCAACATATTTGATACAGTTATTTAGAGAAGAGGGGGAAGAAAACAGCTTCATTTCAGGTCTTTTTTAGGGCATTCAGATCTCTTATTTCGTGCAACAGCTGTTCTGGATGTAAACCTGAATTGTTTGACATGGAGAAGTCGATGTTTTGAGTTATTCTTTGTAGGAAGAGCATGCACATTTTTTAAGTGATCATTTTGGGGCTATTGAGGCCTTAATTTAGAAATAAGGACAGCGCAGGAAATGAATGAAGGTTGGATCGAGCTCAATTCCAGCCTGCAGCTTCTTTTCAACATATCACGTTTTGCTCTCTCTCTTCAAGACTGCCCCATGGCGTGTGCATTTAATCAAATATATTACACAGTCATTTATTTCACTATTTTAACCAGACATACATGTTTACTCAGGTTCACAATATTCCACATGTTCAGTGCCCCCTATTGTCCTATTTGATCTGCTCTCTCAGTGTTGTTGGGCACTAGTGCAAAAATGTTTCTGTCCTGTTTTGATATGAAGGACAGACTATGGACAAATGGAACTAAAATGACTAAAATATCTCTAAACCCTGACACACCTCTTAAAATGTACCCATTGTTACTATGATTCTTCTCTCCCTGTGTAATTATATATGTTTGTGTATGTATAGTTTTCCATCTGTGCCTTTTCTTTCTTGTTCTTTTCCTTTCTTTCTCTCCTTCTAAGTATTTTGAAAGATGAATGACTTGAAGTCCACATGTTGTTTTAAAATCAACAAGATTGGGTTAAATGGAAAAAGTTCATCTTTATATAACCCAGTGTCCCAGACATTTGAAAATTACATTTTAACTTATCATAGAATCAGCCTCTTTAGACCGCTCAGGCCTCTGAGGGATTAAAAAAAGATTTCAATTTGATTTGTCAAATGCACGACATATTTTTGTGTTTTAAAAAATGTGCTTTTGCGGCTCATGATATATTTCAGTGTTGCGTAAATTGTTCTGGTGATCGTAAAAAAATTACGTAAAAACCAAAATCAGACACATTTAGAATCAGATCATGTCTTCATTACACAAATCATCAGTTTATACGTTCCTACGTGGTTGAGGCGACACATAAACTTAATTTCCAACAGCAGGCAGGCTATTAATGTAAAACCTCCCCAAGACCCTTCTGGGCCATTAGTGATGTAACACGAGTAAAAAGTTGGATAATAGCTTTTAATGTCCTTTTTATGGTGTCTGAGCCAATGTAAGCCACTGCTTTGGTTCTGTTATAAAAGATGAATAACACTTTGGTCAGAGGAATCTCTTCAGGATATGTTTTTCACGTCTTAATGGACCAAAGGAGGAGAAAAAATGTCGTTTTTTTTCCCCCTTCTTGGTGTCAGAGGCTTTGAAATCTATACGTTTATTGATTTCTTATATCCGTCTTACACGGCAGAGTCTGGAGCTTGTTCTGCTGGCTTCGTTGTTTCTTCTGTGCTCTCCCGTTTTTCCCCTCGCTCGGCTGTTATGTTTCCTGCAAACAAACAAAACACACAACAATTAAACTCCACCAGGACTTATAACACCTCATAACTGTTCAGATTGTGCATAACTTGGCCGGCAGCAGCAGATTTGTGTGGCTGTGGGAGTGTGGAGCTGAGCAGAGAGGTTGAAGGCTCGTGTTTGGGAAGTCAGAAAAACTGTGAACCAGTCTGGTCTGGTTAGAACTGGTCTCTCTCTCTCTCTCTTGCTCACTCTGAGGGGGTAAATCCAGACCAGAACTTTTGGGACTGTAAAAACTGGAGGACTCTTTGGACTCCTGTAGCTTCTGCTTGAGTGTTTTTAACTTTTTTAAACTTGTGGTTTCAGTCAAAGGAGAGAAATCTGTGCATCAGGCTAAATTTCCTTTTAACTGGACCCTGAATCGACTCTCTGTGGGGTTACATGTCGAGGAACAGGCTCTGCGTCATAGACCCCCCCCCACTCCTTCTGTGATTCATCATCCCCCTGCCAAAGCGGAGAACATAGAAAGCACAGATCTGCTGCTGCTGCAGGCCGCCTTCAGCCACAAGCCAAACAATCTGCTGGCTCCCTCGGCACAGAAATATATACATGAACATACAGATCGCTATGCATGGGCCTCTGACCCAGTTTAAGACGACTGTAATTTAAACAACATGTGGGAAGACAGATGAACCAACAGCTCGAGAGAGAGAGAGAGAGAGAGAGAGAGAGAGAGAGGGGGAGAGAGAGAGAAAGGGAAGAAAACCACAGCCGAATAATGTGGAGTTCAATTCAGCGCAGCAGAGGGACAAAAAGACAAGTCCTCCTCTGCTCTGCTGTGTATTTAAATGTTTAAAATCGACTTCTTAAGAAAATAAAGTGAGAATTTAGGTGTTTGCAGCACTCATGAACTAAGCTGTGATAGGTATTCATGTCATGAAAGAGAAGCTGCAGAGGAGAAGTTGACCCCCTCTCTACAAGGAGCTGAACTTTAGTCATTCTCCAGCTGAACTACACTGAGAGTGTGCAAATGTAAAAGCCTCTGAAATCTTCATGAAGTCCATTCTCAGAGGATCTGAATTTGTTCATTCTGTGACATTACAAAGCAGCAACCCACTCCTGGAATACCCCACTCCCTCCCTCCTCCCATACATCATTTCGCTTGGGTGTTGCTGCATCATGATGTCAAAGGTTGGAGGCAGACACACAGGCTGCTCTGTGAGAAGCAGAAACCAACACCAACCAACATATTTTCTCCCAGCACTGACAGACCAAAGAAAACAGCGAATGCATTTTGTATTTTAAACAACAAGGTTGAACGTGTGTGTAAGGCAAGTAAGTAGGAATAATCCTCAAATTTTAAGGTGCCACTCAGAAACTTGTGGCTGCAACACTTCACATCAAGGGGGCGTTGTGAGCAACACGAGACCAACCGTGAACACAAGGAGTCTGCTGATGGCAAAATGTTAACTTTGAAATGAAAGAAGAACAAGCATAGAGGGAAACACTACATAGCTTTGTTTTTTACTCTGTGTTATGAAGAGGAGGGTCGATAAAATTTTCAATAAGCATCAATACAACCTAACATCCCCATCCCCATAATGAAGGTGAATGTCACTGCAGCCTCTCTGTGGTTTTTGTAAAAACTTTCCTTTATATAAACGTGTGACTCTGATGTTTAGCGGAAGAGTGAAGCATCTCTGAATCAGGACTTATCTGATAAATGTGTCTGCCACCCCCGTTTTGGCTTTTTTTGACTCTAGTTTAGTTATGGAGGTTTTCATGTTCAAAAACATTGTTCAAAACAGTGCACAAAGATTCCTGCGAGCCTGTGCCGTCCTGTACCTGTGAGACCTATCTAAAGTAATTTACACCATTGTATACTATCACCATAAATGTGGTGCTGCCGACCAATTAAGCCTGTCAGAGCTTAGCCACACTGCGATGACAGATGGGTGAGTCACACAAAACAATTTTTATGGGAATGTTTTTCGTTTTAACGAGCGCTGGAAATGATGAAATGATGAATGATTGTTTTTTTTTCAGAAGAAACCGGTCTCACTTCATGTGAAGAGGTGTGGTGGCTCAGAGGGAGTCAAACCAAATGTACGTCAGGGTTTTGTCTCATAGATTTACAGCGCTTTCACTTCCCCTCAAAAACAAAAGCAGCAAAGAGATAATAAAAAGATAGTCTGGTGTTTCCAGCTCTATACATAGAAGTCAACACTGTTTCGGGAAAGCGTCCCACAAACGCGGTTGGGCTAAGATGTAGATCTCACCATTTTAATCTGGCTAAAATACAGCAGGACAGAGACAGAAGTGAACAGCAGGAGGTGAAGTGTGAGTGTGACAGTGATGAGTACCTCCTGTCTCTGCTCCTCCCTCCAGCTCTGGCTTTCCGCCCAGCACGTTAGCAGCGATGTTATTCACCATGTTGAGGATTGCATCTGAAGGAAAAATACACAAACAAACACAGTGGAGTTATTTTCAAAAGCTGGAGGTTCCTGGAAAAAAGCCGAAAGGCCACAGCTCGGAGCGAAACAGGCTTCAATAAACCACGGGCTCGGACTTTTCATTTTCATTTTCCCTCATGGCTCCTCTCTGATGCTGCTTTCACTTGATTCTCCTCACACTACCTTTCTGTCCTCTCTCTTTCTATCCTTTCCAGATCTTTCTCAAAGCTTTCCTCCAGTCTCCCATGATCCTTTGCCTCTCTGAGACTGAGGGAGCACTTTCTGTTCCTCTGATGGTTTTAATGTTTAGAGCCATGAAGATTTGTGTGCACAGCGTAGTCATGGACCTACACTTCGGAGAATTTCTGCTCTTCTTCACCAGACCACCGTCCACTAGTGAGATCCTCTGCCAGGACTTTCCAGACTGTTCCTGTATCTCGTGTTCAGGTGTTCTCTGTTGGAGCTCCCTTCTCTCAAACTTCCTGCCAGAGGATCTCAGATAAGCTGAGTCTGTACCCTCCTTTAAATCTGCCCTTAAAAACGTCTTTTATTGTAGGAACTCAGACTCATGTGCATCTGTTTCTAATTTAGCTGATTACACAACCACTCCTCAGCATGTCGTTCTAAACAGAGCGCTTTTGTTATTCAGCTTCTTTAATGTCTTTCACTCCTTTTGTGTTAAACTTTTGTCATTTTATGTTTTTGTTTTTTCTTTTTCTGCCTCTTACAGGATTTGAGAATATATTCTTACATCAATCAGTTATTTTTATAGCCTCGAATAATCAAAGTCATCTCAGGATACTGACCAATCACAGCAGGTTCGGTTTCTTTTGTCTCATCTAAATATAATTTTGATTTTCATCTTACGTTCCTCTAATATCTAACCCACTCAAGACGACAGAAATCATTAGGGAATTTAACACCCACAGAGTTTTAATCATCAATTCTCAACGTATGACCGTAGTGTGTGTGTGTGTGTGTACGTACTGGTTGCCGAGCCCAGCAGGTTTTTGGAGGCCTTGTCTTCAGACGGTTGGTATCCTGGAGGATAGTCTAAAGAGAAGAAGGTCACGTTAAGCAAAAGACATGATACCCCCACTTTTAAAATGCACACAAACATTCAGTAAACAAACTGTTTTCTTTTGGAAGGATTTCGCCAGCACACTTCGCTGATGAAGAGGTCTGATATTTCCAGTCAAAGCCAGTCACATGACTGTCTTTTAACGCGGTTGTCTGCAAACAAGCTACACGATATCCAGAATATGTGGTCGTTTCACACCGAAGCTGTTTTAACCCTGGTCCTTTCCACAGAGAGTTTGGTTAATTTGGAGTGGCCTGAAACTTCATTCAGACTCTAGTGAGGACCAACCGGGTGAACTCTGGTCCACTTGTACAGACAGATATTAGCTTTGAGACGTTTCATTTGAGGTGTGAAAGCAAAGTGGACTACCTTATGTACCAAAGGCAGGAAGCAGTGAGATGCACAGTGCAGAATCCCCAAGACTGCAGAGGTTTGGTGTTTCTTTGATTATTTATGGATAAGTTAGTGAAAGAGGATAGATGAGGCATTTGTGTTGCTTCCATCTCAAACTTTTGCTTCCTCAGAGTCAAACATGCCTTTTATACAAGTAAAGGGAGTGTGCCCATGTTCAAGATGCAGCTGATCATTTAGACTAAAAACACTAAATCGAACAGTATTTACAGGTAAGGTAATTTAGCTGTATGTGTGGATGCTGATGGCTGACTTTACCCAGAAGTTTCTCTGTAAGCTCTGTGCTAAAATATCTGCAGGAGGGCAGGATGCAACCAATGCAATCTTGATGCTCCAGGTGAAGCTGCTTCAACCTTTTTTTTCTGCTTTTCCACTCAGTCACTGAATTTGTCACAGGTAGCATTATAAGAAACACAAAAACTGTCACCGTGGAGAGAGGCTCTGCTTTACTGAATGTACCGGATGTCTTGTACACACAGGAACTGTGCCTCAGCATGCTTTTAAGGTCACGTCCTCTCATGTTTAAAAGATAAAACTTCACATTAGGTGGGAAGTGTTGGAAAATTTCAGGAGTGCATTCCTGAAAATGTTTTTGTTCGCAGGTGAATCTGAGTAAAGCTGTGATCAGATCCTGGTCTTACCGTAGTCTTCATCCAGGTACTCCAGTCTCTCTGAGGGGTACTGAGAATCTGCAATCTCCTCGTACTCCTCCACCATGCTCGTACCAAACACCCTGCACAAACACACACATTCACACACACACTTAGTTATGAAAACTTTCTGGACATCCAGGACTGTTACATGCTGGTCAAGACTCCGCTGATAACCGGATCAGCGGGTGGAACTGAGAGGAGTTTTTACCTGATGAGACTGAGTGGACAGAAATGTTCGGATCCAAAGTGAGAGAGAAGTTCAACCTGCAGAAGAAAACAGACAAACTCTAAAACGGAACTTGAACACAGTGACACAAATCAGTGCATGTGTACCCACTCCATAAACCCACAATCCACCAAACACCTGAAGAAGACCATTCAAAATGCCCGGCTGTTTGTAAAGGGATGTGAGTGCTCTGTGCTCTACTCATTACACGTGGTTCACATGCATTATGGATTAGACTCAGGCAAAGCTCACCCCACACACACACCCTTATTAAAGTTGATAAAATGAACCTCTGACAGAGAGAGGAGAGTGCTAACCTTTATGTACTTGATGAACATCTGATGCAAGAGGAAGACAGGAAGAGAGAGAAAGAGAGAGAAAAAACAAGAGACAGAGATCAGTGAAGACAGATTCAAGCTGTAAGCAGGTCAGGCTGTAGATACAGTCCAACAAACACACACACACACACAAACGCACACACATGCATGCGCACAGCTGAAGTGTACTGCTGTGTTACAATCAACAGGATACTGCGGAGAGGTTTCTATCAGTAGCTGGAGGGAAGGACAGAAAATAGACAGACGGACGAACAAACAGAGGGCTAAATATAAAAACTGTTTACTGCAGTTTAGATCAGAGCTTCACCTTTCAAAATAAAATCAGTTTATGTAATAAAAGCACTGCAGTAATTTCATAACGGAGCCTGTGATTCACAGCAAGCTCCCACATGTTAGCGCCCACGCTGGCATCATGAAAAGGAAACCATCAGAGAGATAATCTACAGTTGAATGACAGGGAAATGAAGTGAGCAGAAGAAAAAAAAGATAGACACAGCTCAGAAAAACAGAAACGTGTCATACTTGAACTGGTTCACATGAATTTGACCTGATTAAAAACTGAAACCTGCAGAGAACAAACACTCCACAGAATCAACCGTCACTAAAACACTGAAAACAACAGTTAAAAATCACTGACTGTTAGTGGAAAAGCTAAATTTGTGGGCCTCTTACAGCAGATTTTGTCACGTATCGCACATACTGCACCTAACTGAGTCATAGGGCTGGGGAATAAACCAAAAATTTACAGATACCAAGATTTACGACAATAACCAACGTCATTTTTCCCATACTGGTATATTCGGTGTCTAAAAAATAAATACATAAGAGTTGGTTTTGGATGTGTGTAGGTAGGCTATGGTCTCATGTCCCTTTAAGACGCTGTCCGACGCTGGTTCAAAAGTTGTAGCAGCTGGAGCGGCAGCTGAAGTAGACAGAGTTAATGTCGGAGGGGGTGAGCAGCTTGTGGAGTAGTTATTGTCCTTTTACTGTTATCGGGGTGAACTGCTCGATATATCGTGATATTTATTTGAGGCCATATCGCCCAGCCCTCCGGAGTCATATGGTGTTGATTTCAATGATGCAGAAACACATTCACGAATTTGATGTGAAATTGATTAAAAAGTAAATTGTAGAATATTGAGGAGTTTATTAAAATCTAGGCGTTCTCACCAACCTGAGCTAAATAAACCAATAAAAACTAAGTCAAGAGTCTGTAAAGTGTTTCTGCTGCTGAAACTCCCTTCAATCTCTCTATGTGACCTCTTTCACATGCAGGGCTGCATTCTACTGAAAGGGGCGGTGCAGAGGCCATCGGACATGTTTAAGTCATTTGAATTGGCAAACAAAGATACTAAGCACTGAGGTTTGAGCCGGACAAAATCTGAACGACTTCTGCGAATTTCGAGATCAACTTTAAAGTTTGACTAGAACTTTATGACTGCCTACAATTACACACTCATATAGGTGGTGCACTAACAAGAGCTCCTCACTTAAATTCTCTCTTGGGCATTTGTTTTACTCTACGGGTGTATGTGTAAAAGCAGGTATGCAAGCGACCCGATTACCCTGTGTGTTTTAACTGTGTATGGAGACACTTTATAAACATCACCATCATTTATTTTACAAGTGAAAATATGTGAGGCACTTTATTCTACTAAAAGATAAAATGAAAGGGATAATGGATAAATCAAAACATCAGGGGGAGAAAAAACAAACGCTGAAAACTGTCAGTTATTTTCTGAGGTAGCTGTCAACTACTGGAATAGTTAATAACCGCCTCACTGTTTCAGCTTCAGACCTTAAACTTCTGTAAGTCTCAATTTTAAATTAAAAGAAGGAAGTTTTGGAAACTTGGGCAGAGAGCAAACTCTCATAATCCTTCATGCTGATGATTGAATTTCCTGACAGAACGGGAACAGCCTGAGTCTGAAATGAACTCACCCCCACAGTAAGGAGGACCTGCCCCATAGATTAAAAGAAACTCTGTCATAAACACACACCCTCATAATACACAGAGTCAGAGGGAGAAGTCATGAGAGCCTCACACACTCAGTAGGTATGATCTCAAGTCTGTGTAAGCTGTGTAATAAGCTGGAGATGAAAAACTGAACTGTTCTCTTTGCTCTGCTTCAGACAGTAGTGAACTTCTTACTTCTCATTGACTTTTACAAAGGGAAAAAGTACCTTCACATATTTAGCATACAGCTGCTCATCCAGGGGAAAACTCTGGACTATGCGCTCATCTCTGGCATGGAAGGTCCCCAGCTTCACCCACTTATTGGTCGGATATCTGCAGACACAACCAGAGAGCAGTCAGAAACAAGTGTGTGTATGAGACAACATTTGGTGTGCTCTCTGAGGCTGGGTGTAAATGCCGCTCTGCTACGTGTGACTCGAGGTTTGTCCTTGCATTCCGAAGGGGGGAATTTATGAGTTGTGGTGCGAGATGGGGCTGGAAATAAATCATGATGGTGAAACTCAAAACAAAGACAACAAGCAGCTCTGACCGGGCTAAAGTTAGAGCTGGGAAGACCAGAGGAGGAAGACTCATGAGGAGGGCCTCAAAAACCATTAACACCTCCTTAAAAGAAAAAACTGCCCCCCCCCCTAATAACAGCTTAAGATGAGCAAAAACTGATTTACTAGAATTTTGTATGTATGAGATGACTGAAATTATCATTTTATATATTTCATATTTCAAACAGACATACTTCTGGAATCTCGACCTCTCATTTCTCATCGTTTACATTTTTACCATCAGGTTTTGTGAAGGAGCACTGATGGCCTTGCAGTCTTAGTGCACCCCATTTACAGATGCTATAGTCCTTATGGCATTGGTCGCTGATTCAACCTTTTGCTACGTGTCTTCCTTCATTCTCTACTCCCTGCATTTCCTGTCTTTCTTCAGCTGTCTGATCCATTAAAAGCTAAATTGCCTGGAAAAGATCTTACAAAAGACTTAATGCAATCTTATATGTTAAAAAAAGGTCAAGGACACAAATTCAGAATAAAAGCACCGTGTGAAAACCAGGGCAGACACTGTGTACAGAAAGTGGATCAGACTTTTGCTTTGAAAAGCATCCAGACAGCGTAGCAGTGATTCATATCTCATGTCCGGGCAGTTTTCTGCAGTGGTAGACACAAACATTCTTCATACAAGGTCGACTAACGGTCTGTTTTGGCTGCTCAGCTTGGGATAAAAATGGGCGAGTCTTTTATTTGCTGGATTCTCGCTGGCTCTCTGACTCCATGCTGGCTAAAATGAAAATCCAGCTTTTGTTGTGTGTGTGTGAAGCATTAATAATCCTGGCCCCGGGCAGGAACATATGAGATAAGAGGAGATCCCAGTCCGGTGAAACTCAATAACGTGCATGCCTCTAAAATTAAATGATTAAATGTCACAGAAATAACAGTAATGAAATATTTTGCAACCTCAAAGTAACGCTGGAAGGAAACACGGCTTGAATTGTGATTTCAGGATTTAATTACCGATGAGGTTTTTTTACTGTGTGAATAATATTTGAACCCTGAATGTTATTCTAACAGCTCTACTGGAGACACCAAAGCTCATCCAATCAGATAAAAGTCAGAACCGTACACTTTAGACACACAGACGGCTTCAGAGGGAGCGGGCGTACCTGTCACTGAGGGAAACTAAAAAGTCTTTGGGTGTTGAAGAGAAGAGCTCAAAGTTGGCGATGTCCAGCTGCTTGACTTGAATCGGCTCACAGAGCTCGATCACAAACCTGAGGAGAGACAAACAGACAATGTTTAGTCAAAAATAAACTATTTACATTCACGTCTGGATTTGTCCTGTGTGTGTGTCGGTGAACTCACCAGATTTTGTTGCTGCAGGGATTCAGCATGTACAGGTCCATGTTCTCCATGAGGATAGCTGAAGTGCTCTGAAGGAGAGACACAACAATGACACTGAGTGAACATGAATCTATAAGAAGTTATTTAGTCTCTTATCGAGCAGTAAAGACCATTGTTTCAAGACTTTTTGTTTGTCCGGACCCTGTTGCACATGATCCAAAAGCTCCTGTTTTCCAGCAACATGCAAAAGACTTGATTTATCAGCCTTACATTAGCCGTGCACCTCTAATTTGAATGATCATCCATGTGATTCGCTTTTGTGTTGCAAAGTCGTGTTTTATTATTGGTGGACCTCATTTTTGAGCTGAAGGGAGCTGAAGGGAGCTGATGAGAGCGACGATACATGAGCATCACTTTCTTTGGTTGTTTTTCAAACAGAGTCGAGTCCAAAAGTTGTGAAAAAGCACAGAGAAGATCAGGACTCTGAGAGTGTGTTTGTACAAACATGCTCTCACTTCGCACCCTCAAAGATCTCCTTGAACGCAGTTGTTAGCCATGTGTTATCTGTGTCCTCTGCTATGAGTGTGTGTGAGTGTGAGTTCATGTGTGAAAGCGAGGTGTTGTGTGTCTGACCTTGGCCTCACTGTTGGCAGACAGTATCTTGGCACCACACTCTACTGAGGCGTAGTTATTCTTGAAGTTTTTCTGGACCTTCTTCGCAGGGTGGAGGGTGCCAGTGGTCAGGGTGTGGAGGGACTGACCTGCACAGAGAGAGAGTGAGAGAGAGATGTTACGTTATAGACAGCCGAAAAATGAGAGCGTGACGGCTGAGAGGAACAAGTCAGAGAGATTACATAACACCCCCGCGCGAACACGCTCCGCTGACCACCGCACACGATGGCGTGCACAGAGAGACAGAAATAGACCATGAGGAAGGAAGCTAAAGAGGAGGAAGAGTGGAGTAACAATGCAGAGAATAACTCAGAGAGAGGAGGACAAAGAGGAAAAAGACGAGATGCAGATTAAAGCTGATGTGAAGGCATCTTTTGTCTGCAGACTCAGAGCTGTGACTGAGCCGGTGTCACAGAGTCAGATTAATGTCATCAGGAAGTCTCGGAGTGATCCAGCTTTCAAAACTGCCTCATGGAGCAGTGCACTCGCCCTGTGTGCAGACACACTCCTTCTGTTTGTGCACGCAGTAAATATATCTTCAGTCTTCGTAAATCACAAAGCGTGTGTTAAATCAACTTCTTTGCATTTTCTCCTCCCAGTGTTTTGCACACGGTGGTAAAAACGCCACATATTGCATATTCATTGTGTTACTTTGTTATTAGATCAGCTTGCATGTTTGTTTGCAGATGCTCTGAGGTTTGCACATGTCTTTAAACACACAAAGCTTCAGTAAATCAGGCCCAGTATGTGTGTTTAAATTATTCATGCACTCACTTTTCTCCTTCTCCACCTCCATGACCTGTTTCTTCCACTCATCAAAGGTGGGGATGTCCTCTTTGCTCGGCACTGAGGGGTCAGTCTCTCTGCCAACACTGGCGTCCCCCACCTGGAAACACGTAGCACACACAAACCCATTAGTGAATCACAAATAGACATTCTTTTATTTTACTTTAGCTTTACAGTTAATATCTGCATTTAACAAGTTATCAAAGTAGGGGTTTATAGTCTTAATAATATGTGGATCAAAGTGAGGATACACATATGCATCCTTATGTTACTATTTTTACATGTTCACTTTTATAAGCTTGTATATTAGTGTAATCTTATTGTTGTATAAGTTTGACAAACCGTGGTGTTACCATGGTGTTTAAAGGTTTTATTCTTCTAGTGATTCATATCACTCATATCATTTACATTTTTAAAAATATTTTTAAACTATTTTTTCCTTGAAGTTTTCCTTTTTTTCCCTGTATTTCTTTTTTGTTGCTATTTTTAAACTTTTTTCCCCTGTGTATTTTTTCTGTTTTCATTTCCCCGTCCTTATGTATTTTTTATTTCATATATCTTTTTTGCCCTTTTTTTTTTTCCTCTCTCGCTTTTTTATACTTTGTTTTTAATGTGTTGTTTGCTATTTTAAAAATTCAGTCATATTTTTGGCTGTTTTACTTCCCATATTCTGCTTTATTTTTTGCCCCCCCTTTTTTCTCTTTTTTTCACAATTTGACTTTCCTGATAGTTTTCAGTTTTAAAATCTTAATCACCCTGTGTCTTTTTCTGTTCTGTTTGCTTTCTTGCCAATTTTTACCCTGTGTTTTATTTTTTGCCTGTCCTCTTGATTGCCTGGCATATTTTTTTCCAATCTAAACCACTTTCTCTGCCTCATTTTTACCCTATTTTTCTGTTTTCTAATGTAAATCCTGGAGTTTGTGTATTTAGCACCTTGTCACATCTGATTTAAACAGCAGCCCCATCCTGTCTCTCCACAGAGGTGCCCTGGACAGCTTCTCCTCAGCAGAAAGCTCTTATTTCAAACTTCATCGTGACACGATTGTTTTATATGACGCCTCAGCTCTCTGTTCATTAATTATTGAGACTGTGTGAGCGGCGTTTCTCTTCACGACCTGGATGTCCTGAACGGCCTCTACAAAGCCTACTCTACACAGTGGATGGCAGTCAGCCTCTCTCGCCTTCGGCTGCTAAAGCTTTGAGATGCGCTGAGCTGTGAATAATGCTTAGATGGATGATGTAAGAGCGCTCTTTTGGACCTCACACGACAGACCAATCCTCAAAAATCCACAAACTAAGACAGCTTTTTATGCAAACAGACCAACAGCTCTGACAGGAGTCATTCGCAGACACAGACAGATTAGGAACCAGACTTGGATCAAAACTGCAAAATTATGTACAAATGCACAACACAGACACTAATCCCCTGGTAATAAGTGAATTCCCTGCATACACTCCTCTTTCGTTATCCTTCAACCATGAAAACATAAAACTGAAAGCAGGTCGACTCAGCATTTAGCCCTGAAACCCCTGAAACACCCTCGAACTGAACTCTGGTACAACAGCTGTGCATGCTGAATATTTTTAACTGTCACAGAAAGTTAACCAGCATCTGTGGGCTGATATGGACAGAGGGGAGGAAAATAAACTGCATGTTCTACAACACTTGCAAGAGCACCAGATTGATGCATGTGGTCTACGTAGTGTATGACTATTTTATGCCAAAAAAAAAGTCCCACTCTGTATTTGGAGCAGGTTCTAAACGCTTACACAGCTCATTCAGAATATATGTTCCGGTTAAGGATTTTCATGTTTTTTTAATTTTAATATCTCTCATACGAACAAAAAATTTAAAAGAAATCACTGGCATGTAATTGCACATCAAAGACAAAATTCTGCCTCTGTATGAGTATTTGTTTTTAAATCTACTCTAGTGTAAACGTGTTTGTTTTTATTCTTCGATTCTCTTTCAATAATTGAATTTTCTTTTACTGATATTCTTCATTTTTTCTTTCTATTATAACTCATGCCCTGACTTTAAATAAACTCATGCTGTTACCTCTTCTCTGTCTTCTACCTCTCTTTGAGTTTTTAAATCACCTGCTTTGATTCAAACTTTCAAGAATAACCTGATTATTTGTACAAGTTCACACAATTATGAGTTAGTACTTTGTACCTGAACCAAATGCAAGATGTGTACCATGTTTGTTTTACAAAAGGCCAGGATGCTATGCTGATTGATCCTGTGTCAAATATTCTATTGAATTTCATAGAAAAATAAACTGAAGGTAATCTACATGCCCTGAAATTGACACAGTGTGTGATGTATAATGGCATGCGTGTGTAAATTAGGAGTAATACTGAAGGTTTGATTCCTAATGAGCAACGAAAAAAAACGAGATCAAGCTCTGTAAATGTCAAGCACCAAAAGGAAAGTCATAAATAATTATTATTCTATTTAAATGAAGCTTTTTGTGATTCAAAGACTCTTTCAAAATCAAAGACTTTATGTGTGAAAAATCAACAACCCTGTGGACCTAAAGACTAACAACAAAAACCAGTATATTAGGACCCTTATTGTTATAACTGCATTTTTGCGCTTTTTTTTCTCTGTGATGCTGCTGTGACAAAAAAATTTCCCCCATGGGGGATCAATAAAGGAATATTCTATTCTATTCTATTCTATTCTATTAGGACCTCCTACTTTGCATGATACAATTTATCATATTTCAATGTGTTTGCTCTTTTCTGGCTCATAACTAAAAGAGCAGTAAAAGGAGCCGTGTATTAAAGTGTCATTAGTTGGTTAAACTGTAAATACAAGCAGATTTACTGAAGAGAGGAGGGGGGAAAAACTACAGAGTTTCAGCTTCTGGTATCAAAGAGGAAACGATCACAGCTGCACTGGTCTCAAAAAAACCCAAAAGGTCTCCTTACCAGTAAGGTGTTATTTCTGCTTTCAGCCAATCACAAAACAAAGAGCCAGAAAAGTCGACCAGAAAAATATCTGCGCCACAAATAAGCTGCTGTATAATCTGTTAGGTTTACTAAACGATCTCCCAGATAGCAGACTGTGTCTTGGTTTTACTGTTCCACTAGTATCTCATAACATGACTTTGGACGTCCTAATAAACATAAAACTGAATTGTTTCAATGAAAAGCTGATCATGGATTTATGTAAACCCCTGTGGTGGCTGACCTGCTGATCTTGGTGGACCTGGGAGGCGTTACCCCCTTGGTCAGAAACAGACAGCCCATCCTCCAGCTCCTGTTGCTGTTGTTCTTGTTGATGTTGTTGTTGTTGTTCCAGGTCTACATGACCGGGACTGGACTGGACCTCTGCTTCGAGACCAGAACTGTGGACCTGCTCTGTTGGCTGGTCCTCTGTACCAGACTCCTCCACCCTGCAGCACAGACACAGTGATGGAGAAGGGAGGAGGATAAGAGAGGAGGGTGAAGAAGACGGAGAACAGAAATGAGCTCACAGACGCGATAAAGACACGATTAAAAAAAATAAGCGAGATGTTTCAAACATGTTTGAAAGTTCTGACAGTTCTTGTTTGTGAGCAGGCAAAATGATGGAGAAAGGAAATCAAAAAAACAAAAAAAGCAGAGATAAGCGGAGAGCAAGGTCAGCGCTCGCTGGTTGCACTCAGCAGAGAGGTGCAGCTTGTGCCTTGATTACCTGTCGCTGTGTTTTGATTAGCTGCTGGGGGGGTCGGGGACTCACCTGTAGAGAGGGCGGCCAAAGGGGGAGTTTTCACAGGTTGCCAGTTCGGGGGGAATGACCCCGCACTGAGAATCAGAGTGCTCAGCAGAGACAAAGATGTCTACTGGGAGTTCCTCTCCTGCACTGGCAACCCGCACCACACTGAGGGAAAGAAAGGACACGGCGTTTACACACCTCCTTACACTGCGGGTGGGGAGGGAGAGGGGTAGGAGGAGGAGGAGGAGGAGGGATAAATTAGAAAGAGTAGAGAGAGCTGGAGAGAGAGGAGGAGAAGAAGAGGAGGGAGATGAGAACAAAAGGGAAGGAGAGGCTGCTCCTCTGACAGGCAGCTGTCTTAAAATTAAAGTCCTGATTTCATCTGGAGAAGCTTTGACACACAGAGGTCAACACGGGAGGGGCGGTAAAGGGGGCATTCTTCTTCAGGGTTTGATCCAGTAGACATGAGGACCCATCATGGTCTCAGCTTCAAGTATCTTTTCAAAGAGTCCACAAGCTTCCTTAAAAAGTACATCTGAAAAACTGTTCCCGTATGATCAGGGCGAAAGTCGACGGACTCAATATCCAGGATATCAAAGCAAATATCCTCTGAGCCTCTCTTGGTGTGAGATCAGTTGTTAACAGTGTGATTAAAATAAAACTCAAACCATGAAACATAAAAAGAACAAAATAAACCAGAGGGAAAAAAGTTAACCAACAAAACATCAAAGAAAATGTGCACCACAAACACTTCCATACTCTGACTGCACTGAGCTGGCTCTAACCCTCAACAGAGGAACATTTGGACTTGGTATCCTCCAATCTTGTTTCAGTTCTCTCTCTGAGGTTAAAGCCAGCTTTTGCACCCTGCACTGAGGACCTAAACGTGGTCTTACCCTATGTGGGTCGGGCCGGCACTCTGTGAGGTAGGTGTGTTTTCAGCTTCATCGAGGGAGGGGGCTGGGGATGCAGCAGGAGCCTCACTGACGGTCTCTGCTGCCGCCGGGGCTTCAGTAGACTCTGGGGTCTGTGCTGGAACTGGTTCTGGAGTGGAGACCACCAGGACTTCCTGGTCCTGACTGTGGGTGTGAGTCTGCTGGTCCACATCAGCCTGGTGATGGGTGGGGTCTATGTGGGGTTCTGGCTCAGGAGCATCAGGCTGAGGGTCAGACTCTGGGTCAGGTTTGGTCTCCTTCACCTCGGCTTCTCCAGGATTCACAGTCTGCAGAGAGGAAACAGAGATAAATGAGTCAAGAACCATCAGCTAAATGAGACCACATCCTTGATCTTGAATGTTTTCTTTATTGCACTCTAGTCCTTACCTGTTCTTGGTGAACGTTGTGTGCTGCAAGCGTCTTCAGTGCTGCCCTCTCTGCCTCCAGTCCCATATCGTATGATGTGTGTGTTGTCCATTCTTCCAACACCTACAGATAAAAAACAAAAACTTATCACACACTTTTCACCTCAGAGTAGGAACACTCACAGTGAAAAAACTGCAATTACACCCAGTTAAGTTCATAAACTGCTGCTGTAAAACTCAAACCTCCTTCAGGGCGTTATCTACCAATCAAAAAACAGATTTCTGTATGAAAATGTCAGATTGTAAAGGTCAAAGGTCAGTTTGAGAGGGAGATCTTTTGTTTCCGAACAAAGAGTGTGTCAGAAATCCAGAGACGGACTACCAGGCCTGTTGAGCTGCCTCGGCGTGCCTGTTCACCGCTGGACCTCACACAATGACTTCCCTTCATACACACAAACAAACACACAGACACACACTTTCTCGCTTCTCTAAACTGTCATATGTCCCAACACTCACATACTTTCTCAAGGCTCATTCATTAGAGCTGAGGGTTTTTAACCCAGACCAGCTCTGAGCCATTCAGTCTACAAACTAATGAATGTTTTAGTTGGTGGTGGTTTTCTGAGGATCTCCAAAGAATGTGGAACTGGATGCACCCAAATCACACACTGGGATGAGTCAACAGAAGGGCAAAGTCAATCTAGTGTTCATTCAGGAGAAATATCTATAAATATATGGTGGAGGAAAGTCATGCAGAGCTTTTATACTAAGTGTTGTTTTTGGCTTCTGATATCTGTATTTCACCACATCCCATTTTAAAAAGCTCTTACTCATTCACACATTTAGTTTAGTGAGACATGCAACCGGAGCTTGCTGTGCAAAGAGGTTAAAGACAAAGACTGACATGTACGACTGAGTATCATCAGCATAAACTTTTAACCTTAAATGTTCCCGTTTACTGGTGGACCTCTGATGATGAGTTTCCTTTTTCAGTGCTCAGACATACACGCAAAAACACACAAACACTCTTACTTCTCACAGCTATCATCTGTTTGATCACTCACATACTCTGACAGCTATCATATGCTAACAATTGCAGCTGTTTTCTGTAAAGGCCGACCTTTAAAAACTACAAAACTGTGTCAAAGTAAAACCCTGAACCATGTTGAACTTCCTACCAGTGTTTAAAGCAGCCAAAACAAAGAGCTAAGGGTTTTCACAAACACACGTCTAAGATGAATGAAGAGTTTTTCGACTTGCTAACTTGCTAATCATGCAAAGCTCCACTGTAGGTGTCATTGAAAAATGAAATTGAGGATTAAAGGTCTCCTTTAACCCAGAGCAACCTTAACTCAGCATCAGTGCACTTCTCTCAAACGTCTGTTGACTTTTGCACAGAAGATGCTTTTTATTTTGGCTGCGAAGACATCTATTTCTGTGAGTTTGCTGGGTAAGTAAAGTTGTCTGCACAGTGCAAGTTAACCACCTCACAGACGTGCTGCAGTTCCTTATTTGCTGAATATTTTAATTATTTACCTTTTTGGTGATTTCCAATTAAAAAACGTATAAATGTTGCTGAAAATGTGGGTGTTTTCTTCTTTTGATATTTAATACTGGTTTTCTTTTTTGGTTTTTACAGCTTTCCAACTTTCTGACAGCACATTTAGATTTCCATCTAACTCTGCAGCTTCAACTCAAAGTCAGTATGTTGAGGTGCAGTTTAAGAAGGTGCTCTGTCTGACGGGGGGCTTTAAAACGGATTAGACTCGAACATTGTTCAGCCGATAATGCCAGCTGAGAGTTAGGAAAGCTTTTGTTTACCCTGAACCTTGACCCCACAGGATGGTCCTGACCTACATTACCCCCAGCTCCAGCCTGTGACTCATTATGCAGAGAGGAGCCCATGTTCCAGACGATGTGTAACTAGGCCGCTTTATAGCTAACTTTTTACCTAGAAGAGACTCTGATCTTCACGTCCTAAACATCTTTCTGTCTTTGACACACTTTCAACAGAACAGATTAAAGGCTGTAAACCTGAACAGATAAGCTAAAAATCACTGATATGTGCTTTTCTATCTTTGAGTGAAAAACAAAAAGTTATGTAACACCCTCCTCACCCTCACACCGTCCTGAGGCTATAACTCAGGACCTCCTGACTATCAACACATAGTATTTATAACTACACCTCCTCCCTCCATACCTTCTCCCCCTTCTCAGGGGTCAACGGGTCCCTAAAGGTCGTGACCCGACTCCCACCACGTGGTCACATGTTCTGCAAACGCACACGGTTCACAAGGAGCATGACTCTAATAATACAGCTGAACATCCCACAGCCAGACAGAAAAATGAGCCAGCAATGCCTGCTGCTACCCACTGAATATACATCCACTCCTCAATCCATTGTCTATCCATCATCCATTTATTGTTCTTTTGGATCATTGTCTACTCTACTCCATGTTGTGTGTTTGTTGTTTAATTTGTATGTTGTATTTTATGAAGATCACATATCCATTCTCCAATTCACCATGCATGCTTCCATCAAACCATCAATAACTTAATCCACTCTTTCATCTATTCATTCACTTCATCTATCCATCAGCCCCTCCATCAGTTCATCCATTATGCAAGCATCCATCAATATATCCATTAATAATTCACTCATTTATCAATGCACCAATTTATTGATCCATACATCCATCAATCCATCCATCAGTCTTCTCAGTCCATGAATTATCAAACCATTCATCTATCCCCCATCCTTCAGTCATGCATGCATCCATCCAACAATCCTTCATGCATCCATTACCAATAAATCTATCAGTTACCAATGAATGTATTCACCAAACCACTCATCAATAAATTAATCCACCCTTCCATCACTGCATCTATTATTCCATACCAATCCATCCATCCATTAAGCAAGCACCCATCCATCTTTCTACTCAAAATATACATCAAACAATTGACCCATCTATTCAACCATCATCAATGCATCCATTTATTGATCCATCTGTCCATCCATGTATCAATAAAATAATTCATCCATACACCCAATCTATCCATTAGTTCATTTAGTCTATCTATCATACGCACACATCCATCTGTGGATCTATGTACCAATACATGTACTGTCAGGGCATCCATCAATGCATCCATCAGTACATCTATCAGTGTATCCATCAATGCAATCATCAGCACATCTGCCTATTCATCGATCTATCCATCCTGGATAAAATCTCTACTTGTGCTTTTAAACCCTTAAGGTTCAAAAACTAGTTACTTAAACTTGATCAAACTGTAGTTTAGTCTGATCAGTTATTGGGTGGATCAATAATATTCAGAGACAACAGAAAAAGATTAGGTAAGAAATCCACAGATACCATGTTCAAAGGATTTATCTTTTCCTCTTATTAACATCAAGCCAGTTTACTCTCATAAAAGCAGAAAAAAATCTGAAATTGTTTAGATATAAGATCTAAGATGAGATCATTTTGACTTTTGTTTGGAATCACTGACACCAATAACCTGTTTGTTCAGACCGACATTGTTGCAGCTCTATCATTTATCCACAGTCACATTTTTGGGTCACTACCTAAAGTCACCCAACACTCTCCAGTACGGTTATCTCACCTCGTGTTGCGTGGAGTCCTGCTCCTGCTCCTGCTCCGGGCTGTCGGCGGTGTTGTCCCCGACAGTCTGAGCTGATCCAGACAAGCTCTGCTCTGAACAATACACATGATAACTGGGGTACCTGAAACACACACAGAGGGAGAAACAGCGTGGTCAGCACAGGGTAAAATTATCCTTTTTAAAAGTCCTGCACTAAAGGAGAAACATCACCTGCTCATTTATGATGATTGCTGTTTCATTTCAATAAACTTCAATGTTTGTGGCATGTTAACTGTGAGAGATTCTATTAAAAAAGTGCAGACTTAGAAGTCATCATACAAGCTTTAAAAAGAGCTTCAATTTGCAGCATGTGGAGGGTTTAAAGCAAAGATTAGCAGTCCAAAGGAAAAGTTTGCTGTCGCAGTCATGGTCTTTGAAATCAGAGAGGCTGCTTGATCATCCTGTCTTTAGGGGAGGCATCTGATATGAGCTGCTTGGACATGGACAGACTGCAAAAACACTGAGTGTGGGAGGCTGGAAGTGCATGAGGCTTCACAAACAGATACAGAAACGGAGTAGGAGCCATGAAAGTAGAAAGACAGAAGCAGAGAGTGAACAGTCACCTGTAAATGACCAGCTTTAACTCAACCTTCTCTTGTTTCTGCTGGAGGCAAACAGCATTTTTTTTTTAATCAGTCTTCAAGTCGCTCTCTGTTCTTTCATTGCTTGAACTCTTTCGGGTTCTCAGAGTCAATCTCCTGTCAACACAGCTTACCTGTACCTGCATGTGTTTTCCATACATTTGCATATGTAGCCCCAGTGTTCCTGACCTGTCAATCAAATATGTTTAGGTACTTCAAAGGATGTTCATAATGCATCACTGCTCTCAACCTGAATCACACCCTACATTATCACTGCTGCACAACAGAGCTGCTGCAACTGCAAGAGCAGCCTGTAAATACAATTTACTGTGCATGTAAAAACTAAATACAATTAGAGGATAAGTAGACGGGGATCAGAGAGTACAGGAGGAGAGGGAGTTAGGAACACAGGGCAATTTAGACACAGCAGAGAGAGAAATGTCCTCTATCGGTGACCTTATCAGCTGAAACCAGGTGGGGAATGAAGCGAGTGAAGCTGAACTGAGCAGAGTTTTGTCTGAACTCGTCCTCCGCTGCTAACAGGGTTTTTCCGTGACTCCCTTACACACTAAGTCAACACTTAACTTCGACAAACGCTCACAAGTAGGTCAGCTAAAGAGCTGATAGACTAACCTGTCACACAGATCGAGTTAAACTGGAAAGAGGTAGAGTCAAACAAAAACATTCTCACACAGTTCAAAAGAGAACTGGAGGGAAAGAGAACTGGGCCATAGTGTTCATTGAAAAAAAAGAATTTAAACCTTAAAGACAAAAACATCTTACACCCTTCTCTAGCAGTAATCCCGACTTACTTTCCTTATGACTTTTTCTAAAGTTACAGACTAAAATAGCTTAAAGAATAACATGATCACAGTCACGATTGTCTCTAACGGGATTTGACTGAAAATCTGATCAAACCGTTTACAGAAACAACCTAATAGAAGGTCAAAAGAAGTGATAAAATTCTTAAACACATTATGTAATTTAAAGTAACCGAGAACAGAACACTGTTTTATCAAATTAGGGATTATCTAATAATGCAACGACCTTTCAGCTGTTTTATGTGGTTTAATGTGAAGAGGTGACGCCTGGAGTATGCAGCTCCTGAGGGTTATGAAACAATGTGATCCTGCTCTTTGGGCAGAACTGTAAGAGTATGATATGCTGACTGGGAACCTTACTGCTGTTGAAGTTTTGTTCAAGGTTTTAATGAAAGTCTTCAGGATATCACTGCTGAAAATAGGGTCGGGCGATACGGCCTCAAATCAATATCATGATCTTTTGAGCAGTTCACCTGGATAACAGTAAATAGACGATAACTACTCCACAAGCTGCTCACTCCCTCCCACATTAACTTCGTCTACTTCAGCTGCTGCTTCAGCTGCTACAACTTTTGAACCGTCCTCCATCTCCTCACCTGTCTTTCCTTCTTTGTTACGGACTGGATGGGGCGGAGTCACATCTCTGACATAGAACAGGGTCTTAAAGGGACATGAGACCATAGCCTACCTAGACACATCCAAAACCAATTTTTATTTATTTATTTATTTGATACCTAATATACCGATATGGGCAAAATGATGTTGGTTATTGTCTTAAATTTCAGTATCTGTAAAATTTTGGTTTATCACCCAGCCCTAGCTGATAGGGTCTTATTTTGACTTTGATTCGAATCATTTATATCAGGAATGCAAAGAGGCAGTCGCCACTTAGACAAACACTGTTTTAATACCTCGGTCACGCCTTTATACGAGCTGTAATAAAAGAAAGCACAGGTCCTGACTCCTGGTGTGAAAATACATGAAATAAGTTAACTCAGTCATACCACCACATGACATCACATGTGAGACTGAGGAGGCACAAAGACTAGGAGCTCAATTTCAGGGATCATATGATGCTAAAACTGAAGCGGTCAGATATCAGTGGACACATGGACAGTCGTGTTAGCACCTTGTCAGTCCAGCTGTCAGCACACATGCGCTCACAAACACGCGCGCGCGCACACACACACACACACACACACACACACACACACACACACACACACACACACACACGCACACCTGTGCACGTCAGTGTCCTGTCACTCAGAGAGCTGCTCCATCTGTACTCTGTTCATTTATGATGATGGGATGATGAAATGAACGATGACAAGAGCAATAAGCTGAAATCAAATGCAGCAGCTAACGCCAGTGATTGCACATGACGCCCAAGAGGAGGACAATAAAACTGCAGTTCCTTGAGTGTCCACTTGGGGCTGTCCTTAAAGTTTCAAATTCAGCCCTTTTTTAAAAGGCCAGTTTATACAGCAGACATAAACATGTTTCCGATTGTGGAGCATGTATCTATTTTTCATGCTGTGAGCCAACATAGTATTGGGGGCATCTTAAATCCTCCCTAATTCTGCTGAGTTACAAATTCAAAACATGGACCATAGGAGACAGGCGACTAAAACATAAAAAAATGGCAGCTACAAATTCAATACCATCTACCAACCCTTTTGCATCCAGGAGCATTTCGCCCTCAAAGCGGCAAAGACAGAGAGGGGTGAAGAGGACCTGACTTATTTGTGCGAGGAAAACAGTTGGGGTTACAGCCGCATTTGCAAACCTTGACTACAGCAGTTTAGAGTCCAACAAGGTGAGACTGGACCCTGAGGCCAAGGGGGAAACATCCATGTTTTCTCAAGTTTGTATCGTCTTGGTCATAAAATAAACTCTTAAATATCATTTGAAGAACTGGGGAATAATTTGCCCTACTTCCTGAGAGCCAGCTGACTACATGACCTCCATCCTCGTTGTTTTGAATCTCAGCAGCTGATGAAATTGTACACATGCTCGTATACATGTATTAACACCTCAGTGTATACACTGTCCCTTAAAGGTCTGAGAGACCCACAGACTCAAGAGAGGGAAACCTGAGAGCCGAGCAGTGATGTTAATATGAACCACAGGCCAACATAGGCTAAACGCTAAACTTAGCTTTCTATAGCTTCAAACTATGTTGTAAGACGTTTTAAATGTCTCCTTGAGTCCTACCGTTACCGCGAAGACATACATACTGAGGAGACATTAAACTTTAGGGTCAGTCTGAAGTCAAATGTAGGTCAGACATAAATCTTCTCTGACTCTGGAAGGAAGCAGCTTCAAGCTCCTCTGACACAACTTACACCAACCACTATTTTTGACAGTTAAATATACATTTATTACACTTCCTGACTACCCAGACAGTCTGTATGTGCGCCCATGCAGAAAGGGTGGCGTGGGGGTGGGGGGTTCAACAGTTCAACAGAACTCTAAGTCTCTATGGGAAATTTCTTTTTGTAAAGTTAAGTTCTATCTAAAGAAAATAATCTACAGATTTTAGCTCAACTTACTCTATATACTATGTAGTTAAGTTTCCTTTGCTAAAGAAACAAACTGAACCCTCTAAAATATGGAGGAACACAACATTGATACAGCAATATACTGTCAGCCTGACAGAAGCAAGACAGTAACTATTGGCATATACTATGGTGATCTTTTAAAAGTAAAATACAGATTCTTCTGGTTTGACTTAAGCGTCACAGTTACATAACTCCTCATAAAGGCAGTGATACTATATCTTACAATACTATTTTAGTTTAAACCTTATATATAGTTTTTAATCTATGATCTATGTTGATTAAAGTATAGTACAGTCCAGTATAGTATGGGATGAAACAGTATAGTACAGTACAGTATAGTGCGATATAGTATGGTACAGTACGATATAGTAAAGTACAGTATAATATGGTATAATACAGGACAGTACAGTATAGTATGGGATGGGATAGTACAGTACAGTACAGTATAGTATTGTACAGTATAGGATGGCATAGTACAGTAAAGTACAATCTAGTATGAGATAGGACAGCACAGTATATTACATTACTGTACTGTACTGTACTGTATAGTATAGGATAGTACAGTACAGTTTTGTATGGAATGGGATAATACAGTACAGTATAGTATAGGATAGGATAGTACAGTATATTACAGTACAGTACTGTACTATACAACACAGTACCATATCGTATAGTATAGTATAGTACAGTACAGTATAGTATGGGATTTATGGTATAGTATAGTATAGTACAGTACAGTATAGTATGAGATATTACAGTATAGTATTGGATGATATTGTGTCATATCATATCCTATGTAACCCTGAACTCCTCCCTTTTTTTCTAGAGTACAGCTACTGCACCTGAGCTGCTTATCGACAACACCTGAATTGTGCGGCCCCCTTTTTCTTTTGGCAGAGCTTTGCAGGCCCGAGTTACTTCCAGGAAATCATCACTTGTGTGGACCTCTGTTAAGTTTCTGAGTGATCCTTTTACATGAAGCTCTTAGAGGGATGTTGGTCTCTTTGCACAGGATGCCACAAAGCCTCAGAAATGCTTCATGAATTTCCCAAAAGGCTCACATGATCAGGTCTAGTTTCAAGACACTGCTAATTACAGGAAGCTTATATCACCTTCTCTTTACTCCTGAATGTTTTGTGAAACATTGTTAAACAAATCAGGGCTGTTTCATTGCCCAACATAATCCATTCCATTTGATTTAACAAACTTACATAAAACTCATCAGTTCTTTAAGGTTCAAGGTTGTTGTTGTTTAAAAGTCAAACTGAATGTTCCCAAACTCTGCTTATCCTCTTATTGTAAAGGTCCTTTAAAAGCCCAGGGAAGTGAACTCCGGAGTCAATACATATGTAAACTAATGACAAATGCTAAAGAGCAGCTTTTAGTGGACACGTCACAGGACTAACAGTCCTGTTTAAACTTCCTGATTATTGATGCAAATTTGACATCCGCTATCTGACTCACTAAACTAATGTTTAACAGCAGCCTGCCAACTCACAGAGAGCTGTCCGATTTGTTGATATTCAAACAAGGAGAATAAAACATGGCCAGCAACACAGTTTAGATCCTGGTTTCTAATGATAGGATTCAAATGTAGGATAAGGATTTGGTCACCCTCAAACACAGCTCTGCAGCAGCCTTAAGTTTGGTAGAAACCCTGATCTGTGCTGGAGTCAGAGGTGACACAAAAACAACAGAAACAAGTTCAACAGAACTGGAAAATCCTCCTGCTTCCCTGGAAGGTGACTGTTTGTCTTCTGTGAGATCTTATGCAAATAAAAAACACAGAATTGACACAGAAAAGAACTATCCCTTGCCGAAGGACGCTCATATTTCAAGCAGTGGCCACAGAAACCCTGAATGTAGGGGTCAAAGTACTTTTCTGTGTCAATCAAAGTCAGACTAAAAAGATCATTTAATGCAAAGAGCAAATGATAAGCTGAGCGATGTACAGGAAAACCACTGGGGTGTTTGAGACTCATTTACTTGACTACCCTGATCTGACATGAAACGTCACCAGGTCCATGTGTCAGGGTCAGCTGTAGTGTTGGCAGAAATCAATGGCACAGAAAACATTCTGAATTTTTATCTCTTATTTTCTTCACAAAACAGAAAAAGAGTACACTGTGTCCAGATGCTGCTGCTAATGTGTGTGTCCTATTTCTGCATAAACGCAGGAGCAGCTGGAGCTCTCCAAGAGTGGAGCAAAAGCAGAGCGACACACGACAGCTACAAACACTGCATCTACTAGGGGTTGGAATCACCAGTGGCCCCACAATACGATATTGTCATAATACGATATTATTGCGATTTTAACATTTTGCAATACAGTGAGTATTGCGATACCATATATTGCAATTTATACAAAAATGTTCAACTGTTTAGTATTTGTCTTTGCTTTATGTTTGTCTTGTTTACACTGTATTTTATTTTCATGTAGCACATCTTGAAAACCGTTTAATGTATTTGTTGTACTAACTTTATCCTGCCCTATGATGTCACCTCTGCCAACCTCACTGGACAAACTGTTGATTTAATTTTTCCATTATCATAGATTTGACTTCATATTAGCATTTAATTTGTAATAAACGATATATCACCAGACAAAATATCACAATTCTACGCTGTATCGATTTTTTCTCCTACCCCTAGCGTCTACTTCCATCTCTTGAACTGAAGAGGCAGAAGGGAAGCAACAGGGTCAGCACAGCAGCAGGGGCAGAGTTTGGAGGAAGAGTCCACAATTATCCACACCTGTATGATAGCTTGTGGCTGTCTAGATCACTGACAAAAGATAATTTGAGGTTTATAGGCCACTGCTTAAAATAATGGAGAGGAGAAAAACTTTAAGATTGGAGGACAAGAGGAGGATGGAGGAGGCACAGGAAAGGCGGGAGGATGTGGAGGACAAACCGGTAAAGGGAACAGTAGAATTAAAACAAAAGTACGAAGGAAAAAGGAGAAAAAAGAAAGAGGGAACAGAAAGGAGGTGAGGAAATGATGAGGTAATGACAGGAAAGGAAGAAGAAGGGGAAGAGGAAAGGAGGTAAAAAGGTTCGAGGATGAGATGAGAATGAAGGAAGGAGGAGAGGGGGGAGGAACAGCACAGCAGAAGTAGGATTCAGGAAAAATGCGCTAAAAACAAAACAAAGAAAAGTAGGTTAAAATAAGAAACAGGATAATCCAGAGGGATGTCTAAACTGAAGTTACAGTTAAATCCAGGTGCTGCAGGGTAACTGTGTCAGACTGTGGAGTAAAGTCATAAATCTTTAGGTTAAAACCAGAATCACATTTTTTTAACTCCTTGGAGCGATTCAAAACCACGTCTACCCTGAATTGAAACCCACATAGGAGTGAAGCCCTTCCCCCCTGATCCCCTACACTCAGCGTGCTCTCTGTGAGCGAACAGAAGGACCTGAGTGTTGACATTTCTCTGAAGATGAAAAAAAAAGGAAGGCTGAGGAAAGCCGGGCCAACTTCTGAGGATCTGAGGGGGAGGTCTCTCTGGTTGACTTTTTCATTCATAGTGACGTATCAGAGGGAGGGGAAAACTTTAACCCACAAACGGAGAGAAATAAGGAATCCACTAAGAGAGAGAGGGTGTGCAGTGTGTGCTTCAAAGCAGGAATGTGTCAATGCTAAGCCAATGAAGGAAGAGCCTGAGGCAAGACTAATGAGTCAGCAGCCTGAAAGCACACTTCCTCATTCTGTCTCTATCCCTGAATCCTGACCCACTTCACTGATGCCAACCAGGGAGCTAAAACAAGACTACAGTATTTCATGTCCCTCCCATACGAGCAGATCAATCATTCATGCAAATACGTTATTATCAGCTTGTTTGGCGGCTGTTTCTGAAACATGATGTCGAACTGAAGGAGGCCGGGTTTTGCTCCAGGACACAGTTACACAATTACAACCTTTGAAACGGCTCTTTATGCTGCATCAGTGCCCTTCAGAGCACAGTATCGCCGTTTAAAGCAGCAAGAGCTTTGCATAGATGCACACAGACACGCTGTCCTGATATAAACCGTCCCCCTGCAGGCTCCAAAGCCAAATCCCTGAGCCCAGATATTTCCTGTTGGCTTTGGGTCCATTCAGAACCAGGAGACGAGGAACAAGTCAGCTGGACTGGACTGAACTGACTGACTGAGCAGACACAGAGCAGATGAAACTGCAGAGACAACAATCTGAGGACGGGCTGATTCGCTCACAGAGAGGCAGGAATGATATTTACTTCAGTCCTGCTCTGACATCCATTCCTCTGACTCTTGGCTGATTCTGAACAAAGATGGCCTCTCACACTCTCTCATCAGTCCTATAGCATGACACAGCAGCACCACACAGTCTTCAACACAGTCTTGGTCCAGAGCAGATTAGCTGCTGCTTCTCTCCCTCTCCCTCTTTTGCTTCTGGCCTAAATCTGAGGACAGCTGTCTGCTAACGATATTATCTCACATACTCAGCCTCTAACTAACCAGCGGCGTGAGATGGACACTAAATCCTCACTCTTCTTAAGTGTATTAGACGGAAAAAACATGTCAGCGTCCAGAGTAAAAAGTGAACACACTTAAAATAGGTCAAAAACTTTTGCAGAGTGAATTCAGCTGCTTTCTTTTGGAATGTAAAATCCAGTTATACTCCCATGGGACAATTACTTAAGTCATCAGAAAAACTGAAAAAAAAAAAGGTTTTCTAACAGCATGAAAGCGGCTGGCTTAAGCATGTTACAGCTGGATGTGATGCTGACTCTTAGACCATGAAAAGCCAAGTGTATGTCATAATATGATATGATGTTATGTAGCAGAGGTAACTCAGGCCTGGTTAAGCCTGGAGCAATGTGAGAGCAGAGCAGTGGAGGACTGAGAAAGAAGGCCAATCATGCTCTAACATGACACAGGGCAAGTGGGCCAAGTGTGATTGTACCACTTATAGACTACAACTCTGCATCAGCACCAGAACAAAGTTCTGCTATCACCAGACCTTTGTACTTTAACATTGCACCCCAAAATGACATCCTGATGTCCCTGTGTGTGACTGCACGTTACATTACATTACATTACAACAGCTCGTAAACCCACAGTGGGAGCTCCACTTAGACATGAATGTACATACTGTTCTACTCTGCGCTGATGGCTCCAACGATACTCATCCCCGCCTTCTTCCCCTCATTTCACCTCTGCTTCTACCTCAGAGGGAGGATCTTGAAGGCATGACAGGGGAATAAATATCCAGCCCTGAAATCACAGTATGTGACCTCCTCTCTCTCTCTTTCCTTCTGTCCTATCAGAAGGCTTCATTCAGGGGCTACGAGCTAAGCTGGCGTGAACTTCTGATCAGCTCTTTTTAAGGTTATTTAAAGGCTGAAAAAAACCCTTATGCAAATAAAAAAGTCAAATTTGAAACACCCAGTCATCTGGCAGACAGCTGGCAAGCTCTCTGAAAAGACTCTGAAAACTGGAGCTTCACTTGAAATACAAAAAAAAAGGAACCAAGAGCTGAAAACTCCTGTTGAACAGCTAAATGTGACTCCACACAGAGATTTCTGAGTAGACACAGCCTTTGCGACAAGAAGATTAACAAGACAACGAATGTATGCTGATGTGTTCAATGGAATCAAAAGTTAGGAGCCAACAAATCTGAAATTTCCTGCTCTGCAAGTCCGTCTCAGTGACAGTGACACTTTCAAGAGTGAAGTAACACAGTCAGAGAATAAACTTGAGTCTAGTGCCTTGCGATTTATTTTATTACAGACGTCCCACCATATTGGAAAAGCTGACACCAACTTCCAGATCCAAAAAAAAGAAATAAATCGTGGAAATAAGTTCCCCTTAAAGCTGCTGTTGTGGACACACAGCATTAACTAACACACTGAAGTGATGGATTATTCATGTCTAAAGAGTCTTCTTGATTATGCATTCATCGGGGTGTGTTAACAGATAGTGTGTCTGTCTTGAGGCAGAGGAGAAGGAGAGTCTCATGATGTTTTCCTCTTATAGTTCAGATGATTTCTGAAACACAGTGAGCCGTGCAGAGAGAGAGAGAGAAGAGAGGACTCGTGAAGAGCTGCAGCATGATGATGTAAAAACTTCATCCAAGCCCTCCCTTAAACCGACCTGCCAGCTCACCAGCAGTCTGATCACATGCTTCCCCGGAGCAAACACACAAATGTACACACAATACACACACACACACACACACAGAGGCAATAAAAGGCCAAATAAATCCAGCTGTTTCCTCACAAAGCACCTCCTCCTGAAGTAAATATCCTCATTCTTCCAACACATGGCCGTCAGAATCAGAGGACGGGGAAAAAGAGAAAGCACACAGGCAGAGGTGCATTCTGGGACAGGGAGATGTGCCAATGATTGCCACCGAAAAGTAGGCCAGGCAGACAAAAACATGGCATCACTGTTTGGATGAAAAGGGGGCGGGGCCGGCAGCCTGAGAGGCGGGAGCGTGTTTGCGTGTTCAGGGTGTGCGAGCGTTCCAGTTTCCCTCCACATCAGGAATAATGCAGAGCAGCAGCGTTTCCTAAAGCCTGCTGATCCCCCATAATCCTCTGCACCGATGCATCCTGGAGCTGAAGTGGGAACAGCTCATACTCTCTCTCTCACACACAAATCACTGATTAGGACACTATCTGCATCTCTGCATTTAGCTCTGGTACCCAAAGGTGTCACGGATGACTGTAAGGTGAAGTTTCTTCTATTACCACAGAAGGAAGTCAACAAGGAGTGTTTTGTTACATTTCAATCCAGTTTTCCACCCTCACCTCCAGCATCATTTTCCACTCAGGGAGAAACTGTGGCTCTGTTTTCCTCCTCCTGTGAACTCTTGAAGCCACAGGTTTTCTTGGAAGCAGGCTCTGAGGTCTGCATGAAATTCAAATAACTGAAATAACTGTACTCTCAGTTACTGGAAGATGAAAACAGAGTCAGACAAGTTCAGATGCTCGGCTCTTTGATACACATTTGGCATTTCATTTTCAATTTTTCATGTCATTTGGACAGAACAGCAACAAGTCTGCAAAAGCGAAGACGAGATATTTTTAAAGCAGCTTCTTTACTCTTCATCAAGCTGGTGTATCATAACTATTCGAAAGGCTGCAGGTAACTCTTCTTTTTGTAATTTATTACAAAAATAAAGACTAACTGCATATTTTGTCCTGTGGAAGTTTGTCTAAAAGTCTTGAAATGTGTTAAAAATGAGAAACATGGTCTCACTTAGGGCTGGGCGATATGGCGTCAAATCAATATCACGATATATATTGAGCAGTTTACCTCAATAACGATAAATGGATGATAACTACTCAACAAGCTGCTCACCCCCTCCCACATTAATGTCGTCTACTTCAGCCGCTACAATTTTTGGACCGTCTTCCATCTCCTCAACTGTCTTTCCCTCTTTGTTACAGACTGGATGGGGTGGAGTCACGTCTCTGACATAGGACAGTGTCTTCAAAGGACATGAGACCATGTGTGTAGGTATACACACATCCAAAACCAACTTTTATTTATTCAACACCTAATATACCGATATGGGCAAAATGACATCAGTTATTGTCGTAAATTTCGTTATCAGTAAATTTTTGGTTTATAGCCCAGCCCTAGTCTCACAGAACCAAAAGTGACAAAAAGACTTTGTTTATTGTCACAACTCAAAAAAGGAAAACCTTCAATCTTCACATTTAAGGAGCTGAAAGAATAAAAAGTTAAGATACATTTGCTATATAACGTACTCATTTAAAATCAACGCAGCCTGCGTTGAGATTTCTTTTGATCTTGAATACATTGACTGATTTAGGGTTGTATCTTAGTTTTAAATTCATCACTGCACTCTGATGTAGTTGCACATGATGCAAACAAATAAAAATCCCAGAGGCTGCAAAGCTGCCTAAATTTTAAAGACACTACGCAAAGAACACTTAAGAACGGATATCCATGTTGTCCATCCTGCACTTTTAGGCACATCGACCACAGACCCTCTGCAGGAGTAATGCTTGATGTATCTGCAGTAGCATTATGCAGCGTTCAGTGTGAGTGGTAGTCAGAGTGTGAGTGGTGGGCTCATTTCCACTAAGTGCTGTAATGGTTTCTGCTGAGTCGCTGTATTGGAGGAATGGAAGTGTAACCCACTTACTTTATCCCCTCCAAAGAGTTACGACCCGGGCTGGTTACTGGCACCAGGATCTGGGTCTGTCGTTATGTCAGAAGAGGAAATCTGTCCTGACTGACCCAAAACTCTCAGAATGAGGCTCTTTGGGTACAAATTTGGCTAAGGAGTAAAAGATCTTGTGCCCTCAATCTTTTCTTGAATGTAGGTGAGCTGCAGAGCCGCAGAGCTGTCCTCAAAAATAAGCGAGTAAAAGGACAAAATTACACAGTCAGTGAAATAACTCATGACATCATTCTTTGTTTGTGCAAAACTGTGCAGGAAATAGAAAGTCTGCTGACAATCTGATTATCAAAGCTGCAGGTTAAGTCATGAGCTGCAGTTGCATATTAGGAGCACTCTGATTTGTAGGGGTGCACAATGTAAGATAATGGCTCAAAAAGTTAATTATAATAACAACAGACATTAAAATGTGTGCAGATCTAAATATGCATTAGTGATGTATTAGCTTTGTGCATGCAATCACAGCTCATGTGTGCTAGCATGTATCTGTGGAGACTATACAGCAGGGACTCTCCTTAATGCTGAAATATGACTCAGATCAGACCACTATTTTCTGATCAAGGTTTATGCATGAAGCGTTTTCCTTAGGGCTGCAACGATTAGCTGACGTAATCAATTACATGTACTACAAAAATTTGGCAACACGAAAATTTATGCTTGGACACATCATGTTTGTATTGTAGTTGTAAATCACACGCAAGCTGTTTTATGCTCATCCGTAACTGCAGTGCACTTCAGGAAGTGCTGGGGGCACTATCGGTCGCTGTTTACAACCCGCAAAGAAACAGGGAAGAAGACCACACATATTCGGGTGTTACAAACAGGCCAAGAGGCTTGAAAACTTCGACTCAAAGTTTCCAAAGTATGACAACATTTCAAACTGTACAATCACCTTAAACACACACAACCCGGAGCCGCTGTATCACCACGTACCGCAGAGAGATGAGTTCACAAATTACGTTGATACCTCGTAAATATTTTTTTATTACATGCTGATTTGCTTATTAACCATCAGCTCATGATGCAAGTACATAATACATTTGTGTTGTACGTGTATCAATCAGAAATCATGGAAGAAGCTTGCTTAGCTGACGCTACTTCACTTCTGTTGATGTGTATTTTACAGCAGTAATCAGTGAATTACAGGCGCAGCTGCTTCGAAATACTTAATTCAGCCCCTGTCAATACTCGCGTTTATAATGGTGTAAAGATTTAAGCAACAGATGTCAAAAATTGGTGCTAAAAAAGATAATCGTGATTAATTGAAAAAATAATCAATAGAATAGTTAACTAGTTGATTATAGCCCTAGTTTTTAGTAGTGTAAAATCTAAATGTAGCAGGTATTAGAAAGATAGAATTTCTTTTTAGTACTCAGTACTTTTCATACTCTTTCTTAAATTAAATGAACCCAATTCAAGGTTTTTAGAAATTTGAAGATGTTTATGGCTGTGTGAAAAAACAGCAGGAGACAGCGTGCAAACTCAAAACATATCTATAATCATCTGGACGTGAATAAATAAGTGGTTATTTATAATATAGCTCTGTTCATACAGTGGCTGATTAAAGGCCTTCAGACTCAAGTCCAGGTTGTGTTCATGTGAACTCACTTTGTGGCTCTGCCTCTCATTATTCCTGTAAAATGTCAAGCTAACAAACACTCTGGCCCAGGCCCAGCAGCTCCTGCTGAACGACATTCATTTCTTCATTAAGCCTCGAACTAATCTAATACAAGAAAAGGTCACATAGTATAACAGCCCGCGAGAGGTTCAGCTATTCACAGTCTGTTTGTCTTCCTGCTTTCTAAAAAGTTTTTCGATGACATAGGATCTGTGACACACACGGAAATATGTGGAAAAAAACAGGATGTAAAGTCAGTTGACACACCTTCAGAAAATGTGAGTGAGCAGGTACTAACTTCGCTGAGTCATCTCTTGAAATGTTATAATTTTTACGAACGGGCCAACAGTTCACATCATCCACCATAACTTCAACAAGAGCCATGACGTCTGTCGACAAATCCCTGAGGCAACACATCAGGAGGAGCCACTTTGATACAGATCCTCCTGAAATACCTGGGATGCATTTAGACAGATGTGATCAGGTACCAGCATGTGCTCCAGTTGATGCATCACCCAACGGATACCGTGATTTATTGGCCTTCAATGACATCAACCTGTCACTGGAAATTATTGATTCTTCACTGCCTAAAAACAGCAGCATGGAGGTGTTAGTGCTGCACCTGTAGCTACACTTTTAGAGCAGTGAAGAAGAAATAACTTCAGTTATCACTCAATGATAAAAAGCAACAACAACACAGTTCTTATAGAATTATACTGAATAAAACTGATTCTTGATTTTCTTTTTCTACTCTTTTTTTGTTTTGTTTTGTTTTTGTTGAAAGTTTGTACAATCTTATTAGGGGTGTCCCGATACAACTTTTTACTTCCGATACAATAACGATAATGTAGCCTTCAGTATTGGCCTATACTGATAATGATCCGATATTAGCACAAACTTGTGCATGACAAGTTGTTCACTCAGCTGCAACATCTTTTTCGGACTTAAACAAAAATTACTGTCACACGGCCGACATCACTCCTACTCCTTGCTACTTTGTTAGTAAGTTAGTACACACTATTGTTGTTATCAAATTGTCTCTACATGCTGGATCCAGGGGCTGCTAGATAGAGGTGCCGGAGTGAAGTCTGGAAGGAGTGAGATTTTAGATACCGGCCGATATAATTGATATTCGAATTTTTGCTGATATTGGACCAATATCCGAAAGCTGATATCAATATCGTATCGGGACACCCCTACCTGCATTGCTGTTCTTTTCACCATGAGTACCTCATCCTCCAGAGGTGCTGGAGTGGAGTCTGGTATAGACTGCTTGTATTGAGTGCTCATATCAGGAGGTTTTAGATGCAGGCAGATATAACCTGGTATTTGTTTTTCTGCTGATAGCGGACCGATATCTGATATTAATATCGTATCTGGAATCCCTAAATCTTATAATACATAACAATAATAACTATATTTACTGAGGTTTTCTTGTATTTCAAGGAATGTTTTTATATCAAGTGAAGTGTTTTAACATTTCACAACAGTTGACCTGGGCAACTGTATATTCAGGTTGATGCAGCGACATGTTAAATCAATATTTTATTGTTTATTTGAAAAACTGATTTTAAAAAGAAACTAATTTCCTGGTTTGGCTCCACCTATGATAATTATAATCCTTGCTCTGATATGAATAACATGAGAGGAAAGGTATAAAATGCACGCACACTAAGGCTGCACACCTGATCAAACTTCCCTGTTATCAAAAAACACACCCAAAGAGTGAATCCATCCCAGTAAATAAACGTGTGATTTTGTTGACACAGTCAGGTCTTGATCACTCCGTGTAAACGTCACATGGCAGATTTATCTGGAGGATTTAGAGGAGGTATGTATGAGCAGCAGCAGTACAATCAAATGGGAATCAGAGACGCTTGGGAACTCAACATCAGGAGGACGAGTCGGGGACAATAGGACTGGAGGATGCAGCCATGTGACATAATGTAATTTGATAGGAAAAGCCATTTAGCCGGTGTGGGTTAGCATGGGCGGGAGAGGATGCGACAATACATGTGCATTCTTGGAGAGCATGTATGCATGAGCAGACACAGCAGGAGTAGAAAAACTCATCAAACATTCACCTCAGGACAGGGTGTGCTGGCAGGAGCAGCAGTGTGGTCAAACATTTACATCTGATGTATACATTCACGCACAAACAGCCGGGACACAGGTTGTTTTTAACTTAAAACAACAGGAAACAGCTCTTTGATATGAGGAACAACTACAATCAGGCTGAGGAATCTGCATATTCAGCAAATCAGAGACAATAAAGCCGTTGTTTGGATTCTGATGTGGGCGACAAATCTGTTTATTCTGCCTGTGAAATCAAAAGAAAAGTGATTTGACTTCATCAGATGGTTTAAGCAAAGCACATTTGATGGGGCTGGTTTGTCTTTTTATGTGAGCTGAAGCAAAGCATGCCCTCATTAGCTTTAGTACACAATGTTCTTCAGCAGCTCTGCATATGTGTGAGTGTTAGAGTATGTGTGTGCGTGTGTGTGTGTGTCAGCTGTGGACGCGACACCCCTCTCTGTACGTTGCCCTCATCAGGTAGTTTAAAGGACAAACATACTTAAACAGACTCACGTTTTCTGCACACAAGACCGAACCCTTAACAGAGAGGAAGGGAGGAAAAGACCCCCACACGCTGTCTAAGCATGACCGCTGCAAAAAGTAAAGAGCAGCCAGGCAGAGAGGGGGAGGGGAAGAAACCAGAGAAATTCAGGAAGAAGAAAACACTGCTTTTCTCTCTGAGGGCTGGAAAAACCAAAGAAGACTATGAATTAGGAGTCAAAAGTGTTTAAAACTCCAGACTGAAATACCCTGTACTCCTGAGAGAGATGTTTGGAGATGACTTAAAGCAAGACGAGTTTGAACATGTGATATCTTTAATTGTTAGAGCAACATAAAAGCATCTATTCAAAACCTGATAACCAACTCGCCTCATTGATTCCACTGAAAATAAAACCACAAAATAAAGTTCAAAGTGAACTCTCTGTTGTCAAAGTAATCAAATCAATCATCTCGCCCCCTTTAATGCTCCCTCCTCAAACATTTTAGACACTGGGTGATTGTTCTAATGCAAGTCTACACGTTTACCTTTCTCCACCCCTCCGAGTCTTTTTCACTCTCACAGTAAACACGGAGTATTTCCATTCAAACCACCGACAGCCTGGGGCTGCTGGCCTGCCTTCAACTCTCACAGCAGGTCTACCTTTTCCAAGAACCTGATTATATGAGCAACAGGATCCTGTAAACGAGTTCCTGCTCATGCTGCAAAGCAAAGATAAAGTGATACCAGCGAGCCAAGCTTTCTGATCATACACATCACCATCTGTTGATTTAAGGCTCTGTCATTAAATAATACTGCGGGGGTGGATACAGGTTCAGTTACATAAAACTCTCTAATGTGACGCAGCTTTTCAAGATGATGAACGGGCAAACTTTGAGAGTTAGTGAGAAAGTTTTTTTTTTTTCAATAAAACAGCAACCACTTTAACTTAATCAAACCGAACAAATCCGATCATCAGTGTCTAGATGTTACAAAAAAAGTTCATACTGAATTTGGAAGCATCTTAGCTCTTCACCTGGAGAACCCTTTAGGGATGCACCAATGTATCAGAGAAAAAGCAGTGTTGGCAAATAGCACCACTCTTATAGGGACAGCTTATTTTCAACATACACAGCAGGGATTCCAGAGACAAGAGGTTGGGAACGAGGTTTTCTCTATCTCAACACTTGGACAAAACAAAGAAATTGATGATGAAAACTATCTAAAATAAACATGCACCGATCAATCAGTGCCGATTTCCTTTATTTTGGGAGATCAGCGATCGGCCGATCCTTTCATATGAAACTGATATTATCTATCGCCGCAAAGGTCTGAAAGTCAGCCATTGTAGCTTTTTGCTCTGCCGGATAGACAGGCCCGCCCACCAGGTCACATGTGCATGCAGCGTGCAACAGCTGCACAAGTAAACTACAGTCACCTGGAGTATGTTCAACCAAGTATGTCGTCTGTTTGACAGTATTACACAGAAAAAGAGCAAACGTTCATGGTTTGTAATTTATGTAAGACCAAAATAAGATTAGAATATTGAAGGTGTATGCTGTCAGTTATAAAAAATTGGTATCCGACAAATTTGGTATCAGCAGATCAGGCTCTTTAAAGATCAGTGATTGGTAATCAGTGCACCCCTAATCTAAAATAACCAACTCTAAGTCTGAGCGCGAACAACAAGCACGCTACTGAGTCTGGCCTGATGCTCTTACATTAAACCAGAGCTGTCAGCCTGCAGAGTCGAACTCTGTCTGCTGAAACAACAGAAAGATTATCCCTCTGCTGCCAACAGGTTAGAAGTCACATTTCATCATTTATCTTATTGATGAGCTCTAAAGCAGCCGCTCTCTCTCACAGATGAAAGGAGGCAGTCTCATCTGCAGGACGCTTACACAATACAACTACCTGCAAATCCTGAACACATGCACAGATGCATCTGGTCCAAGTATGAAGTCATCCTTTTACAGTTTTATCATCATCATTATTACACAAACTAATTATAACATTATATAACCTCCCAAAAAATGCATGTGCTGAACCCAAAAATGACGTCTTCAAATGTTTTACCCTGTCAGTCAAACATGAAATCAGAGAAACTAAGCAACAACAAGCCTGAGTGCAGAAAATATTTCAATTTTTCTTTCATGATTGAATTACAGACTCCTAAGTGTTGAAGTACACGGCGTAATCTTCACCATGGGATTGTCGAACACTAAAGAAGGAAACATGACTCTATAGAACACCAGGGACGTCCTGATGATCTTTTCAGGGCCACGAACCCAAACAATTATCTTAATAAGGAAGTGGTCTTGTATGTTCTCATAAACTCCCCCTACATGGCTCTGGTGAGGCAGTGTCTGAAATGTATCATCAAGATGGCCGGATGCAGCAAAGAGTCAAAAGACAACAAAAACCTGCTTTCTCTACCACAAAGCAATAGATTCACAGGCTTTCTTTGTTATCTTTTCACCCTCTCCAGAACATTTATTTTTATTTCTAAAGTCCAGAGTTTGTTCCTTCAATGCAGCAGCCTTCACTCTGTTGCTTTCGAGCAGTGGTTCTCAAGTCCAGTCCTCAAGGCCCACTATCCTGCGTGTTCTGAATGTTTCCCTGCTCCAACACACCTGATTCAAATGATCAGCTCGTTATCAAGCTCTGTAATGGCTTAATAACGAGCTGATCATTTGAATCAGGTGTGTTGGAGCAGGGAAACTGCTCTAGTCAATGTGCAGTATTCTGTATCTGCATTTCTCTTTTAGATGTGGTTTCAAAGTGGTGGTACAGTACTGAATGTAGCTCTTCTTCTGCTACTGCCTCACAAAAGCCTCCTCTTGCATATACTGCAACTGTCTGTTGGTCTCTAGTTTAAAATATTTCCACAGCCCGGGGTTGCCGGTAATTGGTCGCTTGTACCTATGTGTTCAGCTGCAAATTGCACTCAGTTTACAACTGCAGGTCCCTTATCAGTTTAAAAGCCCAGTTTGGCTCTTATCCCATAGTCGTGATCAAGATCAGGACACCCCTACTCTAGAAAAAACACATCACACACTCCTACATGTTTGAGCATTCATCGTCTTTTCCATGAGATGCGTTAACACTAACAGAAAAGCATGATTGCGTCGAGCACAGGCAGACCACTCTGCTGTATCAGTTTTAGATATCTGCTTCTGCCTGTGAAGTTTGAGGAAATACGAAACACGCAAAGACACAGTTTGGTAATCTGACAGTTTCATGTGTGGTAGATGTTAAGATAAGAAGATGTTTCCTTCAGATATAACTTAAAGGCCCTGCATTTAGGAGAGTCCTGATACAACTTTTTAACCTCCGATACCGATATTGTACCCTTCAGTATTGTCCGATACCGATAATGATCCGATATTAGCACAAACATTTGCATGACAAGTTTTTCACTCAGGTGCAACGTCTTTTCGGACTTTAGACTCTGCATCCAGGTGCTGCTAGATAGAGGTGCCATAGTAGAATCTGGAATGGACTGCCTGTATCGAAGACTTTAGATACAGGCTGATATAATCTGATATTTGTTTTTTGGCTGATATCGAACCGTTATCCGATATAAATATCGTATCGGGACACCCCTACCTGCATTGCTGTTCTTTCCACCATGAGTTCCGGTGTTTTTACCACCAAGTGAGCTAAATAGAGAAGACGTGTGTTGTTTAAGATGAACAATAAGAGGAATCCTCCATTAAAATCTATTTTCACATTATAAAGAGCAGCAGAAACCCTCAACTTAACTGTCTTTTGAACACAGAGCTCATAAGAGGTAGACACGTTTGCAGTAAAAGACGACAGCCTCCTTGATTGACAGCACCACAAAGAAAGCGGCTTGATGTGTCGAAAAGCCTGCAGGTGCTGAACTGAAGGTAACGTCCACAGCCGGCAACATGGCCGACCCCTGAGGCAGGCTGTTTCTTTTATTTCACCTCCAGGTTCATGGCTGCCGAGGCCAAGAAAACACAGAGCTCTCTTTGTGTCTGATACCTTTCAGGGACAGTGAGTGTCCACTGGTGGGAAACACAAGCCTCATTATCACGATGCCATTTCACAGATCACCCCTCAAAATTTGTGGAAATCTTCAACACTGCCTGTCCCTGGAAATATCAGAGTTAAAGCTTGTTTTTATTCCAAACAACAGTACTTCAATCTTGCAGAACTTTTGCTTTGGTGTTGGCAGGAAAAAGTAAAGGGTAAAGTCTGGGTAATAATGTAGCCACTGCATGTGCAGGTCTCCATGAAAATCTGAGAAATTGTGCAAACGTGAATACAGCAAGTGGTAACAGACCCTCTGGACACTGATGCACAAGGGCAACACAACAAAGACTCACTTATGTAACAAGTGCCCCGAAAAAAGGAACTTTTACAACGTGAGAGAGCACAGTTATTTTAATGAGGGTCCTCCAGCTCCTCGTGTGCCCTTCAGCAAACTCCAGAGGACACAGTCAGTCAGAGGGAGAGTCCTGAAATATCTTCAGACCTTCACTAACTGTGTGAAAAGAGAGTAAACTTGAGTCTTTACTTGACTGAGTTCTGCTTACTCACGTGTTAACTATATAGCTTAAATGTTTGCATTGTGACACATACTCACAGAGGATTGCTCAACAACTGAGGCAATGAGTTGGGAAACCCTGACCCGGCACAGACAGCCCCTATAGACCAACATACCCTATAGATCCTCAAGGAAACAGGTTGGACAAGCAAAGTCCTGTGCTGCTCTCTCACTGGACTGATGTTAAAATACAAAGTTCAACCAACACCACAAAATCTAAAGCAGTGGAAACAGCAGCAGATCAGTCTATCACAGAAAAACACTCATCCAGACTAGGAGAACTGTCTCACACCTGCACTTACTCTAAGAACTTTGCCAGATTAGAACAAATTTACCATATCATAAACAAAACAAAAACAACATTAATAAACTGTCAAGGTAAGCCAACCCCATTTCCCAAAAGGTTGGGATGCAGTGTTGACAGTTTTCAAATCATTTAAAGCCTACGTTGCATTCAAAAGTGCAACATCTCCAACTAATGAGGTTAATTTACAACAGATTAGTAACATGACTGGGTATGAAAAGGACATTCAGAGAGACTAAAAGACCTGATAGTTCAATAGTTTCAGAATAATGTTCCTGAGTGTCAAAAACACTTCCAAAAACCATTGTCTGTGAACACAGTTCATCACTTCATCTACAAATGCAGATCGAATCCTTGCTATGGAGGAAACCAGATAGAAACATGATCCAGAAACACCAGAAACCTTTCTGGACCTGAGCCCATTTAAGATGGAGTGAGAGAAGGGGGAAACTGTCCTAATAATCTCACTTTTTTTTTTGGAAATGATGGACACTGCCTCATCCTCTCTAAAGAGTAGAGGGACCACTCGGCTTGTTTTCAGCTTTCAGCATCCCTGATGGTATAAGGATCATAAGTGTCCAAATCATGGGTCGCTTACACATCTGTGAAGACTCCATTAATGCTGAACAATATAAACAGTCCTGTGGTGACCAATCAAAATCTGACATCTTTTTGGAAGTTATGGACGCCATATCCTTTACTCTTACGACATAAGACATTGGAGGGTGCAGTCTTGTGCTTTAGGAAACACTCAAATATTTGTTGACCACTGATCAACCAATCACCTAGTTGATCAATTGATGATCATGGTTGCAGTCCAAGTGTCCACAGACTAAACTGAGTGTCCAGCTTGTCAACTGGCTGCTGTGTTATCTCATTAGTGCTTATCGTGTTACATAACAACTATCTTTAAACAGCTGTGAACAGAATCAGCCTAAGATACTGGGACAGAGTGAGCTGATGACAAGATGTCCAGATTTTTTTTTCTGCTGTATAAATTAAACTGGCGGAGAAATAGGGCAGATATCCAAAGATCGTTCAATAGTAAGTTCTGCAGTAAGAGCATTTAAAAACACTCTCAGCAGACATCGGGACGCTGAAATTAAGACCTAAATAAGGACTAAGAGTGGGTGTGTGTGTTAAACTATCATTACAGTGAAAAGTGCATGCTCAAATACACGTGCACAGTTTCTTCTGTGATCCTGGTGTAAACACCAAGCAGTGAGCTGAGCTGGCATACCGAACACACAGTAGGAGCCCTGTTGCACAACTCGCAGGATACACTCTGCTGTGTGTGAGCTCTGCAGCACGGAGATCTGTGCAGCTCCAGCAGTCTCTTAGTAAAATACAGAGACTTTTAATAAACAGAAACATGGAGTCTGCACCGGAAGTCCAAACATCAGCATGCAAGTAGCCCACGGTTATTAAAACCCCACGCAGCCTGAGCAGCAGCAGGCTGCCTCCTCACACAGAGCCCCTTTCTGCTGCTGGGAAACCTTCAGATTAGTGCGAGGACTGCATTCCCCGATTCTCTGCTCTCGTTGGGATGTGTGACAGTTTGCACGGAGGAGTGAGAAGTCGACAGCAGCACACTAAAAAGTGTTTGCATTAGTAATGAGGCCTGAGCCTGCTGATGTATGGTCATTAGTTAGTTAGAGGGACAGTGAAAATGTGCTGTGAGGTTTTTAAGAGAGTAAACAACACCTGACACTCAAGGCTGTGATGACAACAACTCGCTGCAGTAAAGGTTAATTTATTCATGTGTTAAAATATAACTTGATACTTCCCCGATTTTCTGTGCCTGACCATGAACATGTGGATACCTCAGTCTGCAGGAGACACAGAGCAGCAGCCTGTTCTCTGTTTGCCTGCTATAGGGACAGAAAGGTACGCTGAATCTTATCTCAGCCATACTCCCACTCTTAAGAAATAATCTTATCTATAAGAATGTGATCATTCCTCAGAAAAACAAAGGTTTAAGGGTCAAAAACACAATCAATCATAGTCAAACTCTACAATTCCATGATGAAGGCTCCTTTTTCTTTGACTATATCACTTAGAACCAGTTAGCATCTCTTTCCTGAACATGGATGGTGTTTAAGAACTACACCAGATTGTGCTCAGTTTCATTTATTAATGAGGGTGTTTCATAACCTCATACTTGAAACATGAGCACTAAGGAAGGAGGAAAAATACAGCAATGGCTCAGACTTTAATAACAACATATTTCAAGTATGAATGATAAGCCTATCATTTTATTGTAGATCGCAGAGTATAGGTAACACAGGTATGGGGATATGATTTCCTGGAATATACTCATGAAGGCAGTTATCAAGGCATTACATCTGGAGGATACAGTACTTGTTATTGAATGTACCAGATGTTATTTTCTTTGACTAAGAATCCTCCAAAGTGCAAATCTGCATATTTTTGAATGGTACCAGTTATTGTGAGTAAAAATATTGAGTCGCCTTCAGGGTAAAAAGATTAGAGGAGTAACTTCCAGCAGGACTGCCTGAGTGTTTATCTGCTCCTGCGTAACCAGTCTGGATAATGGTGGCATGTTTGCCGGTAGGTTAATCCCATTTCACAAACCCTGCATTTTGTTACCTGCTCCGTGCCACCCAGATTAAACAAATACATTTAATTTGTGTTAATCTACCAGATGTCACCCTGTGTGTGTGAGCACAGCGGAAAGTAACTGAACAGTATCACCGAGTGCAAGAATCACATTCCCCGTCTTGAATGGCATGGTCGCAACAAACACAACAGTGCTGGAGTTGCAGTTTGTTAATGACGATCCTGATACTGAAGCTTCTGGCTCTGCAGACACTTGATAATGTGTGCAACACAATCATCGAGATGCTGGGGCAAAAATAACATTTTAATTGAAGCATAATCTCTGAATTGACTTACAGCGTCACTACCTCATGCCTCCTCATGGTGGAGCTATTGACATTTGACCTGTGCTCCCGCCTTTTAGAGGCAATAGTAATCTCCACTTTATGAGATATTGTGATATATAAAGTGTTTGGCAATTTATCAGCTATCACACAATTGCTGTATTGTGCTGTAATTTTCGTAGGAAGCCATATATCAGGAATTATTCTGTATCCCTACAACTCACATATCTTATTCTGTTTACATTGTGCATTAACATAAGGGTTCACATTGAACACTATTGAATAGTTGTCTTTTTTTTATGATAAAATGTATATATATAAGCACTGATATTCATAAATGCAAGGGATTACCTGCTTGTCTGTGTTTACTATCATATTTCCACATGAGCCACTTTAGGTTAACATCTATTGCTCAGACTCAAAACACAATTTAAAGCTCCTATGAGAAGTTTTTTTCATGTTGATACAATAGAATGGAATTTATATCAATGCATTTTCATTATATACAAAAGCAAACAAGACTGACAGGCAGCAACTACTCTGACCATTTTAGATGTTCGTTTTTAATGTCGCAAACTAGTAATAAATGAATGAAATGTTCACGATTTGGCTATTAAAAGTGACAAAGAATGAGATTTTTAGTCAGCAGACATTTAAAGCATGGGCAAAAACTAACACAGGTAAAAGTAAAAGTTCCTCACAAGAGCCTCAAAGACATTAGTTTGGACTTGACTGTTTGACAGAATTTTTAAAATGATCCTGGACATATACATCGTGTCAAGGATGTTTTTGTAGAGCTGAGCGTAAGCAGCCCCCTCGAACAATGTGAAAAGACCTCCTATGCTTCAGGTTGGCTAGCTGCGCCGCTAATCAACAGCTGGCTAGCTAACCTACTAACCTACTAAAACCACTGAGCTCCCAGCTAAGACATTAACGAATAAAAAAGGCGTCGATATTCTTTTTTTAACGGCGACAGTTAAACCGAACATCTTATCTGGCGGCGAAGTTAACAAGCTGATAATATGTTAACTGGTTGGTAATGATAGCGGTGTGGCATGTCCCTTCATACTGATGACTGACGGAGATCATGCGGCAAAAAGACACAGAGCGAAGCCACAGACAGACAGAGCTCTTTACATTAGACAAGGTTTGGATGTTTGTATGTTTGCGGCTGTCTAACATGTTATCAAGGTTTGTGATGGATGTGTCAGGCTGAGCTTACCAGCACAGAAGAGCTGCGATGAGGCACACCAACAAAACGCGCAGCCTCTTCATTATCTTCCCGCGGGGACCAACATCCTCGCTCTTTGGGGTTTTTTCGGACCTCTCACGGCTGCTCTGTTCACCAGACACAGGCTGTCAGTGGGCTCTGAGCCTGCTGAGATAACAAACGAACAAACAAGCGACCTCTGTGGATAAAACCTACACCGGAGGTGTGCTAATTTTCATTGTGCGGATCGGTTGTCCGCCTCTTTTTCAGCTTTCCTATCCACTGGTGTTGACGGGTAGCTGCCTGTCGGTAAGTTCAACCCCTGCTCGGAATCCGACCAATCAAATACGACCAACGGATTTGTCAACCAATTGCAGGACGCGTAGTAACAGCGTGGGAGTCACAGACCCCTCCCCCCACCGAAAAGAGGATGAGCTGGTCGCCGTGGAGCAATACGCGTCACCTTTTATTTGATAAACCAATCACTAAAATACGCAACATTTACGAAGATTGCACAACACTGTGGAGAAAAAAGGCTAAACATTTAAAGAGACTTCCCTACTGACAAAACCTGTGCTACTGCAGAGCAACTGTGTGGAAATAATCTGATGAGGTGTGTGGTCGACTGTCTGAAAGAACACTGTGTACTTATACTACTAACAGCAAACACATTCACTTTAAACCAAAAACATGAATTTAAAAGCTACGGAGGCCCTGCTGTGAAATCATGGCATTGACAACAAATACATGTCACTTAATGACAAAAAAAATTTATGAGACATAAAAATATAGCAAGAAACAATCAAACACATGAATGGGAGAAACAAAACAGCCAATTTCTTAAAACCGACAATAAGTTCACAAAAGATGACAGTACTTCAGGCAACACCAGACATAAAAACTATTGTACACAATAAAAATGTCTCACAGGTTTTAAAAAAGGATTACTTTATCATATATTACTATTATATCCCTTCCTTCCATGATGATTTTATTTCCAATCATTTTTCTGGTGTTTTGTGGTTAGTCTGATTGTCTCATTAAATGGTCAGCTTTCTGATCTATTTGAATCATTTTTATTTCATACTCCTGCCTTTTGAAATATTTAAGCCAATGTGACAAACTTAGGAATTCTGGCATGGTTTTACATAAAACAATAATAATAAAATAACAAACACATTACATTTTGTGTTTAAAAACTTATGTACTATCTTTGCTTTTCATATAATATATTTGTGTTTAGATAAACAAATATTTGTGTGTTTCATGAAATGGTTTTTAATTGAAGCTCATTTTTAATGAAATTTAAAAAAAAAACGTGTGTCATGAAAGACCCACATTCTATGAAATCTTTGGGGGGCATAGCATTGATGTAAAATGCCTTCTGAGATTAAGGGTTTTTTGATTTTGATTTTAAATTATTTTGATTTTAAATGATTTTTTTAAAAGAAATGTTTTGTGTTTCATTTGTAGCTCAAAATGTAGCTTTTGGCATATTTGACCTTCAAAGCCACCCTACAAACAATTTCCTGCTGTAACATTTTTGGTTGAAAATTTATTTTTTATAATTCTAAGTGGCCTGTTTCACTCTCTGCTTCAATTATATAACAGACGGTTTCATTTAGTTTTAGGTCATTGGGCAGATCATGCAATATTAATGGAAATTCCATCTATCATCAAAATGACAATTACAATCAGAAACCAACATGTTGTGAAGCTGGACCATAGAGAAGGGGAGAGTGGGGTAAGATGAGCCATTTTTCAAAATTCGGATCACTACATCAAGGCGATCATAGTTTTGTCTCTAGTGTATCTGCATATATTTCAAGATGTTGTGCATCACTGCAAACCAACAGAATGAGTGTAAACATAACTGTCTTGATAATATCCCATGCCAAAAAAAACTGGTCTCCTATGGTCAGTTTACCCCATGTATGTGGTAAGTTGACCATAGGAGTTGACCCCCCCCTTAGGCTAGGTTTTTGACCTCATGTTGTAGCTCATAGATACCACAATTGACGTATAAAACAAAACAAATTTTAAATTATCTTTTTTTTGGTCTGAACACAAATATAATCAAACTTTTGACAGACTAAATTCACCTTCAAGAGCAAAAAAAATATATATTTTTTTAAATAAATGTCTAACCCCTTCTCAGACTCCATGAATTGATGCCCATGTCCTAAATATTTGGTAACATGACCAATTTCTTTTACCATTTCTAAGCAACAGGGGGTGGCTCAACCTACCCCACTCTCCCCTACAGTCTATGAGGTGGACACTGTATAAAAAAGGCACAAGAGTTGTACCCACTCTTAAAAATGCCACTTCATCATGTGTAAATCTCCCATTTTGCCTTCAGGTTTGACTAATTTTGCCCATTTGTGCTTTCTGATCAAAAGAAGGAGCTTATTTTTAATTCATGTGACGCAACTGACAGTAAGCACGTGGTAATGTTGAACTACAATACCCAGAGTGCATTTTGGAAGGTGCCCTTCAAGTTCGCCTTTTTTAAATGAATTTATCAGATATCAATCACAAAATATGAATTGATTATGGATTAATTTCTACTGACACAGTGGTAAGCTACGGCATTTTTTTAAAAGAATAAATATTATCTCGCAGTTTTTAACAGGCGGGGTCCTGAACTCGGGGCTCTTCTCTGCATACTTGTAGTGAAGTGAAGTTTGGGCGAACACAGCTAGCTGTCCCATCGTTGCCGCAGCTCCTGTCCGGCTCTCTTTGGACATTTCTGGCGCTATGGAGGTGTCCTGGGTGATTCTGCGTGTCCTGTCTGTGTTTGTGGCTCTGTTCTCGGACAGGTTGGTGGTGCTGGCTCGCTTCTCTCAGTCTATGGACAGCGACTTCACGTTTACCTTGCCGCCCGGTCGGAGGGAGTGTTTCTACCAGACCATGAAGAAAGATGCCTCTCTGGAGATTGAATATCAGGTCAGACATAATTGGGATAATACCGTGTTAAATAATTACTTTAAATGAACAAAATGTACTCTAGTTGTATGTCTGTCAAGTAATTACCCCCCTTTTGGAAAAGTCAACACAGACACACCATGACACCTGACTAACCTGTTGATTTTGCTCTATAATAACAGTTACAGTCAACCAAGCCTTTAGTTTTTGTTTGATTTTCATGCAAACCACTTTGGTGCAACGCCATGTCAGACAAACGAAGTGTTGTGTAATGACGGCAGCAGGTTAGGTGGCTCAACCTGGATTTTCATATTGTTGGGAACCTGTTATGCTGGAAATGATGCAGCTCACAGCTCAGAATGAGGCTCTGAGAGAGATTTTCTGACGTGTCAAGATTTGAGGCGCTGTGAGAAACGTTACCATTATGTTATTCAGCTGTTGTGTTGTCTATGATGTATGGCAGACAACGCTTATCAGTATTTGTGCAGACCTTGGGAGGAGAAACTCGAGTTTGACAGATGTCAATAAAAGCAAAATTGAATGATTTCAGATTATTAAGAGTCCATACATGTATATTTTTATTTCAAAAGTGCCAAGACTAAAAATAAAAAGGTCAAGTAATCCATCACAAAATGTATTCCATTTTAAGTTTGATGTCCACAACATGTTTGCAAAAAGTAGTTCCAGGGGGTTGTCTCTCACTGTGATCAGCTCTTCTTAAACTAAAACTCTGTAAGTGTTACTGAAGTGAACCCAGAGGACCAGTTTCTAGAGTTTTAGAAAGTCAAAGGTTGTTCCATTCTTGCCTGATACAGGATTTCAGCTGCTTAACAGTTCAGGGTCTCCTGTTTTGTTTTTGTTTTTTTGCCATGATGCTCCAAATGTTTTCAATGGGTGATAATTCAGGACTGCAGGCAGGCCAGTTTAGCAACAGGACTCTTCTACTACAGAGCCATGCTGTTGTAATCCCTGCAGAATGTGTTTTGTTATTGTCTTGCTGAAATATGAGGGTCTTTCCTGAAAAAGTCATTGTCTGGATGGCAGCAGATGTTGCTCCTAAACCTGTATATATTGTTCAGTCTTCAGAGATGTGTCAGCTACCCATGACATGGACACTAATAATCCCCAAACCATCAGGAATGCTGGCTTTGAGGTGATAACAAGCAGGGTGGTTCCTCTACTCATTAGAGAGGAGGATGCAACATCTATGACAGATTTTGATTCATTGGCCCTCAGGACAGTTTTACACTTCTCCCCCAGTCCATCCTAAATGGGCTCAGGTCCAGAGAAGTCTCTGGTGTTTCTGGATCATGTTTATATCTGGTTTCCATTTTGCATGGTTCAATTTTAATCTGCATTTGTGGATGCAGTGATAATCTGTGTTCACACACAGTAGTTTTTTAAGGGGTTTTAAGCTCATGCAGTGATTTCCACTCCAGAGTCCCCCTGTCTTGTTTTCAATGAGGATCTCTTTTAGAATTGGGGTTAAAATTATCTGTCCACACATATGCTGCTAACAGAAATGTGTTATCATTTTTAATTTCCCTCTCTTGTTTCTCCTTCACCCGCTGACAGGTATTAGATGGTGCTGGTCTGGACGTAGACTTCTCAATCTCCTCTCCTTCTGGCCAAGTGCTGTACAGTGACTACCGCAAGTCCGATGGAGTGCACACGTGAGTCACACACATGATTCAGGAGAAAAAGCTGACATAACCATACAGTATTTTTCAGCTCGCTCTGCTGGTTCTTCCTCCAGGATTGAAACAGAGGACGGAGACTATATGCTGTGCTTCGACAACACATTCAGCTCCGTCTCTGAGAAGCTCATCTTCTTCGAGCTGATCTTAGACAACATGGACACTGATGAAGACCCAGATGACTGGAAAGAGTATGTTCATGGGACAGATATACTGGACATGAAGCTGGAGGACATCATGGTGAGGGTCGCATGCAACATTCTCCACATCTGGTTTACAGTCTGAGTAGCACTGTTCAGAAATACGGTCTCAAAGTGTATTTAACCTCACCGGTAGTTTTAGACTTTGTCCCTGTGATTGTTGTCACTGTGCCACATATCCTCACAGTTTCACAGAGGAGCACAGTGACCCATCAGGCTGCCTACAAATAGCATGCAGTCCAACACAGAAATAATTTTTACAATGTGAGGGAGGCTGTCAAGACGAGCAGACACGGTGAGCGTGTCTCACTGCACAGGACAGAAAGTGAAGCTGTGTTGGAGGCCTCATTGGTACATGGTATTTATTGTCATTTATCAGAACAGACTTAGTAGAAAGGAGTGTAATATTCTTGAATATGTTTAGATTAGTATCTTATTTCCTCAATTTAAAACTGTGTTTCATTTAAATTAATGTCTACTAAGGAGCAGGTCCCCTTTCATGAACCTGCCTTGTCAGGTTCAGGTTACTTTATTAGTACATGGAGATAGATTTGTTTTGTTGCAAAGTGATGACATCTTAGCCTGACCTCCAATTCCAAAACCATAACATGAAACAGCCCTAAAAAAAAATCAAAACTCAAATTGTAAAAGTATACTAAATCAGGATTTTAAAACAAAGACTCTAGCTCCACCACTTGGAAAAAAAAAAGAGAGAAATTATAACAGTAAATGAGAAATGTAAATAAATGTAACTTAGATAAATGAGTAGATCATTCCTGCAGGAAAAAGTGAGGTAAAAAGGATTATAAAGAAATGTTTATGTTAGGTGTGTCTCATTTTAACTTGTTCAGCTCAGTGGTAGAAGCAAGAACAAAGCTTCTCTTGTACTGTTTTCTTCCAAACTTTTGAGCTACAAATCTTTGTCCAAATCTAATAACTTATCAATTCACTGTGCAAAGGATGGTAGTCATTGTTTTAAATGTATACAGTAGCACAAACTAGCATTGCAAGCATTTTTTATATTTAACATCAAATGCATTGGGAGGGAGAAGAACACAAAGAATTTGTAATAATAGATGTTTTTGATGGTAAAAACTTGACAAAAAAATGGTCGGACTTAAACATCACAGGAGCCTCTTTCCTTTAAGGACCATCACTTTGTAGCTAAAGCTCAAATTATAGAAAGTGTTTCTTCCGTGTTCCTGGTTAAACTATCTTACGAGGCTTAATTTAAGTCACTTTCCTCAAACAAGTCCAAAAAATGATAGATTTCAAGAAATTACATGCTAAAAGTAGGTCCTGTAAATGTCTGTAAATATGCTAGAAAATTTTCAGGACTGCTGAGATTGTGAGAGAAAGGCCCCTCAGTCTTCATTTGCAGTAAATTATTATGGTTGCGATGTGTGTGAACGCTATCATCTAACAGTAAAATAAGGCATGGATTTGGCAGTAGCTAAAGGAAAACAGCTCTAAAAATGACTCCAGGAAGAAGCTATTAAACCACCATGAACTTTATCTCGAGTCCCAAGCTCTGTCACACGAGGCTGCACAGCTTCCTCCAGGGTCCTCCAGGTCTGCAGAGTTTATGCAGGAGAACCTGGCCGGCTACCTACGAGGATGCTAAAACTGAGTTGCACGTCTTTACTTTGACATATGCACATGGAAAAACCCTGATGCAGTCTGAGTCAAAGGGAGAATGTCACAAGAATAGATCTCGTCATGAACTGTCACCTATTAGCCGAGGTCAGCCAATTGTTTCAGAGCAGCAACCTGCTCTGCCCCTCACCAGGAGCTGACTTCATCTGTGTTAGGGGTCACACAGGCTTCAATTCAAAGATAGGAAGTAAATGTTCCAGCTGTGCAGGAAGAGACACAACTGATGGAGCTACAGACTGTCCTCAGGGACCTGAATCTATGTTCCTAAAGTTTCCTCAGTGAAAGAATTTCCCAAGTGATGAAATTAAAAGCTGAATCAAAGGCTACTGATATGATTTTTACTGGAATTATATTTGTTTTCACATCTCCAAGCCGAATCAACACCACAATACCACCAGGAACTATAGTGGCCACAACATTAAGAAACTTTTCGGTGACTCTTTACAATAACTATAATTTATAAATGGTAAATAGTTAGTTTATTAATGTTTAATCATCATTTAAAAACATCTAATAGACCAATTATAAATGGCAAATAGATAGTTTATAAATATAAGTTCATTGTTACTTTACCATTAACAAGCAATGAAATTATGATTAATAATTTTCATTGATTATCAATTATTAAAGGTTTATGTAGGGTTTCAATATTGGTTGTAAAACATCTAGATTAAAATGTGTCAGTAGCACTTTGTAAATGGTTAATATTTGTTTTTTAAACATCTATAAATATTACTTAGATGGTTATTGTAAAGTTACAACTGATGTTTGTAATACTTTGCAAATGATTTATAAGTGGTTTATAAACCACCTATAAACATTACTTAGATGATTATTGTAAAGTTACAGTTAGGGTTAGGTTTTTAAAATTGTAAAATTGACAATTTATTAATATGCTATTTATAAATGATGATTAAACATTAATAAACTATCTGCTTACCATTAATAAATGGTCTATATACCATTTATAAGTTGTGGTTATTGTAAAGTGTTACCAACTTTTCCACAGGAAATATGCAACAGATTTGCCCACAAAGCTATCCTCAGGATAGAAAACATCAGGGTTTGCAAGGGTTATTTATAACAAGCCACGAGAACTGGGGTCGGCAACTAATGGCCCACAGGCCAAATCAGGCCTGCCAAATATGAAATCTGGCCTGTGAAAGCATTTTGATAATGACTTTAATTCATTGATTTTTCCTAACAAAAACTGTCACTGACAAAGTGGCTTTAGTAAAAAGTGATGAACAACGCAAAAATGTGAAATGTGAAAACTGGCATTTCCCCTCAGCCACGATTTTTTTGAATGTCTGGGGATATGTTTGTCACTTTAATCTGAAGGCAGTACTCCAGGCAGTTCCTCACAAGCTTGACTCGCATGTGTACGTGGAAGGGAACATTGTGAGCAAATAAAATGGCAGGGCTTTGATTGTGCTGTACTCCCCAAAGCATGCCATCCAAAAAGTGCTCACAGTCGCTGCACTTTGGAGCACATCACTGACCAGGGCGCTTGTTTGAAAATCAGTAACTGCATCTGAAATGCAATGGTATAAATGATTTTAATTAATTACCCTAGAAATGTTAATTTCATTTACTTGGTTACTGTTTTTGTTTTATTGCTGGTAAATCAAAGTTATTATATGTGCAAGGTTTTTCTTGGGTCCAGTAGTGGCTCTATGGTCAGTGTTACCTACATTGTGCAAAAACTCAGTAAGCTGTATGGTCCGGATTTAAGGAGAGGCTCAAGGCTCATAATCAGGTTTCTACATTCATTCGAGAAATCATTTAACCCCGGTTAATATAGTTGTATGAGCTCTTGTAATAGTTGCATTCTCAGTTACAGTCTGACACCCGTGTGTCTCCTGTCTTCCAGGACGCCATCAACAATGTGAAGGCTCGTTTGGGGAAGAGTGTTCAGATCCAGACGGTGCTGCGGGCGTTCGAGGCTCGGGACAGAAACCTCCAGGAGAGTAACTTTGACCGGGTGAACTTCTGGTCGGTGATAAACCTGATCGTCATGATGTTGGTATCCGGGGTTCAGGTGTACCTGGTCCGCTCACTGTTTGATGATAAGAGGAAAATCCGCACATAACACCCCCTGACAAACAGACAGAGAGAGAGAACAGGAACGTTTGGGGGAGTTTTTCTGCAGACTTTTAACATGTAATGTCATACACATTCACACACACACACACACACACACACACACACACACGCACACACATTCAGACATCCTTTGACAAAATCACCTCTGTTAAAGCTCTGACCTTCAGTGCACTGGAGTCAAAGGGACACTGGGAGTCTCTGATCTGGAACAGGGACTTAAAACTGTCTCTTCTTCAAACTCAGTCTCTTCGTCTCTCTCTTTTTCTTGTGTTTTATGGTCTTCCTCAGCTGCTGTAACTCTTCCCAGACAGTGGCAAACAAACACGTTTATGATGTTACTATTTTTCTACCGTTGCGCTGCCAAAATGTCCCCTTTTTTCTTGGACATGTTTTTATTTGAGCTGAACTCGATGAAGTAATGGGACGTCTGAAGAATTTATGTCTGCCAAACTGGAGTGGGGATCAGTTTTTGGGGGGTACTTTCCTCTTAAAGTGTTCCTTTGTGCGTGATGAAGAAGCCTTATTCATTTTTTTTGTCAGTCTGTGAGGCCTTTGAATATTACCCTGTTGCCATTGTTTGTTGTTTGTAAAGACTTTAAATTTTTTACAGAAATCGAAACCAGAAACAGAAACACCTCCAACGACACCAAAAAAGTATTCTAGTCAACATAAAGCTTCTTTTTCCTGTCAAAACCCAACATTTTCTTCATCCAACTCATTTTTTAAGGGGTCAGTATGTTTTCATCACACATTTGAAATAGATATCTGTGTTAAGTTTTGTGTTAAAATCACTTAAAAATTCTAAAAATTGAACTTTGAAACCTTAACGCTCTTCGGAGGACAGGAACCCAGCATCAGCCTCTTTGCTAACAGCCTCAGTGTGCTTACCTGTGCATCAGGTCAGCTGATCCTCTAACTTATATCTCTAAAATTGATGCACTAAAAAAGGAAAATTCCCCTCCCATGTGTGTAAAGAGAGAAATGAGCCACTCTGATCAACAGTATTTTTTGAACCAGGCTGTAAACATGTATCTCTGTTGTAAAGATGGGCTCTTTTAAATAAGTGTGTATATGGGGTCCGGTGCTTTTGCAATCAGCGTCTGGAGGACTCTTGAGGAACTGCTGTTTCTGGCACTTCTGCGTCAGTTTTAATTCGAAGATTAAAGGTTGCCACGTGGTCAAGTTGCTGTGACCTTTGCGAAGCATCTGCAACATTCATCTGCTGCTGAATTTACCAAGCAGCTGCTACGTATGCCTTGCTGATGCTACATGTAGCTTTCTGCTGCAACTTGAGCTAAGCCTCTGTTTTATTTGCTAAGTGGTTGATAATTTAGCCCAAGTGCTAATACACTGATCAAACTCTTGCTGAGTCAGACCGATAGCTGCTTACCCTAGCGAAGTTGCTGCAACATAAACTTAAAAACCTGGCTATGTTTTTGCCATGGTAGCTACCTGTTGAGTTTATTAATCAAGGGACTGCTACATTAGCCAACCATTTGAACTGGCAGCTGCTGCAGCATTTACAAAATAGAAGCAACATTTAAGCCTTGCGGACTCTATTTTGGCCAAGTAGCTGCTGCGTAAGGCTAGCCGATGCTCTGTACAGGCTTTTGCTGCAACTTAAGCAGAGGGTTCCCTTCATTAGCCGAGTAGCTGCTAATTTATCCAAGCTAACCAAGTGAGACAAACAACTGCTACATTGGTTGCTGCTAAATGAACCTTGAGTCAGCCAACTATAGAGACCAGCAGCTGCATCAATATTTACAAAGCAGCTGCCACATTAGCGTAGCTGTTGCCACTTTAACCTTGCTGCTGCTAAGTTGGCCAGGCTGGTCAAGCACCAACTATCTGAGCTGATCTACTGCTATGTTAGCCTTGCTGTTGCTGGTGACAGCTAAGCTGCTTCCTTGTTAGCCTAGCAGATACTTTGTTGGCCTAGCTGCTTTCATTTGGGATGTCCTGATCGGGTAAAAAAAAAAAAAAAAAATTGGCATTGATCAGTTACTCCAGATTCAGATTGGGACATTTGGCAAGCTGTTACTAAGTTAGCCAAGCTTAGTTTAGCTTTAGTAGATGCTAAGTTTATCTTTTGGTTTAGGATTTTTCGTGTTTTTCGCCAGGCCATTCAACGGTGATAGTAGTTAAATCCACACTGGGATACAAACATCCATTAAACAATAAATACTTTTTCTTTTGCATCTGAGTGCCAGAGAGGTGCTTTGTATGTGGAAGTATTTAGGTTGAGGTATGAGAGTCTCAAAGGATGAAATGATGTCAGAACATTTTCAGAAACGGGTCACAGTTCCTTTTAACCACTCAAACTGAGGAGTCAGGTGTTTTTTAGATACAGCTAACAGGTCTTAAGAAGCTAACTATGCTAAAGATGCTAATACTGAAAGGACTCTGAAGTAGAAGAATTACAAACTTCCTCCCCGCTCTCCTCTGCCATGACTGCCGGCCTCATGGCTTTAACGACAGCCAGCTCCACCGCCTTCTGCTGAGTGGGAATCAGAGGGTCAAGGGGTTTCAGGGTGGGGGGTGTCCTCTTTCAGCCACCTACTGTGTGATAGCTGCCGGTCTCTCTGGTGACATGGGTCTATTTCTATCCTCCTGACACCTGGAAGGTCATTACCACTGCTGCGTGTGAGCCGTTGACTAACTCTTGTCTGTTTAAACGTTTGTGTTTCTGCTTTTATGACCATCATACAAGCTGACATGAGATCTTTTCACTGCCTCTGGAGCCACAGAATAACACCTGCCGTCATTTTTCTCAGACCACAGTGTAAAGCATTTTTATCCACATTTTGTCCTGATGTTTGAATGCAGTCATTTTATTGTTTACAGTCACATCCATCTTCAGATCCACCTCCCTGTACTGATCCACCTCCTCCTGTACTGTAATACAAAGACACAGTGAGTCTACTTCATCAGGTTATAACATCATTATGAAGCAGTTTTTCTGTGTATTTAGCCTCTACAGAAACAAACAGGATCATTGTTTGCCTCGTCTTCTGTCTCAGTTTAAGTGCCATAGTCTGTCTTTTGTCCATGTTTAACCCATTGTGTTATTTGATTTCTAATTTAAAAGTCCTAAAAGTGATATATAAAAACAAAGGTCAGACAATATTTTTAAGTATTTCTACATTCATGAGAAAGAAACTGTTACTGAGTGTGTTAAAATGATTTATACTCATCTACAGCAGAGAAAAACGTGACTTTATGAGGTATTTATTCAACCTATGTCCTGTAGTCCCCATGTGTACAAATAAAAAAATTATGTTTTCTGACCTCTGTGTCATGTTTTGTTCTTCTTGGACAACCCTAATTCCCTAAAATGTTAGGATGCTGTGTAAAAATAGATGTTTTACAAATCATTCCAAGACTATATTGAATTAAAAATAGTGCAAAAACAGCAGAGCAGATGTTGAAACTGAATTATGTTATTGTTTCTGCGAGAATATCTTTTCTTATTTTTAATTTAATGCCAGTGGTCTCTAAAAAGGGGTTCCAGGGTCATGTGTGTGTCATCAACTGTATATAAAACCGACACATATTGTTCAGTGTTAATGGATCCTACACAGATGTGTAAGCTACCCATGACATGGACACTTTGGCTTTGACTAAGAGCTGATAACAAGCTGGGTGGTCCCTCTACTCTTAAGAGAGGAGGATGAAGCATCCATGTTTACTAAGCAGGATGTCAGATTTTAATTCATCAGCCCACAGGAGAGTTTTCCTCTTCCCCTTCCAGGCATGTCCAAACTATTCCACAAAGGGCCGGTGTGGCTGCAGGTTTCTCTTCCAACCACGCAGCAGCACACCAGACTTGATTCATTTCATAAGCTGATCTCAGTCTTCAGACAGCTGATTGGTCAGACTGCGTGCTCCCGCCTTAGTCCATCTTAATCAAACCCAGGTCCAGAGAAGTACCTGTTGTTTCAGGATCATGTTATATCTGTTTTTTTTTTGTTGTTGTTCCTCTAACAATTTTTCAAATATATGTTGCTGACCTCAAACTTTTTTTAATCAACAAAAGTTTTCAGTTTTAACATTTAATTTCTTGTCTTTGCACTTCACTTGTGAATCAGAGGTGAGTAAATCTCTGAGCTGCTGCTGTTCCCTTGTGGAGCTGAGCAGGTTGGATGATGAGACACTCCCTCAGTGTGGATCTGAAGGGACAGGACAGGATTAGTTTCATCATCATTCTTCCTCTCATGGCACCTTGCATGTGGTCTGCTCTTCATCAGTTCAATGTGTGTAGTGTTTATTCATGACGGTATTCAACAGAGTTTGCCCTGTTTTATGACTAACAGGAATGTAAATAAGGAAATACAGCACTCATAATGCCTTATCTCAAGTGGTCACTTAGGTTTAACACCACCAAACATGACTGCTTGACTGTTAAGAGGGTTGTATGTTTGATTGAGTCATCTATCAGAATCACCCAAAAGCTGCAGGATACCATCCTCGATTAGTGCAAAACAGAGAAGAAATATAGAGCTAATTACTGCCATTAAAAAATAGACTGTTATACTTTTTTTTCCATCAGGCAGATGTTATCACAACCTGAGATTTAATACTGAGAAGCTTCTCTCTTCAAGCCATCAGAATAATATTTAAAAAATGTTCAGACTATTGACCACAGATTGCATAAGCATGTCTAACCTCACAGCACAATAATCTTGTTTAAAACACTTTTATAATCCTTAATAGGATGCACAACACATTTCAAGTCCAACTCTTGAATATTTATTGTTCCGCATGTGACACAGCTCCTATCCACTTCATTATTTATAATTTTTATCACCCTTTTCCATGCATTTTATTTATATTATGTATTTACTGTGCATATTTCTTTGGCTAGACAGATACCAAAAAGATTTCAACTCATATTGTGTAAAGTATAATGGAGTGAGTGTGAGAAATAAATGTGAGTTTGAACTTACGGGCTGATCAGATGACATGATGAGGATCCAGCTGAGCTTGAAACACTTTTTTTGTCGGGAAAATTACTTTTCTGCTGATGAAGGCAAAGATGTGTGTGTGTTAAACATGTTGACTCAAAGTCACCTGCAGCAAAATCAACAAATACCCACCAAGATTTGACTAAAATGGTGCATAATTTTGCATTTTGTTAAATGTATTTTTATTTGGGGATTATTTTTTTTTTTGCTGGTTTGTAAAATACTTTTTGTAATGAGTAAGTGTTTTCTTGATCAGTTGTGCAGTTGACATTCAAGGTCACTATAGGAAATAGTGCTAATGCCTCAATAGATAATGTATATGCAATGATTGAAGGCAGAATAAGATGCAGTTTTATTACAACTCTAAAATCTTGACAGTTAGATAAACTAAGGGTTTTTATAAATTGATTAAAAAGTGAAACAAAATGCAGACATGTAGATCAGGTTTCTGTGGCCTGAAGCCTGTAATGTAATTTCAAGGCATATTTCAAAGTATTATACTTGTGGCCCCACAGTTTACCTCACTGTTCAGTGCTCTTGGTCCATTCGTCCCTGAGCTAATGCTGACAGAGTTATTTATCACGAAGCTTACAGAACACTGTTGTCTGTGCTTCAGGGTGCTGCAGACAGACAGAAAATAAATAAATCATGTTATTCAAAGTGACTCAAACTTAGAATGCCATGAGAATCATTTAATAGAAAGGCTTGGTTACCTGTTAACAGGTGTTTGAGGTGAAGGGAAGGTTCCACATACGGTCACCACAGAAACCTGATAGAGAGGAGGAAACACTTTTTTTATCAGCAGATTTGAGAATATTTAGAGGTTAAGAAACATCTCAAAGAAAATGAGAAATATGTCTGGAACACGTGGTGAGCAGAAAACCCTGAAATGTTCTTTTTTCTCTAATATTAGACTAACAGTAAGGTACTTAAGGCCTACTTAAAGGTTGAAATTGAGTATGGGTTAATACATTGTCACGCTGTAAGTTGCGCTGAAAATACAAGTGATCAACAGTGCCGCAATACTTGTGAAAACTGCAGCACAATGAAGAACATAATACAGCACTGAAAAGAAAAGTAAAAAATTTGAGGGTATTATGTTTATGCTCTAAATCTTACTTTTGTTTAGCACTTTCTATTTGTGTCTTAGAGTCTTATTTTTGAAGAGCTATTTATTTACTATTTTAGAACTATTTTATTTATTTATTTGAATGTCCTATTTCTGCGTAATGTCGTATTAACCTTGTTGTTTTTATGAAATACAGCGGTTGCCTCATAAATCAAATTTATCTATATCAAAGTGATTGTAATTGTCAAAATCAATTAAATTTTTTGATGATTATGCGAATAAATAAAGCACTTTTGTGGGGTATAATTTTAATAACTGGCGATTATAACGTTTGACATAGACTGTATATGCTACTATATACTTGTATATACAGTCTATGGTGTTTGACAATTGATGGCATTTCCCAGCAGGGGGCGCTGTGTGCTCTGTGTGTCGGCACTTCAGTTCACTTCCGGGCCGATGACGTCGAGATTCCAGCATCCGCGGTAGACACAATCCCGGTCCAGGTGAGTTACAAACCCTTTCCAGACTTAAATTATTGTCGTTTTAGGAGTTATCAGCATGTCCCCAAAACATTTGATACACGTTAAAGTCATGTATAACATTTCATAGTCGAGCTAAAGGCTGAAAGTGGTGAAAGTTTCGTGTTAGGAGCTGCGATGGTCAGCTGTCAGGGTGTAGGTTCACTTCAGAGCCGATCAGGTTAATGTTGACAAACACAACTCAGTGAATAAACAAAGATCTGATTATTTACCGATAAAACTGCTCAATCAATAAACTCAAAACGAATATTTCAGGTGACACACAGAGAGAGTTAGCCCGCTGGCTTATAGGCTAACCAAAGTTTTTATGACAAATCGACTAAAATAAGATCTGATGAGATAAAATATTTGCTGTGGTGCTGCTCTGGATTTAGCGTGAATCTGAAGCTCGTGCAGTTTCCCATTTCTTTCTACCTGGTAAGGTAAGGTAGACTTAATTGATCCTGCATGGGGGAAACTATTTCACCACAATGACAAGAAGACTCAATACAGACAACAAACAGCATGGAGACATCAGAAAAAGATAGAGAAACACCAGATACATAATAAACACGGTAAAGGCCAATGAAACATGGTTTAAAAGTGCTACAATAAAAGAAAAGGACATGATGGAATACAACAAAAGCCTGATAAAAATGAATAAATATTAAAATGAATACCTCTACTAACTATGCAGCAGTGACAAGTAAGACCCTAACTAGGGCTGGGCGATATGTGAAAAAGTTTGTTACAATGTATTTTTTCATATCAGTCAATATCGATATATATTACGATATTGAAAATTAAATTTAACTGTGCTTATTGGTAGCATGTCTTTTGCAATACAATAAGCTACTGCATCTGTGAGGTCTTTGTGTCTCTTCGACTATTTGTCGTAAGGCGTTGGGCTAGAGAAAGCGGACTGAATGATCGGCTGTTTCGGCTGCTCAGGCGCCATGGGCTCCTTCAGGTCCTTTTACACCGGGACCGTTTTTGTTGTGCGATTATTTCGGACGTCAATAATTTTTTTTTCGGAACCCGTAACCCTTTCAATACAAGACTTTCCCAGTCGTTCCGTGGAGCACCAAGGCATCACAAGTGGCTCACTGAAAGAGATTTCAAGACCTTTTGAAGACATAGTGCAATGGATGATCTTTGTAGCCCAGGATTAATTTTGATTTAGACCTGGTCCTCCTTTCAACAATGGCCTCAAGAGACTCTGGGAATAAGCCAATAACTGATCCAGCCCTCTTTATCAACCTGTTGATCCTATTTTAAATCTAAATACATGTTGATTTTCTTGCCTATCCAGGGTCTAATTCAGACCCTTGATTAACAAACTTCATGTATGTTTGCTAATAAATAAATGTCATGGTGTGTTTGTGTTCAGGGTGATGGGGCCAGATGGGGCCCCGGGGCCCAGTGTGCCCTGGCAGAAGGTTCTGTGGGAGCGCCAGCCGTTTCCTGATAACTATGTTGACCAGCGGTTCCTGGAGGAGCTGAGGAGGAACGAGGGGATCAGACAGTACAGGTACTGGACTGTGGTGAAGGAGGCCGGCTTTGTGGGTCAGCAGCTGTCCTGTGTGGCTATCTTTATCTCCCTGTGGCTCTACATGGAGCAGGTAAGACTCAGAGGAGGCATCTATACAACACGGTTGTAGTTGTGTTTAATAATGTAAAATTATGATTAAATTATTCTTCTTCATTTATGGACTGATGATGCTGCCAGTTTTACGAGTTTCCTGATGGTGTTTATCTCATGTTTTGAGGCCTAATGTCTTAAAGTAGAGATGTTGTTGATAGAAACACACAGCATGTCAGGGGGAGGGGCTGTGTGCTGATCTCCTGCTAACATCACCTGAGCTTGTTTTTCAGGTTTGGATTCTCTTCACTTTGAATCTATTTAGAACTCTGAGCTGAATTTCTGTCGGAAGTCTCTTTCCCTTCAAACAAACCGATTCTTTAATAGAAGACAAACAATGCAATAACACAGTTCAGGTGGGACAGACGGGGATTTAGTCTAACTGGAGCACAGGTCATAATAACTTCAAATCAGTCCTAACTTTTGAGTGTTCATCCAATAGATGAACAACCCGCTGACTGACTGGATAATGTTTTTTTCCTTTGTCTGAAAGCCTTTTTAAATTTGTTATACCCATCAAAAATGTTTGAAACTGCTCGATGTTAAACTCCTCCAGGTCCACGATCAGGTCCTGTGATTGCTTGGCCTCAAATAAACCCTCCCTTTCTGCTCCTTCTCAGGGTCTGCTGTCTCCTGAGACTCTCCTGTGGAGCAGCCTGGTCTGCGCCCTCCTGGGTTACGGACTGTACCAGTCCCTGTCCTCTCAGGTGGAGTCTGGCTGTGAACCCCGGACACGTCTGGCAGACCTACAAAGCGCCGCCATCTTTCTCTCCTTCACTTTCGGATTCTCTCCAGTCCTGAAGACGCTCACCGAGTCAGTGAGCACTGACACCGTGTACGCCATGTCCGCCATCATGCTGCTCGCGCACCTGGTGTCCTTCCCGTACACTCACCCCTCCCCCCCGGGCAGCCTGTCCCTGAATGCAGCACTGTTCGCCTCAGTGTGTCTAGCCTCCAGGTTACCCGGAGCGCTGCACACCTTCGCTATGCTGAGCTGCGCCCTGATGGTTTTCGCTCTGTGGCCCTGCTTGCTGCAGAGGGTCAGGGACATCGCACCCACACATTTCACAGGAGTGTGTCTGGGAGTGTGTGTCGGAGGGGTGGGAGGACTGGGATTACAGTCACCAGGGGGGGCTGTGCTGTTAGCTCTAGCTTTAGGTAGTGTAACTCTGCTCTGCCCCCTGCTGTTAGTGCGTCTGCAGAGACACAAAGACAACATCCAGGGACCGTGGGACGAGGCTGAGATCCACGAGGACCTGGACCACGGCAGAGGAACGTAGTTCAGGTTTAAGCTGAAGGAGGTGAATTATTCCCCTGTGCTGCTTCTGTACATGAAATCTATTTTATCTGTTTTATCTGTGGCTATACCTGTCTGAACAGACATGACAGCTGGTATCTCTCATGAAGATGTTTTTAACGTTTTAAAAGTGTTGACCTCAGAATTTAACATGCAGGGTCGACTTTAAACTTTGCACATGCTCTGTTATCATGCTGCGGTTTGATATCAGTGATGTTTTAATGATCTACTGTCATGTTGTGTATAAAGTGTCTATGTGTCTGAGTGGGTAAGAATGAGTGTATGCACAGTGTTTAACAGTGCTCTCCTTTGTATTTGCTAATAATGGTTTATTAAGTGTTTTTCTATGATGATAAAGATGTTTTCTTAGTGTATAAAATGTGTACAGATGAACAGAGGGTCATTTAATACTGGGTCACAGTTTGATACACCAATAAAGAAAGTTAAGCCTCACATGTGTCACTAGTGCTTCATTATAACAAACTGACTGAGGAACTTGATATCTGACAGACATGGTCTAAGTTTTTTGGGGAAACCACTTTCTGGTGGTGGACATCTCTATAGGCTTTGCTCGAGGGAATTACCCAGAGTTCATAGCAGCGTAATGTGAAACGAGATTCCTAGTGGAAGCTTACAAGCTGAGAGAGAGAGAGAAACATCCGAGCATAGATGTGATTGAAAGACCATATATGAGCGGTGTGGAAGGAGCAACAGACACTAAAAAATGTTTCTTCATAGATAAGAAATACTGCCAAGATACAGTGGTGGCCAAAATTATTAGAACACTTGGCATATTTAAGAATTTTCAGTTGTTTTTGTTGAGTTGGCCATTAAAATACCCATAAAACAAATTAAATATCTACAAAGTCATCATTTTGCTCTATAAACCCTAGAATAGAGCCATCATAAGGAGATTTAGGTCATTTTCCATACAAAAAACAAGCAAGGCCTGTCAGTGTCACACAATCATGTTCCTTCACAGAAGCAGCCAAATTACTTGTGTAATCCTTCTCAGGTGTGATCGTGGTTAAATTGATGGTGATGCAAGTCTTAGGACACAGCTGTGTGATTCTTTTGAACGTACAAGGCCTATCCTGCTCATTAAGTGATTGGTAACATGAGGGTTTTGTCACTGAGGCCACACCACCAATTGGTATAAATTCAAAGCCTCTAGAAGTAGTCTTGAAGCTCATGTTGCTCTTTGAACATGGCTAAGGTGAAGAAGGAATTAACGAGTGAGCAGCGGGTTCGAATAAAGGCCCTTTTTGATGCTGGCTGGAGTTACCGCCGCATAGCCAAGGACTTGAGATGCAGTCCAAGCACTGTAAAGTACACTTTAGACCGCCATGATGCCACCAATTCACACCAGAACCGAAAGGGGAGAGGTAGAAAAAAGAAACTTTCTGACAGACAAGTGAAGCATCTCAAAATTCTCAGTCTTAAGGACCGAAGAAAGACCTCACGAGAACTGCGTGACGAGATCAACACCACAATGACTAATGGTGCAACAGTGTCTTCAAGAACTGTGCGTCGGAAACTGGGAGAGGAAGGACTTGTTGGCAGAATAGCAGCAAAGAAACCATTACTGAGAGAGAAAAATAGAGTGAAACGCCTGAAATTCGCTAAAGAACACAAGAAATGGACAAAGGGAGATTGGTATAAAGTGTTGTGGACTGATGAGTCCAAATTTGAACAGTTTGGCAACAAGCGAAGAGTGTATGTTCGACGGAGGGAGGGGGAGAGATATAAAAATGAGTGTCTCTTGCCAACAGTTAAACACGGAGGGGGTAGTATTATGGTGTGGGGTGCCATTGCAGCCTCAGGAACAGGTGACTTAGTGAAAATTGATGGCATCATGGATAAGAAAGTATACCACAACATTCTGGTGAGGCACGGAGTACCATCTGGGAGTCGTCTTATTGGGCCTGGATTTATTTTCCAAGAGGACAACGACCCTAAACATTCTTCTAAGTATTGCCGGAACTACCTGCGACAGAAGGAATCTGCTGGAACATTGAAAATGATGGACTGGCCCCCTCAAAGTCCGGACCTCAACCCCATTGAGCAAATTTGGGGCGAGTTGGAAAATAAACTGGACAGATCTATTGTACATTCAAAGGAAAGCCTTTGGCTTGAGTTGCAGAAGGCATGGGATAATATTAGTGTTCAAGTTCTCAAGAAATATATTGACACTATGCCAGAGAGATGTGCTGCTGTAATTGCTGCAAAAGGTGGACATACCAAATATTAAAGTTAAAAGTGGATAAAAACAGTAGGACTCACTTAATCTGATATTTGTTGTGCTCAGAGCAACCATCTGCATGCATCATGAACATTTTGAAAGGAAATCATGTTTTGGAGGCAAAAAAAAGTTCAATGTTTTCATTTCTGTCAGGTGTTCTAATAATTTTGGCCACCACTGTACATCTGTACACCTGCTTTACCTTTGCAAGATGCTGAAAAGCTCATCCATGATACAGCTGAAAACAAATTTATTTCCTTATCAAAGAGGCTTTATTTTCGCAGCAGCACTAAAAGCAATGTCTCTACAGCACAGATGTCAAACTCAAGGCCCGGGGGCCAAATCTGGCCCACAAGATCAGATCATATTTGTATTATTATTGGCCCACCAGTATGAAGTCTGCAGATTTCCTCCAGTATAACAATGTAAACTTTAGCACCATTATTTAAAATATCCTTAATAAGACATGAAAATCTGGGGAATTAAAGAGTAAGGAAGATTTGATAAAAAGTCAAGAATGTGGGGGAAAAAATGTTTGGTGTTTTATTTCATGTCTTCAATTTTGCATTTCAAGATTAAAAGTCAAACATAATTGGATTTTTTATTTAATGCTTTGATTTTGTTCAACTCAGTATTCAGTCTTGTGTCATTCTTATACTTTATATTCCAATTTTAAATTTTAAGTCATATTTTGACCTTTTACATCTGATTTCAACGTTGTCCTCGTGTATTTGCTCCTTAAAAGCATTGTTTTTCTTTTTTTGATATCATACTCTGATCTTTTGAACTAATAAATTAAAAAAGAATAAAATATAAAATAAAAATTTCTATCTCAGATTGCCTTTGAACTTATCTTTTTTTTTTTTTTAAATCATTTTTTGAATTTCTAAATGATTTATATTCACTGCTATTTTTGTTACATATTTTTTGAAAAGGAGGTTGACAGTTTTGGTGAAATGTTGACCCTGTTTGGCCCTCAGGTTAGACCTAAATCCAGATTATGGCCCTTGCTGTGGTTGAGTTTGACACCCCTGCTCTACAGCATCATACATATGTGAACTGAGAGAAATCAAGATAAATCACTCCCATAACAATTGTTTATGCAAATTAATCCTACTTTTTATTATAACTCTACAATAATATTGGACCAACTACCTCTCTAAAGTAGGAGGGACAATAATTTAGTTTCCATATAGGCCTAGTGCTTCCTGGTTTCAGAATGATAGAGGAAGATGGTGAATGTAAAATGTGTAAAATAAAAAAATGAAATAAAATACAAGTAATCATACAACTACCAAGAGCAAAAGGGGAATGTTGCACTGAATCCCACTTCAAGTGGGGTCCTGATAGGGATCAGGGTTCAGAGCACAGCAGGCACCCCAGAGAGCAGGGCGCCATCTTTCGATTCACCAACTACTTGAAGTGTTGTTTTTGTTCAAACTTTTGAGTTTGCATAAAATCCTCAGAGTTCAGATACTTTTTGGTACATTAGCTCTTCTTCTTTCTGGTTTCACTCTGACAGAATAACAACATGTTGCAGCAAATACTAGCTCAGTTTAGACCCACCCTGTGACCGCTTCACTCCGTGAATAAGAAATCAAATATGCGAATTAATCAGCCTCTCAGCTGCTAGCCGTCAGTGAGATATACTATGAGTTGGTCGCTAGGTGGCGTACCTTCACCTCTCCCTCCATCGGTCTCCTGCTTCCCCGACTCAGCGCTGCTTCACTCGTCTCCTGTGTCCCCTGAGGAGGCGCCATCTCTCCGCCGAAGAGCTCCGCTTTACCGCAGTGTAGTGTCGCCGGGATACGGTAGAACGGTTAACCGCTGCTCCAAGGACCGCGAGACAGAAACGGAGGCGTGACGAGCGGGAGACGCCAGACTGTGCGGCTTCACAGGAGAATGTATTGTTTTATAATTGTTCTAATTCATGATCATCATTTGAAAGATTTTTTATATGTATAAATAACAAAATATTATCATATTTTAATTAATTCAGACTTATTTTTTAAGTATACTTGACCATATGCCTTTACATGGAAAACGTTATACTTTTTCTTCTTTCTCATATCTGTTTAAAATGCACAAAATAAAAAGTTATTCAAACTTTTAACCTTTGACTTACAACTTAGTAAGTGTCCAGCTAACAAAAGATCTTAAATTGTATTACATTTGAAATATGCTGAATTTGTAATGGAGATGAATTGTATTAAATTTTCCTTTGGAGATCAATAAAGTTCTTATCTTGTGATGTAAAACCGGTGTTATTTTTGTCATTTTTTTTGATATTGATGTTTTTAATATACTCAGATCTTAAGTTTAAACCATATGCTGACAGTCTGCAGTATGTTTCAGATCTCATTTGGATTTATTTACCCTTTCAGATTTATATATTCTTTTGGGGAATAAGATAAGAACTTAAACTTATAAATCTTTCTGTCCTGCAGCAAATAAGGGATGAAAGAGGAAAAATATGCCAAGATTTTTAGCAGATTTTAAACTGCCAGAACATACATATGCGTACACCTTTGGCCCATACGATAACCTGTATTTTCTTTAACACCTCATTGCAAATAAACAAATAAATGTTTATGCAAACTGTCATTTAGATGTTGAAGCTCCAGTAAGAAACTTTTGGTGCCTGCTGTAGACATATCAGGATGATTTATCACATGATCTTGTCCTGTTCAATTGTAAGCAGCATTCTCTGACAAAAAAAAGGATGGATAAATGAAATAAGATAAATAAATAAATAAATCTTATTGCCTTTTAACGGATTTGTCTAACAAGCAAGCCTTAGACATCAGGATTAGGACAAATTTAGGACTTCTGAGTATGTAGAAGGTAAAACCTAACTGTAATGCTCCAACTGAATGACAAATTATCTCTACAAAAGAGAATTAGTTGTCTCATGTTTGCAGTTTTCCTCAAAACTACAGAGCTTGAATGACTCTTAAAAACTCAAAAATCTAGCACAGAAAAAGTTGTAATGGAATGTTGAGTTTTAACTCACTGAGTTTTTGTTTGAGTGTCAAGAGGCAAAAGCATTAATTTTAGAATTTCATAAAAGTTCAGTCACCACAGAAGCTTCACATTTCTGATGAAATCTAAATGATCATTATTATTATTATAAATTCATGATTCTTACAGTTATTTAGCCTAAACATAAAAAGTCTGATTTTGGGGATGTTTTTTGGCTTTTTGAAAGTTTTTCATCTTTTAGGAAACATAAAAAATGTTGATGACTCATCCTGTGCTCTGGGCGTGTCACGTTTTTCCTCCAGTGACACACTTTCTTCAAAATTTTAAGCTCCTCCTCCATCAGCAGGATTTGTGAACAGCTGGTTGTTTTCATTTGAATGTTCTTAGATCTCATTCTTTCTGGAGACTGAAAACTTGAATCGATATCTGCCGTTATGTCCCTGAGCTGCTGCGTTTGAAGAAAAATCCCTCAAACTGCAGCAGAGCTCTCTGTGACATTTCATGGGAACTAAATCCAAGTTCTTGTCTGCTGAAACAGAAACTCCTTTATTTTCCTCTCAGGAGGAGATTCAGTGTCATGACTCACTCTGAAGGATTAAAGCTGCTTCTTTTCCAGCTGATCTGTTGTTTAAATTCATTTCTCAGCACTGTGAGTCTGATCTCTCTAAAGGAGCTCCTGTGTCCACAGTTGACCCAAAATGTGCAGGCAAACTCCTGCTCACTGTGTAAAAAGTGTATTTCAGTCAGGACCACCTTAGTCACAAATATTATTTGCATACATTATGTTATATATCCTGTTGAGAGAGTTCCCTGCCTCTCCACATGCATAGACAAAGCCTGAGGTGGGTAGAGCACCCCCCTCCCTTTGTTTCATCTGCATACATAAAAGTAAAGGTAGGGAGAGCAGCAGCAAAGAAAGTGCAGGAGCTTGTTTACAAATTTTGATGGACTGATTTCTTCTTCACACGTCTAATAAATCAGAAGTGTGTAGTATTTTTCCAAAACATAGAAAAAAAATTGTTGTTTGTTTATTAACCCCCTGAGAAACAAAAAAAGCATTTTCAGTCATTCTTGGCTGATAAGATTCAAATTGCATCCCTGTTTAAAAAACCCTTTTTGCAAACTTGTGAATGATAAGAAATCAGGACAAAAGTTGAAAAATAGAATGCCTGTTTATTCAAAAACAGTAAAAATAGTGCAAGTGTATTCTCTTATAGTATAATAAGTCAATATTTTTATGTACACAGAGTTCAGGCAGCACACGCTTCAGGACATTCCAGCTCTCATGGTCGAGGATCTGATGCAGAAAACAGAATCTGTGGGTCCTTCAGACTCTCAGAGGAGCATCGAGCTGCAGCTGGATTTAACATCATTCAAGTCAGCTCCAGCTGGGGCACATGGGTGATGGAGTCCTAAACAGGAGGGTCTGTTATTTCACGTTTGGGATGGGTGGTGGATTCCTCCTGTAGATCACATCATTGTGAGATTCAGTTAAATGTCATATTTATAACATACACAAACCTAAAATCTGATACTGCTCTGTTCTTGTATTAAAATCAACATTTGTTACCCTGCTGTTATTTGTGTTTTTATAAATATTTTGACCACAGGCTACTATTTTAAACCATCTGTCAGTTTTCTTACTTTATGATCTTACTTTAAAGGGAAACGTGTTCTTCAAAAACTGCAGTTTCTTCAGTGTCCACTAGAGGCTATGCTCTTTAGTGAGTCAGTCCCCATTAAACCCAATGTTTAAACATTTAATTTTAAAGAAAAAAAAAAAAACATTTTTACAGCCTGGAATTTAAAAAAAAAATAACTGTAAACAGTTATTTAAAAAAAAAAACTCCCCCGATCTACATAAGAGTGAGGGTTAAACTCACCTGTGTACATTAGGTTAACCTTTTTTTTTTTAGCAGATTAAAGATTTAGCTTGGCTGTTCACACTAGATGGTGGAGCCTTTTATTCATGTAAATATCAGACTACTAATCTGTCTGTGTTTACTCTCTGACATTACCCTCTCTGCATGTTAGCACTAACTAGCAGCAATCTTTGTCATTGCTCTCTACTCTGGCTTGTTACCTTGTTTTAAGATCACTTTGAAGGTCATTTTCCAGAAACACCATCAAAACTGTCAGACAAGTTCTGGCCTTGAGTATTGAAACACTTTACACTGATGAGAACTTAAACAGACTTATAGAAGTTCCTAGAGAGAAACATCTATAGGGGACACAAGAGTGAGCGAAGAGAGAGGGCATTAGGTTGGATGGAAAGAGTCAGAAGAGGAGAGAGAGAGAGTCTGAAGGAGGGAAAGAACCTAAAGAACCTTGGAGAGCAGTGAGGAAATGAGCCAGAGAGAAAGAGGAGAGCCAAGCCAAAAGCAGGGGAGGAACCGTAAAGGAGGAGAGAAGAAGAAATGCACAAGAAAAAGAACAAGGAAAAATAATGGTTACTGCACGGGGGAGGCTGGGGAGGGCTATAAAACAAATGCATGCAGGAGGGGGAGAAGAGGGGGATGAAGGATGGAGAGGAGGAGGAGGAGCTAGGCCTGTTGTCTCTGGCTGCTCACAGAGGAGTCCGGACTGCCGGGGCTGATGGGAAACACAATATGAGAAACACATTTTCCTGCAGACCCCCACCCAGCTCAAATATCAGCTTGCTCTGCCCCCACGCTGTCTGTGAGTGCATGTGTAAGTGTGTATGTGTGTGTGCTCGCGTGCACATGTGTGTGTATGCGTGTGTATGTGTGTGTGTGTGTGTGTGAATACAGTGTAGCAGGTCAGGTTCAGGATGTGTTACTGTGGTTTCAGAGTCACCTTGGCACGCTGGGAGGGGGGCGGTGTGGCTGAATAGTGGGCAGGTGAATGCCGTCTGTGCTGGGGGGGGCAGAGGGTGCAGTGTGAGAGGGCAGGCGGGGAGCAGGAGGGGCCTGACCCCGACCTGTAGGTCTGTTGCTGGTCACTGACTTCTGAGGAGGGAGGCTGAGGAGGGGGAGGAGCAGAGGTGACGATCACACTGCAGACACAACTGTAATCTGTGTGTGTGACAGAGAGAGAGAGAGGGAGTTCGTGTACCTGGAGGGCTGGATCCAGGAGGAGTCCACAGGTGGGGGCAGAGGGGTGGTGGAGGTGGAAGTGGAGATCTGTCCAATGACGGCCAGCGCCTCCTTCAGGGCGGCGTGTTTGCTGAGCACCTCCTGGCGGTGCTGCTGCTGCACGGCTGACTCATCCATCAGAGTGGCTCCTTCGCCCAGAGCATAGAGCTGAGCCAAGAGCTCTGAGCTAATGAACTCCTTCACCTGTAGACAGCACAGATTATACAGAGGTCACGCGCAGATTACACTGAGATTATTTACCGATTCCACGAGGAGTGAAGTCTCAGAAACCCTGAAGAGGAGGTTGATGCAAAAACTACTCAGAGACAGAACAGACTGTGCTAGGCTGAGAAAACGTCTGACTGCACACATTCACAAGATTTCCTCTGAGATTTCATTCCAAATATGAGCTTCACACCGGAAAATTTACACAGAGAGCTGCAGGCATAAACACAAACAGCCAAAATGTTCACCCTGATTTTGTCTGGACTTTTTCCCTGTCGGCCCCCTCATCAAACCTCTAAAAAAAAGACAGGATGGCTGGTCAGAGGATTCAACATGAGCAAGCGGAACTTGATACAGACTGGATTACAGAAACTAAATAGCATTTTCTTATTAACTAATAGGTATTTTCAGTAAGTAAAACAATACATCTGCTCAATGGTGAGAATTTTGCCTTCATAAAATAGCCAATCACAAAACAGCCTTAAGGTCCTCACACACCGGGACCATTTTTGTCGTGCGATCATTTCAGACGTCCTTATTTTTTTTTAACCCGTATCCTGTCAATACAAGCATTCCCATCAGCGACGTTTTCCCGTTCTGCAATATAGCGGCATTTATTTTTTTAGATCATGGTCGATTTTTCTAAGTTTCGCATACAGTGTGTCCACTTCTGATACCCGGGACGCATCTTTTTCCCCCCCGGAAAGTCGCAAAATCGCATCGGGCTTCATTTGTATAGTCAGGTGCGTCAAAATTTGCCTCCGAATATTTTGTAATTTTGCGTTCTATATTCGTGTTGGCCCCAGTGTGTAAGGACCTTTAACATCAACACAAAAAATATTCATAAGCAGCTATAATGACCTTTCTTTTTGTGTGGATTTTGGTGCCCCCTGTGGACAAAGTTTGTAATACAAACCTTAATATGCAGTGCTTGTACTCTTTTAAAGTCTGTATCTAGTTGAGTTAGTCAAGTTTTACTTTAAACGAGACCTATTACTGTATGATGATTATACACACATATAACATAATACTGGACATCCATACTTGATTGAAATATGGAAGCGTAATCTTTGTGTTGTCCAGATTCTATAATCAGCTTGTTTCAAGGTCATGGACACAACCTGCTGTCTTTTAGTCATGGAGGAAAGTCTCAGCAATTTTCTCTCCCCAAAGATGAAGGCTCCAGAAAACAGTGGAGAGTTTTCAGGACAACGACAGCCATAACAGAACTGTTTGTGCTCACCACTTCACTGATGACTGCTTTGTAAACAAAGGCCAGTACAAGCTGGATTTGAGTCCCAGCTGTTCCTGAAACCTGGAGCTGTTCATTGAGAAGGATTAACTGATTTAGGCTCATGTCTGCAGATGTTTTCTGTAAAGGCATAACTTCCAGGTCATTTTGTGACTACGTAGCTGTGTAAAAAGTAACACCCCAAGCTGTGTCCGACTTTCTATCAGTGTAAAAACAGCCAAAATGAAGTGTTTCAGTCAGAGGCTGAATAGAGCTGAAATGTGGATTTTCATAGAGATAAATAAGGAGTTTTTAAAGCTGCTCATCATTGAGCTACTCTACAGGTGTCCAAAACTGACTCAATGAAAGGCAGAAACAAGTAAAATAGGTCTCCTATATAAATAAAGAACACGTAGATTTCTGAATCTTGTCTGGATCAATTTTTCGAACCATCAGGTTCATCAGTTCTGTCTTCTCTGCCAGTGTGACAGCACTGAAGATTAAATCCCTTTAAATCCCACTTTAGTGTCCACGAAGAACAACTTAACCTCCAGATTAAAAAAGGAGACGTTTCTCTTCAAAGAATGAGAGATAAGGATATTTTAAACTACATGCTGTCAATATATTTATGACCTTATACTGCTGTTCTTATGCACTACAACGATTAAGATGTGTGTTAGAATGTCTCACACTGTTGACCATCAGGTGCATGATGGTCTTTGGCATCAGGTCTTTGATGGTCTTATAGATAATGCTCATGTAGGACTCCACCAGGCTGCGGATCGTCTCCACCTGGCGCTCCAGCTGAGGATCCGAGAAGTACTCAGGAGATCCATTACCCTCTGCATCCACCTGTCAGACACACACATTAACCCACACAAACACACAGCTCTTAGGCGGTCATACACAGAGGGCTGAACATGCTGGTACAGATGTGTGAGATGTGTGAAGTGCTAAAGTTGCATGTTGTGTGTGTGTGTGAGTTTGTATCTTGTCAGCTGGTCTTTGTGTTGAGGAGGAGAAACGGCTGTGAGAGCTATGAGAGGAGCAGAGAGAGCGGGGGGGGGAGAGAAAAGAGGGGAGTTTGCGAGGGACGAAGAACTGCTGATTAGAAACAGACTGGAACACACACACACACACACACACACACACACACACATGTTGCAGTGACATCATGTGCGGGGAATGCTGCTGTGAGGAGCCAACGACAGAGCGAGATGGAGGGGCGGGGGACTTTCTCTCTCTGGAAGAAAAGCGGTGAGGGGGAGCAAACCCAGGGGTGAGAGGGGGTGATGGCTGGTGTTTAAGGTTTGCACACACTCTGAGGTGAGGTCACAAGACACATAGGCAAGGTGGAGTGGTGTGCAGACAAGTGTACTCACGGTAACTCTCTCGGGGTAAACTCCGGCCTGCAGCAGAGATGCCTTCCAGCTCTCCAGCTCCTCCTGAGAGTTGCAAGCCAGATCCAGACTCTTGTAGTCCTTATACACGTTCCTGCAGAGACACAGAGACTTGGTATAACAGATCCAATTGCACAACAACAACAAGAACAACGACACAACTACAGATCTAAGTACACAAAAATGACAGGAACAACACGATTTCCATAATTCAGAGAGGAAGGCCTAAATACATTTACTACAGTAAGAGTGTTGCCGTGCATTGTTTACCTTCCATGCTATGATAAAGAAAGAAAAGCTTTCAAAGTCAAACAGCATAAGTAAAAGCCCAAAACACCCAGACCTCCCCCTACTGACTGGCTGCTGTATGAATCAAAAAGTCAGTCTCCTCCATGTTAACAAATGGGACATGAGTCAAAGTATAACATCAAAATACAGGTCAAATGAATTTTTCTCTGAAAGAGCTTCTGTCATTGTACTGCAGTGCAAAGTCCTTAAAGGGATACTGAAGGAAAAAATAGGGATGCAAAGCGTTGGATATTTCCCGACACATGATTACACACACACACCTTTTTTTCCGATGTTAAGAATGCAAAGTTTCTTAAGTAAAAAATTTGACCTGTCATTCTTAATGTGATAGTCTATTTCTTTTGTGTCCAGACAAACTAGACAACAATGAATCCAACACTGATGATGCATGTGTTTTTCAAATGTAGACATTCACTGATGCACCTGGTTTTCGGACTAATTAGAGATAGTTTTAACTGCAGTGACTACCTGCAATGCAAACTGCCCCACAAGGACATTAAAGTTTTACTTTATGCTCATGTGTTGGATTGTCTGCTCTGCTTTACTTAAACACTAGTTGCAATTTCTACGCTAGTCATGTCATCAGTTTCTAGTTCCTGTTTATTCTCTTCTTGTTTGTGCAAAACAAATCATGGGGGCTGAGTCTGAGTGTGTGGAGTCAGAGCTGGTAAATGTTGAGCAGCAAATAATCGTACAGTAGTTACTGCAAAGACAACACAAACAGGCGGGAGAATGTCAGAGGAGATGAAGTGAATGTCTGCTGAATGAGTGAGGGCAAAGGCTTACTGAAAAGGTTGTAAATACAGGAAATTCTTTGCAACTTTCAATTATAAAGACAATGCATGATAAAAACGTCCTCCAAATTTTTTCCCCTTGTGTAAAAACTGTGCTTAAAGGTGAGCACAGTTTTCACACCTTTATATTTAAGACTCAAAAAAATTCTTCTTTTTCTCAAGAGCTCCAGCCTTGTTGATTTTGTGCCTATGATCAAAATTAGAAAGTCACCTGAATAGAATGTCAATGTAATTTTTTTTTAAAAAGTGTCTTGGGATTTTCCTATAATGTTTTAGTTCTTTCAAGGAGATCTTTCAGTCTAGTTACTTCTTCCTCTTAAGGGATGGGATGTCATTACCATGGTTTCACAAACTGATCTTTACTGCACACTTGACTCTAGATCCACTTGTGCAAACTGTTAGTGCCCCTCACAGATGGTAACAGGTTTAAATTAGTGTTGCTATTTTGGTGTATGATAAAAAAAAAAATTCAGAATAAAAACTAGGACACTACGTGAACAGCAGTACACAAAGTAATGAAAAAAATGTTGGCTGTAAAGTTAGTGAAGTGTTTGCTGCACTGTTGTTACACAATCACTGGTAAGTTGGTCAAAATGTTACTCCATTAAACTTTTTCCTCCACTTTAAACTCCACCTCAGTGTGGCATGAAGTTAAAGAGCAGTTTGTCTTCCTTCTTTAATGATCAAACATCAGCCTGACCTTTAAGTAAAGACGTGTTACAACAGTCACAATGTCTGGGATGATTTTTTTTTTTTAGTTTAACTCTATCAGACCTCAAGTGGAAATAAAACAAGCCTTGCTCCTCTTAGTCTCAGGAGAAAAGAGGGAAGTAAAAGTGTTGTCTGTGAAACAGTCAGTCTCCTCAGCTTGCTGCGTCATGTGCTAAATCCTCACTTCTCTCCGAGCTGTCACGTCTGACACGCTGCCATCAGCTGTTATCAGTTAGCCCGTCGAGGAGTTAAAAAGAAACACCGCAGTCACAAAGGGCACCACAAAGACGACTGAGGATTACAGTGTTTGTTCTCTTCACTCAGCTTCAGATCCACTTTGGAGGAGAGTTTTGGGAAAGCTGCTCTCTGTGAATTCATCAAACACATTCCTGAACAACACGATGATCTGCAGCCTGAGATTTATTTCAGCTCTAATGATCCTTTGTTTGGTGCAAACTGCAGAACAAAAGAAGCTGCTTTTGTTTGAAATAAATCTGATTGTCATTTTGGAGAGCTTACAGAATGTTTGATTGAATGATGCTAAGGGACTTTAGTTAGAGTGATCCAAATACTTAAAACCTGAGCCAAACTTTGACATGTCGTGGGTTAGATGTCTCACAGGTAGACAGTTTTGTCACTGTTCCTGTAGATTTCTTCATCCAGCTGCAGTAAAACAGGCTGTGATGACTGCAAAGCAACCCCTTATTTTACAAACCTCTGTTTACTAAGTTCTATCTCTGTTACAAATAAAAACAGTCATTTTATTCAGAAAAACACCAGAGTTGTAAATTTTCTTCTGTCTAAATGATTTAGTGTCTTGATGTTATTGTGTAACTTTAATGTTTTATGTGGTTAGTTCGGATCCAACAGCATGACGATAGATGGAGGCAGCAGGAGACCAGCGACTCCTGTTCTCTGAGAGATCAAACTACACAGGTTATTGGGATGCAAAGAAAGTCCAAAATTAATATTTTTCTAATCTTGTGGTGTTTTGTCCCTTTTGGCACACTGTAGTTAAACTGCTGCAACATCTTCCTTTATCCTCCGTCCCGTGACAGAAAGCAGCAAAACCACTGTGCTTTTGAACAAAACATTTCACTTAAAAAGTCTCCCAGACAGCTCAGTTTAGAGCCCGAAGTGATCTAAGCTTTGTGTGACACAGAACTGATATCTCACTTAAGTACTTTGTCCTTCAAATAGCCACATCTGCACATTTAGCTAGTAGGTCTTAGCTCTAACTCAAACATTACTCTGATACATCACAAAAGCTGGCAGAGCACGTTTTAGAGAGTGAGGATCACCACAGTCCTGTGCAAGAAACTAAATCTAAAAAGTTTATGTCTGCACAAATAAAAAAAATCAGAAATTAACCGCAGATCATTCAACTCCTATCTGAGGAACATCCTCAGGCTGGAATCCAGAGACAAGGACTCTCTCAGTGTGCTGGTTTTTCAATTAACCCTCTTATAAAATAATACTAAATACTGAGCTAAAAATAGACGTGCAATAAGGTGCAGATGTCCTGGCAGTCTAAGCAACCCGGTTATAAAGGCTATGATCCTTGTTGAGGTGGTTGCTGGTTTGATTTCTGGCCATGATTCTTTGCTGCATGACGTCCCTCCCTCTCTACCCCCGACATTTCTCATCTCTCTTCAGCTGCTCTTACTAAAAAAAAAAAAAAAGGCAAAAATGCCAAAAAAAAAATACATTTATAAATAAAAGCATACTTTTAAGGATAAGAATAGGAAAAAGATTAACTTTATTTATCCCCTAAGGCAGTGGTTCTCAAGTCCAGTCCTCGAGGCCCACTGTCCTGCATGTTTTGGATGTTTCCCTGCTCCAACACACCTGATTCAAATGATCAGCTCGTTATCAAACTCTGTAATGGCTTAATAACGAGCTGATCATTTGAATCAGGTGTGTTGGAGCAGGGAAACATCCAAAACATGCAGGACAGTGGGCCTCGAGGACTGGACTTGAGAACCACTGCCCTAAGGGAAAATTGACTGTCTGCCGTCTCATTTGTCATGTCTAAAAAAGTCATCTACTATTTACAGAAGAGTTATAAAGTCTGATGGCTGTTGGTACAAAAGATCTTCTGAATTTGTCTGTCCTGCAGCAAAGAGAGGGGAGCCATCCACCACCATTGGCCCTTTGGTCCATCAAGGTGTTATAAAGTGGGTGATTTGTGTTCTTTTGAAAGTTTATTTTAAAGCTTACACTTCAAAATAAAAGTATTACAGCACTGGTTAAGATCAGTTATGTCTTACTTTCCTGGGGATCTATACTTCAATCATGAATCAGAGAAAGCAACCAAAGTGGAGCTCCTGAAAAATGCAAATCCTGTTGCATTAATTCAGGGTCCCTGCATATCATATTGGCAGTGATTAGACTTTTTATGCGATCTTACACATTTCTGAATGTGTAACAGTGCCATTCTTTTAAATAATAAAAATAAAGTTGTATTTGACAGAATAAACACTCTGAAGCCGTCTCCTCCCTCTTACTTATGTTTCAGACCACACTGACAGAGCAGTGCAACATTCATTTGGAAAATAAATCTAAAAGTCAAGATCATAAAATGTCATTGCTTTCATTTGATTCTTAAAACAAGATTAAGGTAGAAATGCTTTCCATTGTTAATGAGGACTTGAATACAGTTGTTTATTTGCACAGCCATGGAAATTTTAACTTGTAATTAAAAATATGAATGAGTACATATACAGTTTGTATTTTCTGAGTGCAGTCTGTGTGTTTGTAGAGAATCATTTATCAGTTTTTTTAGGTTAAATTCCTGTTTAGCTCCATTTCATCACTGATCCATTCATTTACGCTGTCGGAGACAAAAACTACAGCTTTTACTGACGCACTTTGATCCATCAGGGATTCTTTTGCAGACATTACAGCCTATTTATCTACTACAGATATTCAGAAACAAACTGGGTCTGTTTGTCATTTAGTCCTCTGAGTATGTTAAAATAGGACCCAAGTTGAAAAAACTAGATTTACTGCTGAACTTACAGTCTTAGCGTAGTGACAGTTGGTCTCATGTTTTAGTGGTGCACTCAGTGACCTCTGTTTCATTCCTGGATCATGTGTAAAAGGATAGAGGGGGAAAAGCCGAGGGGTTCAGTGTAAAAGTGTCCCATAGGAGATTGAACGCAGGCCCTTCATGGTGGAAGAATTTTAAAGCTTTAGTACAGCAAAGATTTGGATCATCTCCATGAAACATCATGTATAAAAAACAAAAAACAACGAATGTAGAAGAAAAAAAAACATAAGCTCGGGAAAATCTAACGATTCCTCAAATCAAACTGCTGCTTTCATATCTCATTGACTGCTCAATCTGTCTTCCTTCCTCCACCCCGCATTTCTCTCCTCTCTCTCTCCATCATCATCCCTCCATCTCTGCTCTCCGGCTGTGGAGCAGCACAGTCAGAGTGGAGGATCTGGAGCGGGCTGCGGCCCATCTGTTAAACATTTTTCTGTAATCACTCCATTGTTTCTTTCCTCCTTTTGTTGTTCCCTTCTCACGTTCTGAACACGGAGCGATCGACCTCAAATATGTGAAACCTCGGCAAGTGTGTGAGAGAATGAGAGACAAACAGAGAGGAGAGGAGTCTGACTTTATGAACAGAAAGGTTGGGACTGAGGCCGTCAGATTGTGCCGGACTAGGGCGGGTGAGGCTAATAAGTCTGGGTGTGGTGGCGAACAGACGAGGGAGCCGAGCCAAACATGACAAAACTACACTGCTATTACACTCTGATCAGGACAATCGGATCAGAACACCAACACTTGCTTATAAAACTGTTTTTTATGCCGATTAACGGTTCACTTCAACAGGTTTTTTTTATTTTATTTTGTGGTTGGTCGACTCTTTTGACTCATCCTGAGAAACGCTGTGGATGAAGAGTTTCCTGAGGTTTTTGATTTCTGTCAGACAGAACCACTGAAATGTCTGCCACACACACACACACACACACACACACACACACACACACACACACACACACACACACACACACGCATGCAAATCCAGAATGAGAAACAGAGAAACAGAGAGGCTGCAGGAAAAGGGGGGGGCGCCATAGGACAGAGTCTGACACATTCCTGGCTGATGGCTCTGATACTCTTTCTCTCTCTCTCTCCCTCTCTGTTTCTTTCTCCCCCTCAGCCTGTCCAACTCTTTCTCACCCCCCTCACCCCTAACCCCCCTCTTCTTGTGGTGAGTCGAGCAATTCTTTCCAAACAAGAGCAGCCTCATCTCTGATCCAACTCTCTGGCTTTGATTAGCTGCTTAATGAGCCTGCAGTCGGTATGCTGTGGTCTGCACATACACACAACAACACACACTCATGGACACACAACACACACATGGACACTAACGGACACACACACAGATCCAGTTTGTGTGTCTGAACGCAGCAGAATTATAAACAAAGTCCACATGTTCAGCTATAATCAGCCGGCCCTCTATACACACTCGCTCTCTGATGCTTTGTCTTTGTCTCTCTGTGTTTCCTGATCTGTTTGACACACACACATACACATAAAGACACCCGCCAAACTCAAACCCAGCTCTGCCCTCAGCAGCCTGGTGCTCACTGAAGCTCCACCCACTGCCTCACTCGTTGTATATTTGCTCATTCTTCGGGTCAGAGTTGAGGGGAGGAGGTCAGTAAAAGGACGTTTGACATCTCCTTATTGTAGAACGAAGAGTTTAGAGCCAGAAAGAGGAAAAAAACAGAGGGGGGAAGATTTTTTTCCCATTCACTCTGAGGAAAAGTGTCCAAGTATCAAGAATAAAATTTGAGAAAAAAAATGCATCAAATTTAAGAGAAAAAGTCAAAATCAACAGTCAAGAAAGAAGCTTACATTTGTTTTCTAAAAATGTCAAGACAAACTTTCAGGAATAGAGGTCAACAGTTGCTGAGTACTAACATCATTCGTCACTTCTTAAAACTGCTTCAATGACACGGTCAACTTAACATCCATGGAAAACCAAGCAAAAAGAAAACTCCAGAAAGACTTCTTTTTTTTTCACAAGTCTGAAACAATCAGCTCTTGACGAGTTCGATTCTTGTTTTAGTTTCATCCTAACCAGTGTTAGATGAAGGACTGCTGATGAGTTGATGACAAACTGCATTTCTACATGCCTACTGTGTTTTCAAATAATGCATTTGGCTTTTACTCATAATGAAAGTGTTTTCAATAAACTGCAGAAGAAAAAGTCCTGGTGTGAGCAGGTGTGATCATAGAGTTATGTATGGCTAGATGCCTCACATCCCTGCCCATGATGTGTCAGAACCGCTGCCATCTTGGAGCGGTGCCTGTCATTGGTTTTCTTTGGGTTGAAGTTTTGCAAGCCTGTGGTTTACCTGACAACACCATTTGTTTACATTCAACACAACCCTTACCGTCATTCACCGGCACCACCCCAAGATGACAGTGGTCTTGACGTATGTGCTGCTGTTGTATTAGTGTTGTGTTCTTCACAAACGATTTGTTCAAAAGAACCGAATCTTTTAAGAAAACGTACTGAACTGAATCACTTCCTCAAGTGATTCGTTCATTTTTCACTTCAGTTGAGCTGTCAGCAGCACAGCTCCTATAGCACGCAGCATTGCCAGGCAAGCAGCCAGTGAACGAGGGACCGCATGCACCTATGCCTGAATCACTTGGTAACCGAATCATGCGTTGAACTACACTCTCTGGAATCAATTTGTCGGACAAAATTAACTATTTTTTTTACTGCTAAATTGCCACTACAAAAACTTACAAAAAGGTCCTTATAAACCGGGACCAACGCAAATATATGGCGTGAAAGTACAAAATATTCCGAGGTGAATTTTGACGTGCCTGACTATACACATTAAGCCCGATGTGATTTTGCAACTTTCCGGGAGAAAAAAGACGTGTCCCAGGTGGAAGCGAAAAGACTGACACGACACCAGACTGACTGTTTTTCAGTTCTGATTAGACACTAGTGTTGAGATGGCTGTCTGTCATGATAGCATGTACTGAGTCGGGGCCGGTACCAGATAAGCACATTAAACTATAATCCATAAACATAAGGTAAAAACCCAGACCTAATGGTGCTGTGACAGCAACGCGATTGAGTTTGAGACAGTGAAAATACATATGGTATGTTGTATCTGAACAGGTTAGCTTATGAGCTAAAGTTACTTAGCACAGATGAAAGTCAAAACAAAGACATTTAGCAAACTGTTAAAGCACATAAACTATCCTTCAGGTCGTTATCTTTGTAATGTTTGTGTCTTTTATCAAAAAACACTCTGTTCTCCGACACGTAAACAATCAGCCGGTCGGCCATGTTGGATATACCGGTGAATCAGACGTCACAACAACACGCAATCTGATTGGTCAGAAGTGGACACACAGTATGCAAAAGTTTAGAAAAATCAATTGTGATCCGAAAAAATCTGTTTGCTAAAGCAACACAGCAGAACACTCTCGTCTCCTGGTCCCAGAAGCTATGAACTGAACTAAATCCTGAACTGTTCAGCTGTGTATCAGTTGTGAAAGTAGAGGCCGCAGGCTCCTCCCACCAAGCGCTGAATGATTCTGTGATTCGGTGAACGAATCTTTTGAACTAATCTTTTTAGTGAACTGATTCTAGTGATTCAGTACATCTAAAAGAACTGCTGTGCCCATCACTAGGTTGTATTGATCCTGAGGTATCTAGTGCTGATATCTATGGGTGTCACACCATCATGCAGGAACTGTCACCGTTTTTACAAGTAAAAAATGGTACACCAACTTCATTTTCAAAAGTGCAACTTTATTCTCCATGTTTAAACCTCTGACTCAATTTTCACCATTTCGATTTTTTTTTCTGGGAATTTTGGACTTTATTCTCAACATTTCTACCTGTTTGTCAAAATTCTGGCTTGAATCACAAAACTGTATTTAAACTTAATTGACTTGTGCTGTAACACTTTTATTTTGAAGTATAAGCTTCAAAAGTATGCTTTTATTTGTTTTGTGCATGGAGACATACACTGCTGTGTATTGCTATTGTGCGTCTTTGCTGAAGTTGGTGGAACTATAGAAGCTAGCAGTTGGCAAAAGTCATCTCTCCTCATCAGCACTGTCTCAGTGTTAGTGTGTTTGACCATGGCTTAAGCTTACATCGGAATATCCCTTTAGCCTCTCCTGCACTTTTGCCCCCCCCCCCCCATGAAATTTCATCAAAACTTCAGCGGGCTGGTGACAAAGCACAACTCCCTCTCCTGACTCACACGTTCACACTCACTAACACACACACACAGACAAACCTCAGCTCTGTGTTGAAGAGGGAGAAGATGAACTTGCTGGACATGAAGCTCTTCTCCACATCTCTGAGCTGTAAGTTGTCCAGAGAGAGCATGTACTTTTTCTCCTTCTCCTGAAACAGAGAGAGAGAGATAAGGTCTGACAGAGGTATGCAGAGTAAAATATGACATCACACTGAAGTTACACAGGTGCTAAGAGCAAAAAAACACACAGAGTGAAGATTCAAGGGCTGTAAGGGAATTCTAGGGCTGTAAGGGTATATATATATATATATATATATATATATATATATATATATATATATATATATATATATATATATATATATATATATATATATATATATATATAATAAATATCAAAGAGAGTTAAGGGGTCTGCGAGAAGAAGTGGGACAACAAGAGCATCTGAGTTCATTTGATGACACTGACTCACACACACACACACACACACACACACACACACACACACACACACACACACACACACACACACACACACACACACACACACACACACACACACACACACACACACACAAATGCCATCAGTCTCTGGTCTGTCATCACCGTAGGGACTCATGGACGAGGAGAGCCTTTGGAGGAGTCAGTGAAGGAGCAGACAGTGAGGAGGACGGTTAAACGAAAGAGGGGGGAGAGAGAGAGGTGGGGAGGTGGAGGGGGGGCGGCTGGGCTCACATGTGAAAGTCATTACTCAGACTCAAACTCTAACACAACATTTCTCCTTAAGTGAAGCCCTTCCCCCGAACATCTCTCCTCTCGGCCTGCTCCCTCGCTCAGGACTTTGAGGAGAGGTTCAAAATGAGGAGGTTAAAGAGGAGAGCGGGAAATATGAAGCAGGAAGAGACGGCTGCAGGAGAGGATGTCCTAAACACCCTGACTGTTGTATGTGTGTGGATGTATGTGTGAGCTGTGAGAAGTGAGTTTGAATATTTCAGATCTCCCTCTTTCCGTGCTCCCTTGAACCCTACGACTCTCTTCCTTCGTTCCTCTTTCCTTTTTTCCAAAGGGGCCCACTTCCTGTAACACAGCCTGCAAAAAAATAACAGAACCGGATTGGCGCTCGTACGGCAACATCTGGGATCGCTTTGGACAGAGGGGGTGGAGCTTGGAGCAGGGGGGTTATGGTGCTGTGATGGGGTAGAAATAGAAAGTAGAGATCAGGAAGAGGAGGGATAGAGCTGGATAGAGGAGAAGGGCAGGAGAGAGTTTGTCCAGGAGAAACTGGGAGAATCTGCAGACCAGTCCAAAGTTGAATCCCCATGGGTCCCATCAACCCTTATATGGCCGCTCAGTCCCTCCCTGACTCTCTCTCCTTCCCTCACTCCCTTAGTCTCCTCACGCCTTCTCAGTGTGAGCGCGCAGATCCTGAACTGAATGAGTGAAAGTGCCACGTCAAGACTGGATACTACGCCGGACGCAGCCCCGTGGACGCTCAACTTCACAAACACTGACATCTGAGGAGGAGGGTCACCCACCGGAGAGGATGCCTGATGTTTGGGAGACCCCTCGACCCGCAATCGAGAGCTGACACCAGATTAAAAAAAGAGGAAAATATCAGAGGAAAAATGTTCCCGACTCTCCTCCGCCTCAGGCAGGACTGTTAGCCAGAGAAGAAGAGGAGGACGACCAGGAGGGGAGAAGAAACAGGGTCCTGCTCCGTCATCCCAGTGTTCAGACTACCTGTTCAGGATCTTTCTGGTGTACAGTAGTCTGCACATTGGTTAGACAGTGCAAGGATGAGCTTCAGAAAACTGCATGTTTAAAACTGTCTGTGCATGAGCGCTGCAAACGCATTTCAATGTGCACACACTACTAACAGCTTTATGTCTTTATTATGCATCAATAACTCTATTTCAGCCCAGCAGAGTGACACCAACTTTTGAAGGAACAGCAGACGATGCATTCAAGGGGGAAAGCTTAGACGATTTTTTAAGAAAAGTTTCGAACTTGCGTAAACTGAGCTTCATCTGCACAAATCTGTGGTAGAAAAGCTCTGACCCTTTTCTGAGTTTTCATCAGAGTGCAGCTCGTTTGGGAGTTTTGTGTTTCTCCATTTACATCTTGCAGAACTTTTGCAGTCAGAAACATAGTGTGCATGATTTTGTGAAAGTTGATGTTCTTTAATGGATCTACTGTGTCTGGAGCTGTGCAGGATCTTCTCATAGTCTTATGCATCTGAGATGTGGTTCAGGCCTCACACACATACACACACACACACCTACACACAGACTGAGTGTGTAGGCATGAGCCATCTGTTTTTCTTCAGCTCTGGCAGTGTAGGACTGCAGGAATGTATGTCTGCTCAGTGTGCTGTGGACGTTAAACTCTTAACTGTTATTCTGCTCCCTTAGAGAGAGGTCAGCGTAAGCAGAGATGAGACGCAGCAAACAAGCTCAAAGATGGTGAAATACAGGAGAGTGAAGAGTGTGTCTTCACAGGGATGGAGAGGAGAGGCTGGAACTGGGAGTATTTGTGAGGGAGGAGGGGGAGTCAGAGGGGGAGGTCTGCAGTGTAGAAACAGCCATGTGGGATTTCTCTGGGCAGATCTTGGAAGCTGGTGTTTGGACAAAGCTTCAGATTTTCCAGCCAGGAATGTGCAGAGTCCCAGGGAGACTGCCAACCGCAGAGAGGGGGAGAGAGAGAGGGGGGAGGGAGGAGGGGAAGGGGGGGGAAGCAAAAGAGTTAAAGAAAAAGGAATAAAATGAAAGGGGGCAGAAAAAGAAAAAAAAGTGTCTGTGGAGCCAGTTTGGGAGGAGAGAGGGAGAGAGCGGGAAAAAAGAGAAGAGAAGAGAAAAGAAGTTTGGTTAGTGAGTGTGTGTGTGTGTCACAATAATTGAGATGCAGCAGATCTGATCTCCTGTGATTACAAGGCTCACTGACTCCATGCTCAGGCCTCCATCAGCTGATAAACTCTGAAACAAAGTGGTGAAAGGGTTAAACCCGGACAAGTCTTTTAGGCTGTGATTGTTGTTGTGAAATGTTTGTGAGTCACTGTGATCTGAGTGTATCGCTCTGATGTGGGTGAACAGTATTTACACGTCTGTGTGTGTGTGTGTGTGTGTGTGTGTGTGTGTGTGTGTGTGTGTGTGTGTGTGTGTGTGTGTGTGTGTGTGTCATTCATCACATGTGTAGAGTATAAGTGTGTGAGTGTTAGATCTGATTTGTTCAACTATAACAATGTGTGTATATGCCCGGGGCTGTGTGTGGGAACACTGTGTTCAAACTGTGCAGTGTATATGTGCAGAGTGTGTGTGTGTGTGTGTGTGTGTGCATGTGTGTGTGTGTCAGTGTATATTTGTCTCCACTGTTTGTTTACATCTGACTCTGCATTTGTACTGTACACTGTATACACAAGTCTGTCCCACTCTGTGTGTGTGTGTGAGAAAGTTTAAGTGTGTGTGTGTGTGTGTGTGTGTGTGTGTGTGTGTGTGTGTGTGTGTGTGTGTGTGTGTGTGTGTGTGTGTGTGTGTGTGTGTGTGTGTGTGTGTAAGTTTGGCTTGGTGTGGCTCCAGCTGTGTCAGAGTGAGCCGCTCCAAATGCCTCAACTCCCAGAAGAGGAAGAAAAGGGGGAGCAGAGGGGGAGTAAAGGGGGAGAGTGAGCGCAGAGCAAAGCAGGACCAATTGGGGAGGGGGGTTAGAGGAATGAGGGAGGGGGGTGCTGAGTTCAGGTCCAGGTAGCAGGAGAGGAAAGAAAACCTTAAGCTGTTCAGAGAGAGAGAGAGAGAGAGAGAGATGGGGAGATGGGGTTGTAGATGCTGAAAAAAAACCTCCATTAAAGTTTCTTAGTTTTAGTTTCCACCCTGAATTAATTAATTGGTTCATTTGTCCTCATTATTATCATTATATTATCAAGGTTTTGAGTCTTTTCAGAGCACTCACTAAGAACAGCAAATCATCTCAACGAATTGCCCACTCCACGTGTCTGTGAAATATAACCGAACTTGGGGGGATCGGGCATTCTCCACAGCTGCCCCTACCCTTTGGAACTCGCTACCTCCCTCCATCAGACACTGCCCTGACCCCACTACTTTTAAATCCCTTTTAAAAACTCACTTATTTAAAATTGCTTTTAATATTTAACTGTTTCGTCCATCTTACTGTTTTTATGTCTTTGTCTTATTATCTTGAATTTTACGTACCATGTAAAGCGTCTTTGAGTGTTTTTAGAAGCGCTGTACAAATAAAATGAATTATTATTATTATTATTATAACCAACTTAAAATCAGCTGCTCTTTGAATCTACAGCTGATACTGTGGCGTGTTTCCCCCTCCTGTGACATCACTTCCTGTCCTGGTTCATGACCCCAGCTGTGACGGGATGAGACTGTTGTGGTGTGTCTGCCTGTCTACACTTGCTGTGCAGACCTTCTGCTCCTGTACAGCAGGCACAGACAGGCAGACAGATGGCAGCCCCACTGACACCAGAAAACACACAGACACACACAATGACCGTCATCTTCATTTTAACCTGCTGTGTGAGGCTGAGACTTCTGTTAATAAAGCTGAGTCTACTCCAACAATCTCTGTGTCTGACTTGACTCTGTTCTTATTCATAAAGTTAATAAAGTTTTTTTGATAAATGTCAGTGTGATCTTTTCTTTTTGCAGAGCTCTCACACATCAAGTGCAAAGTTTCTGAGAAGTCTTGGTTTATTTCTGGACATACTTCACCATCAGAGTATAGTAATTTAATGTTTTCAGAACTCTGATCTGTGCGTACTGATTTGTTGCAATGTTCAGTTTTTTTAATATTGCTTTGTCTGTACATTTTGGCCCTTTGTACACACCAGGGATACAATATTGGATTTTTGACAATATCCAATATGCCAACATTTTCAGACTCACTTTAGCCAATATAGATATCAATTCCAATATCTGCACACTTTTATTTGTCGTTGTAAAAACACATTTTCTCCTCATCATTACAGACTATTGTTATAGAACTAGATAAATAAGACAAACAGCATTTGATTCTACCATGGATGATAAATACATTATTATTATTTTTAACATAGACAGTCAGTAATAAATCTGCTGTTTGTTTACAACACTTCAAAACATTTCTGTACAGCCAACTTATGCAAGCTGTTAACGTGTGCAAAAGACAGGAATGCAACACCTTTTGGCAGATAATTATATGAGTAGAAGTTTTCGTAAGTGCTAATGCCCATTATTCACTTTTTTTTTGCTATTATCTGCAGATACTGATATCATGCCAATAATATCATGTATCTCTAATACACACACAAACAGACATCAGGTCAGTAAAAAAATTTAAATTGCTTTCCAAGATGGAGGTTTTTAAATCTCTGTTCTCTCTCTCTATGGGTTTCCGTGAAAATGAAAGTTAAAGAAAATTCTGACAACCAACCTCAACACACAATCACTGTTGAGTAAAGTTGCTGCACACACACACACACACACACACACACACACACACACACACACACACACACACACACACACACACACACACACACACACACACACACACCAAGATGGTGGGCAAGCAGAATACTTCTGATTGATTCTCGATGTATTTGCATTTGTAAACGTGCTGTTCATCATCAGTGTATTGTGGTAAGAGAGCAAATAAATATATTAAGCTCAATAGTTTTTAAACTTTTCCACTCTATATGTGCAAAACTGTTTTCTTTGGAGTTTGATGTAACAGACTGATGGCTCATTAACACACCTACTGGTCTGGCATGCTCATGTGAGTGTTTTCAACCATGTGTGTAATGCCGTGTGGACAGTGCAGATGGAAAACCTCTGCTTACAACCCATCTGCCTCTGTGTGGACTTGGCCTTAGTCTTTAAATGGAAATGATTTTATCGCAAGATACATTTTGGTTATTTTTCTCTAAATCGCTTTCGTCTAGAGATAGTCAAATGAAAAGCCTTACTTTGAAAAGGTGGTATTATACATTTTTGTGGACTCTATTCTTCCTCTCTGATTCCTCTTTTATAACTTAACATGGTTTTCAGATAAAAAAAAAGCCTCCTGTTTCTCACTCTGGTGTATCAAAATATCATTATTTCAGACGCAGAGTGAAAACTCTTTGCAGCTAAATGCAGACAAAACAGAAACACTGGTTATTGCCCCTGATTATTCAGTTCCAGGGATTAAACAGTACTTGGGTGACATAGGCCAGTCAGCTAAACCTAGCTTAAGAAACTTGGGTGTCATCTTTGACAAAGACATGTCCTTAGAGGAAAGATTTGACGAGAAACTGCTTCTTTCAACTGAGGAAAATCTCTCAGCTCAGGAAAATGGTGTCCCAAAATGACTTGGAGCTCATCATTCATGCCTTTGTGTCGTCACGTTAAGACTACTGTAACAGTTTGTTTTCATGCCTGAACAAAAAGGAGCTGTCTCGTCTTCAGTAAGTGCTAAACTCTGCAGCTAGAATTCTAACCTGCGCTAACAGGCGGACTCACATATCCCCTATTCTTAAAGGCCTACACTGGCTGCCTGTGTCCTCTAGGATCAATTTAAAAATTCTTGTCCTAACATTTAGAGCCTTGCATGGTCAGGCTCCATCTTATATTTGTCATCTGATCCAGCCTTACAACCCCTCTTGGGCTCTGAGGTTCATGGATCAGAATCTGCTGATGGTTCCGGTCACTCGTTTTCGGATCAGAGGAGACCGATCCTTCCAGACTGTTGCCCCCAGGCTTTGGAATGATCTTCCTCTCTCTCTGCTCTTAATTGACTCTGTTGACGCCTGTAAAAGCCAACTCAAAACTTATTTATTTGCTCAGGCTTTTGCTTAATTGTTTTTGGGGCTGCTATGACTGTTTAATGTTGTCTTGGCCTTTTAATTTGTATGTACATTTTTATTTTTGTCTATGTGAAGCACTTTGTGACTCTTTTGTCTGGGAAAAGTGCTATACAAATAAAGTTTACTTACTTACTAATGATATTTGAAAGAGCCTGTTTCTCATCATCTTTAATCTTTCTTAATCTTTTATCTCTTTTATTTCTGTTTTTTTTTCAGCTTTACTGTCTTTTTTTGTTATAATTACATACTTGTTGATGTTTTTATTTTGGTCCTCATGGTCTCATTCTATGTTGCAGGGTTCCTGTATTGTCTGGCCTTCAATTCTAAAGCCTTGTTTCAACTGAGCTTTTTTGTTTTTATTTCCATGTGCCAACATTCTGTGCTTTATGACCATTTGTCAAAGCTCTTAGTAAACCTCTGTTTTTAAAGGGGCTATAAAAATGAAGCTATTATTATCATGACCTCTGTTGGTTTTTGAAGCTTAAAACTAGTTTCTGTGCATTTCTGATCATATTGTTTTGAGCATGAACTCTGAGACTACAGGTCTGTGAGTGTGATCACCTCACCTCATCGTCTTTGTACCAGCACAAACTCTCTGCAGTCAAGATGAACCAGTACTCTTTGGCTCCGCCCTTCATGATGCCGATGTTACTGATGGTCAGCCAGCCTTTGCGAATCACCTGCGCGACAGGAGAGGACAGTTTATGTGTGATAAGTTTGTGTAATGAAACTCTACAGAACAAGGAACACAATCAAAGAGAAGATGGATGATTCACAGAAGAGGACACATCAGGAACAGCTGACACTAAAGGAAAAGGAGATTTTTGCAAGCAGAAAATGCAGCCATGAGATCAGCGAGCATTCCTCTGTAGAGGATAGACGGGATCCAAGAAGAGAAACAAACATAATCAAACATAGAATAAGATAGGAGAGGCTTTAGGTTTATAAAATAAGAAAGTACAAGATAACAAATATGATTTAAAGAATGCATCCCCCAAGAAAAGAATCAACATCTGCAGACTTTCATGCATCTGGGAAAAGTAAAAAGAGACTGATTTGAGAGAGAGAAATCCTTCAGTTTGTGAAAGACAGATAAATAGTCAAAGATCAGCGGAGGATCAGCTGCAGAAAATCATTGAGACAATAATCAGACAGTGTGCATATTTTCTGCCTGAGTCCTGCACAGAAACATTTACAGCAGGGAAAGCAGAGAGAGAGAGAGAGCTAAACAGACTGAGCTCCTACTATCAGGCTGGAGAGAGGAATCACACCCTGCAGAAAAAAGGAGATAATGGAGAAACACTTTCATCAGTTTATATTATCCCACTGATAATCATGATTTAATGATTAAAAACAACATGAGGGAATAGATATCTGACACAAGAGTTGTTTTAATGAGCTGCTGTTTACCACATTTTATCAATGTTCCTGATTAAACACAGACACACACACACACAACACTGTGTCTTTGATTTTTCCACATTAATATCATCTTACACATTAATCTGGATCAACCCAGAGTATTTCTGTTAAAGCCAAGATCAGCTGTGGTAAGATTTTTGGACAGTTAATCACTTTTATCAGCAGCTCTCAGTGCTGATTAATGCTGATGAATGGGAAACACATGGAGGGTGACATCAGGGAACAAAACAAAACAAAATGTGAAAAAGATGGAGAAAATCTAACTAACAACCACACACTCTGCAGAAAAACAAAGCAAGAAAAGTTTCTCCTCAAAACATATGACCTCCATTAAGAATAATTAAAGAGAAACACACTCATCTATGATGCATGCACAATAAACATTAGTATGAATACCTCAAAATGAAAAGTATCATCACAACTGTCGATTTTCTGAAATCCCTCTTATTTCAGTTTAGGTTTATTACCCACTCCATTCATCCGAATGTGTCATTAAATGTGATTAAAGGGTTACTCAGAAAATCCAGAATTCAGGATAAATCCACAATAATCAGATCTCTGATCAGTGTTTGTTGATGTTTGGCAATAAAACTGAATGAAAGTCTCACCTGGTTTCCTGTTGAGCCTGGGGCAGTCTTCTGGTTGTTTTGGTTGTTTGTCCTCTGAGCACTAAGACAGAAAGAGTTTATGTCATTACGCTGAGGGAATCTACATTTTGGGAGTTAAACTGGAACAGAGTTGTTGGTTTTACCTTAACAAAATACACTGTAAGCTGCTCAAAGGGAGATTTTAAAAAATCTGCTGATTGTGCTGCATGCAGAGTGTGTTTGGGTCAAAGTCTCTCAAAATTTGCTTAAAAAGTTGATCCAGATAGTTTGCTGGTTCTCCTGACAGTTTCTCATGAAAAAGGCAGAGCTGACCAGCATCCATCGGGGTTATCACAACTACTAGTTACAGGTAGCTCATATTATCCCACTTCAAGAATATGGAGACATCCTTTTTTAAGTTAAAGCTTATTTTTTAAACATTGCTATTGGCTGTAAATGTTTTTGTTCATAGATCTGCTCAAATAAGTAAAAATAAAACAAAAACTCTCTCCTCCAAACTCTGAAAAAGAGCCATGAGAGCAGCGTTTAAATGTAGCGTTACTCACTTTGTAAAGCCAATGAAGTCTTCATGTTTGGTGTTGACGTAGGCCAGCTGTATGTCGATGAGCAGCAGCACCTGAACACACACCCACACACACACTTAAATAAGAACAGCAGACACACACACACACACACACACACACACACACACACACACACACACACACACACACACACACACACACACACGCACAGGAGCAGTGAAATAAACTCAGTGTGTGTAAGACCTGGTCTCTGCATCTGCTCTCCTGCTGTCTTATCTCTGTAGTCACAATCCTCTCTGTCTCATCTCGCAGTTTAGGAAATGAGCTGAGCTGCAGACAGGAGAGAGGTCAGAGGTCAAATAGAGGGTATGCTAAAATTTATTTCACAAAATCAGACTAGACAAACTTTCCATACCTTGTTGATACACTGGTACACTGTGCTGGTTAGCTCCTGACCGACCATGTCCACAAATTTGAAACATGGCCCCTTTAACCTGGAGATCTGTTTCTTCACGATGGCTTCAAACGCCATGTTAGGAGTGAACAGACCCGTCCTGCAGAGGCAGACAGGAAGAGACACAGCGGACATAAATAAGACAAGTGTGGGAGCCAAATCGTGGAAACATATTAATGAGGTGTTTCAGTTGATTACATACCTCTGTTTGGTAATGCGACCAAATAATGACATCTTTTTATGGCGTCATCATAATTTAGATTTGGCTCTGTGTGTTTTCACAGTTTTTTCAACTTTTTTTTTTTTTATATTAGTTTTGTGTTTAGTAAATCTTGTTTTTTTCCACCTTTTGGATTGCCTCACATCTTTTAATATTTATTAGGGTTATGAAGCCAACGTACACATCCACACACACATACATATAAGAGTCAATGTTCATCAAACACTTTGCCACCAAGGACATCATATTGTGAGTAAACTTTCAAAGGAGCTTAAAATCAACTATAAACCTCCAATTGTCCTCTAAAAATGGCTAGGAGGAAACAGACAGAGGTCCTAGTAACAAACTAGGTGAAGTCTGTATGTAAAAAACATTTTAAAAAAGACTTTTAATGAACTAAAAACTATACCTGACTCCATGAATGTTTCTGATGGCGTAGTTTATCTCTCGTCGCAGCTTCTTTTCGTCTGACTCCATCTAAAGAAACAGAATCAGAGTTACATATGCACATAGAGGTTCATTTTCTCAGCAGCATTGCATTGTGGGAGAATTTAACCTAAACTATTCCATGGTGTAAGGAATCCAGATACCAGACAAGTTTAAGTGTTCAGAGAGAAAACAATGCAGATTTGATCACTTGGTACAACCTTAAAACCATGTTCTGAATTATAAATTAAAGCTTGGACTGGAAGGAAAGGCTAAAATCAGAAGACTTTTTAATAACTACACTAAAAAATGTCATTCCAAAATAGCTGTCAAAATTAACAGCATCCTGTGACAATGGACCCAACAAGACACACTCTCACCTTGATCAGTTCATAGGGGAAGCGTTCGTGGAAGATCCGGTTGATTCTTGCGCCTGCTGACAGACTGACGGTTTCCACGTCATCTCCTGTCCCTTCAATCAGCTTCTCAAAGTCTACAGACAGACGCTGAACCAGCCTGAGACACAGCAGCACAAACACACACAACACACAGTGAGGTATGAGTCATTTAAAGACAGTAAACACACACAAACACACATGCAGGAGGACTGACTGCAGCAAGGTCTTGGTCCTGCGTGCCAGGTCTTCAGGATTGAACTGCCGGTACTCTTCGGCCTCTTTGTTCAGGGCAAGCAGCTGATCTTGTAGAAGACTGCGTACAGCAGGCAGAGTGTCTCTGATGTGGTTTGTGAGTTGCTGCAAACAAACATAATCAGTGTGAATAAACACACACACACACACACACACTCTGCATGACCTTCTTTCTGCCACTATGTGTGTGTGAGTGTGTTAACCTGGTTGAGCACTCTCTGTAGGTAAGGGGTGCCCATGCGGTCGGCCATGTGCCTGTAGGCCGGGTGTGACAGGAAGAACTTCTGCTCAGCCAGCAAAGCGGCTTTAATGTCCTTCTTCCCATCGATGTCCTTCTGACTGCGGTTCACCACCCCAATGTAACCTGAGGGAGGAAGAGTGTGATCTCTGAGCGGAAGACGATAAACACTGGGATGTCAGATGGAACTCTCTGACGTGTCTCTGGATCTCCTCCAGACTGCCGTCACACTGTAGCTTACAGACAGAAAGTGATCCTGCATTTGGTTCAGTCAAAGATGTGAGAGCATTAGGCTCCATGTCTAAAGCTTGGACTCTGAGCTGCAGTTCTTTCACTGTGTCTCCGTGCATAATGAATTATAACTGCAGGAGGAGCATGAAGGAGGCACCAGGTGCAGCTTCACTCAGACTGACACCGCGGACTGCCCTCACACTCTGAGACGTATTTCTGGTGTTTGACTGATTTTACACATTTACTCTTAAAATCTGTATGATATTTGAATCAACGCTGAGCGGCTCCTAAAAATGTCCAGGCTTTATCAGGCTGGACTGCATGTGTGAAAATTACTTTTTTCTTCCTTTTTTTTTTACCATGACATGTAGATCTGAGCGCTCTGGTGTAGACCATGAGCTCAACAAACAGCAGTTCTACCACATGCATTACTACTCTGTGCACATCAAGTATGAACAAAACTGCAATTCTGAAGTTTTCCTAGGAGTTTTCAGTGTTTTGTTGTAAGTGATGCAGACTCTGTGTTTCAGTGTCAGATTACATTCACGCTGTGTGCCGCAAAGATGGTAAACGCAAAGACAGAGTCTCACTCTGTAAAAAAGAACACACTGAGATTTTTACTAACTTGTATAAGATTTTAGACGTTTTCAGTTTGTGTAATGTTAAATTTAGTGAAGACTTTTGAAAGTCCCCCTTTAAACAAAATAATCATTATTATTATTATAATTTTGACTAAAAATGATACCATGATTAATAAAAATGATTACCCATGATTTGACATCTGTAACTTATAAACTCTTAAGTCTTTGAAAAAGACGTGGTAAAAAAATTTAATCCAACCATTTTTTGTTGACTTTTGTTGTCTTAAGCATCAATCTATCTGTCTGTCAGTCTGTCTGACTGGTTGATATAAAGTTTGTTAAAAGTCACATGTTCAATTGAAATGAATCATGCATCAATTATTTGCTTCACTTTAAGAGATTTAGCCTAATTTTGGTAATAACACTCACTATATCAGTTCAACGTTTTTATGCTGAGTCATAAAAATTGAAAGATTTGAGCTTTTTTACCACTTTCCTTTTATCACAGGCTGTAGTTCAAACAAATCATTCAGTCTTTTCAGCTTTTAAATATAACATCCTCTATAATGTCAAGACTTGGGCTTCATTTAATCATTTGTCTTTTACTTTCTAGCCCAACAGTCATTAGCTTGTTAGCACTTGTGATCTCTACAGCCTCTCTCTCTTTGTGCTCATTCTGTCCCTCTGCTTTTCAGTCACACACAGATACACACACCTGCCTTCTCCTGCTCCTGTCCCTGCTGTCCTCTCTCCTCCTGTGGCTGATAGTCTGATGGTTTGTAAACACACATTCTCACACACATCGTCTCACACGCCCATAAGCCACTCACCTCTGCGCAGAGGAAGCAGCTTGTTCTCCAGGATCACCCTGGCGTCTGTCCCTGCATCCATCAGATCCAGCTTTGTGATCACACCAATGGTGCGCAGACCTACAGGAAGAAGAAAACTTTTTTAACACTGAATATGAATAATTTATTAACCCTTTAATGTAATAATAAGATAGAGATTCCTCCCACCCTGAGGGTCCACGTCTTTGGCCAGTTTGAGAGCATCAGAGTTGGCGAGGTCCATGTTTGCAGGTGTGACCGCTAGGATGAGACAGTGCTCCTTACAGATGAACTGCATGATCATGTCTCTGATCTGATACTCAATGTCTGAGGGTTGATCACCAACAGGAACCTTTGTGATGCCCGGCAGGTCCACCAGAGTCAGGTTCAGCACTGAAGAGGACAGAGGGGGACAGAGAGGGATGTTCTTAGTGTAAGAGAGAGTTGGCTGAGTGGACTCATGTAATCTAAATTCACTGTGAGAAGAATACTTGTTATATAATGTTTCCACGTGCAGACTGGGTGTTATTTGTACTTAATGTTACCATGAGGGGAATGAATGCGCAGGTGGATGGGGACAGGTGAGATTCCTTTGTTGGATCCCGTCAGTCTATGAGTCTCAGCCTCAATCTCCTGTTGGATCTCATCAAAATCTGTAAACTTCTTCTCCTTACAGTGCAGGAACTCACCATACTCTGAGGACAAGAAACAATCATTGAAAATAGATAAACAAGGGGATCTTGGGATGATCAACAAGTGTACAGTGTATTAAAGAAAGTCTGTATGCTTCAAAAATCAAAGATAAACTGCTAGAAAATGTCAGGTCTGCTGAAACTGTCCATCTCCACCAGTTGAAGACTAACCTGTTAACACCATCCCTTAAATAAGTCATCTGTAAATCTATTCTAATTCTTCTTCAACACTGTACTGTACTTAAAGTTTGATGCTGTATATAAAACTGACATACTGCAAGTTAACCTTTGTATTTGCTGTTTCTTTAATCTTTGCTCTGATTTTTTATGGCTTCTTTTAATTAATTTTTAATTTAATCTCTGAAAGACTTTAAAAGTTTTCCTTCCAATGTCTTTTTCTGACCTTTTTCATTTCCTGTTAATACACCATTTATGCCATGTTGCTGAAATGTGTTGTATAAATTCATTTGCCTTGCTTTGCCTTACTTATGCATCATTTCTACAGCTCTATACTGTATAATACACCAGAACACATTTTATAACTTGTCCTGCATGTTTTGGATGTTTCCCTGCTCCAACACACCTGATTCAAATGATCAGCTCGTTATTAAGCCACTACAGAGCTTGATAACGAGCTGATCATTTCAATCAGGTGTGTTGGAGCAGGGAAACATTCAAAACATGCAGGACAGTGGGCCTCGAGGACTGGACTTGAGAACCACTGCTCTACACCCTTAAATGGCGTCTTTTATTTATTTTTTTTACAAAAATGTCATCCTGCTAAATGTTGACACTCAAATGGATCATTTACTGTGACTATCTCATGAGGAAATTTTAACACAGTGCATCAACCTGCTTAAAACTTTCACAAGAGTTTTAGATACTTTTCTTTTTGAGCACAGCTTTATTTCTGAAGTTTCTGTACTTTCTCCACATGGCTTTAATGCTCTGTGCATGCTTAATTCTTTATTTTTTATTTATTTTTTTGCTTACTTTTTTATGCTATCTTATTCCTATTTCAGTCAATATTCCTAAAGTCTACCTTTGGATTCAACTTCACCTCACAATAATTAAAGAACTTTTTATTCTGGTTCTGATTATCTACAAGTCTGTGGTGTCTGGAAAAGAATTAAAGCTTGAACAAAAAAAAAAGTTTTAGGCAGAGCTTGGAAACAAGATCTCATGTGTAACCTCATGACCTTATGCTGCCTCTTAAAAAAGAGCTGTCGATGACTCACCAGATAGAGGCTGAAAAGAGAGAGCTGAAGCGGATGTTACAAATTTTTTTTACATAGCTAAATGATCCTGTCAACCTTTATTAAAACTTAAAAATGAAGCACTCCCCTGTCCTCAAAAGCACTCTTATAAAATTCATAGTCACAAGATACCAAGCCCTTCCCAGTGCTGGGCAGGCTAAAATGTTCTAATATCTCACACTGCCACCTGCTGGCAGCTCTGAACACAAACACAGACGGTGTCTCTGAGCATGAGTGAGTCCAACCTACCCGCGTCAGCACTGAGCAGCTGGAGGATGAGTGGTCTGCGTGTTACGATTCCTGAACCCCGAGGAAGGAAGTCTCTGCAGGAGAGGAAGAAGACTTAAGTAGAGAAGAATACACACACCAAGAAAACAAACACAACCACACACACTGCTATCAGGCTGCAACCAAAGAGTTGTTACAAGTTACAAGATGATCAAATTGGTTTTAAGATTAATTTGAGAATACAGGGATTCTTGTTTAAACTGTCAATACAGGGGAACATTTCATTGTTTACATTGTTGTTATGGATAAAATATGAAAATAAAGGTGCGATGGAGTGTTGTTGTATTGGTCAGCGGTGCATTACTTTGTATCAGTAGTCTCACATTCATAGACATGAGGATCATCCAACATTTGGAGTGTGATCTATATTGAGCTGCAGAGAAACAGAGTGCACGGAGTAAAGCATACTCGCCCTCATTTCCACTAAAACCAGATTCAGGAAGTTTGTTTTACTGCATCCTGTCTGGATGAAACAGCTGGCACAGAGGCGGTGTCAAAACACAATCAGACAAAGAGCTGAGGTGTGGGATAAATATCATCACACTGTCAGGAAATCAGACACACAGAGCTGACACAGTGAGTCTGAAACAACGTTTTGGGTCTCCTCTTTACAAACTGAGCTGTCCTGATACACAGCCATGGATAATGTTCTCTGGGTTCTAGGATCTGTAAATGTGTTAAAGGTCAGATGTGAATAAACAGAGCTCAGTGTTCAGCTCAGTCTGCCTGGAGGACCTGATCACATCTCTCTTCAGATAAGCTTCTGAGCTGGTTTCTGTCACAAACGCTGCCACCCCAGCGTTCAGACCAGCAGATCACACTGGAACAGAGTGTTCCCACTGGTTAGAGTGGTTCAGGATCAAGACCTAGGTTTTTAAATCAGGACTCCTCAACTTTGAAAATCCCCGCCTGAAGATCTGGAGCAGCTGATTTTTCAACATCCTTAAAGTCCCTCTCTAGAACAAAAAGCTTTTTTATTAATTTTGGTTCACTATTTCATACCGAACATAATATAATCACTCTCAAAATCAGGACCAGTGTTCTTGCTGGCTATCTGGAGTTTTACTTCAATGGAAAACCGATCCTCCTGTTAATAAGGCAGTAATAACATCACAAGTTTGTAAAGCTGCACAATCACTAATTCAGATTAGTCCAATAAGAGGAACAAATCTCTCTATTCACATATTGGCCTTAACATCATGTTGACAGCACCAGCTCATCACAAGAAATGCATCTGAAACTTCTGCGGTGAATAAAACATATCAGAAAGATAACGCTGGTTTTCACCTCATCCATTTCCTGAGGAACTACTTAAGTATGTCATGCAAAGTCTTTGCATCTGTACAATCTACTCTTAAAAAGTTTCAGTCCCCAGAAATCCAAAAACATTTGTTGACAATCACTTCCATTCAAGAAGACTGAATGATAGACTGTATTATAAAGGTGAAACTTTGACTTTTCATAAGGTCTTTTCTTTGGCGCAGATAGTTCACTTTAATTCTACAATTTGAGTTGTTATGACACATGACATGGAGTCAACTCCAGCTCCACATTACTCTAAGCAACCCCAACATATCATCGCAGTCAATGTAACCATATTACAACTGAAACACAGACTGTATAAACGTAGCCTGGTGGTCTGTGCGTGTCCCTCATATACCTCCCGTGGTCAGTATGGGTTTTTTTTTTCAGCCTGTGGGAATTTTCCCACATGTCACTACCCCACTCTTTCCTCATTTCTTGCACTAAATACTGTCCTTGGTGCCAGAAACAAATGGTTACCAGAAAAAAAATGAATGAAGTCTCAGTGACGTCAACCATGGGTCCCTTGAGAGACATGTTACATCCCAACAATGACAGTCTCCATGATAAAATTACTAACTCGACTTTACTTTTAACAGTTTTACACAAGATCTGGTGAGTTTTCTTTTTGCTTATGTGGACACCCTCAAATAGACACTCAATTTCATCTCTACATTTGCTTCATTTTTTGACTCTAGAGGTTTCAGCTTGCACTGAGACAGGACTTCACTTTATATGTGAGGGATTCTGTGCAAATGTACAACAACAATCACAGTATCAAACAACATACCTTTCTTTTCTTTTGGCAGGAGGTGTTTTGCACCAGACTTGTTTGTAAGTGTCATTTGTAATATTGCAACATGATCTATATTAATGTTAGAAAGATGCACTAGCTGAGCATTTTTTATTTTGCATTTAAAGAATAAAGTCAGTGACAGTAAATCTCCCCCTCAGATTTTTGTTTCTCATGTTTGGTCCAAATAACTTCCCCCCATTTCTTGTTCGTCCATGTGAAGCTTTCTGTATCTCTGTGATTTTATAAATCTGTATAAACAAGTTTGTTTTCATTATCCACTAAGAGTTTAAAGATTTCTTATAATACTTAAATGACAACGTTACAGTAGGAGAATGGTTATTATTTACAGAGTCCAGGATTAAGTTTTTTCTCTAGCTCCTTCAGCTCACTGAATATTTCACCTGCTGATACTGAAATCTCTGCAGAACACTGAAGAAATATGCACAGCAAACGGAGCATTTGTGTTTTCACACTCTGGAGTAATGTGGTTGTAATCAGACTGCAGGTATTCTGGATATGCTACCTGGAGTCAACAAAGGAATGCAGACTCCTAATCCAGGTTTCTGAACATTTTGCAGTCCAGACAATAAACACTAAGATGGTGAGGAATCAAACACTTGTAAAAACGGATGATTACAAACCTGGTTACTGTTGTTGACATAGAAAAAAGAGCTTGTCCCCCAGATTTCCTATGTTGATATCACACCAACATGCAGGAAAAAATACTTACAGGTAACCACCAGCCAGAGAATCATCAAATAAGTCATAATATGAAACCCTGACTTTCAGTTATTGAGGGTTTACCTTGATGAAAATTTGGCGAGGAGAAGAAAAAATACTGGCATTGGCAAAAGAGTTTTATTGTTTTTTGGTAATTATTGGATCAATGATAAATGCAAATATAAACAAAATCTGATGGCTTGCAAATCATTAAAAGCCTTCATTCTATTACAATTTGAGCTGAAAAAAACATAACAAATATTAAAACCAAAAACATTTTGTTATATGAAAAACATTTTCTAATTTTTTTCAGGCAGCACTGCATTAAAAACGGATAGGACTCAGTAGTGGGCATCAGTGTGTGGGATCAATATGACTTCAAAATCACAGTTATTGAACATGATTGGTTTCTACATCCTTAAATACAGATAAAGACTGAACCATGCAAAAATAAACTATATGTTAAGAGGGGCAAGGACATTCTCTTGGGAAATCTTGGACACTGCATCCTCCTCTCCAAAGAGTAGAGGGACCACCCTGCTCCATTAATACTGAACAATCCAGGTTTAGGAGCAACATCTGACCTTCATATTTCAGCAAGACAAAGACAAACCACATGCTGCAGGGATGACGGCAGCATGGCTCCATAGTAGAACAGTCCTGACTTGTGAGCCATTGAAAACATTCTGAAGCATCATGACACAAAAAATAGGAACTGTTAGGAACTTTGAGCTGTTGAGCAGCTGAATACTTATATCAGGCAAGAATTAGACCACATTTTACTTTCTCAACTCCAGAAACTGGTCGACCGGGTTCAATAACATTTACAGTATGTTGGTAAAAGAAGAGATGATGACACAGAATGAAAAATATAACCCTGGAACTACTTTCTAGAAACATGTTGCTGAAATTTAAAATGACAATACAGTATATTTTTGCACTTCTGAAATTTAAATATGGACGTAAAATAATCTACCAACATTTATCTATTTATTTATTTTATTTATTGACACATTTTTAATTGGGTTTATTTGAAAAGATGCAGTTATGCAAATACCCAGCTAGCAGGGAACATCTCAAATGCAAACTACATGAAAATTGGCAAGTGTCCCGATTTCTGTGATAACAAAAATGTGAAATTACCAGGAGTGGGAGGGAAAAAAATGTAACTTAAGTGCCTCCTCCATTTAGTTTTTCTTTCTGTTTAACAGTACACTTTCTCTTAAACAGAGATTGGGGGTGTGGTTATTAGTCTCAAGTAATTATTACCAAGGCAACCAGACTGCCACTCTAGCAAGATAAACACAATCAGCGACCTCCGGTTGTTGAAAATCGAAGCCAATGCAGAAGTGCAAAAAAACTGCAGTTCATGGAGTGTCCCCTTGAGGTTGGCTCCAAGAGACCCGACAGTCACATACACACCCTGTGTCTGTTTTTACAGCATAAATTAATATGTTTACAGCCTGATACATAAAGCAATTTTGGTCTGATTAGTTATTGTCTTCATCAGCACACACTGTACAGGAGGTGAATTTTCTGATAACTCATCCATTTTGATTTTATGAACGGTTTGAGTTACGCAGAGTTAGGCTGACCTGATTGATGGACAGGCATGATGTAATGGTTTGTTAAGAGACTTAAAACATGCCTCAGCTCCATCTCTTAGCCGTCTATGGATAAACATCACTAGCATGAATTGACAATAGTATCAGTATTAGCATGAGTATTTGCAGTGATAGCTGTCCCTCGAACATAAGGTCTTCTTGTGTATTGAAGAGCTGCAGAGTTAATTCAAGGTCAAACTGTAACCCGTAACTTTTACAACCACTAGAAAACTTTTGCTTTTTCAATGGTCCCCATTGACTGCTCAGAGCAGCCACAGTAGTTATAATGGCTATAGTAGCTCCATAGTGTCAATATTCGTTGAAAACTTTCTCTGACAACAATCGTGAAACCAAAATTTGATATTGTGACATCCCTAGTATGAGCCAATGTAAAAAAAAAAATAACTTTTGCAAATAGACAGTGAAAGGGGACGAAAATGCCTGATTTGCATCAGCTTCTAAAAAAATTGTAGTGAAAGTTGCAGTATTTTGAGGCTTCATTTTTTCAATGCCATTGCACAAGAGTGTGAGTTTGCACAAATACTTTTCATGGCACACAAGGCATGGAAGGTCGCTATTTTATCATCCACTGTCTCTTAAGGGCAGGCACCCAACTTGCAGTTTGCACATTTGTTTGTTGTCTGTTTTCCAATGGCTGCTTTGTATTGTAGTCCTCTGAGAAGTATTTGTTAGGTCAAAGCTTGACCACTCAAGATTGCCACCTTGAACTCTGTTAGAGCAGCTCAAGTGAAGCCTCAAAAACCAAATCATTTTGCAAAAGGAAAATGGAAAATGATGAGAAACAGCACTTGTATTAATGTATGAATGTTTTACAAAAAAATTTTACTGTAAAGCGAAAAGAATTGATCACAATTGTTGATATAAGTGCAATGAAAAAGTTACTACTTCTTTGACAACTTGTTTTAGCTACACAAAATATTAAGAGAAAGAAACAGTACGTTTAGGTGTGTCCACCTAAAAGTATGGAAAGGTTTGAGAACCCTGTTCTAGAGGAAACCATCCCAAATGCTTGTAGTTCAGAATCCTCATAACACTGATTTCACCTGTAGTTGTTTTTCATAATATATTTTTTAAAATATTGTTTGTTTTATAAGCTTCTCCCACAGGAAACAGCAGTTCAGATGCGTTGCAGAAGAGTTCAAAAACAATGCCAATCACTGAAAGTAAGTTGGCATCTTCATCATGACCATGCAGATGTTAAAGTGAGATATGAAATTCTGATCTTTCAAACAGGGTATGAAACTAAAAGTGTGCATGATTCACGCTGTAAGAATTTTACAAAATGGCAAGTATGAAACTTAAAGTATTTAACTGAGTAAATCTGGTGTTTTTTGACATCACTTTCAGAGTTGTAAACATTTCAGAGTTCCAAAGTGTTCTCTCAGGTTCTACTGTAATACACCAACAAGTTTATTTCCTTCCTTTTTAGTTTAAAAAACAAATTAACACAAATTTTCCATGTACCATGTTGCTAGCAAGGTTTAGCGATGTATTAGTATCAAGGTACTTGATATCCTCCTAGATGTTGAATATTGTAATATCCTTAAATCCTAAAATCTTTTCCTGGTTTTAAAGGCTGCATTTTCTGAATTTCTTCCTCTTACTTATTTACATCCACATAAATGATGATTCTTTATCAAAAATCTCTTTGTAAATATTGCATAAAAATATCTATTAAACTTTTGTCTACGTGGCCAGCCTGAGTTGCCAAAGACAGTAAGACTATAAAAGAATGACTTGTTATGAACTAATTGTGTATTTTTATGTTTTTGATGATTCCTGCATACCACGGTATGTGAGGAGGTCCATCTTTATGAGGCTGGACAAGATTGAGTATTCTCTCTCTGCCATAAAAGCCATTTTAATGAAAGATGTGAGGTCTAATGAGCCTGTGATTGAAGAGCTCACCAGTCCTCTACAGACTGTGGGAGAACTTGAATCAGCTCGTGAACAGCCAAGTGATGCAGCTCACAGAAAGAAGGTGGTATGCAAATAGATGATGATGTATGTTCATAATAGCCACTTCATGGTGAATATAGATTTGACATGTTGATTAAATCAAAGATTTATGTACTTAAAAAGCCATTTTGCAGCGCTCTGCTTTTCAGTAAATAATAACTTACAATTATTTCATTCATTCATTCTTTTTTGTGACAAGATTGGCACTGTGCATTTGAGATCGAGGTGAGATAGAAGTCAGTGTGTTAGCAGCTGGGACTGACTTCAACACCTACCTAGAAACACTCAGGAGTGCTTGTACTTTTACTACTGCTCATTTCTACTACCATCTTAGTACTACTACAACTACATTTGCACTTGTAATTTTTATTTTCATTTTTAACTACAAGTTTAAGAACCAGCTATAAGCTTTTATGTTTAAAAATAAAGAGAAGCGTTTGTGACATCTGTTTGAACTTTTGTTTCTCTATTTGTATTTTCAGATGTCTGCTTTCAGGAGTTGCTTCTAGAAAGAAGTTACATGCGAACATTTTGACAATGGTTTTCAAAGAACATCCTCAACAATTTTGGAGAAAGTGGTCCAGGATCATTCTGGGAACTTAAAGAAAACTTAAAAAACTCAGAGTATTTTTAGAACTAGTTGGGGATGTTGTAGGATCATTGTGAGCTGATTGATAAACAACACTAACATGTCTGGAGTCAGAGTGTAAAGACCATAGACTGTATATAAGATACAGTCTATGGTAAAGACAGGTAACACTGGTGTGGATGTTTAGGGTCGTGTGGGGCGCTCACATGTGGACCGTCTTACCTGCCCACGAAGTTCTCCAAAACGGAGCTCTTCCCGGCGCTCTGTCCTCCCACCACAGCTATCTGCGGCAGGTCAAGACTGCAGGTGTGTCCCACGCTGCTTAGGGCGTCTTGCAGCTGGTTCACCAGCGGGATCAGCTCCTCCATCCCGCGGTTGCCCATCGCAACGGCGCCGCTGGGCTGCCCGACCAGCTGTGGAGATCCGGTGTGACTCCGGTTCTAGGCTACACCCGTTTGTACGCTGGCTACCATACTTCAAGCTAACTCGTATCTGTCATCATAAGTGAAACACACAAAAACTAAAAGTTAAAACCTTTGGTTAAAAGTTCCCTCCTCCTTCTTCAGACTTATGTTTCCTCAGCCGTTAGTCCGTTGCCGTCAACGTAACGTCTGTTTCCGTCGGTAGAAGTTTGTAAAGTGTCGGGGGAAAGCTAGTTACCCACATGTTTGATGATTTAATCCTTCCAAGTTAAGCAGAGACTCTCCCTTCAATCAGCGAAGCTTCAGTGGAAAGTTTACTTCAGTTCTCCGCTCTCCGTTTATCGACAGGAGGAAAACACTGACAGCTAACGGAACATACTGATTTGCGCATGCGCGTTCAAGTTTAATTCGGCGGACGCCTCGTCCATGTAGCATACGGAGAAAGACAAGGTGAAGAGCCAATACTGAAAGTGGGCTGACTTACCAGACACGAGGCGATCCTTCACTCAGCTATCTAAAATCCCACACATACAGAAAGAGGGTAGGGCACACACACGTACACATAGACACAAACACACGGTCACAGAAATACACACTCACAAACACACCCTGCATGCTGCAACTAGAACCAGATCCATCCCATCTACTGTAAATAACACTCCTGCATTCTTTGGCAGTGAGCACAGAAACACACTGAGAGGAGAGCAGCAGAGACTGAAAGAGAAACTGAAGGTCTGAACACTCATTTATATCTGACACCACTGTGGAAAAACCGTCACATTAACATCTCAAAGATAGTAATGGTCTTTACTGAAGACTCAGAACAGTATCTGATTTTAGCATATCATTTACACTCTACATGATATAACTATAGACTGTGCAAAAACAACATATCCAATACTGAAATCGAAAATTGTAAAATCAAAAATGTATGCGTACGTTTAATTGGTTGGCAGCGACATGTTTCTAGAAGTTATTAGAGGAACAGCCAAACAGGTAAAAAGTTCTCATGTGAAAGAAAAAAAAAACAGCTGGAGCAACATCGCTTCAACTAATGAGGTTAATTAACAACAGGTTAGAAACCGAACTAGGTATAAGAAGGACATTCAGAGAGGCTGAGTCTCTCAGAAGGAAAAATGGGAAGTGGTTCACCACTCTGTGAGAAACCACGAGAGCTAATAGTACAACAGTTTCAGAATACTGTTCCTGAGTGTCAAATGTTAAAGAATTAGTGGATTTCATCATCTACAGAACATACTATTATTAAAAGATTCAGAGAATCTGGAGAAATCTCTGTACAAAAGAAACAAGAACTGAAACCAATACTGGATGGACCTGATCTTCAGGCCCTCAACCAATCTGACATTCACTTTGGAAACCATGGACGCTTCACACTCCATCCTAAAGAGTAGAGGGACCTCCCAGTTCGTTATCAGCTCTCAGTTCAAAGTCAGCATTCCTGATGGTATGGGGATTACAAGTGTCCATGTCAGTGTCATGCATAGCTTACCCATCTGTGAAGGATCCACTAATACTGAACAATATAGAGAGGTTTGGAAGCAACATATGTTGCCTTCCAAAGTGACTTTTTCAGGGATGACTTTCATATTTCAGCAAGACAATGACAAACCACATTCTGCAGGGATAACAACAGCATGGCTCTGTAGTAGAAGAGTCCTGCTGCTATATTGGCCTGTCTGCAGTCCTGGCTTGTGGCCTATTGACAACATGTAGAGCATCATGGCACAAAAAATAGGATGAGAGAGACCATGAGCAGTTGAAATCCTCTATTAGGCAAGAATGGGACGATGTTTCACTTTCCACATGACACAAACTGGTCTCTAGGGTTCTCTAACCTTTACTGAGTGTTGGGAAAAGAAGAGCCGATGACATAATAAGAAATATGACTCAGAAATTTTTCATAAAACAACAAACCATTTCGATTTCAACATTTGAAATGTTGTCTTTGCACTTTTTTTTTAGTTAAAATGCATTATGAATGATTGGGAAACCATCAAAAATCTGATTTAATTTAAATATTACACAGCATTTCACCTTCTTTGAATTGAAGAGATAACCAAACCAAAGACTCTGATGATTCAGTCCAGACATGTGATGTAATCCTGCTACCTTCCCCATCTTCACTCTATTTTCAGGTCCTTTAATAGCTCTGTAATGTCTATATGAGGCTTCCTGCTGGTCCCTGACCTCAAAGCGGTCTGCAGACTCTCACCCGCCTGCTTCACGGATTGAAGGATGTGAGCAGCGTCCAACGTCTTGTTTTCTCCAGGTGAGCACAGCAGGACCTCGTTGACCTCATCTTCGATTTTTCTGGAGAGGATGGTGGGAAAAACAGCGCTAAGTCGCTCCAACACACTTTTCCTCAGCGCCGAGTCCCGACACACCAAGTTCAACATGAACAAACCTGGACCAGATAAAACAAAACGACACAAATGAAGCATTGAAAAGAAAACCCTTCAACATGTGACTATGTTTCAGGGTGCAAATCCTGTAAAAATATGAAATATGACAAATAGTAATGTTATTAATTCACTTTGATCAATCAGCAACAAGGCAAAGATGGAACAATCTTTGTTTTGTAACAACAACTGGAGAGAAACTAGGAAAATTTCTACAAAAAAACTAATAAACCTTCAACTAACAACACACAACAGCCGATATTGGAACTAGACAGTTTTAACCAACATTTTTAATGCAATTTTTATCCCTGCTGAATAAACTGGAAGCCAAACTCTAAAAATAAGACCAAAGGTTACAAATGTTTGAAAGCCATGTTCACTTCTCTGTAGACTCTTTACATGCTGGTAGTTACAGTAGTGTTCCTCACACTTACTGTAGCTTTATCACACCTGTGCAGGCCGATCATATTCACTACCTGTGCTAAAATGCACTGGCTGCAGAGTGATGACTGGTGGTGAATATGAACCTTTAAATGTTGTTTGATCGGTTTGTGCTGCTTGCTGCTGTCCATGTTTTTTTGTTTCCTCTTTAATAGCAAACTGCAAGTAAAAGTGTTGCATTTCTCCATTTGCCAAATATCTTGTGATCACTTCCTTTCCGGTGATATTACACTGTTTCATTGTCGACAAACGCACAACCATGATCTCTGCATGATCTAATCTTCAGTATCAACTTACTTAGCGCATTTCTCCTATTTCATCATCTTTCTGTTATTTCCTCCTCAGCGTGAGAAACTCTTCACTCTCCTTAAGTCACCCTCACTCAATCTAAGAGTTTTCACATTAGCAGCTCTCTTAGGAGCTGAAATGCTTAAGACTCAATGCTATGCACAAACTTGAGCATGCATTTGCACACTGTGCAGCTGGTTAAAATGCTACACATTGCCACTGTCTCCCCCTCAGTAATGCCTTTGCAGCTACCTCCTAGGGAAGAGCTGTGAAACTTTGTCCCTCCATTACAGGTCTGTGAATCATACATTGCAAACCAGTGAAATATCCCAACATGAGATGGCAGTATTTGAGGGAACAATATGAGTCAGAGTACCTCTAGGGGTCAGCAATGAGCGGACTTTCTGCAGTATCGATGTTTCCACAAAGGCAGCAGGAGGACAGCTCATCCCCACAGAGCTGTCTTTACTGTCCACGTCAAACATGACGACATCAAACAGTCGAGAACCTGCAGAGAGGGAAAGTTAAAGCCATTTCCTGGTGTTCTTTTCATACCCACAGTTGTGTCTTCACTGCTACCTGTCCACTTCACTGACCTTCTGCCTGCAGGGCAGTGATGCGTTCAAGGCCGTCCCCGAGAGTGACCGTGAGTCGATCATCAGGCCTGAACGCGAACCACTCCTTCGCCACCTCGAACACGACGGGGTCCAGCTCCACCACCTCCACTGAAACATTTGGCACAAAGTCCCGCAGGAACTGAGGCAGACTTCCTCCGCCCAGCCCCACCAGGTGCACCGACAGAGGGGCATCTGAAGCAAAGAAACACAGGTGAAGATTGATAAAGAGGGATGTTTCAGACTGTTTGATCTGCTTTGAAAACATGCCCGAACTAACCTTTGCTCTGTGGCGTTCCCACCCCCAGCATAGCGAGTCCCGCCACCATGACCTCATGATGAGCACAGCACAGAAAGCCACTGTCCACAGACAGAGACAAAGAAGGTTTTGGAGCAGCTGTTTGCTTCACCTTCTTTTTGTTTTTCTTCTTCTGACTTGATGCTGAAATGACACAAATATTCAGTATTAACTTCAACCTCTTTCAACTGTTGACATGAAATACTTACTATTTTTTTGATTTAGCCATAACAGCATTCCACTTACTCTTGAAAATATAAAATATTAATGGAAGTAGAAATTGGAATGTGTGAGAACAAATACGAAATGGCAACGGTTAGTAAAATGGGCAGAATATTAAAAATACAGCAAGTGCAGTGTTTAAAAAAATAAACCATGTACAAGCATAAGAGTTTATACAAAACCAGTTTGTGCTGCAGGATATTGCACAGAGTATTGTACAGTTTAACTAAGTATTGGACAGTTAAACAGAATATTGCACAGAGTAGCTTCATAAACAATGTCATCATCCGTGTTGTATTCCTAAAATGATTGAAATTTTGACTGGTTTACAAACAGATTGCACAGTTAAATGTCAATATATGACGTGATTGAGGCTTATGGCTGCTACGTGTGGCAAGAATGACTTCCTGTGACGCTCTGTGGTGCATTCAGGGGGGATGAGTCTAGCACTGAATGCGCTCCTGTGTTTAAGCAGCATGTTATGGAGTTGGTGGTGGAAGATTATATGTTGCTTTGGCAACATCCTCCTCTCTATCACCACTTCTTGGCATTCAAGGTGGCCTTGCTGTGCAAAAAATGAAGCCTATACTGCGATACAGAGCACACTAACTGTGTTCTGAAGGTGAGTGTCTTACAAAGACCAAATTAAAGATACATTTGGCGAGTAGAAATAGTAGGGATGGGACTTACTTTTTCCAAGAAACACTTAAAGAACATGTTCAGGATAAAATCAGTCAGGATTTATCTATGAGGGGTTTCAAAATTAATACAAACATTTTTAGTGGAACATGGTTAATATGAACTCATTTTTTGATCATGTTCTTCCAATTTCATGTATTTGCACATTTTGATTTGCTTTTTTTGTTAGAATTAAAATTGAAACAAAGTAAGTGAGCTGACCTGTATGTGAAGAGACCAGGCGGCTCTCTGATTGGACGAGGGTGGCATTGGAGAGGAAAATGAGTCTCCGGTACAGCTCTCCATCTTCCCCTCTGACGTTTTCTACGCAGTACTCCCCACTCAGCTCACTCACGCCCCTGCTGACCTCCTCTCGCCATCCAAGGTCACCGCCAACAGACAGAAATGGCACCTGGAGGAGAGAGAGCGCGCATGTTTATACACTGAATGTTTTAAGAGAGTTTCTCTAAACTAACACAGGTGTTAGCTGACCTGCTGGTTGGCTGGCATGCCTGGGGGAGCCAGGTCCATCACCATGGGGGACAATTCAGACTGGACCGCCTGCATGTCAGTGTACTCCTGATTTCTGTGCATCGCCACAACCACCAGGCGTCTGAAGTTAGCGCTGGCTGCTAGCTGCTTCCTGCCCTCAGTGGAACTGTAGAGCCACGCTGTCTCACTGCCCTGAGGGACTGCAGGATGATCAGAGTGTTAACCACAGTGACCCATAAACAAGGGTACAAATATGAGGAAACAGCAGGAGAACTTACCAATAAAAACAGCAAACTGGTTTGATCTGGGCACCTTGGCACCAGGGGGACAGTCCTGGATAGTGAGGGTGTATCTGGGGAGGCCAGTCTTTACGTGGGAGAGTGTGAGAGAGAGGTTTGAGCTGGAGTCTGTCTCTGTCCTCAGCCTCTTTCTCAGGACTGAGTATGCCTGACGCTCCCTCACAGCCGACAGCAGCTCAGGCACCCGTGAGAGACGAGTGGGAGCTCCATCCTCACCCAAACACATCTCCAGTATGGGGGAGGGCATTGGCTGCCTGAACTTGGTGCAGACCAGAACAAAGACAGGGAGAGCAAAGGAGTCCTCCTCTTTCCCACACTCCTCCTGCAGACAGTGCAGCCTCACTGCCCAGCCTAGCTGAACAAAGTGCTCCACCGCCAGCCGGATCACGCTCTCCTGAGCTAGAGTCACACAGACATACCGTCCGCCAACACTCAGCACCCGGCCCACCTGTAAGAATAAAGAAAAATATGTTCACAAGCCTGTCAAAAGAAAAAGCCAGGACTACTCTACCCTTCCAGACTGGTTTCTTTCTAACCTCAGTGAGCATGCTCCTGGCCAGCATCCCCTCCTCTTCAGACGCCATGGCGTCCAGTGTGCCCTTGTCCAGAACCGCCTGGAAGCTGCTGTCCTCATATGGAGTCTGTGTGGCATCCACCTGCTGGAAGATGAGACCAGGCCGCCGCTCGGCATTCCTCTGGCTCATGTGCGTTACCACCGTCTCACTGATGTCAATGTTAGTTAGGTGTTTGTAGCCCACATCATACAGCTGCTCGCTCAGCTCAGAGTTCCCACAACCCACCACCAAAACCTAAAACACACAACAAAAATGTCATTTATAATTTACAGTTTAAACACAAGACACTACACTATATTTAAAATGTTCTACGAGCAGAGGGTTTACAGTGCCTTGAAAAAGTATTTATACCCCTTGATCTTTTTCATATTTTGCCATTCTACAACCACAAACTTAAAAGTATTTTATTGAAATTTTTTGTCATAGACCAACACAAAGTAACACATAATTGTGAAGTGGAATCAAAATTATACATGGTTTTCAAAAATTTAAACAAATAAAAATCTGAAAGTGTGGTGTGCATTTGTATTTAGCCCCCTGTGTCAATACTTTGTAAAGCCACATTTCGCCGATATTACAGCTGCAAGTCTTTTGGGGTATGTCTCTACGAGCTTTGAACATCTAGAGACTGAAATTTTTGCCCATTCTCCTTTGCAAAATATCTCAAGCTCAGCCAGATTGGATGGAGAGCATCTGTGAACAGCAATTTTCAAGTCTTGCCACAGATGCTCAATAGGATTTAGGTATGAATATTCTTTGATCTAAACCATTCCATTGTAGCTCTGGCTGTATGTTTAGGGTCATTGTCTTGCTGGAAGGTGAATCTCTTTCCCAGTGTTAAGTCATTTATGGCCTCCAACAGGTTTTCTTCCAGGATTGCCCTGTATTTAGCTTTATCCATCCTCCCATCAACTCTGACCATCTTCATCCCCACAGCATGAGGCTGCCACCACCATGTTTCACAGTGGGGATGGTGTGTTCAGGGTGATGAGCAGTGTTACTTTTCTGGCACACATAGCACTTTGCACTCAGGCCAAAAAGTTCAACTTTGGTCTCATCTGACCAGAGCACCTTCTTCCACATGTTTGCTGTGTGCCCTACATGGCTTGTGGCAAACTGCAAACGGGACTTTTTATGTCTTTCTGTAAACAATGACTTTCTTCTTTTCATTCTTCCATAAAGGCCAGATTTGTGATGTACACGACTTATAGTTGTCCTGTGGACAGATTCTCCCACCTGAGCTGTGGATTTCTGCAGCTCCTCCAGAGTGACCATGGGCCTCTTGGCTGTTTCTCTCACCAGTGCTCTCCTTGCTCGGTCTGTCAGTTTAGGTGGACGGCCATGTCTTGGTAGGTTAGCAGTCGTGGCATACTTCTTCCATTTTTGGATGATGGATTGAACAGTGCTCCTTGAGATGTTCAAAGCTTTGGATATTTTTTTTTTAACTTAACCCTGCTCTAAACTTCTCCACAAAGCTTTTCCCCTGACCCGTCTGGTGAGTTCCTTGGTCTTCATGATGCTCTTTGTTGACTAGTGTTCTCTAACAAAGCACTGAGGCCTTCTCAGAACAGTTGTATTTATGCTGATACTAAATTACACACAGGTGTACTCTATTAACTAATTAGGTGACTTCTGAAGGCAATTGATTGAAATGCATTTTATTTAGGGTTATCAGAGTACAGGGGGCTGAATACAAATGCACACCACACTTTTCAGATTTTTATTTGTTGAAATTTTTTTTGAAAACCCTATAATTTTCGTTCCACTTCACAATTATGTGCTATTTTGTGTTGGTCTATGACAAAACATTTCAATAAAATACTTTTAAGTTTGTGGTTGTAGAGTGACAAAATGTGAAAAAGTTAAAGGGGTATGAATACTCTTTCAAGGCACTGTATGTAAACATCTAAAAACAGAGGACAATATAATGATAACTAATGTAAATGAAGGCACAGACTATATACACAAGTACAGCTGGTTTCGTTAAACTAAGTGCAGATTTTTTTATGTTGTTTCATAAAGGCAAACAGTGAGAGTGAAACCGGATGTTGTGTGTGTCCACATGCTGTCTCACCTGGTCGGGGACTTTGATGTATTTATGCAGGACCCCGCAAAGGCTGTTGTAGTCTCCGTACCACTCAAACGCTTTCTCCCCACGCTTTTTAAAGAACTTCTCCCAGTACTCCGCCGAGCTGAACTCCTCGGCGCTGCAGGGTAAGAGGCTCATCGTCGGGCTGAAGACTTAATATTTCACCACGATCGGGTCTGGTTACTGCAGCTCCTCATGGCACCAGATCCCATGTTTCTGCCCGGATGGAATATCTAACAGTACTATCAACTGATTGGATAGCTATTTCAAGGTGGAGCCACACATAGATATCATAATACTAGATGCCTCACCACCACTATAAAAAAAAACACGTCAAGACCGCCGCCATCTTGGAACAGCACCGGCGGTAGTGTTGTGTCGTTCGCGAACGGTTCATTCGAAAGAGACGAATCTTTTAAGCGAACGTACTGAGCCGAATCACTTCCTCAAGTGATTAATTCGTTTCTCGCTTCAGTGAAGTGAACAACAGCATTGCCAGGCCAGCAGCCGGCGAACAAGGAACCACATGCACTGACGCCTTGAATCACTTGGTGAATGAATCTTGCATTGAACTACAATCTCTGGAATCATTTTTGTCGGACAAAACTACCTTTTTTTTTAAGTGCTAAATTGCCACCACAACAATTTGCATACAATAGGACACATGTAACAAGTAGTGCATTAAACCCACAGCAGTTTGCAAAGGAACGGTGCATGTTCAGTGTGAGTTCTTCTAAATGATCAGGGAACGAATCACTCACTGAGCCCAATTTACTGAGCAGATCTGATAAATGGTATACAATATGACAGTACACTTAAAACATCATGACTTTTGCCAAACCAACACAGGCTACCACTCTTGGCTCCCAGTCCCAGAAACTATGAACTGAACTGAATCCTGAAACATTCAGCTGTGTTTCAGTTCAGGAGGTCGGGGTCGCAGGCCTCTCCTGCCAAGCGTTCAGTGAATTGGTGATTTGGTGAATGAATCTTTTGATTGAATCTTATTAGTGAACTGATTCTAGTGATTCAGAACATCTAAAAGAACTGCCATGCCCATCACTAACCGGCGGTGGCTGTTAGCAAGCAGGCGGTGAATGTAAACAAATGCACGTTCACGACTTTCTCTAAACAAAAAGTGTACAATGGACTTCAGTATGTCCCAAATTTGTATTTTAAAATGTTTTGTAGAACACATGTCAGTTTAGCTGTTTCCAATATAGGTTTGCTTCGGGTCCAAATGTAAGAATGGGTACATGACCAGGTCTTGTAGATGGGGACTGTTTGCAGCAAAGTTTACAAAAACAGCCACCAGGTAAATATAATAATAACATTCAATAACAAATATATTGGCAAAAACATAATGACAACAACAATAAATTCAATAACAAATTTATTAGAAGTAGCTAACATAATAAAAACAAATTCAATAACAAATAAATTAGTAGTAATTTTGTTTATAAACATTTGTTTCAGTCTCATATCATGAAATGTAAATTGATGTGGCTTTATTACATTCATTAAAAACAAGAGAAGACTAAGAAAATAATTCACAACAAAACTACTGGCCCATAAGCAACACTGCTTTGCAAGCTTTCTTTCTGATGTTGCCTACTTACAGCTGTTGGGTATGTAGCCTGGCAATATGGTGCTGTCTCAGTTTGTGGAACACAGAAACCAACAAAGAAATGAGACAATAATGATGGTTATCAATACCATACTGGCATTCAAGCATACGATTTCCGAGACAAAAGATGTCTTCTGCCCCAACATGTGCTTTCACCAAAAAAACAAGATGGGCTGCATTAATTTGTTGAAAAGCAAGCTGAACATCCGTGGACTGGTGCAAACAGTGCTCTGCAGCTTTTACAACCTTAAAAACCCCTTCTGAAGGGATGACCAGTCCACCTTTGTTTCTGAGGTGAAGCCGGTTGTAGCTGCGCTCAGAGGTGGTGGGTGCAGCTGTAGATACAATTTTGTTACTACACACATCACAGTCCAACTTGACCATCACCTTCCCGATAACCCAGCCTGCAATATAGGCAATCACAATTTCGGCAAGTTTACCCAGACCTGAAGTTCTATAGATCACACTGCTCACATCTTCAAAAGGACACTGTGCGTCTTCTTTGTCTTCTATAGGAGTGACAGCTACTGGCCTATAAACAACACTGCTTTGCCAGCTTTCTTTCTGATGTTGCCCATTAGCATCTGTTGGGTATGTAGCCTGGCAATATGGTGCTGTCTCAGTTTGTGGAACACAGAAACCAACAAGGAAATAAGACGATAATGATGGTTATCAATACCGTACTGGGATTCAAACATATGATTTCCGAGACAAAAGATGTCTTCTGCCCCAACATGTGCTTTCACCAAAAGAACAAGATGGGCTGCATTAATCTGGTGAGAAGCAAGCTGAACATCCGTGGACTGATGCAAACAGCGCTCTGCAGCTTTTACAACCTTAAAAACCCCTTCTGAAGGGATGACGAGTCCACCTTTGTTTCTGAGGTGAAGCAGGTGGTAGCTGCGCTCAAAGGTGGTCGGTGCAGCTGTCGATACAATTTTGTTACGACACACATCACAGTCCAACTTGACCATCACCTTTCTGACAACCCAGCCTGCAATGTAGGCAATCACATTTTCGCTAAGTTTACCAAGACCTGAAGTGATATAACTCTGATCAGCGATCACACTGCTCACATCTTCAAAGGGACACTGTGTGTCTTCTTTGTCTTCTATAGGAGTGACAGCTGTGTCAAGGGAAGAGAGACACGCTGTCTGGTCGAGAGAAACAACATTCCCTCTGTCACTTGGCTGGACTCCGCAGCAAACCATCAAGTGACGGAATGTGGCCTCAAACTGCACCACATTTGGGTTATTGTTCCACCCACCTATAAATAAAAAACATAAATTTGATTTTAATAAAAAAAAAAAAAATACTGAAATTTCATTTGCAATACATATTTTGAGATTGAGATGAAGTGCATAATACCGTATGCCCTGATGGAGTTGAACAACAGCTGTAAATGGTCCAGACTGAAGTGATAGGTCAGCACATACTTCTGCACCTGGAGAAGCTCAGGGACCATGTCTGTCAGAGTCTGAATGTTGATCAAGAATCCCATCACAGAGAGGTATCTGTTGAGGTAGAATCCCAATTAATCGATGTTTTGTGGAATGACTGATGTTAGTTTGAACCAAGGCTTATCCTAACTGACATACTAAGGTTTATGTAGCAGTAGCATAGCTCAAATACTAGTCTTGTCTGGTGTCAAATGTACATCAACAGACGTATCAGAGCAAAGTACAGACAATTTTGAATTAATGTTGCTCTACATACAGTTTCTTTTGAATGTTTGAAAAGCACAAGGACCTTCAGGGGGCGAAGCAATAATTGTACACAATAATATTAATTATCTCCAACCATCAAGTGACCATCAAGTCAGTTCTTTGTACAAATCTACCTGGCAGTACATGTATGATGATATGATGTTTCTCCAAAAAATCAAATGGGAGTATCTAAAGCTGGAAAAAGCATATACCAATAAGGTGTTTACCTTTTGGTATGACAGATTGTTGTCCCATCCTGTGTGGCCAAGGCCTGTAGATAGTCTTTGGCTTGCCTGAAGAAGGTCAAGGTGTCCTCCCAGTTCTCCAAAGAGAGTGGTGCCTTGGTCGATCTTCCCACTGGGTTGCGACTGTTCTGGATGTCAATCAACCGGTCAATCATCTGAAAGGTGAACACAAGTTCTGTGTGATTCTGAATGATGCAAATAACAGAAAACAAAATCTCAGGGAGCTTTTCATTTTAGGTATTGTATCCAAATATACCAAAGTACGATGCTACTATTTAACATGCTGAGACTAATTATTTTACCTCGATGAACTTGACAGTTGAGAGGCAGTCTGTGAAGTCTACATATCCTGCTTCTTTCATGAAACGGAGAGCTGTAGCCACCGACCTGCTTAATGTTTGGGCAGCAAGTGAGACCTTCATTTTCTGAGACTGAAAATTAACATCTTTGTGGTTGGGTTCGTTGGCAGCATGAAGTCCCTCATTCTGTTGAACATCATGAAGCAAGGCGATGAACTTCCATCTGATGAGACCATCTGGGCTGCTCAGAACAGAGTATGCCTGCATCATATTCTGAACAAGCCTCAACAGGTGGCATGGATCCATCAAGATGTAAACATGTTTGTTTGTTGATGGATGGGGAAAGTGGGTCACAAGGGGCCCGTCCATCTTCAGTTGACAACCTAGCAAGGAGCACATGCTTACATTTGAAGCATGGCCATCCATAACCAAAGAAACAACCTGGATCCCATGCTCATGTAAAGATACTAGGGCGTGTTCGATGAGCACTTTCTGTGTACTTGGTGTTAAGGTCCTGGTAAAAAAATACGCGATGGGGGCCTTCCAATGTCTTGTAACACCATTAACCATAAACACTAGAGCCTCACTTGCAACAGTTTCTTCATCAGGGCCATCCCCCAAGTCCACAAATCCCCTCATGGATTGCGTCCTGTTGTCATAAACCATCTGCCTTCTTATTGCCATCGTATCAAACATGAGACACACCCGGCTGTAGTTGTCAGGGTCCTTCTTGGCCTTCTCCTCAAGCACACGTAGAAGGTGGGTGTTGAAACCTGGTCCACAATCGACAGACTGCAGCCATCTGTTCGGTGTAAGATGCTCATTATAACTTTGGATTAAAATGGACGTATTAAAAATGTATATATTGATATCATTATTAGCTCAATAATTACCTCTGGTGTGTGTGGGGATGTGGCAGTGGAAGCTTCATCTCATCTCTAAGGTACTTGTAGGCTTGAGGTCCGTGGAGGTGAAGAGTCAAAGCAAACTCTCTTTGGCGTGTGCTGTACTGTTCAGTGCTCTCCTCCCCTGGAAATTCCAAATCTAAATCTGTTGGATGAAAGTACATAAAAAACTCCTAAATATGTACCAGAGTAGTTGTTATATTTCAAACTGCTTCTTCTATTATAATGTATTACTCCATACCTGAATAAAGCTCCAACTTTTGCTCCAATTCATCTGTCACAAGATTCTTCTGTCTCAACTCTGAAATCATACACTTCAGGTACTTTGTAGAACGTCTTTCCCTGTCAGTGGCACTGCACAACTTCTTCCCAAGTTCTGCCATCCTGCTCTCTGCCTCCACCATCTTCCTCTTTAGACCGCCAGATGATGGTGGAAGAGTGTAGGGGTGGTCTACTTTTAGCGGTCGAGACCCAGAGGCAGGTATATGATCACAGCTATCCACAAACACCACAGGTTTAGGGGCGACGGCAGCAGGTTGTGTGGAGGTGGCTTTGGTTCGGGGTTTTTTGGCCTGCTGAAAAAATACAAATAAAGCTTTCTCATTAACTCAGTTCAACATGCTATAACACCTGAATATAAAACACCTGTTCACAATTTAAAACCTGGAATGAAAACAATATTATGAAGTCATCTGCAAGGGCTTTACACCATAGACTATGGACAACATGGTTCCGCCTTCCACCAGTATACGGATTTGAAGCCGTAAAGCTCTCAGTAACTTCGTTTTTTTTCTCCACTTCCTGAAACCAACATTGTGCAGTAGCGTTGTACACACTCCACCACTTGCGCCAGTAGCATTGTACGCAATCGGCGGGGAAGTTGCCAAGAGTCGCTGTGATGATGCTTGGCTCAAACAGCATATCGCCCCAGTGAGCTACGCAATCTTCGTATGTCCATAGGATGTGTCAAGTGTCAATCATAGAAAACATGAACCCCCTAATAACTTTTAAAAGGAGCTGCACAGAAAAAAAGACTTGAGCACAAAACAGTTTTACAATAACTTCATGTCAACATCGCAAGCAGGGGGGGAGAAAAATGTATATTCTGCGTAATAAATTTATTAATCAATGCATAAAAGTTACCCACAACTCCACAACGGATGGCTGGAGGAGGTGGGATTTATGACCTGTACTGCAGCCCATCACCAGAGTGTGCTGTTCTCTGGGTGGCTTCACCCAGCAAGAAGGCAGAAGCTGTCCACTCTGTATACAGTCTATGCTCTACATCCATAGCATATATTAGTTTGCTTGCAAAAGCACAGACTAAACAACACATAATGTTGTACCAAAGCTTTTCTAGTAAAATCTATTTCTTGACCTAAAATATAATTTCAACATTTCTACAAGCAAATACTCACCTTTACCAAACGCTGTATAACACTACCATAGATATATATGTATAAACACTAGATGGCTCATGCACACTGTTAGCCAATGGAGACTGACGACCTTGTATGGAAGCCGTCTTGCCACAGGCAGCTCGCCCACTCATAACACTTAAGTCTACGATGCACGTAGCATTGAAATAAACATAGTCTGCTTAATTTTAAACTGATTTTCAAATGGTTTGGTTTGTTACAAACCTCAGAGTTGAAGTTATATTCCTGCAAACTTAAGAATAATTTTAACCATGGACTTTCATTAAAAAAAACATTAAACTGAATATATATATATATATATATATATATATATATTTTTTTTTTCCCTGATTGGGAAACACTGGCTTAGAGAAGTGGTTCTCAAACTTTTCAACAATGTCAGGCACCATCTTAGACCTTCCTAAGACCCCCGAGATGAAGTATTTTATGTCAATTCATATGATGCTCTATGATGATTATATATGTATATAATCTGCGCATCTCTTTGTTTCTGACATTCAACATGCAAAAACTCACATCAGGCTGAGGTCCATCCTGAGACAAGTCCAATGCCAGGTTATCTTTTGATCTTCGAGAAGTGGCGGCCTTTTTTGTCTGTACCGACTAAAAAAAACATCAAGAAGTTTAGAGTTTCTAAAATGTGCTACATGACATAATGTAGCATAAAAAAAAAAACACTAGATTGCTCATGCACGCTGTTAGCCTAATGTTAGGCTCTTTTTTTAACACCATCATAGACCTTCCTAAGACCACTGAGATGAAGGATTTTATGTCAAGCCATATGATGCTCTCATTTGTCAGTGACATTCAACATGCAAATACTCACATCAGGCTGAGGTCCATCCTGAGACAAGTCCACTGCTGGGTTGTCTTTTGATTTTCGAGAAGTGGCAGACTTTTTTTTGGATATCGACTATGAAAACATCAAGAAGTTTAGAGTGTCTAAAATGTGCCACATTACACAATACATTATTTAAATTAATTTGCAGAAAGAAAATTACAAGTGTGAAATTTAATTATAGATTTTGAAAATTGATATATCAATCTTATACACCTGGGATTCTTGTTAGCCAATGAGACACATACCTTTTGAAGATGAGCTGGGAAGTTGAAAACTGTTGGCACGACATCAGCTCTAAGACGGACTGTCTGCCCCGTCCTGTCAAAGTCCTTACTGATGAAATGCTCACTGCAGAGCATAGTCCTCGAAGAAGCTACAAAATCTTTCCTTCTCAGGGCAGTTTCCCACTGCCTCCTCCTCTCTCCGGATTTGGGAAACCTTAAAAGTAAAATAAAAGTAATATAAATGATAGTCAACATTTGCAGACATCTTTCTTTTAACATAAAGGGTGAGGACAAATAGACCCTCCAAAATTATCACTTGGGATCATTTTATGTATGAATGTATGTATTCATGCTAAATGCAAAATAGTTAAGAATAAGGCAACTACACCAAAGTAGTTATTAAAAAAGGGAATGATCAATGTTTGAGTAAACAAATGGTAGCAACATTTCTAAAAAGCTTGGGTCAACAACACTCTTGCAATAATATTAACTCACATAGCCCTGCTGCTCCTGTGATGCTGAATTCGTGTTGTCCATACATGTACTACATCAGAGTTTCTCAAACCTTTAAATTTCAAGGTCCCCCCTTAACTCTGACACTGTACAAATGGAACCAAATAGACCTGTTTGTTTGGTTCCATTTAGACACCATCAGAGTTACAGACTTGTATGGGTCAATTTAGACCCCTTAAAAGAATCCACAGAGTACCTTGAATCCTTTTTGGGAACCATTTCACTAAGTAACAATTAGTAATTATGCTAATTCTAGTCATAATATTGTTATATCTTACACATGAAAGGTGATCCCCCTTTTCCTTGTTTCCAGGCACCGTTTATTGGAGCATCCATAGGCTGCACAAAAGTCCGGCATGTTGACTCATTTGACATACACCTGTAAACACAAAGTCAGAAATTTCCTGTGTTATAATGTATCAACGTTTAAGATGTTTTTAACAAACCAAACAGCTTGGAAATCATGAGCAACTTAACTTGTGTTGAAACAAAAGATCATTTCTGCCTCTCCCCGTAATGTCAAATTGCTCTCTCAACTTTGTAATACCTACTTGGTCTCACTCACAGCCAGTCTGTTAGCCACATTAAACAGCTAATAAACACAACCACATCCACAAAGACTGTCACTTTGACAATTTTTACAAAAAAAAAAAAGGCTGTCAAACAAGAAATGAAAATCTCGATTGTGGTCTCAGCTTTGACAACTCACGCAAAGCGACTCAAATTAGCCTTTACGCAAACAAATAGCTGTGAAACAACTGTGCTGCATGATTGTCTTTTTTGATTGTGCAGATAACTCACCTTCCAACAGCTACCATAGAGTGTATCTAAGTGATATACTGTGGTAAGGTGGCTACCGTATAGGGACGCAGGTGACTCCATAGATATATATGAGAAAGGCTAAACAACTCAAGGCGGAGTCGCTGGCATCCCAACACAATGGACATCTTACTCCAGTATACCATTCTGGTACACTCTAATTGGTTTAAACTTAAGCAATCTATGGTTATTTTAATGCTGCATTCACCATAAACAACATACCATAAACACCATAAACATAAACAACAACCTCAACAACAAACTGGACTGGTCAACAAACACAGACGTTCTGTACAAGAAGGGCCAAAGTCGTCTCCACCTGCTGAGGAGACTGAGGTCCTTTGGAGTGTGCAGGACTCTGCTCAGGACTTTCTATGACTCTGTGGTAGCATCTGCACTTTTCTATGCAGTGGTCTGCTGGGGGGCAGGGAGCACCGAGAGGGACAGGAAGAGACTGAATAGACTGGTCAGGAGGGCCGGTTCTGTCCTGGACTGCTCTTTGGACTCCCTGGAGGAGGTGGGTGAGAGGAGGATGTTAACAAAGCTTATATCCATCATGGACAATCCCTCTCACCCACTGCACCAGACTGTGGGGGCTTTAGGCAGCTCCTTCAGCAGCAGACTGAGACTCCCACCCTGCAGGACGGAGCGCTACCGCAGATCATTCCTCCCCTCTGCAATAAGACTTTACAATGAACAGTAACAAAACTGGATTTACACCACCACTTTTTTATGGCATTTAAATTGTGTATATTGCAGAAAGCTTTATTTTTTCTTCTCCCTTTTCTCTTTTCAATTTTTTTTCTTAATTATTACATTTATTAAGTTCTTAATATTAGGACCCTTATTGTTATAACTGCATTTTGCACTTTCTGTCTTGTCTGTGATGCTGCTGTGACAAAAAAATTTCCCCCATGGGGGATCAATAAAGGAATATTCTATTCTTCTTCTATTCTACCATAGACTGTAATGTTTTGAGTGGGCAAGCGTCCCGTAGCAAAATGGCCGCCATGCGCGGACGTCAGACTCCACTGGTTAGCAGCGTGCGTAAGCCATCTAGCGTTGATATGTTTATATCTATGGGTGACTCCGCCTCGGGCCATCTAGCCTTTCTCATAAATATCTATGGCTCACTCTGCCTCAAACCATCTAGCCTTTCTTATAGATATCTATGCTTGGCACCACGTTGTCCCCCCCAGACCTGTGGTTTGCCCAGTTCCATCAAAGTACTCTCTGCAGGAGACGATGTGCTTGGTGGCCTTAAATTGTTTTCTTCCCTCAGCAATTTCCCATGACCTCTTACCGTCTGGGATGGAGAGAAATCTGCAAAAATAACTGCGGATGTAAATGAGCTTTTAGCTAAACCTGGTGCTTAAAAAGCGAGGTTAATATTTAGTTTGTTCATGTTCCCTGTAAAATAAATGATATCACATCTGAATCTATGTACTACTTGTAATGGTACTGCTGAAAGTTAAAGTCATATCACTGGTCACATCCCTCGTTCCTCGAGCCAAGACAGCAAAGACAATGGCTATGTGTTGCCTGTAGCTGATTGCCTCATCTTGTATTCAGCTATCACTACTTTAACTTACTTAAAATGCTAACTTACTTGTTACTTTGGCTACTTCTTACTTACTACACTTGGCTTACTTGTGAAACGTGATCCCCTGTCGTTTACTCTCCACCGTGCTTGCGTTCTTACACCCGAAAGCAGCACCAGACTGCCGCTTGTTGTCAGGTTTTCAAAGCTTAACTTACCGCCTAATCGTTGAAGAGTACCATTCCTGGCTGGCGGGCGGCGGGTCGTGAGGCATCTAGTGTTATGGTATATCTGGGGAGCCATATACTGCCCTCTGATTCGCTGAGGCTGTCTTCGCTGATTTGATTGGCTGTTGCCCTATGGTCCGTCGTTTTTAGTGTTCCGGGGTTTTCCATGATGGCGGTACCTGCAGGACGGTCTGTGGTGTTCGTGACTGGAAATGCTAAAAAACTGGAAGAGGTAAAATTCGATGTTTTCATAACAGAGACAAACTGAAAGAGAGAGCTGTTTTTATCAGAATATTTATTGATACTTATTGATGATATACGAGCTGTAGAAGGATCCATCACCCCCCTAGTTTCATGGGGCACAAAAACAGTCCTCAGACTTACTCAGTTTTTTTTTTTTGAAAGTCAGTTATGAACCGATTTGTGTACAAAATGGTCAATTTTATTTAAAAAGTTTTAAAAAGTCCTTCCCTGCAGCTGCTAGTAAGAAAGGCTCTGCTGTTATTAAAGCTCCTTTGAGGAACTTCCAGTCTGTGTCAGCTTTGTCGCCCCCCTGTGGACGAAGTTCTTTTTGCTTCTGTTGTCCTCTACATGCCGAAATGGTGACTTTGGTGACTCCTGCTGACTTTTGACTGCCAAATGTATCTTTTATCATTTATTGTGGAGAATGTAAAAAGGGCTGTTTCCTTAACCGCTTTGTTGACACCCACCCCTCACACTTTCTCAGACGACCATCACAGAATAAAAATTTTTAATCTTGTTGCTGATAGTCTAATCATTAAAACTTATCAATGTGAAATTAAGTCTATTTCATTGATGTAAAAAAAAATCTTTGCTGGAGCTTAACCTTTGAACAAAGATTCTCTATTAAAGAGCTTCTCCACAGCGTCGAACATAGAGGTTAAAGCAAAAAGACCAGACTGAAATGAGAGAAAAACATTTAAAATTGTGGGTTTATGAATTGCTGAGTGTCAAAGCCACATGAAAAATGAACATTTTGAAGTCAACCTACTACAGGAATAAAGTATTAGGAAATTAGATTTTAATGTTTTGAGGTAAAAGTCACATTGATTCAAAAGTAAAGTACCAGTAAAAGGATTATATGAGCACAAAGTTATAATGTTATGACAATAAAGTTGTAGTTTTGGTTTACAGTGAGCAGCCTGCTGTCTCCACTTAAATAAGGAACATAGAGCATCTGGTTAAAGACTGAGCAAAAAGCTGAGACATTTGGTAACCCCCCTTCAAAACAACATTACAAGGCTAATCATTGACCAACTCTGAGTATTTCCATAAACTGATGTAGTGCACAAACCTACTGATTTACTCAGATTATGTTCCTGTGATACATGAAAAGTCTGATCAGAGGACCTGCTGCTTTTATAATATAAAACACTTTTTCAAAGTCATCAGAAATGAAACAATTATGATGCTTCACTTAATTTAAACTAATCTAAACATACTTTGTGTAATATATTTAATATCTTTGGAAAATGCTGCTAAATGCTACCTTTAAATTAAGAAGCTGGTTCAGTTGCAGCATATATGTTTGATACAAAGCTGCAAAAGTGCTGTGAAATAAAGATGTGTGTTCTCATGAGTACAAATGTGAGTTACTGTTTATGTTGCTAACAGCAGTTGACCTTTTTCATTTTTCTCAGGGGTTTTGGCTGTGAGGGAAAAGTTACTATTTGTTTAGCTTGTTGTTTTGTTTTTATTTTATACTTCAGGTCATCCAGATCCTCGGAGACAAGTTCCCCTATAAACTGGTGTCCAGAAAGATTGACTGTAAGTATCAGAGATAAAGCTGCATCTATCCATCAATTAGAAGTTATAACTCTTTTCTATATTTCTATTCTACGATAGTAAACAAATAGTCATTGAGCTTTATACAAAGCAAGCAAGACAATTCGATGCAAAAATAGGTTCAAATAAACTGTGTAATTCACCTGTAAAACCGATTAATCACTCAGAGCATAATAGGCAGATTGGTCACACTAGGCACAAAAAAACTACACTTCTAGAGAGAGTCTTCACTTCATATGTGCCAAATACTGCAGTTCTTCTTATGTCCACTAGAGGCTGTGTTCTTCAGTAGGCGAGTCCCCATAGAGCTCCATGTTCAAACATAACAGCAGGAAAAAAAAACATGTTTACACCCTTGAACAAAAAAAAAAGTTTGGGTCTGTGTTGCTCATCTCTTTATTTATGACAACTGTACAGACTGAATTTATGGACGAGAGTACTCACAAGATTAAGGATCAAAACACATTTTTACATTAGTTTAAGGACTAATCTCATCTGTTGACATCAGATTAAGGATTAAATTTAACTGTTTACATTAGACTGGATCAGCAATCAGCATTTTCAGTTAAATGACACCTATCTTTGGGTTTCAGAACTCTTCTCTAGAGATCAGTGGATAACTTTATGTATATTCACTGCATGGCCACACCCCCAATCAGAATCAGAAAAGAAAGCAGCAGGCAGGTTCATCTAATATTTACAGACTAATTGTTGTTTCTTTCAGTGCCAGAGTTTCAAGGAGAGCCAGACGAGATCTCCATACATAAGTGTAAAGAGGCCGCTCAGCAGGTACAGTACCTACAATTAAATGTAATCTTTTATTTTTAATGTTCATTTGATGTGCATGTGCCCAATGAGTGCAGATCAAACCTCGTAAGACCACAAAGAACAAATCAACAGGGTAACTACAAAGTTTTTCCAGCAGAGCTTTATAGTTTACAATCCTCTCAGCACTGTCTGCAGCACAAGTGGCAGAGCGTCACAGCTGAACAGGTGATGGTCCTTAAAAACTGGATTAAAAAACTGTTGACATGGCAGCTCCACAAGAGTGAAGCTAAAACATTCAGCACTCCCCCTGGATCAAACGAGAAAGTCCAAATCCAGGTCAAAGAAGTGTTTCTGTCATTATACTTACTTCTTAACATGCGGATTTACGTCTGTGTGTTTGTTTTTCTGTCTAGTTCAATTTGAATTACTTACTTGGTGCTGTACAGAGAGCCCTAACAGCATGATTGACTGCTGTGTTGACCAATGAGACTCCTGCAGGGCTGTGAACACCAGATTATCAGGGAGGGAAACAATGAGAGGAAACATGAAAGCTACCATAAAAGTCATTTTTCATTTCAGTGCAAAATCTACCTGAAAAACATCTGTTTTTTTCTCCGATTGCTGAAAAATCTGTGCTCATTCTCTTAAATCAGTGTCATTCTCAAAATCCCTCATCACTGAGCCCCTTATTCTGACAATTTTTTTTGTCATTCAATTCCCGCCTCAGGTAGACGGGCCGGTTATAGTGGAGGACACTTGTCTGTGTTTCAGGGCTCTAGGAGGTTTACCCGGTCCTTACATGTGAGTACAATATCTGCTCTTGTTTCATCAGTTATTTTATCTTTAAGAACAAAAATATGGACAGAAATAATCAAAACTTGACTTTGTTTATGCAGAAAATGGTTCCTGGATAAACTCAAGCCAGAGGGTAAGTTTTTTATGTAGCATCGTGGTCCTTGAGAATTAAAATTCAATCTCATTGTGTCCTCGTATTTGGTTAAAATGATAAAAAAACTTGACATGAAGTTTGTGAAAAAAAAATGCTCTGATGTGTTTGAATCTTCTGTTTTAGGTTTGTACAAACTGCTGGCTGGGTTTGAGGATAAATCAGCGTGGGCTCTCTGTACTTTTGCGTTCACTGCTGGTAAAGATGAACCGGTCGAGCTGTTCAGAGGGATAACAGAGGTCGGTCTATCGCTCTCTCATTGTGAGAGGACATGTGCACAGCTCTTATTGTCTATTAAAGAGGTGTTTTTGGTGATTTTTAGGGACACATCGTGGAGCCAAGAGGCCCCAGAGATTTTGGATGGGATCCTTGTTTCCAACCAGACGGTTATGACAAAACGTGAGTGTCCTTTATAAACCAGCAGGGGGAGCTAGAGGCTAACACACAGCTGTTTGTTTTAGTCAAGTTTGAATTGGTTCATGCAAAGTTTGTGAGCAGAAGTGAAGGAAGATAACAAGAGGGAGAAATGTAATTATTAAAGTCTGATTAATTAATAAAGTCTTACAGTCTGAGGCTGAAGTGTAAGTCCTCCTGTTAGTCTAAATGTTTGATTAAAGAGATCTGTCATTTAGGTAAGACTGACATTTCAATATTTTCTTTAAATTAAGAGAGTAAATGATTTATTATTCCTCATCTTTGTCCTTATTCCTACATTTCTCCTCAGTCAGAGCCCCTAAAGTTATTCATAAAACCTACAAAAGCATTCATGTTTACTGACTGTATCATGTCCCCCTTCTCTGCAGATACGCTGAGCTCCCTAAAGAGGTGAAGAACAGTATCTCTCACCGTTATCGAGCGCTAGCTGCCATGTCTGAACACTTCTGTAAATCCAACAACACCTCACCACAGAGCAAGAAGAAGAAGCAGGTGGACTGAGGCTCTCACTCTGCTGTACTGACTTGATTGTAATGATGCAGATCTACGCACTATGAGACGTATTAATGTCAAATCAGAAAACAGGACCACAGATTTGTGATCTGATTGTTTATGTGCTGAAAAGATGTCATAATAAAACTTATTGTTTTTTTAAACTTTTAGTTGACTGATTTGCTTGTTTTTTGTGTCATGCATGATCAATATATCCAGCCATATGAGGTTTGAAAGAAACCAGTGACAGGACAGAAACAAAAAATATATGAAATCCTATTTTAGACAGGGTGCAGACACACTCCTGCTCACTCTGCTCATCGACAAATTGACACTCTGGATCATTGCTCAGGACTGTTGCATAGATTTTAGATACTGCCATCAACAGAGAGACACCATCATCCATCATGCACCAAACAAAGCGAACACTTTTATCAAAGCTTCCAGCCCAAATAAGGACTTTCACCAGCAGCTTTTCCAGGTTTCTCTGATTGGCAGCTGAAGTTGGTGTAGCACATTGCATTAACAGCATTGCGGTCAGGCATGCAGATCATACAGGAGCTCATAGTGCGATGGGAAGACTGTATTGAAAAGGCCATTAAGAGGAGGCAGATAAAGTACCAGGAACAAAGCTGCAAGAAAACCATCCAGCTGGTTTTGGATCAAAGAGGCTGAGTTTTGAATAGTTGCTGCTAGGATGCAGGTCAAGGCTTGCATCAAGCTTGCCTGGGTCACACAGGTAGATATATCTGAAACACCTGATGACCCAGGTCACGTCACTGATGGTGCATTCAAGTGCTTGCAAGAGATGATGAACAAACCCGATGCATCTTCAAGGCAACAGAGGACCCTGGTCAATCTGTCACGACAGCATCCTCGGATTTTGGCCGTACATTTAGTTTCCAGGTAAGGCCATGGACTCATAAAAATAAAGAGAAAATATAATTCATTCTCTACATTCTCCACTTCACACAGACCTTTCTGGGTGTTTTTAAATCTGCAGACTACACGATCCAGAGAAAAACAATTTTTTTCAGCTAAGAGACCAAATCTGACTCTTCTTAAATAACAGATTTTTTGTTACTTTTGTTTAAAGTTTCTCCGTAGCTGGTACTTTACATTTTCTGCACTTGAAGGAGCTGGGTGTATTTCAATAAAAGACATGTTGATGGTTCCTCGGTGGACTGACAGGAGGAGATTCAGAGACGTGGAGAAGACCGTAAATCATACATTCGGAGCCACAGGATCCTGATGAGAGCAGCAGACTGCAGAACAAACACAACACAGATAGCAGGGGATTATGGGTAATAAATGACCACAGGGCTGGAAGTCTCTGAGCAGGAAGTTTCCACACACACCTGAGACTGATGCCTCCCAGATGGACACAACATGTATGACACACACGCACACACACAGACCTCATACCCCGCTCAAAGTCACACATGCACTACATGTTAAACATACATGCACGCACACCTCATGCCCTGAGCATGTCACATGAACAAACACACACATTGCGCATGTTTAATGTTGAACAAGCAGAAACACACTTAATAATGCTCAACCACACACCATAGGGCAATGCAAGCAGCACACAAACACAAAAAACCAACACACATTAATTAGAAAGTAAGTCACACAAACACTTCCAATGCACTCACCATGTGATACAACAAACACACAAACGTCATGCACCTTGAATGTTGAATATGAAACACAAACAAACACATCTTATGCATTGGGTATGTTTCACACAAGCAAAAACACACACACACACACACACACACACACACACACACACACACACACACACACACACACACACACACACACATATATATATACAACACAAAAAACACAAACTTTCACCTCATGCATTATATACTGTATGTCAAATGCACACACGTGAACACATCTCATCCACTAAACATGCTACACATGCAGAAACACACACACAAACACACACACACACACACACACAACCTTAATGTATTAAACATGCCAGACCAAGACATATGTACACACTTTACACTTAACACACAAAAGTACATCTCATACACTGAGTACGTCTCATATAAACAAAAGTACACACACAACCTAGACATGTCTCACACACACACTCCTCAACAATGATCATTTCACACACAAATTTTGCTAATAATAATATTTCATACGGCCCTTTATCAGAGACCCTGAAAGTGCAGACTGATGGAAACGTGGCTGCCAGCTTGCACCGACGGCCGCTCCGACCTCCACCACACAACACTTACAATCATACAAACACTGGGAGCAAAGTGGGTTAAAGTGTCTTGCCCAAGGACACAACGAACAGGGGTTCGAACCGCCAACCTTCCAGTTATTGGCCGACTTCTCTACCTCCTGAGCTACAGTGTTACATGCACACATACACACTGATACACACACTTTCTCCAATAATATGCAGGAACACACAAGACCTTAACGTATCAAAAGTGTCAGACACCAAACCACACTCATGTACACACTTCATACATCTTACATGTGTGCTGAGTTTGTCTCACGTGCAAAAACAATAAGGAAAAAAAGGATACAAAACCTGAACACTAATAATATGACATGCACACACACACACACAAACACACACACTGATACACACTTCATTCAACAAACATGCAGAAATACGCACAACAGCTTTAATTTATTGAACATGTAAGGCACAAACACACACAAACACCTTTTGCACTGAAAAACAAATGCACACCAAAGTATGCCTTACATGCTCTCTCTCTCTCTCTCTCTCTCTCTCTCTCTCTCTCTCTCTCTCTCCCTTACACACACACATACACACACCTTGTCTGACTGAGAGCAGCATTTTTAAACTCTTTTCTTAATAAACCAGATTTATTTGAACTTTCCTGATGAGGTGAATCTGTTCTAACCATGCATGACAACACTTTAACACCTGCCTGTTGTTATAAACAGTAATAAATCAATCAGTCAGTAAAAACAGCAGCTTCATGCAGCAGCTTGTGACCACCTGACTGAACTCTGTTTGTTCTGTTCCTGTTTAGGGACTGTTCAGGAAGCAGCAGGTTGTTGTGATGAAGAACAGGAAGGGAGTTTGTCTTCATCAGGGAGGTCTCAGTTCACCTGTCAACAAACACAACATGTGTTGGGCTCTGGGTCAGCAGAGGTCAAAAACATGAGGACTCTGAGGACTTCCTCCTCGTCCCCTGGGACTCAGTCAACACAGCGTCTGCAGAGCTTTAGAGGATCATGGAGCTGTCTCAGTCCCGGGGAGGTTTCTGAAGAATTTACAGGTTTAAAATCAACAATCTGAACTTAAGGAAGCTGAGCTGTGAAGAGATAAAAAGCACATGTTGATGTTTCTGCAGAACTTATGTGACAGCTACTCTCCTCCCTGTAAATACTGGGAGTGAAAGTGTGTGCATACATGTGTATTTGGGAGAAATCCTGCAGTTTCAGGATGTGTGTGTAACGGCTTTTTTCTTTCTTCTTATTTTGAAGTGGTTGTCCTCTGTTTTTGTCATTTTTCTTATCATGGTTATCATGTTGAAAGAGCACTCTTAGGCTAGTATGAGGTCATCAACATGCCTTCAGGATGCTTTAGTGGTGATAAAAAGTGAACAAGATGCCCTCTTGATCCCCTTACAGTTGTTAAAAAATAATAACCTGCTCTCAGGGGCCTTTTGATACATAAAATATAGACAAACATGATTTTATCTATGTTTGGTTGTTGTGCAAAGTCTGTGACTTAGCTTTGTCACTCCAAAGAGTCTTTTCCTCAATCGGTTATCAGAATTCTGATAATTCATTATGTGTGTGTTACCTTACAGAATTTGAAATCATCATGTGAAAAATAAAAAAAATAGATTTTATCAGCATGTATTAATATTTAAATTATGAGGGAATAGTTTGTGTTTTCTTGTACACAGTATTGATAATTACCATCTATGTGAAAAACTAAATAAAAGTACAAAGTACATGCTGTAGCTGTTAGCAAACTAGCTGTAGCATTGCTCTGAGAGATGGTTAGACACTAGATTAAACTAGAACTGGGTCTGTGCAGCTGTGTTGCACAGACCTGTTTCTGCCTGAGTCTGTGCAGCCACAGTGTTAAAGCAGAAAGTCAAAGACAGAGAAACTGAGGAGTTTACAAAAAAGTCTTCTTCGCGTTGTTTGAGGCGGATCTTTTTTCAACTCATCTGTTGAATTCTGGTGTTCTATGGCATGCAGCAGGTCCCTTTTTCATTAATCTTACTCCCGACTTTCAAACAGTCTGAGTATCCACGGCTGCATCGACACATATCAGCAAACAAATGTTGAAACCTGCTGAACTTAATCATCCCATCAGCCTCTGTGTTTGTTTTCTAGGACCTGCAGAAAGCTCAGGAATGCTCAGTGATGTGACCTTTAAATAAGATGCCTCTCTGAGCCCATCCTCAGGCCTGATCTCCAGGAGACATTCAGGCTTAATGAGAGAGAGAACCAATATCAGCATGTTTATTTGAGGTAGTCCGAGCAGATTTTTCTCTGTTGTGGTAACTGAAGGAATGTGTGACTCTGGGATCTCTGACAGGAAAGGATGCCGGACTTTATGAGAGCTCAATCCATCCTGATCACAACGGAGGATCAGAGCGGTTTGATGTGGCTTTAGGGAGACAGACTGTACTTCCTGTTATTTACTATGTAATGTTTACCCGAACCCTCTCTCTGTGATTACTGTTATTTAACAGAAACTCAGAGCTGCTTCTCCTTAAACACCAGCAGATGCAGCAGAGAAAAAACAGCTCCTGTTACTGGCTGTATGTCTAAAAAATTCCCTGTATGACTCCAAAACTTCAAAGCAACAAAAATAAGGGACACTTTGTGCTCTGTAAGTTATTTTTTTCCTCCAAACTCAGTCTGGCATGAAGTGGTTTCAGAGTTTTTAAAGGTCTGATATAATGAATGATTCCAGCAGGAGTCCTCTGCAGCCATCGATGGAAACTGTTGACTTAATATTCTCTCCTGCTGTGACCCGTCTGTTTGCTTTCCACGTTAACGACCAAACTGAGGACAAATTAAAATCACCTTTATTTTTACTGCTGCAGAGGGGGTTTCTATGAGACCTCAAATCAGCTTTGACCTGCTGACTCCTGCTTTGACCTCTGACCTCACTCACAGTCAAGTGTTATTATTACTGCAGTGCAGTTTTGTCTGTCGTGACTTGAATTATTGGAGTTTCATTATGCACACAAGAAACCAATTGCGAGCTATCTTTCAATTTATTTAAAGGTAGGTAAATCATTGTGTATGATAGTAAAATAAAGACCTGACAGAAAGCTTCAGGCTTGCAGTCAGTGGAGAGAATAACCAGCAGGTTAGCTGCGGCATTCTGAATGAGCTGCAGGTGGATAAATGGTCGACTATTGAATTTCCCTTCAGGGATAAACAAAGTTTCTTATTTAGTCATACTCTGAGCTACGATACAAAGAATTACCAAAGGAAGGTTGAGATGTTGTGCGTGCATGAATCACCTCTTAAAGAGGCAAACAGGCCAGAGAACTTTTGACATATTATATATGAACTATATTTTTCTGTAATATTTTGTTACATATTGAATATTTTGATACATTTGAATGATCTCATTTTGTTTTCATACTTCCTCCTGTTGTACAGAGGCCCTGAAGGTCAGTTGCCAACATTTCAAAAAGTTCACTGAATGAGAAGTTATAAACAAAATTTGAGTGTTAAAGAGTTTTGAAAAACTTGCATTTTTTAAACATTTATTCTGACTCTGAACTTTTTGGCTCGTCTGTGTACACACACACACACACGCATATATATATATGTTATATTAAATAAAATGAAATATTTCGGCTTTTTAATAAACTTTTTTTAATCTTTTGGCAAATGTTTTTAATCTCAGCCAAATGATTAAAGAATTTGCTGAAATGTAGGCATTTTTTTTGCCATGAAATGTTGATTCAGGTGACCTCCAAGGTTTGTGGATTTTTAGTTAGCTTTTAACACAATCCAGTCCCATATTTTAATTAATAAACTTCTTAACAGTTTTAATTTAAAAATGTGATTTTTTAACATCCAGAGCACAGTAAGTGAGGGTGAATGGATGCATGACAGGGGAGATGACATTATCTACTGGATATCCTCAGGGCTGTGTCGTCTCCTCTTTCTACATTCCGTACACTGATGAATGCTGCAGTCGTCATGGTAACAGATTCATCTTAAAATTTGCTCACCACTTCACGACAATGAATATTCTCAAATTTCCTGTGGTCAATGAATTTGTAGACTGGTGTGACAATGCTTTTCTTCAATTCAATGTGCAGAAACTAAGGACATGTATATTGATTTTAGACACAAGTCCCACAGCACCAACCAAAATACCATCATTAAAAGCCAGACAGTAGATACTGCTGAATATTATTAATATCTCGTGACTATTGTGGATAATCAATTCTACATGTGACTCTGAGGCTCTGCACAAAAAAGGCCAGCAATGACTGTCCTAAGAAAATGATTTAAGTTTCAGATTGGTGATTTTATTTTAAATATCATATATTGAATCTGAGCTGACCCTCTCTCTTCTCTGCTGGTTTGGCAACCTCAACACTGAGTCAAAAAACACACAAAGCAAAGTGATAACAACAGGCAGTAAGATCTTGGGAGTTCTACAGTGTACCTTATCAGACCTGTTCCATTGGCAGATAATCAGGAAAGCTAAGGCTATTCTCTCTGACAGCTTCTATCCTTTACATTCTGGGTTACAGTTTTGCCCCCTGGTTCTGGACTCAGATTTCCACCTGTTAAAAGTAACAGGTATAAGCACTCCTTCATCCATACAGCCATTTTCTCTTTAAACTCAGAACAGAGTGGGAAGAGCCGCTCTTGACTGGTATTCTATGATGTGATTCTAGATGCTGCTATCTATATTTTTTACACAGTAATGTATCCTCTTTTGTAACCTTTCACTGATTGTGTCCCAATATCTACTGTTGGTTCAGTACTCTGTCTTATACCTCCCCTTTGGACACCCGACTCTCTGTATTATATGTTTCTTTTTCACTTGCTGCCATATCAACTACCTCATGAGGACACAAATAAAGTTAAATAAAGGTCACTGTTTTATTGCCTTGGCCCAGACTGTAAAATGAAAGAATTTGTTATAAAAGAAAATGTATAATTGACGTCATGAGGCTTCAGTTTTAACAGACTTTTAATAGATTAGTCCTGTTATTATTTTTTGTTATAGCTGTTTTTACAATCAGATATGAAGCTGAGTATTTTGAAATACTGTCAGATGTGTGTCTCTGTGGTTAGTCTTTAATTTTTTTATGGATATGTTTCACACCTATCCTGATAACAAAATTATATTTGCCAGTCACTAAAGAGTCATGTTAGAAACTGGAAAGAGGAAACTTTCGACATGTGCTCTTTCAACAGCATGATCCTAAATTAATTACATTTTTGCAGCTTTAGTCAAAACACACTCAGGGAAAGTCATGGCATTTTGGAGCAAACCTTGAAAAATCTCATAGTGAACTGATCATATTAATATGATCTGTGAAAGATCCAACAGTGCTACATATAATATCTGTAAATCAAGAGTTTTACAAATAAAAGCAAAAACTTCGAACATTTTCTTTTAATCTAAAACATGGAATGACAAAAATATCTGCAGAGCACATTGTGTTTGACTGTCAGTCAAAGACTAAAAGAGAGTAGAGCAGGTACTCCTGATAGAGTCATCATGGCAGCAACAGAATTACCAGATTATGAGTTGTTGAAGTTCAGCTCCATCCTCAAATGTTCAACTAGGCATGAAAATCCAGGTCAAGTCTCAGGTGAAGCTCCACAGAGGGGAGCTTCAAATTTGTTCTACCCGAACAGACCGGGGTCGTGCAGGGTCAGAGTCTGCACCAGGCGCTGGAAGTCCTGCAGGGTCCATGGTTCTCGATGTGTCTCCTCCGAGGCTGCACTGCTGCTGTCCGGGCTGATGCTCTGGGGGTCATTGAAGCTGATCAGGATGTCTGTGGAGAACTGAGGCAGGCGGAGCAAAGCCAGATGCAGGGTCACCGTGTTTTTAGCATCTTCGTTAAATTTGGACACACTCTGAATCCCTGTGAGGATCCAGGCGGAGCTGCAGTCCGACAGGGACAGCTCAGACTGGGACACAGGCACCACAGTTGTCACCTGGAAAGCACCTGGCTCTGTTGCTTTGTTACTGCCTGCGATGTCCTCAAAGTGGTACCTGGCGGCGTCCTGGTCTGCCACCTGAGCCTGGAACTCCACCAGCTCAATAATCAGACTCTGGTCAGTGTGGGCGTGGGCGAACACCTCCTGGTTGTCCGGGATCTCCCTCAGCTCGCTGGTGTCCACGGAGCTTTGAGGGAAGACGGCCGAGAGAGCTCCACCGAACAGGGCGCGAGTCTGCGGGGCACGCTGCATGACTGTGACCGGAGACCGCTACTGGAAGGACAGGTGGAGGAGCACAAACACACCGGCACTACCTACAGTCACACAAACACAGTGTCCGCTCAGGTAAATGACACTAAAGCAGAATCGTGGGTGTTAAACATGAAGTTATGAAAACATTGTCACATGGCTTACCAACTGTACCAGCGACACTTCCGCAGAAAGTTCTCCCCGTCTTCTTCTTCTCATCTAATTCCAGTCTCATGAAGAGTTTGTCACATCCGCTGCTGCCACCTACTGGTTAGGCTGAAACACAGGCTGAAAAACAGAGGAATTATAAAATTTTCGCTCTGCTGAGCGAAATTTCAGGATGAACTGGTTACTTGAATGAATCACTGTACTGAAACGATTTCCTTAGAGCCCTCCCCTTAGTTATTTTTACAAAACTGTTTCTTAACAAACAAAAAAGAAAAGATTACAGCTGCCACAAACTGACATGAATAATGAAAGAATTGGGTTTTCAATGTGTCAATGTCAATGTCAGCTATATTTATATAGCACATTTAAAAACAGCCAGTGGCCTACCAAAGTGCCTTACAGTAAAATAGCCAGAGACAGTAAACAATAAAAACTATAAAAAAAACAATAAAAGCATAAAACATATAAAAACACAAAACAACAATACAGATAAACATAGCAAATAAATAAAATACCCAATAAAAGTAGCTATACTTCCCCAAAAGCTAAAGTGAACAGGTGCGTCTTCAGAAGTGTGAAAAATTATGCGTATTCTGACTTTTAATTTAATGATAACTAGTTTTGCTTTTTTTAAATCTATAAAACTGTTTAATCAGTATATTTTAAAGTATTTTCTCTTGTAATTATTTGGGCCATCCCGTTGCGTGAATCACTTGCCGTTTCAAGTGATTCACGCAACAGGATGGCCCAGCCAGGCTAAATAAAATAAGGTTTACATGTATTTCCATTGAATAACCTACAGTTTGTGCAATTGGGAGATTATAAATCTTACGGGATAATATTGCGAAATAAATAAAAGTTGTGAAATTACGGACTGTATTACAGTTTTATTTGTTAATTTTTGTGGAATAGGGTGTATGTGAAACATCTGTGGCCGTCTCTCCTCCTCCTCCTCCAGCTGTGACTGTTGTGTTCCGGTCAGCTGATTTACGGAAGCAGCAGCAGTTAGCATCCTCCGTGATGAGGACCCGGTGCCACCGACCGGACCGAACCTGACATGACACAGACGACATCGTAAAACCAATCCAAACCTTGAACATCTGGAATTACACCTGAGACTGCGTTATTGAACTCTCCTGTATCGAGGACCGGATCCTGACAGAAACAGCAGGTAGCTAGCTACGTTAGCAGCATTAGCTTAGCCGAGAGGCTAAATATGTCACTGAACCAGCAGGCCTATTTGAGCTGGATTAGCATGTAGCATGGTTTTCTGAGGGATATTTTTCTTCATTACATTTATTTTACTGCTGGAATGTAAGTAAATGAAAGCTGGCTCTGTGACTAACTGTTACTTGACCCTATTGAAGTAAATCCAGCTAATGGTCTTGACGGGATCTAACAGCAGTGAGCTCCTGATAACAGATATTCAGACTCTCAGTCAAACCGTCAAAGCCTTTAAATATGCGTTAATAAAGAGTACGGAAGATCGGGGGCGGCTATTACACTCAGCATTTCACTCAGCAATCCACAGACTGCTTAAACTAAAACATCCCAACTGTACATTTATTGAACCCAATACCTGTCTGCTAATATCCCATGTCAAATTAAGGTAAATATGTGTGATATGGAGGCCTTAAACAGATATAAACCTTTATATTTTATTTTGGTTGTTTACATTTCCCAAAAATGAGAAATGTCCATTTGTTTTCTCAAGATCTTAAATCGTGTGTCTCATTATTCCGAGACAACAAAGCTAGTTTATATAGTGGCAACCAAGGTGTGAATGTTAAAAGAATATAAGCCATGTGTGAATCTGTACTAATGAATTATAAATCCCTGCCAGCTGGTCAGTACACTTTTTCTTTGTTTAGAGAGGGAGGTTTGGACCATTTCCATAGCAACCACATTAGAGATAGGCCAATTGATTGGTTGGCTTATAAATAGTGTTTCAACACTATGTTGTCTTCCTCAAGGTTGATATCCCATCTTAAACAGTCACTGACTTTTGTTTAATATACATTTTGTTATGGTTTAAAAAGTAATAAGGTTGAGCCTACCAGCTGTTTCATTTTTGGTATAGGCAGACAGCAACAGCTGTTGAAAAACTAGACTACTAGTGCTGTAGGGCTTTTTGCATTGGACTTTTCTCAGCCTTCACTGTCTGCTTACACCCCATGTCAAATTAAGGTTAATATGTGTGATATGGAGGCCTTAAACAGATATAAACCTTTAAAGTTTATTTTGATTATTAATGTCTCTTAAAAGTGAGCAATGTCCATTTGTTTTCTCAAGATCTTAAATAATTTGTCTCATTTTGTGTGACAACAAAGCTAGTTTATATAGCAGCAGTTAAGGTGTGAACGTTAAAAGAATATAAGCCATGCGTGAATCTGTACTAATGAATTATAAATCCCTGTCAGCTGGTTAGTACACTTTTTCTTTTTTTAGAGAGGGAGGTTTGGACTATTTTCATAGCAACCACATTAGAGATAGGCCAATTGATTGATTGGCTAATAAATTGTGTTTTGACTCTATGTAGGCTCCCTCAAGGTTGATATCACATCTTAAACAGTTACTGACTGTTATTTAATATACATTTTGTTATGGTTTAAAGAGTAATAAGGTTGAGTATTGCTTCCCAGAGACATTTCACCTATGATCTAAAATCCATAGTCGAAACCCAATTTATATTTTTTCATCTATCAATCAACAATCCATTAAAGAATTGTCACTGGTTAAGATAGCCACGTGTTTTAAATTTAAATTTACATATAATCATAGATTTATACTTGACTTTCTTCTGTTCTCTTCCATATTTATTTAGCTTGATTTTTTTCTTATAAATCATTTCAGATAACTGGACAAAAATCCAAAAGTCGCTTGTGGCAATATTTTAGTGAGCCAAGTTTTTTTTTTCCACCTGCATATTAAGGTAAATTATCACTGAAGCTCAGAAATTTAGTTTTTCATTTCTTAGTATTTCCTAAACAAAAAAAACAAAAATAATAATATAACAATATACATCAGCCTACCTGCTCTTTCATAACTGATGTCGTCAGACGGCAACAGCTGTTAAAAAACTGATATTGGTCAACTAGACTACTAGTGCTGTAGGGTTTTTTGCATTGGACTTTTCTCAGCCTTCACTGGTTCAGATAAATATGATGTACAAGACAGATAAGCTGCAATGGAAATGGTTGGCTCCTTAAAGAAAGAAACTGAATTGAATAGGATTTAAATAATATCAAAATGTCATGATACGTTATGTTTTAATAATGAGTGCAGGGTACTGTATCTTGCAATGTTTGAAACAAAGAGACACACAAAGACTTGGGATTTATGGACATTTGATAAATGTACCACTTGGTCCTAGAGACTAAATCAAGTCCTCAAAGCATGAATGCTACCATTTAGACAGTGATACAAATATATTCCTTAAATACCATCTGGCAGGGTCTAACTATTGTTCTTCTGTTGATCATTACATTTTTTCCCCTATTTTGTCCCCTAAGACTAGTAACATATGAGCTGTAAATGTTAAAACAAGGAAATACACCTTTGCTTTCTGCAGAATCTTTCTTTCTGTCTGTGTAAGAAAAACCCCTGCTTAGATTTTTGTTTTGGTATTTCTTTCAGTTTGCATTCCATAAATTGATTATCTTAGTCAAAAAAAAAAAGGAACAGGGTTGGGCATTATGATGAAAAAAAAGCTGTTCTGTGGAATGATGAGTCCATATGATTCTTATTCATACTCACAGATTTGCACATGAGCATATTTTTTCTATACGTGTGTGTGTTTTAACTAGATGTCTAACATATTCATAGGAGACAGGATTACCCACTGAAGCTGAGGCTTTTGACTCCTCTGACTAGCTACACACACAGCGAGAGCTGCCTTTTATGACACCCAACATGGGCTTTGACTGTTAAAGTATACTAACAGTGATCAGAAGGATTGTGTCACACCACCACATACAGAAGAAAATGAGACATCACTTTCTTAATTCCACTACACTCAAAATACCTTTTTTTTTTTTTTGCATCTGAAAGCTTTTTTCTTTCTCCTCCTCTCTCTTGCTTCTCTTGTCAGTCCAGGAGAAACACATCCACTCCTCCTCATATGGTGTTCGTTGTTAATTCATGGACAGAGGTTTATGCTGATTAGTGACTATTGGGAGTGTGTGGTCATTCTACAATCAATTGGCATTCATGAACTTTCGTCACTGCAGTCAAAATGGGGTTTTCTGCAGCATTAATGAATCAGGAGTAGACTATTCGTACCAGTGATGTTTAAGGTCCTTACACACCGGGGCCGACACGAATATAGAACACGAAATCACAAAATATTCAGAGGTGAATTTTGTCGCGCCTGACTATACACATCAACCCGATGCGATTTTGCGACTTTCCAAGGAGAAAAAGATGCATCCCGGGAAAGACTTTTCCGGGGGAAAGTCCCACCTCCTTTGCTTCTGATTGGCTAGTAAAGCTGGAAATGTCATCACACGCTCAAGCCAAACGGTCAGCACTTACAGCCAATCAGAGGCGAAGGAGGGTGGGACCTTCCCTTAACAACCTACAGCGTCCCGGGTGGAAGCGAGAAGACAAAAATGGAGTCTACTTCAACTTCAAGTGATGGCGAATTGGTACTCCTTTTGTTTTTTCAAAAGAAAAAGAAACGTAGCACATGGGTGCATTCAATATTACAAAAAAGAAGAAAATTTGGTGAGTTTCACTGCTTGGTTCAGGAGCTGAAACTGGACCACGGTCGCTTCAGAATTTATCTTCGTGTGTCCGTTGGAAATTTTGGAGTTCTGCTAAAACAGTTAGCTCCAAGTTTGAAGAGGCAGAAGACTAGACACTAGACACCAGTGTTGAGATGGCTTTCTGTCATGATAGCATGTACTAAGTCGGGGCCAGTACCAGATAAGCACATGAAACTATGGTAACAACCGTTGGCATAGGTTAGCACAGATGAAAGTTAAAACAAAGACGTTTAGCAAACTGTTAAAGCACACAAACCATCGGCACATGAGAGATCCGACGCTATGACTCTCCACAAGTTGTCCTTCAGGTCATTATCTTTGTAATGTGTGTGCAAACGATCATAACCAATCAGCCAGTTGTGGTCGGCCATGTTGGATATACCAGTAAGTCTGACGTGGCAACAGCGCGAAATCTGATTGGTCAGAAATGGACACACAGTATGCGAAACTTTGGAAAAATTGACCATGATCCTAAAAAATAAATGCCGCAATATCACAGAACAGGAAAACTAAGCTGATATGAACGCTTGACAGGATTGACAGGATACGGGTTCGAAAAAAAATATTGACGTCCGAAATAATCGCTCAACAAAAACGGTCCTGGTGTTAAAGGACCTCTATGCGCAAATCTATACACATGTTTAAGTAAAGACAATGGCAAACCACACTCTGCAGGGATTACAACATCATGGCTCTGTAGTAGAAGAGTCCTACTGCTAAACGGGTCTTCCTGCAGTCCTGACCCATTAAAAAAATTTGGAGCATCATGACACACAAAAAAAAAATAGGACAAAGGAGACCCTGAACTGTTGAGCAGCTGAATCCTCTATCAGGCAATAATGGGAGTACATTTCAGTTTCCAAACTCCAGAACCTGGTCTCCTGGGTTCACTAACGTTTACAGAGTGTTGGTGAAAGAGGAGCTGATGACAGAATGAGAAACAAGACCCTTGTGAAGTTTTAAAATGAGCTCATATTTTGCAGAAAATAAACCCTTTAAGTCTCATTTATTTTCTTGTGTCTGCACTATTTTACATGAAAATTGGCTCCAAATTCACTCCGCCCTGTAGTCCTGTCTCCTTGCATCTTTTGATCAAACCTGAAACCACTTAACATTTTTTATGGATTACACCTTTAAATATCCTGGCTTTAAATAGACTAGTGTTTCTAAATTCTTCCTCTTTGGCTTCTTTTCTTCCTCCCTCCATCCCCTGCTTCTCTCTGCCTCTGTTTACTGGAAACTTCTTCTCCTCCGCCGGCCATCTGAAGGTCTTTTTCCATCCTCAGAGCCAGAAACGGACGCTGCTGACAAATCCACAGTGTCAGGCTGAACTGGATTCAATGGTACAAGTTGTTTCGTTGGGTTGAAGGAGCTGCTGTGTGCGTGTGTGTGTGTGTGTGTGAGTGAGTGCGTGCATGTGTAGTTGAGTGTCACGGAGGAACTTTATTGTGTTTTTGTGGCACTGTTTGGAACGAGCCACATCCGAGTACAGACTCAAGGGGGCAAATCTGGAAGAACAGAGTGTTTTTAAAACAGATGATGACATTTCCTTTCATAGCCCCTGAGAGTCAACACCAGAAATAAAGAGTTCTTCCTACTTTGTTTACTACAGAAGAGAGTGTTTTAGAGACGTAATGGGAGAAACACACACTGAGCCTGTTCCTGAGCTGAATATAAGGTATCAAAGAGAACGAGCGGAATCAGCTGTGTGACTAAATACAGAGTCAGGCTACACAGAAGGACATTTGGGAGTACAGACACTCTGTTCAGACACTTCATACTCTGTTTCTCCTGTCTGTGGTTGAACCTGCAGCTTAAATCACTCACTTCCACCCACTAATGTTTAAGTGTAGCAAGCTGCTGTGTGTGTGAATGAGCCATAGATCTGTTGATGTGAAATGCCGCAGAGCCTCTCTGATGTTCCTTTTCTCCTCCTGTCCTACAGAGGGAGCCGGATCAGGAGGAGCAGCCTGAAGACAACATGCCCCCCAAGTTTAAACGACACCTCAACGATGATGAGGTCACAGGATCGATCCGCAGTGAGAGGGTGAGATGAGGAGGAAGTTTGGGAAAACAGTCAGTGTATTTCATCTACAGCGGAAACTGAAGAGTAGTTTGATTGTTGACTGATCATTGATAATTGAAACAGTTAATTAACCAATCAGTTAATAATGAGCACAGTTACTTTTTTATTTTGAACGATTTATTTATTAACGTTTTTTTCATAAACAGTATACAACTTAAATATCAACAATAGAACTACAAATCCCCCCCCCCCAGCTGTCAATCATGGTGTTATAGCCCCTTTTTATAACATTAAATAAGTGAGTCAAACTGAACTGGTCAGAAAAATGAATACTTGAACATAAATCAGCATGAGAAGAACAAATGTTAATGACAGAAACCACATTTGAGAAACATTCAATTGACCTGGATGTGGACTTTCTAGTTTGACCCATGTCCCATCGGTTAACATGGAGGAGGCGGGCTTTGTTATATTTGCTGTAGCCAGCCTGCAGGAGGAGTAAATGTGCTTCAGTTATTCTTGATTTATTTTGCGATGCTGATGTTCAGGGTTATGCTTAGGGATGGGAATTGTTAAGATTTTATCGATATCGATGCCATTATCGATTCTGCTTATCGATTAAATTCTTTAACGATTCCCTTATCAATGCCTTTCTTTGATTTAAAAAAAAAGTAGACTAAAGGTTTTCGCCGTTAACTCTAAATTTTATTGAGTCTCTGATAACAGTAGTCTAAAAATAATCAAATGATAAACTAATTGTACAGTGTTTACTTTAATCGGTATCAAGTCAAATTAGGGTGACAATATTCTGGATCCCCAAAACGAGGACATTACTAAGCGGGAGGCCGAGTCGTGTGCAAAATTTTGAGGGTTTTTTGGGTCGGGTTGAGTGTTTTTGATGCTCTTCTAACTCAGTTAGTCCAAGTCTGGCATGCATTGCGCTTACGTTAACACAGTACATACGTACCTTCCATGCCGTTGCTGAGATGGAGCAGCAGCGGCTGACGACCGGAAGAAAAGAATCATTAAGGGAATCGTTAAGATAAGATGTAAAGGATGTCGATGGATTGAACCATTTGGAACCGGTTCTCAACAAGACCCAGTTCTCGATTCCCATCCCTAGTTATACTGCAGATGATTCAAGATAGGCTAACCCCTGTTCCTTCTTTTAAGTCTGTTTTTGTGCAAACTTTATGAAACCCTAACGCCGTTAAGAGCCGATGCAAAAAGATTTGGATGTGATCATCATGAGGAGTTTGTTCATCCTGGTAGAGTCTGCGGGTGGTAATTATAGATAGAGGCATCAGTGGAAAGGTTAGAGGATCTAAACTGGAACGAATGACTCCGGATGACAAAAAAACTCATGGAAAAGGATGAGCACACAGAGAGTGGACCACAGAGTGTTGTGATATTTAAGGAGAGTGAAGTGAGTAAACTTCAGATGCTCCTGCTGCCAAATGTCTGTTTCTCATCAGTCTTCATCCCCTTCCTGCGCTACTCCCTCATCCTCCCTCTCTTTCTGTCCTTCCCCCCCTCTTCTCTTCTCTCAGTGTAATCCTGTTTGTTGTTGTGTTGTTGAGGTAGGATCAAAGCTGAGATTACAGGGAGACAAAAAGCTTGTTCCACCTTCATGCTCTCTTTTTACTGCCTCACCCCCGGCCCTCTGGTAATAACTACCAGCTCTTCCTCACCGCTCACATACTACAGCGTGGAAACAAAGAGAGATCATCAGAACGTCTCTGTTTCTTTATGATCATATGGTCACCATCCCCTCAGCTTCTCTGCACATGACAGCTTATTTACAAGAATATTGAATGTCTCTTTTGATAGCCAGCTGTCAGTGTCTTTTTTCTGTTTGCTCTTTGCAGTGACGGCAATAAAAAAATCGCAGAAATGAAGACTAACTACCTGAGAGTTTAATATAATACCGCCTCTATCAACCATTTGAATGCATGCTTTGACTCCTGCTGGTCATTCCCAAATAAACTAAAAAGACTCCTCTCTTCCAACAGAAGTGTATAAATTCCTCCTGTCTCCTCTTGGTCCAGCTCTCCTGACAGGATTTAGCACAGCTGTCGTCTCTGATTCTCTCTGAATGGCGTTTTATGCTCTGCTCTGATTGAAGACAGCAGCGGTTCAGGTGTGGTTCTGATCAGGATGGGGAGAAACCTCTCTGTTCTTTCACTTGAGGGTGTTCAGGTTCACTTTGACTCTGTAGAAAACAAACAGTCCTCTGAAGAGTCCAAACTGCAGAGCAGTATCTGTCTTTGTCATCCAGTCATCATGCTGTAAAACGTCTGTCGTACCTTTGTTTCGATCCATACCTGCCTTTCCAAAAGAAGATCATCTATAGAAGAGTACAGCATCTTTATGCAAACTAGTGGAGTCATTATCAAGTCTTTTTGGTTATCCTGGTGTTCTGATTGAACTCCTGAACGTTAAAGAAAGTGGGTAATAAGCAGCGTTTAGTGTTCAGACTGCAGCCTCCTGTGAAATGCTGCTTGAGTTTGATTCCCAAAGATCCAGAGGTGCTGTTCTTACCAAGTCACCTTCCTGACAGGCAGCACTTGTCTCTGTTTTGAGATGTTAGCTGGCAGCTTACACACCTGTACCTCCAGGTAGCTTGGGATCTCTTCTGCTCTTAAGTTTGCATCCCCTCTTTTTTCCTTCAGAGCATCGAGTCACGTTTTTCCAGCTTCATGAAGGTGTCAAGAATCACTCATTATTTAGTTTGGTTGTATTTTGTCTCCTTGAAGCCTGCAGACCACAACAGCAGATCAGTTTACTGCAGGTAGATAAGCATGTCGGCATTCCATCAGTAATTGTTGCAGAAAACTGTAGCCTACCTTGAGTGCAGGTTCTCTGGGCCAGTTTCATGTTGACAACCCTGAGCTGTCCGACATCCATTGTTTTTTTCCGTTGGGGGTTGCGGGGGAGCTGGAGCCTATCCCAGCATCTTCGAGCAAAGGCAGGGGACACCCTGGACAAGTCACCAGTTCATCGCGGGGCTGACATATAGAGACAAACAAGCATCCACACCCACATTCACACCTACGGACAATTTGAAAGTGGCCAATTAACCAAATCCCACTTGAACAGTTTTTTGGGATGTGGGAGTAAACACATGCAGACACAGGGAGAAGATGCAAACTCCACACAGAAACGCCCTGACCCAGATTCAAACCCAGGACCTTCTTGCTGTGAGGCGACAGTGTTAACCACCACACCACTGTGCCGCTCTGTCCGACACCTATTGTGGTTAAAACACTTACTACTGACATGTAACTCATGAATCCTCACTTCAAAAACTCTGAAAAATCCCTGTATCTCTCAGCACAGGAAAATTAAGTAAACTAAATGCACTGACAGACTTTTCATTCACATTCACTTTCTTTCACTGCTGGAAAAACTGTACACTTGTAATCTTTGTGCACTTATCGAGGAATAAAAACAACTCCACTGATATCAGGCCGTCATAACTTTTTTAAATCAGGTGTTTTTGGACAGCTCCAAAAACACCTGCCTCTCTGCAGGGACAGTCACACATACAACCTATCCTCAGATTGGGTTATCTGACCTCTGACCTTTTTTTCTTCTTTTCAGAGAAATCTCCTGGAGGAGGACTCTGATGAAGAGGAAGATTTCTTCCTGTGAGTTTCTACAAAGATATATTCTCCTTAAATATTTAATAGCAATAAATCAACTGTGCTTAAAGTGAAGTATACAGCATCCAATAGTCCCCCATTATCAAGACCCGGAGTAATAGTTCCATGGAACATACGTAGCATTAGTATTATAAACAGTCAGAGCAGGTTGTTAAAGTCAGCTCTTAAGTGTTTACTCTGTCTGTTTTCCAGGAGGGGGCCCACAGGACCAAGATTTGGACCTCAGAACGACAAACTGAAGCAGTGAGTATAAACATGTTCTTGGTTTAAACCCCCAGCTTGAGATGAGAGGAGTTTTGGCAGAGCTCTGCGTTTTGGTGCTGCTATTATGTAACTCTCCATGTTTACCAGAAAGTGCTAGTTGTTAGTGGATTGTGTAAGAGAAGCGTTCATGTGCAGGTTATTGTGTAACCACACCAGAATGGCGCGGCACCTCTGTGGTGGTCCGTCTGCACGGTAACCTGCAGCCAGAGAGTGGGAGTGGTGTTTGTTAGTCTGCCATCATGACTCTGGACCTGAACCTGAGCCCCTTGAGCTCAGATCCTGACTCTGTTTATGCTCATGTGTGGTCACATGTATTTCTTTCTGGTGGTGTGTTTATCATGCTTATATTATCGCCTAAAGCATGCAATCAAGCCTGAGATCAACACTGTGATTTTTCTGCTGAAACAATCAGTTTAGCACTGCTGGAAAATCTGAGAACACACATTCCTTTGTCTTGTTTCTCACTTATGAGCTCACTGTTTGTTTTATTCTCCTGCCAACGCCCCCTCCTGCCCACCCTGCATCCTCACAGAGCTATTTCAGAGAGATATTGAGAAATCAGAGAGGCTGATGGGTAATCTGGACATGCCATGCAATGCTCAGGTGTATGCACTTTGAGTAAAAGCTCTGAGGAGATCACAGTGGGACTGAAAGCGTCTATACATGCCGCTGGATGAGGCTTGATTTAGATTCAAGATGCTTTAAGACGCTTTGTGCAACAAAAAGCCACAAAAAAACAGAAAAGTTTGAAACAAATCTTCCTTTGATCTCACCTGATTCATGTTTGACTCTGCCCTGTGTCCCCAGTGTGCAGTCTCAGGTGGACGAGGTGATCGATGTGATGCAGGAGAACATCTCCAAGGTGATCGAGAGAGGAGAGCGACTCGACGACCTGCAGGACAAGTCAGGTGAGTCACGCTGCGACAGCTTGTGTTAGTTTGTACGTCCACATGTGCACAATCTGTGTTTTTGTTTTCAGAGTGAAATAAAGTTTACAGCTCTATTTCTGGACTGTTGTTTAATTTTGAGCGCACACATGGAGAGAGTTCAAATGTGCACTGGTGTCCAGGTTATGATTGGCGTTTTTGGAGTATCCTGCTAATTTTGTATGCATGTAAACAAAATAGAAATCCAGATCAGGCTTGAAAAAACACAGACATGCTAGTCAGGGCACTCCCATAAAAACCAGAAATCATCGGCATGCAGAAATGTGATCCAGGTTTCTGAACCTGTAGTAGTTGATACAGATCACAGTGACTGAGATGATGAGAAGTAAAGATAAACATGGCCACAGTATCCTGGATCAAAGTCATGATCATATAAACAGAGAAATGTATGACTTATTTTTAATGTTTTATTCAATCAAAACCAGATCAAAACACAGACACTAACAAGCAGGTCAAAGCGCTCGTGGTTTGCACGTGAATTCCTCCTCTGGTTCTGGGATCATTCAGCCATGTGCAGAAGCCAGCAGGAACATTTCTGCAGTGTGCATTAAAGAAGACTAAGCATGCATTAAAGTTAATTTAATTTTATTACAAGAAAATCCTTTTTTAAAGAGAGAAGGGTTGCTCTGTGAAAAACATCTGCAGACTGGGATTCCTGCACACACAGAGCAGTTAAAGCTCTGTGCCGAGGTGATGGAGCCTCCCTGTAAACATGTTCACCAAACTCTAAAGCTTTAATGTCATCTCCAGCTTTAGTGTTTTAACAGGTGTGAGTCTAAAAGTGGACTCGCTCATCACACGCCTGATGTGTGAAACATTTTTTACAACTGGCTGCCATCAACAGACCCTCATTCTCCTCCTCTTTTCTTTTTTTGTCTTCTTCTTCCACCACTTATTTATCATTTATTTTATTAATCTTTATTAAACAGTTTAATCCTTCTATCCAGAGGTCTACCTACCCATCTACCTACTTACCTAGCTACCTGTCACAAAAAAGTATGTGTTTATGATAGTTAGTAGTTGAAATGGACAGCAGGAAGTTACTCAGGGGTCAGTGACATTCATAATCTATCAAATCTCTCCTTCTTCTCTGTCTTTTTTTCTCTTCTTTTCTCTGTCTTAAACTCTCCCTCCTTATTTTTCTTTGTCTTCTCCTCATCTTATCAGTCTTGATCTTCCTCTCCTGTTTTTTAAGCTTCTCCCCCTCTTCTCCTCATCTTTTTCCCTCTTTCTTAATTTTCTTATTTTTTTGTTTTCATCTTCTTTCCATCTTCTTCTCTGTCTTCAAGGTTCTTCCTTTCCTTTTAGGTCTTTGCCTTTACTGTTTCTCTCCTCATCTGCTGTTTTTCTGTCCTCCTAAATCTCTGTTTTCCTCTGTCTTCTTTTTTCATCCCTTCATTTTCTCTCTTTAGCCTCTTCTCTGGCTTCACCTTTTGTTTTTCTTTGTCTTTATCTTCTTGCCTTCTTTCTCTCTGCTTATCTTCTCACATCTTTTGTCTTAATTTTCTTCTTGTATTTTATTTCTTCATCATTTTCTTCTCTCTTACGTCTTAGGAGACGCCCTGTCTGCTTCTTTTTCTTTGTTTTTATCCATCTCTCTTCTCTTTTTTGTCTGTCTCCTGTTTCCTTTATTTCATCATGTTCTTCTCTTCTCCCTCTGTGCTCATCTTCTTTTTATCTTTTTCTGTCTTCATCTTCTTTCCTTTCCTCCTTCATCTGACTCTTCTTTTCTGTCCTCTGTTTTTTGTCTCTCTCTCTCGATTATTCTCTTTGACTACATCTCTTTTTTCTTTTCTGCTGTTATCTTCCCCTCTTTTTCTTTTTTTATTTGTATTTCACTTTTTTTCTTTTCTTCATATATTTCTTTAATCTTTTTTTCCCCCTTTGTCTTTATTTAGGTCCATTCTTCCTTTAATGTTTTAATGTCTGTATTATTCTGGTTTTCACATTTTTTGGTCTATGTCGTCTTCTTTGTCCTCACTTTCTTTTCTTTTCTTTTCTTTTCTTTTCTTTCTTATTGTTCATAATACTGAAGTTCCTCTCTGGGGATCAGTCAAGTATTATCTTATTTGATATAGATTTTCCTCATCAACTGTGTCTTATTTCTGTCTTTATACTTTTCATAGGCTTCATCATCCTCTTTGCCTTCTTTGTTTACTTCTTACCCTTCTTTTTCTTCTACTTCCTTCTCTCCCTTTCCTCTCTTTTCTCTTTCCTCCTTTCTTCTTCTTCTCTTCCTGATGTTTAATCACTGAACAGATGACTCTGTCGTTTCTCTCAGCCCTCCTCAGACAGATGTTGTGTAACTTTGTCTTTCCATCATGTTAAGCAGCCAAATGAGACAAAGACACATCTGGACCACATCTGTCTCCCTGTGTGTGAGAGAGTCTATTGTAAGCTGATGTTTGTGGACCTGGTGTGTGTGTGCGTGCGTGTTGTTCCTAATAGCTGCCTCCATGTTGGTGTTTTACCACCCTGTGATTGACAGGTGCAGCGTGCAGGTGACCTGTAGTTAAATTCCTGCAGGTTAACAAGCGTTTTTCTCAGAAGCTTCATGTGAGTGTTCGTCTTTTGAACAGCAGGTTGATGGACACACAGGCCAGCAAACAGTCTATGCGAACACACCCACACACACACAACACAGAATAAAATAGCGCCAAGAAGGGACGAGGAAAAGAACATCCCTGCACGCGAGGGAGTCAATCCCTTCCCATGAACATGCACAAACATCATGCTAACGACTATAACCAACAAACAGAGAGAGGGCGAGTGGCGTGGGTGATGATGGCGTCAGCCTCCCAACATTTAGAAAACCTGTTTGTACTCTGCTGCGGATAAACTGTTTATAGCATGACGTCTTCATATGATAATCTTTTCTTAATTTTTCAGCTCATTGAGGACTTATATAAGAATGACACCTCAGAGCCACACACACACACACACACACACACACACACACACACACACACACACACACACACACACACACACACACACACACAGCTCAGTCTGTGTATGTGTTGTTTTTGGCATTGAAAAAACACTCAGTCACACACACTGACATTTACAAACATCCTCGTCCTCCATCCTGGCATCAGATATTCAGAGACATAAATAAACAGTTAATATAAAACACTTGCGTAAATAAAAAGTGACTCTAGAAAATAAATATTACTGGATTTTTGAGCCAGATTTTACAATGTCAAAGTGACCTCAGTGTGAGGGTTGTTGTGGGATTGTTTTGAGTTCATGCAATAAGACAGGAATGTGCAAAAAGCCTCAGAAGGCTGCTCTCAAGAACTTATTTAAACATGTAGCACTTTTTTAGTCATAAGCCACTGATAAGCCAGTGTGGTGTTGTGTTGTTTAGCCCTGTTACATGTGATCAATCAATCAATCAATCAATCAATCAATCAATCAAATTTTTTGTATAAACGGCCAATTCACAACAGTCGTTATCCCAGGATGCTTTCCAAAAAAAGAGCAGGTCTAGACCACGCTCATTGTTTGATGGATTACCAAGACCCAACCTTTAGATGGGACAGATTTGACCTATCTCATCTAACATGAGTGACAGTGGCAAAGAAAGACTTCCTTTTAACAGGCAGAAACCTTGAGCAAGACCAGACTCGTGCTAGACAGCCACTAAGCCGCTGCTGAGTTGGGGAGAAACACAGAGAGAGATAGGGAGAGAGAGAGAGAACAAGGGAGAAAGAAGGAGAAAGAGAATGAGTAAGGGAGAGGGAGGGAGGGAGGGAGGAAAGAGAATGAGGGTGAGAGAGAGAGAGACAGGGGACAGCAGCAATACTGAAACAACAACAACAACAGTTCATACAGAGTTGTGGTTGCAGAGCAAGTAATGATGAAACAAAATGAATTCAGTTTACAGGATTAGGATATAGTAATTATGGACACTGTTAAATTAATTTAATGTGATTACAGTCAGCAGGACTAACAGTTGTTAACTCTAGTTTTATGTTATTAATGTTGGTGAGGCTGATGTTCATGTCTGCAGTAACAGTCCAGAGGAACCTAAGAGGAGAAGGAGCTCAGGACCTGAGGTGGACAATCATAGACGATGCGGCTGGAGTCAAGCAGGTCCACAGCAGCCAACTGCCTGTAGCATCAGTCAAGAGGAACATGTGATGCAGAGAGTGTTGAGAAAACTTAAATTATTAAAATCACAGCATCCTCTGCAAAAGTCTTATCACAATCATTTTGATTGATGTTGTTATCTTTGGTTATTAAAAAGTGCATCACACACATTTATCAACCTAAAACCTCTTAAGAGCTAAAAAAAACCCCTCTGTAATTCTTTGAAAAACTCAATAAGTTTGAAAAACTGTGTCGCCTACCTTGTTTGTTTGTCCAACTAGATGACATAAAGAAGTCAAATGTACTACAACTGAGAGGGATTGTGCATCATTCTCACACTCGCCTCCTCCTGCTCCTCTCTCTGCTCTCCTCTCTCCCCCTGTAGCTGCCTGATAGTTTGTTGCATGGCCTGTTGTATAAATCTGCTTGTATTTTCTCCAGGTGGATTCAAATCCTGTCTTGCAGAAATTTCTTGAGAAATTGTATTTTTTTGCTGTTGTCAGGAGTTCGAGGTTCATATTGCTGAGGTTTTACAGCTGTCAGATTCAGCTTTATGTTAAAAAATGCCGCTCCTCTCCTCCTCTTTTTTAACCTCGGTCTCTTCTGTGGTCCTGTGACTTCTCAGAGAGCCTATCAGACAACGCTTCAGCCTTCAGCAGCCGAGCCAAACAGCTGCACAGGAGGATGTGGTGGAGAGACATGAAGGTGAGCTGTTAGTGTGTGTGTCTGCTTTGTCTTCGTATGCATCTAAAGTATCTGAGTATTTACTGTGTTTTTTTTTCTCTCCACAGATGAAGATCATAATCGCTCTGGTAGTTTTCGCTCTCCTGCTCATCATCATCAGTGAGTTTAACATCAACTTGAATCCACTTTGATGATTATAACCTGCAGAACTTTGAATTTCTTTCTCTCCATCTCTTTCAGTTCCAGTGATTCTGCGATACCGCTAGAGTCCAACCAGGAGGACAAGGAGAACCCTCCTCCTCCTTCTCCTCCTCCTCATTAGTCTTTGCACACAGTCCCTCATCCTGCCAGGGGGCGCCAGCCAACCTCCCATTCCCCCACCATGTCAGCCCCAGGACCCTGACGGTGAACTGGACCTCTCCTCAGTGCAGATCTTTATTAATCTGCTCTACGATCCGTACTGAGGCTTAGACTGTAGAAAGGGATCATGGGAAATCTGGGGAATCTTTAATGCATTTTAAGAGAAAAGCTGCCTCTCAGTTCTGTAGATATCACACAGCAGAGCTCCACTCCATCAGATAACCACATTTAGCCTCACGGGGACTCCTCACATAGATAGAAACTGTAAACTAGCTGAACCTGCTGCAGCAGACTCGTTTCAAGACGCTTTAACCTTCAGCAGACGAACCTCACATGTCTACCCATGATTCCTTGTGTGCCGGCCTCAGAGTAGGAATATTTAAAGGGAATTTATCGCAACATGAGGCGAGGGAACATCTGAGGTTCATCTGCTCGCTCACACCCTTTGAATCCTCCACAGTCAGATGAATTGACGTGTCAGGTGTGATTCCTGGTCAGCTCAGTGAATAGAAAGAAGGTCCATCTGTGCAGAAACATCCCGTCCGCTCTCTGACTTGATTCTCCTCCATAAATCTCTGCTCCTGAATATGAATGTCTCCTCGCCCTCCTGCAGAGCCGTGGCGAGCTCTGGAGCCGTTTGGTCACGACGGTCGGTCCTGTTTTGGTTTGACTCTGTCTCTGATTCTGCTTCTGTGTTTCTCCACTGTTGTTGTCTCTCTCTGCTCGCTGTGATGCTCGTACAGACGCTGGTGTGTACTCTAAAGGGACCGTCTGTGTGTCTGCACTGTTACGTTTGAGGACACTGAGCTGTGGAACAAAATCTAGGTGTCATTAATTTACTGTTTAATACATTTTATTATTTGAATGTAATTTATTTTAGCTGTAAATAATCTGTCAGGATGTATGATACTCTGGCAATGCATTGGAAGACTGTGAGATCCTTTATGCTCTGAAATAAAGTGGTTTAAAAGATTGACGGTCTGGTTTGATCTGGTTTGGACCGATTCGGCAGGTTCCTGTGAGAGGGGAAAAGGATAATCAGATGGAAACTTAAAAAATGGCTTGATGGAATAACCGATTAGAGTTGAAGAGGGAAACTAATGGTCATGCCATCCCTGCTCTCTTTCCCTCTGCTTTCTTTTTCCTCCTCTCATTACAGGGCTCTTTTATTGCTTTGTGGTTTTACTGGCTCTGGAGAGTCCCAGGATGGCACTAAAGCTGGATGGAGTGAAGTCAGAGCGGGGGATTTTATTCTGACAGACATGCAGCTCTGCATCTCAAACACGGGACATTAGAAACGCAAAGATGTAGACCTGCAACCATTGATCAAATAGTTCCTCAACATAAAACAGTCATCGGTTTTATCGACCATGAATCATTTAACTGGTTTGTGGGAAAAACTCTTTCTTCCTGGTGTCTTTTAAACCGGAATATCTTCTAGTCTTTTTACTCCACAACAGTAAGCTGAAAATTGTTTGATTGTACACAAATTAAACATTTGAGGCTGTAATTGAAAACAAATGCTGCTGAGTCTTTGTGCTAATCAGACTCAGGTGCTCCTCGGCTGTTCTTGATTCATCCTGGAAATGTGAGTTTCCATGGCTGAAAAGTAAAGTATCCTGTTAAAGCAAACCCAGACTCAAAAATTTGTGTGTTAAAAAACAGCAGTTGAGTTATGACCTACTCAGACTGTGTTCAGAGTCATTATCAGCACACCTAAGAGTTACAGTCACCTGTTCAGGAGATCAAGAAAGTGGTACTTCATCAAGAGGAGGCGTGAGGAAGAAAGTTGATCGGAAAAGGTGAAGGGCAGGTAAGCAGGGAGCAAGATGGGAATCAAAGAAATCCTTGAATAAAGATGGGGTCTTTTATTTGTTTATGCTGCCTCAGGTACCAGGCCTTTTATATGAAGCAGGCTTTTATCAGAGGCAGACCTTTATTCCAAATCCTTTCAACATTATCATGTTTGTTTGAGGATTTATGGAAATAAAAGAAAAGGCGAAGAGGAGGGGCTATGAGAAAAATAAATAAAAACAAACAGTTAATCAGTCCAACAAAGTCAGGGTGGACCTACTAACCCTATACCTGATAAATTTCTCATCACAAGCATATTAACACTTTTAGTTCATTTCAGCAAACCCCAAAACTGTAAATGGATGTGGACTTATTTTCACTTAATTTTTTTATTTAGTGGAAAAAATAAGGAGGTACACTGACCATCTAAATACAGTAAGTGGTACTGAATTTATTCTGAATAAAACATGGACATAGCCTTCAGTTTCCAATGAGGTGTGATGTTTGTCATATTAAAAATGCTGATCTACTCCGATGAAGAGGTGGAGTTGAGGTCCATCTACCTGTGTGACAGCTAAAAGGCACCTTCCTGTCAACCAAATCAGCTGTGCCCCAATAATGCAAGACTCTTACCCTGGATCTAATGTAAAGAGGAGGGTTTCAGTTTGATATGAGGCTCTATGAGGATTGACCATATCCTGTATAAAACATGGAGTTAAGTCTCAGTGACATTTGATGAAAGGACCACAACCCTTGTGTTTCTGAAACAGAGTTTTGAACCTTATCAACAATGGACAGTGAAAATGCTGACTAAACCTGACCCAAACTAGTGAGGTATAAAAAAATTCACGCCCTGTGAAGTGTGTGTAAATATAGCAGATGTCATTTCACACCAAAATGATTTATTGACCAAGGCAGTAAACATGTTTATTCCTGCTGTAAAGATGCTCTTTTTTAGAATGGCGGTGTGCAGGGCTTGCAGTGTTTTTGGAGCCAGCAGAAGTGGAAGTGTCAGCATTTTTTTACACTTTTGTCCTCGAGTCATTTTTCAACACAGACCCTCAAACAGGCCTGAAAACTGCCGTACACACAGGAACATTTTTTTCTTGTTGTAGTTGGGATTTTTTCAAATATAAATACTTTTTGCTTTCAGGGTGTGAAAGAAAATTCAAAGCATGTCTCTGGATACATTTCCTGAACTAGCTTTAGTCCAGTTAGTTACTAGGGGCACCAATGGCCAAGTGTTCTTGGGGCGCCTCATACACAAGAGTTGCTGGTTTGACTCCACAGACTGTATATAGAATGGACGCTGTCTGCCTCGTCACTGGGTGAAGCCACTCTGAGAACAGCACCCTCTGGTGACAGGCTACAGTACAGATCATAAATCCCACCTCTGCCAGCAAAGCTGTGGACAAACTTTAGAAGCTTGTGATGTTGACATGTAGTTACAGTAAGACTGGTTTGTGCTCCAGTCCTCTTTTTTTTTTTTACAGCTCCATTTTTAAAAGTTTTTAGGGGGTTCATGTTTTCTATGATTGACACTTGATACAGCCTATGGGCGTACGAAGATTGCGTAGCTCACCCGCGGGATACACTGTTTGAGCTGAGTGTCATCACAGTAGAAGTGATGGGGTGTGTACAACACTACTGCACAATGTTGGTTTCAGGAAATGGAGAGAAGACGCTGAATTACTGAGCGCTTTTCGGCTTCAAATCTGTATACTGGTGGAACCAAGTTGTCCATAGTATATACAGTCTATGTTTGACTCCTTGTCATGACCTTTGTAGTGTTTTTCCCCTGCTCTCTGCTCCTGTCTCTCTTCTGCTGTACTGTCTAATAAAGGCAAAAACTGCTCCAAAACATCAGTAAAAACAGCAAGCTCCTTACTGCGGTGTTAAATGTCCAACAGCTCTGAGGACAAATTATCTCAAGGAGCAGATCTTTGACTTCATCGATCTGTGGCAGGTGGTTGTTGACTCTTGTTTTGTTTCTGCTGGTGCTCCTGACAGAACAGATAGCTTTATTTCATCTTGTTCAACGCTGGCATGGCTGCAGTGAAAAGTCTGACTCTTTGTGGTGGAATCAGTGGCAGTAAAGTTGTAGCTGTAAAATGTAACAGCTCTGCTCTGCTCTCAGACAAAAGCCGTTCACGCCTGCTACTAACGGAGTCTCTGGGGGTTTGACTTTTCTCCCTCTGGTGATCACGCACAGGATCATAATAACTGCGCCCTCCTCTGTTCTGTGTGCGTGTGCATGAGAGGACATTTATATCCTGCACACACCCATGCTGGCAGCTCGGGATGTTTTGGTCCTCAGTGAGGGGCTGATCCTGGATGACTTCAGATTCCGGGCATAGCAGCCGTTATATGAGTCCAATAAAAGTCAACTAAACTCACAGAGAAGAGGGAGGACAGCATGCCAGCCAATGTTAGTTACACACACACACACACACACACACACACACACACACACACACAAAACCATACACACTGTCCTCAGGAGATTGTGTGCTGGGAGATGGATGTGTTGGCAGTTACAGGAAGTGGAGAATAAATCTGTTGAAGAAGAAGAAACCTTTGTAAGTTTGATACTGAAGAAAACATTATTTCTCTACCTCCATCTCTTCTCTCCATATTTTCCCAGAAACTCGCCTTCTTCTACTCATCTTCGTTTACATGTGCTTTTACTCAAAGCATTTCCTCTGCAGTGATTTATCAATCGCTGCCTGTCCCTCTGTCCACTCTCTTTCTCTCTCTCTCCATCTATCTATCTTTCTCAGTGTGCAGACATTTCCTGTGAGAGGATTTGCAGAAAATCAAAAACATGCTGCACATTACTCATCAGTCTGTCCAACCAATCATGAGCCTGCCTCATCAATCACACTTATCAGCCCTCTGACTCCATCAGTCTGTTTCTGAGCGGTTTTGGTGCTCTCTCTGCTCACATGAAGAAATTTGGAAGAAGAGTTTGATTGTGCTAAAAGCTTTCAAGCAAATATCAAAAATGTTGTCGTGTTTCCAGAGATTAAGAACCGCCTTCATAGTTTCATCAAAACTTTCAGACTCCTGTCTTTGCTTTTTCATCTCTGGATGTGGTTTCTGTATCTTCCTCCTGTCTGATATGAATTGAAAAGCTCTGAGTGCCAATACCACACATGCCCAAGTCTTGAATTTTCTTCACTCCCTGTTAGATTGAGAACCGATTTAAAGATGTCAAACATTAAGTTTAGATCTGGCTCCAAGCTGCAAAGCAAAACTGTTGACTCCTTATAAGCCAGTCCACTGCCTGGAGCCTCAGGCCTCAGCCTCTCTAACCTAAAGGGTACACTGGACATCAGGACCCCTGGAACAACATACCTGATGATTTAAAGGAGCAGTTTGTGTTTTTTAGAGTGGGATTTGCAGAGGTGTTTTTTTTAATTGGCCCCTGTCTGGAGAAGCATGAGTTCCTGCATGAAGTCAAACTTTGCACCACTAGATCCATATTAAGTCCATCTCTGCTCCCTTGCAGCAATAGAGCAGATAGGTTTCCACTTTGGTGAATTGTTTGTCTGCTTTGTATTATTATTCCGTCTTGGTTGCAGCAATCCAGCACCTTCCAGAGAGGATACACACATTTATATTTTTGCTGTAGGCAGGAACATGATGCACCAATCAGTGCAAGGCAGGCCGAGGACTCAGAAAGTCAAACACCAGAAACAATAAGACATCCAGTTATTTTTAAAAAAAAAATAAAACACTCCATGTTTACACCACTTTGTATTTCTTTTAAGTAAACCACCAAACTGAGAGGAGCCAGGCCTGGGGTCAACAGAGCACATCATAGAGGTACGAAACCACCAATTCAGTATATAATGCTAGAAATCCTGGGTCTTATGACTGCAGCAGTCCGGCGGTGCTGCCTCACTCTGAAAATACAGTCAGTGGGTGTTGAGGATTGAGGGAGCACAAGGCTGAGCTCTGCTTTAAGCCCGATTTATGCTTTTGTGTCAGACCTACACCATAGTATATATTGTACGTTCATGCCGCCTGGTTATACTGATGCTAAAGCCTACGTGTGAAGCCTGGCATACACCCCCTCAAAAATGTAACCATTTGTTGAAACATTGCAGACCAGAAGCTCTGTGGTTGGTCTGCTGTGTAGCATCATATTTTCTGCATTAACAGCATTTATGGTTTTGGAATCCATCGTCCTCTGCTTTCACAGATTCAACAGCCATGCAGGGTCTTTGAAGTAAGACTAACAGAACATACTGATACTGACAACAACGATCCTTAAAATGAGTTAAATAAGCATACAGTTCATAGAAGCGGCTCTTGCACTGGCAGCCACACGCCATAAAACCAAGGAGAGGCAAAGAAGCAGTAGCGGCTCGTGGGCTAGCTGTAGCATTCAAAGATTTACTTTGAATCCAAAGACAACCTTAGAGCTCAAGTCTCTTCAGGCTACTGGTTAATTAAACATTTATACTTCTGTTTTTATTCAGCTCAGTTACTTTTGATCAATCATAATTGGTAAATTTCAAAATAAAAGCATGATTTGACAGTGCAGGATATTACCTAAACACAAGATCTTGACGAACAATCATATTAAAGGGTAATGTCTACTGTTGAGGATAACTCGGAATCTGAAGGATAACTGTATATTCTTTAAATCTTACTGCTTTTTGAAAGATTTTTGCATTTTAATAAGTTATATCATAACAGTATTTACGTTTTAAAGACAGGTCCTCTGTTGGTCAGTGTAGGAAATACGTTTGTTATCGTGAAGCAGCTAAAGAGAATTTTGAAGCAGGTATTATTCTTAAATAATCGTTTTTTATGTGAAAGAAAACTGAACTAAATGTTGTTCTGCAAGTTTGTGCTCAGTTGGAGATGATGTGATAAAAGTCTGAGTGACTTCATTTTGGAGAATAATGATCTCAAAAGAAAACAACGATAACACTTTACAATAACCATAACTCATAAATGGTAAATAGACCATTTATAAATGGTAAGCAGATAGTTAATTAATGTTTGATCATCATTTATAAATAGCTTATAGGCCATTAATTAATTGTAAATTTTACCATTTTAAAAGCCTAACCTTAACCCTAACTTTACAATAACCATCTAAGTAATGTTTATAGATGGTTTAAAAACCAAATATTAACAATTTACAAAGTGCAACTACCAAACATTTTAATCTAGATGTTTTACAACCAATATTTAAACCCTATATAAACCTTTGATAAATAGTCCATTAATAATTAAGGAATTAGTTATAATTTCATTGCTTGGTAATGGTAAAGTAACTGTTAACTTGCATTAATAAACTATCTATTTGCCATTTAAAATTATGGTTATTGTAAAGTGTTACCAAACAACAGCAATCACCATAAAAAATTTCAGACTTGGCTCTGAGTTTATTGATCTGTACATGAAGATGTTTACCAGCTGCTGTCTGACAGAAACAGGTGAACAGCACCAACCTGCAGTAAGACGTGTGTTTGTATGAGTCTGCACACTTCACCCTGCACCCTCTGACCTTTGACCCCGCCTGAGAGGCAGCATGTAGGTCAGGTGTTGTTTGAAGGTGCAGGGTGTCCTCAGGGTGGAGGTCAGTGGAGCAGGAAGGAGTCTGAAAGAACAGAGCAGATATACGGAGGCGGGACCCAGAGGAGAGGCTGAGAGGTGTGAAGGTGTGGCCGTCTGAACACCTGCCTCATGGTGTGCATCTCTGACTCTGTCTCACTTTCACATCTATCATCCCATCTCTGAAAATAAACAGCAGATCATCCAGCGGATCGTCTTTGAGCCTGGCAGCGCCCCCGTCCAGCCAAACCCACACAGGCAGAGGAGCAGAAAGAGGGATATGGAGGGAAAGGCCTCTGCTGGCCGCAGCCTGTTGAGTTAAAGATAGATTTAAAAAGCAGCACAGAGGGAGCAAAGAGGGTCAGCTTCAGGTGTCTGCTCATCCATTGACTCTTAACCTCTACCCCCCCTCCTCTAAAAACACCCCTCATCATCTTCTTGCGTCACATTCAGGAAAGAGGACACCGTCTCCTCAGGAGGAAACTGGATCCTGGTGGACTCAGATCTGCCCGCCATGCTTGCCTCAGCCTCGGCCAAATCCTCTCGGACACTCAGAGCTGCATCACACACACCAACAGACAATGTTTGGGATTTACTGTGATACTGTGACATTTCAGGGTCTAAAAGTACAAATTTAAGGGGCAGAGAGCTGCCATGTCCGGTCATAAAACACAGAAACGGTTTGAGCAGAAAAGAGAGAAACTCTAACCCCTGTGAAAACGAGAGCTTTGGACTTAAAAACACACAGCATCCTGTTACTGTCTCTCCTCTTTGTGCCTCTTTCTCCCCTCTGATCCCCCTCCCCCCTGACTCCCCTCCCTCTCTCACCTCTCCTCTCTTCCCCTCCAGATTGTATAAATATCTGCGAAGCTGCTTGGGAGAGCTCAGTGTTTCAGACCTGTCCACAGAGGAGGGAGAACAAGAGAGAAGAAGAAGAAAAGACACCTGAGAGAGAGATAGAAAGAGAGAGAGAGGGGGATAAACTCAGAGAGGAAGACGTTGTCCAGGAGGTTTGAGGATAAGTGAGCCATTAGAGGAGAATAAAAAGAGAGGAGGACAGCAGGTTTAAGGTGATTCCTCAGAGTTCAGGTTGTGATCAGTCTGCAGTATGCTCCTCCTGCTCCTCCTGTCCCTGTCTGCTCTCCTGCTTGGGGGGGACGCTCAGGACCGAGCCGCTCTGTGGAGAGGAAACGACCGATCCGGGCGCTGTCAGTACACCTTCACTGTGCCCAGCCCCACAGAGACCAGCTGCCCACAGACCGGGGGCCCCGAGCTGGAGGGTCTGAAGGCCAGACTCAGTCTGCTGGAGGTGCTGGTGGCCCGACTCAGCGGAGGTGAGGCTGGGGGTCCTGCTGGGGGGTCCAGGTCCAGAGGTCAGTCTGAGCTGCAGACGGCTCTGAACAGAGCCATGGGGGAGAGGAACCTGCTGCAGGGGGAAAAGGAGCGTCTGGAGCAGGAGCTGCAGGGGCTGCAGAGGAGGATGGAGGAGATGAGGAGGGAGACGGAGAGGCTGAGGAGCAGACCCTGCCCTCCCCAGGTCCCAGTAGTCCCTCCAAACCCGGCTCTGCAGGGTGGGGGCCTGATGAAACCTGCTCAAGGTAGGAGATGCACACAGCAAAATCAACCGACTGATTAAATTCTCTGAAAAAAAATCATTTTTTTTTTAAAACCACATGAAGTTTCACTCATTTCTTTAAATCTTTGAATAGTGTCAGATTCTTTAAAATGAGGATTTGTACATTTTTTACAGTAAAAGACAACTCTTCAGGTTTTTATCTGTCAAATGGATAAAAAAAGTGCTTTATATGGGGAATTTAGACACTCTAAAGCCTTGATGAGACATTTGCTCTGCATCTTTAGCTGTTTTATGGCCATGAAGTGACTGTCAGAGCAACAGTGATGAAAACAATCTGAAGCTGCAGCCCTCTTCGTTTCATGACTAAGATTTTGTTATAGAAATGTGCATCACTAAATCACATCCTGAATAGGAACTGATTCAAAAACATTTTATTTATGAGCTCTGTGTTTTTTCGATTGTTGTGTAAACTCCCCTCAGAACTTGAAGAAAGACGCAGAGCTAAATGATCTAATAACGTGCAGACAGGCTGTCAGTCAGTGAAACACGTGACCTGTGAGTGTGACTGAAGATTACAGGTTCATTAACACATTAATGTCAGCTATGTGTGGAACATCACGCATGTAAGGAACAGAGCAATGCACAGAATCTATGTGTGTGTGTGTGTGTGTGTGTGTGTGTGTGTGTGTGTGTGTGTGTGTGTGTGTGTGTGTGTGTGTGTGTGTACGTGTGTGTGTGAAGCCCTGTTTGTCTGCACAAATCCCCTAAGAGGCCACAGGGTGATAAAGTGTGAGGCATCAGTTTGTGTGTGTGTGTGTGTGTGTGTGTGTGTGTGTGTGTGTGTGTGTGTGTGTTGTGGTGGATGTTTTAGGTGATCCCAGGCTCAGGTTCCCGCTTCCTGTCCGGGTTTGGGGGTCCTGGATTTGGAACAGAGGGGGGTGGGGGGGTGGGTCAGCTCAATCTTTATGACGGTGTTTCCCTCTACAGGTCCAGCAGGGTGTGAATAGCTCAGTTTAGGGGGGCTGAAATGTGATGCGGGCTTTGGAAGTGGTCCGTGCCAAGGTCTCATCTCAGGGCTTTTGATGACGCCTGGTGGGTCAGGGCTGAGGAGGTTTGGGGGGGGGGGGGCTGAGAACACTAAACCTGGGGTTATCCTGGAGCCGGGGGGGTTAAGCCCTGGTATTCTGCATGTTTGCAGCAGCCAAACATCCGTCTGATTGTTCTCCTCTTTTCATCCCTCTTTTCTTCCCTTTGTTTGACTCCTCCTCCTCCTCTAGAGAGGATTTCAGTTGTAAAGACTTCCAGCAGCCATAAATCCTTCCTCACAAACTCCCTCAGCTTCAGCACGACTTATAGACTCTCTGTGTCTGCTGCAAGCACCAGGTTATCTGTTTAACTCCTCATGTTTACACCTGCGCACCCACAAACACACACACACACACACACACACAGAGTCCCTGAGGGGAGGGCAGATGGAGAATAGATCAGTAGGGGGGAAGATACACATAAACAGAGGAGATACAGCATCAAATGTTCTGGCTCTAGTTTGATACAAAGACAGAAGAAATACAAGCCCAGTGCTAATTTTGGATGAAACCAAAATTAGAGGAGGGGGAGGCCTTTTTCAGATTGGTTGGTAGAGGATTGTGCATGACTTGAATCATGTCTGTCTCCTGAGACTCATGAGACTGTTCAGTGAAAAAAGTGCAAAGAAACAAACTAGTTTTTGCAACATGGGGCAACATAAATGTAACACACAAGACAGCCACCATGAAGAAACAAAACGACCAGTCAGTCAATCAGTCAGTCAGTCAAAGCACGTGAGAGCAGGTTACTCAGATCTGTGATGAAAGCAGCCGTCCTGATATTCAGATGCTTTCTCCCAGTTTCTAGAAGGTGCAGCCAGCAGACGCTGCACTCATAAATAATGTTTGATGAACTCCTGAGATGTCTGAAATACTTCTGCTCTCGTGCAGCAGGTAGAGGTAGCACATGGCCAGCAGTCAGTGTTGGTGAAGCTTTAGAGGCTTTCAGTGAGTTCACACAGTAAAAAAAAAAGAAAACTGTAGCAGAGACCTGAGACCTGAGAGAGAAATCTGAAAGAAAGAACACCTGAAATAAGCTCGGACTGATTTACTTCAGAAACAGATCAGAGTTTGAGTGTGTATGAATGTGCATTCACGTCTGTAAAGATTCATCTCTGAGAAGCAATGATCTTTGTCAGTCATTCATTCATCTAATTCAACTTTGACACACTCAGAGTGAAAACATGAAACTTTATAGCTCATCTATTTGATTTGATTAAGGCCTCAGAGTTATGCATTGATTTGCATAACTGTGGGTGTAGATGAGTTGACTGACAGGTGGGGGCATACCGTGTCAAAGTAAATGCTTTGTCACTCTGGACCTGCTTCCTCCATTTGATGAAATATCTCTGCTGCAGGTGTTGCTCTTTGCTGAGTCATTTGATTATTTGAAGTGGAATTTAGCAACACTTTGGATCGCTTGCCACAGTGTGCTATGTGATCCTCTTTTTCTTGTTTGATTGAAAGCATACAAACAGTCTAATAATATAATAATAATATTTAAAAAAAAGCCACAGACATGGTGATGAGATGTTTATTGGTTAAATATGGTGACTATATTCCCAATCCCCAAAAAGAGGACACTACTGGGTGGGGCGGAGTCGCTTGTAGTTAATTTTGAGAGTTTTTCGGGTGGGGCTGAGTTTTTTTACGCACTTCTAACTCAGTTAGTTTACGCAACACAAATTCAAACCTTCCATACAAAACCCCGAACATTTGAAGAATTTTATAAACTCCCCCTGACGAGGCCAGACAGCCCCCCAAAAAGAGGATTTGTCCAGGTAAAACACATAGGTTGGAGAAAGAGAAACCAAAATCTTAGAAATCCAGAGCCATTTTTTCGTCAGCTGAACTTAGCCAGGACAAGATTTTATTCCATTGCATTTTTATACTTATTATGTGAAATTTAAAAAAAAAAAGATCTGGGCATGCCAAAGTGCTGAAATCAACACTGGTAATAAAGCAGCAGTTAGCATCAGTGAGAAGTACAAGGATGGAGCCAGCACATAAAATACCTCTAAGTATCACAGACCTAGACAAGGAGCTGACTTGGTGTAAGGATTTTCACTGAGTTATATAATGTCTGATGATTAAAAGCAGTTTTTTCTTTTAAAAAACAGTCAATAAAACATGAACAGCACAAGATCAGCAAAGATATGAATGTAGCTGTTTGACCACAGGGGGCGCCAAAGTCAATACAAGCTGACAAACTTAACCCTCCTCCTGTTTTAGGGTCGGCACCGACCCGTTTTTGATTTTAAAAGCTTAAAAGAACCACTTAGATAAGTTTTTTTGCATCAAGACTTTTTGACTATGTCAGGAACCTCTATTTTAAATTGAGCAAATTATAAAATGCACGTATTAAAATTATGGCACTTGTCATGTTAGGGTCACTGTTGACGGTTAGATCAATATCTAATAATTAGAGCAAAAACTGAAATCATAAGTGTACTGTCAGGCACCACACTGACAGTCAGATCCTCTTCCAATCATGGGAGATTTAGGAAATTCTCATTTTGCCATGTATTTCTCAGCACAGAAAACAACGTCAGGCATGTCCAGACATGTGAGATCAATTCAGTATAGATGTCTGTGTGAGAGGTATACTGACAAAGTAAGGCCCAGAGGACCACTACAAAACTATAATAAGTAATATTTTCATGGATAATGAAGCCTAACAAGGTAACCTAGAGATGAGAACCAAATTGGATGATAGAGAATTGTTTTTAGTGTAATTTACAGCTGATTTAAGACACAGGTCAAAACTGACCCTTAACATGGTCGGTGCGTAGTAAAAGCTAACACAGGAGGAAGGTTAAAACAAACACCTCTTAGAGTCCGATTTCACATCCCATGATTTCACTCTGAATCATGAGAGGAATAAAATGTTTAATGAGGACGATGGCAGAGGGCCGCTGATAGATTTAACCCCTCCCCTCTTTAACTAAACTCTTGAAATAGATCTGTTCTTTGTTTCTGTCTCTCAGTATCACCTCAAACAGAGACCTGGTCCTTCTGTAGGTACATCTGTGATGATGGGGAGGAGGATAAATGGCTGACATCTACAGGCCCAAGTCAGCTTTTCAAACACATTTCTGTTTGTAACTCAGAAACTTTCCCACATCACTGCAGTTCTTCATCATTACACCCCTCTTCATCAGCGTCTTGAATCTCCCTCCTCCTCCAGATGTTGGTGTTTAATGTGCTCTGCACCATTAGTGCTCTTTTTACGCCTGAAATCTCTGCAGGCTGCACGTGCGGGAGAAGAACAGCAACATGTTCCGAGTGAACAGGAGGTCAAACTCAGGATCAGACTTCCTCTAATAGAAAATCATTGAAAAACATCATTTAATCATGTTCGAAGGAGTTTACAGACTCTACACAGCACTGTTTGATGTAGGAGTCAGAGGGAGGAAAGAGGAAGGAGGGAGGAAGCTCTGAGCGGCTGGTTTGAAGTTTGAGGACAGTGTCAGGTGGGACGGGGGGGTTGAGTGTGTCAGGTATGTGTGTTACAGCAGGTCGATGCAGGGACTGTGTGACTCTGGAGCAGCTGGGAATCCATTCAAGGGTGTTTGTTTTCTGCCGTCACATTCCTGCTGTCAGCCATGTTTGGATGCACAATCACTCGCTCACGGTACTAATAAACCCCGTCTGTGTTCCTGTGTGTGTCTCCAGGTTCCAACCCCATGTCTCACCTGGTGTCCAGACCCAACAGACAGGGGGACAGCAGCAGTTTGAGAGGTGAGGTGTGATTTCTGATGAATTTCCTCCACCTCTCTGTGCCCTCTCCACCTAAACTCACATCTCTGTCTCTGTTTCTGTTTCTGTCTCCATCCATCTTGATCAGACTCAGCGTGGCAGTTTGGATCTCCAGGTTTCCAGGAGCTGAAAGCTGAGGTGACAGAGGTTCCTGCTCCTGATGGCTCGGTGGACTCTCCAGGTCTCTGAAATGTTTATATCTTTCTGAAAGGACTGCAAAGTCAGACACGTTTTACCTGAAGAATCAATACTCTTCAGAAGCTCAAACCCAGGTTTTCTGCTGGGTAAGGCAGCCATTATTTCTAATTTATATCAGTGTTACACAGGAAATCCATGCAGACCCATTGCATCAGTTATAGTGACAGAGTCTGCAGTACTTTTTAAAAATAATCTGCAGAAATGACATAGTTTTGCATTTCCATCAGAATTTTGCAAAAATGCAAATTTGACAAAATTTTCCACCATCTAATGCCACCTTATTCTGGAGAGAAACCCCCCCTGAACAAAAACGCCACTGAAGATTTTGTTTTTGTAGTCAAACCTTTAGTTTCTGACACAGATCTCTGAACAAACTAGAAGTACAAATGTATATCATATCAAACATGTGCACCTTATGGCTTTTGCTGATCCTTCCCTGTACATGCGAAGAGAGGATGTTCTGGCAAAAAAAAATTCAACAGTCAAATGTGTCATTTTTTGTTAAAATTTGCTGTTAAAAAAGCAACAACTGTTTTTCAGCCTGTTTTTTTCAGCATGGTTTAAATTGTCGGTCAAACACCTACCTTCTTGAAGTGGCCTTAGGTATTTGAAACCACAGAGTAGAGATTATAAACCTTCTTGTTGGTCTTGTTTGCTCTATAGGGTCATAAAGAGACATCAGTATCGATTTCAACATCCAGTTAGAAACTCCTCAGAGAAGCTTTTAAGTTCTTATTTTGCTCTCTCACACACACCGGTTAAGGTAACCCCGGGGTGAAACTAACAAAAAAAAAACTGCTCTCATGTTTTCTGAGTTATGTAACCTGCAGCTTGTTTTTGTGCTTTTCTGTTAGGAACAGTTGATGACAACAAAGATAGAACAAAAAAACGTTGCCACATGTCGAGATAGTGACCCTCGATTTGCAAAAGTCACACTGCACGAACCACTGCTGTTGCACACTTGCTCTTTCTTTTAGTACACTCAATCTGCATTCCATTAATGTTCAAGCAAGGAGGACCCAAACAAAACAGGGTTTTTGCTAGAACCAAACATTTTACAGTCCATTTATATTAAACCTTTTTGTTGAGAAACCCTTCAGAGAACCAGAACAGAAGTTAGACTATCATCCTCTGCAGTCTGGGTCATCTTTACCACTTCATTTAGGTCACTTTAACAAACTACAACAAAAACTCTGTTCTCAGAATAATTGTTGGCCCAAATGAGCGTCTAGACTAAGTTATAGTTCTCCTCATGGATTAAGTATGACTGGGTACTCTTCAGTCTTGTGCTTAACACATACAGTATATCCACCCTGAGCTGACCTTATATGGACTCAGCTGCTCTTTAAACTTCAGGACACACTGACCAATGACCTTTACAGCAAAGATACACATGAAGTCTCTGAGAGAGCCTTAAAGTTAAAGTTAGAGGTTAATGTTGGCCGTTATCTTAGATGGTGTATGCATGGAAGAGTTTGTCCAAACCCCCAAAACTCTTTACAGGAACTCTGTGGATGAAATCTGTGTGAACAAAAACAAAATCAGATTGAAGAAGAAAATATAAATACTAAAGATAAAGAAATGTACATTTGCTCTGTAGAGTTCGACATGTTCAACGCCATCCTCACCCCTTCCTCCCCCTATGTCCATCTGAGCTGCAAACACGACACTGGGCCCCCCTGCTGACAGCCTCAAAGCAAATACTGCTATTAATACAGCAGCATTGAGGGCGAGAATACGTCAGACATGCTGGTTTGTGGGTCCGATTGCTCGTGTGAGTTACATGTTTGTGTCATAAAAGTTAAAGAGGGGAAACTCTAACGAGGATGTCACAGACTGTTTAACCATCACATGATGGGAGCCATGATAACAAGCCTTATCTCACTGTGCTGAATGACTCTCAGCATTGTTTCAGAGATCGGGAAATCACCCCAGTCAGCCGCCACGTGAAGTCATTTAATCTCTGATGAAGCCATACCACGAGGAGCTACGTGTGTCAGCTGTATTTAAAAGACACATTTAAACCCTTAATCCTTGGTCAGACTGTATTTTAGGAAGTGGTAAATATACATCCGGCCTTATCGGTTTCCCAGCAGGCCGAGCTGCACAGTTCCTGTCCTGGATGAGGTGTGACTGGTCTGATGAAGGTGACTCAGGCAGTTTCTGTAAACCTGACGAAAGGAGCTGACCTCATAACGCCCTGATCTGCTCTCAGGTTGCCTTCATCACCCTCAGCTGCAAATACGAGGGTCCTCTTTTGTGTCTGACATCTCCTGGAGTCACCTTAAAATGATATTTCAGGATTTTTTAAGTGGGGTTGTATGAGTTAATGTACATGTCACTAGTAAGTGTTTTAGACACAGTGGATGTCAGTCACTGAAGACGAAATTAGTAACACCATCACTATTGCTGGGTGATTTTTAACCAAAATAATATACCCAAGAAAAAGTACTTGTCATCAAAATATGTAAAAATAGGACAAATTAAAGTAGTTTTCTTTTACTTTTAACTGCGCAATGTCCAAAGGGAGGAAAAAAAGTGCCATGATATATATATACATATTATTAACTTAGTTTCTTTTTCACCCATTCCTGGGGTCTGTGAGTCTTCCCTGGTGAAGACTCAGGGTCCTTGGTACCATAACAGCTGCAGGATAGAGAACAAAAATATGGCAGATTTTGAGTGAGTAAAAATGACCAGCTGACTAAAATATTTCTTATCACCATATAAATTCCCTGAAGATCACTACTTTGTGATAGTTATTCATAACCACTGCGCTAAATAAAGATAGCATGCAAATTCCAGGACCACTCTTACTGACCTTTTTCGCCTACATGCAGCTATCAAATCCACCCAAACTTACTTACCCTCTATCACTATTGCCGGGTAAAAACCACTAGAACATGTGCCTGGGAAAAAGTGGGTTTTGGAAAACAAATATGCCTTCAAAGATGTCAAAGACAATGCTGAAGCTACCCAGGGACCCATGATACTCAGACAAACACAACATCATGAAAATCACGTAAACATGTTTGATCGGGTGAAAATCACCCAGCGATAGTGTTCTAGGGTTAATGAGAAACTTACAGGAGAACCAGCACACAAGCTAGGCTATAGTTTTCTGCCAACTGGGCCGAATCTACCTCTTAATTTACTGTAGCTAATTAAGAGACTCCGACCCAAACACTCCTTTCAGTTTAAGTGTTCACTCTACTGAGAAACTGTCAGCACGTCCCCATCAGGCAGCTGTTTTTGTACTATTAGCAAACACAACACACAAACACACTTCTCCACATGCAGTGCATTTAGCTAATCAGGTCTTTGATGTTTGAGTCACTGACAGAGTGTGACTTTCCCGTTTTTTTCAACTTAGTTTTTTGTAATGTTATTAATCAAATGCCTCAGATCAGCCTTTGGATACAGTGACGTGTGTAGAGTTTGTTATTTCAGCTCAGTCTTCTCCTTCAGCAGCAAACACAGTGTAATTTGATAAGGTAAAGATATCCTGTGGACCGTGGGTTGTGTCGTTATGCTGTAAAAAAACACTGAGAGCTGAACACTTACTCTGAAGACACTCTTCCATTCAGCTTTTCTGGTTTTCTGATTGAACTCCTAAACGTTAAAGAAAGTGGGTAACAAACAGCGTTCAGTGCTCATCACAGCAGTGGACTCTGGTTGGTGACAGTTGCAGACTGCAGCCTGGACACATATCATCCCTGTCTGAATCACTTTTTCAGTTTGTTCTTATTTTTGCTTCTTTGAAACCTGCAGACCAAACAGCTGATCAATGTACGACAGACAGAAGAGCACAACTGCAAAATAGTGCAAAAACAAGTGGGCTTCTTGATGGATGGATAATAAGACAGTCAGTTGAGTCTGCAGAGGACTGTAGCCTAACTTGCACGACAGTTCTCCCTACAGTTTACTATTAAAGAGGCTAAGCTGACCAACATCTATAGTCGTCACATGTATCTCATACAACCTCACTCCAAAAAAACAAAAACAGAGCAAAATCATTTGAAGTCACAAAAACTGATAGTCCCTGATAGATGGAGGGATGCTGTCCAAAACTGAGCTTCTTATTGGTACGACCAGTCCCTCCTGATACAGCCACAGATCAGGATCCAGCTTGGATCAAACCAGATTATGCTCATTAAGTATCTATTTAAATCTGTGTCACATGATTGATGACCCATTAGCCTCTTAGGTTCATGTGACCCTGATTGCTCAGTCATGCCGATTCTCCCTCTATAACATCAAGAGAATCAGACCCTACCTGACAGAGCACACAGCACAGCTCCTGGTACAGGCTCTCTATCAAACATGGACCACTGCAGCTCCTTACTCCCTGTGCGCACAGTCAAACCTCTGCAGATGGTTCAAAATGCAGGTCTTTCCTGGTTTTCAACCAACTCAAAACGGCACATCACTCTCTCGTTCACCTCTCTCCACTGGCATGCAGTAGTATCAAACATAAAGCCCTACTTCTTGTCTACAATACTGCAACTAAATCAGCTCTTGCCCTCCTGAAATCCCTCATCCAGGTCTACACTTCCATCTACCTGCTACACTCTGCCAGTGAGAGGTGCTGAATTCTCCATGAAAACAGGGCCCTTCGTCACTTCTTCTCCTCCAATGCCCCCTGATGGTGGAATGAATTACCAGACTCACTTAAGTCTGCAGATTCTTCTTCTACCTTAAAGAATAAACTGACGTCTTAGTTCTTTAGAAAACACCAACAAGCTTGGTGCCACTTGTTTGTAGCGAGACCTTGTCCATCAACTGTTGTGGGGTGACGCAGCTCAAGGAAGAACATTTATGATCATTTCTTCACGAAATGCAATCAGACTGAGGTGCTAAGGCAGAAGAACTATCGTGTCTGAAGTGCAACATGATTATTATGATCACTATTACTTCAAGGAAATGATAAAGTAATGTTCATGAATGTTCTTCCTTGGGCTGGGTCACCCTCCTGCAGTCGATGGACTCGCCCAAGGTCTCGCTGCAAACAAAAGGCTGCTGGAAGAGAGTAGGTGAGTTGTGTTTAGTCACTTTGCTCAAGAAATTAGGTAAAGCTAAAAAGATGTTTGATAGTAAGTGCTATGGCTGGGACCCTATATGTACTGTTGATGAAGTTAGGTGCTGTTCTGAGCATTATTTGTGGCTATAGAGTGGCTTTTTGGTTGAGTGCGTGTCTCTCTGTTTTGCTATCTGGGGTTGTTACTAAAATTGGTATAACTAGAGAAGCAAGTGGTTGGCAATATTCATCTCTCGATGGGGTGTCCAACTCGGTCCTACAGTGTGCTTGACCCTAAAAACTTAATTTCATGGCGGAATATCCCCTTAAGTTACTTGCAGATGTCTGTTATTTAGACACATGCATCTGCTAAATAAACCTGTAACACTGTCAAATTATATCAGTTTCATATGAGAAAGTGATTTGGGTCTTGGTGCTGCTAGTATCAGTGAGTTACTGAGATTTCTTCTAGAGTATCAGTCACTGATTTTGGTCTCTATGTCCTCCGTATGAGTATATGACCTGAATATTTGTATTGCTGCTGTCTGATGATGACTGACATGTTTTTTTTCCTTTCCTCTGTTTTCCACTCGCAGGTTGTGGGGAATTGGTCTCAGTCAGTGAGCCTGTCACTCAAAGGAGGGCTGATAACATTGAGGGCAAATATGGAGTCTGGATGCAGGATCCTGAGGCTGTCTCTCCTTATGGTCCCAACATGATCTGGCGGATTGACACCGTGGGCTCCGATGTCAGGAAGCTGTTTGGATACGATGACATGGTCCAGTTCACCAAAGGTTTTCCATCCAAGGTACGAATCACATGATTAACAGAAGATAATATCAAACTCGGCATGAAAGAAATCTGCAGGGGTCAGACTGTATATTGGTACCATCACTCTTCGGTTTCCTTTGGTGGACCACAAATGAGTGTGTCAACATGCTTACTTTAATTGTATGCCACCTCCTGTAATTAAGTCTCTGAAACCATCAGTAGTTAACTAATATGACTAACCTGTTTAAATCTTTTGATTCGGCTAACAATCTACAGAAGACATTGTTTTCAACATCAGCTCCATCTTACCTCTCAAGTTGCTAGTTGGAAACAATGGCAAGACACTGACAAGGAAGGTTTGGCTGAATCTTAGTCACCACTAACAACTCCACTGTTGATCAATAGCTGATCAACTTTGAGTCTTTGGATAGTAAATGAGAACAGGCTCTCAGTGTTTTATCCCTCATTACTGTTGTCTCTCATATCTTTAGGTGCTGCTGTTGCCAGAGCAGGTGGAGAGCACAGGTGCCACTGTGTACCGAGGCTCTCTCTACTATCAGAGGCGTCGCAGCCGCACCTTGATCCGTTATGACCTGGCCTCTGAGAGCACCGCAGCTCGCCGGGACCTCCCCCATGCTGGCTTCCATGGCCAGTTCCCGTACTCCTGGGGGGGCTACACGGACATCGACCTGTCCGTTGATGAGCAGGGTCTGTGGGCCGTGTACTCCACCAACAAGGCCAAAGGAGCCATCGTGATATCACAGCTGGACCCTCACAGCCTGCAGGTGAAGAGGAGCTGGGAGACTCAAATCAGGAAGAACTCTGTGGCCAACTCCTTCATCATCTGCGGGAAGCTGTACACGGTGGCCAGCTACACTGCACCCAACACCATGATCAACTACATGTATGACACCGAAACCAGCCAGGGGAAGCCGGTGTCCATCCCCTTTAAGAACAAACACTACTACAACAGCATGATCGACTACAACCTGGCTCAGAGAAAGCTCTTCGCCTGGGACAACTTCCACATGGTATCCTACGACGTCAGGCTCGGCCGCCCACAGCCAAACTAACGCCGCCGTCAGTGACTGTCAGAGTGATATTACGCTCACTCCTTCCTGCTTCAGAGACTCACAGCTTTAGAGCATTTGTGGTAGAGAAGTTTAACTAACACGATCAGTATCAGCACAGATGTATATAAAGATGGACAACATGGCTGTAGCTTCTCCTGTTGTTCAAAAATGATGCCAAATGTTCCTTCAACAGGCACAGATGCCTCTCATATCTAAAATCAGAGTCTGTGCTTAAAGGATCTGCTGGTGATCCTGCAGTAATAATGTCCAGAACCTAAATTTCAGTTGTTGATAAAGGGTCAAAGCCTCTCAGGTGGGTCTCCTCCACAGTCAAGGCACATTGTACAGTGGCCCTGAAGGGAAATTGCATAAACATTTAATGAACACAAAAACAAATACAAAGGACAAGACAAAAATGTTTCATGAAGTGCAAAAGCATTTCACAAAACAGTAAAATATTTAAGGAAGAAAAAAAAATACACACCTCAAACACACACAAAAAAATATCATTGAGCAGAAACCAAATTGTCCATGCAAGACAAAAACATGTAATAATGTGCACATTTGACAAAATAAGAAACATAAAAAAAAAACAAAAACAAAGTGCTCCACATGTTCATATAAAGGAAGCAGGGTTTAAGGCTTATACTGCAGCCAGCAGGGGGAGCTCTAAATGTTTGGGCTTCTCTTTTCGGAAGCTGTCATGGCCTCCATCTTTTATACAGTCCATGATGAACAATAGAGCACAGACTGAGCTACCCAACTCCAGAGTGAGATGAGGATGTTAGAGGAATGGCACCCCTTGTAGGTCTGCTTTTCTTTCTCCAGTTAGAGGGGCTTTTATTGTGGTGAGGTCCACAGAAATATATTTCAGAGGATTATTTTTGTACTGCCTTTGACTCAGATGTATGATTTTATTCTGTTGTTGAGTTATATATATATTTGATGTCTGAAAGTTGAATTTTCATTCAATTTGATAAGCTTAGTGGGATAAAAAAATGCAAATTTTACACACAATCTCCTGATGTATGACACCCAGCAATGTTTCACCTGTCAACATCTTCAGTTTGATGAACTCTTCTCACTCAGCATGTGTTGAATATTGCATGTTCCTGTACACTGTAGTAACATAATTGTGTAATGTTCAAACCTGTTATCAAATAAAGTTAAATAACAGTTTGTATTTTTTGTTTCCGTCTGGTGGTTAATCGCTCAAAAAAGTACAAATAAACCTCTTAAGGCAGGGTTTATAGGTTTACAGACACAAATCAGAGTGACCTGGGCCCCTGATGTTAGGTTAAAGTTTATAAGAAAATGATTAATTTTTGAAAATCCTGCTCACCACATCCACCCAAAATCTGACCTGATGTGAGCAGAATATGACAATTCCAGATGGAAATGCTACTTTGCCCACCCTTCCCTCAATGAACGGGCGGCCTTTGTGCACAAGTAAGCTGACCCCCCACTCCAGCAAAACTTGCAACCATAATACCTACATGCTAACAAGCTCCTTTTTTGATCTTCAAAACTGCTACTGTGGAGTTATTGGAGGAATAGGCTTATTAATCCAAAGCTTTAGTACGTGTTGGTTTCAGTTCATGTACAGCTTTACTTCTCAGGACTTGGTGCTTTCTGTACTTTATGTTTTATTACATATTTTTCTTTTTCTAAATTCCTATTGCTACTCATATTCCCATATTCCTACTGCTGTATCATGCATTAGCAGCTATAATGACAACTTAGATAATGGATAATCAGATTCTGATTTTAAGGTCAAATTTTTGTCAGTCTCAAAAATAAAATATTACTGAAAAAAAAAAAAAAAGATGCAATCACTGAATGTAAAAAGGCAGTGATTCTCAAAGTGAGAATTGGGAGATCTCTTCGGAAATTTTATTTTATTTTTTTACTTAAATAATGAAATGTAATGTTTATTTGGTGCTGCAGTGACACCTAGTGGCAAGAAAAGACCTCTTCAATGTTTCACAGTTCCGCAGAACAACTGTTAAAGATATACGATAAGTGAATCCACAGGAAGCACTTGAACAGTATATTATTTTTATTAGTTTCTGTAACCAAACCGAGAGAATGTAAATAAGACCGTACATACTTTAATACAGCGATGAAACCCCTGTACAAGTTCAACAAAAAAATAAAACAAAAAAAAGAGAAAAAGAAAAAAAAAAATCATCCCCCTCCCTCCCTCATCCATCCTCTAAAGCAAGGACTCTCTCCCAGCTTGTTTAGAGGTGAGGAGGACTCCCCCTTCTCACCTCAGGGTGCACACTATTGTACATATCTGAAGGACCCCTGTTACCACAATCCCAGATGAAAGCACTGTGGGCCGGTGAGTGGCGGATGGCGAGCCTGCGGAGGTGAGGCGGAGACAGGAAACAGCACTGATCGCTCTCATCAGCAAAGACAAATAAACTCGTGTCCTTCTGCCTGGACGCCAAATCATCAGGCGTCTTCTGGTTTCATCTTCTTCAGACACACACTCACTGATTCCTACTGTTTAAGCTCCTCTCCCTCCCTTTCCTCTTATTAGCCCTGTCCTGCTAACGGCTAGCTAAGGGCACTGATCAGTCAATAGCAGCAGGTCTGGGTGCTTTACAGTGACGTGGGTGTAAGTGTAGATGAGTGTGTGTGTGTGTGTTTGTGTGTGTGAGACGATGAGGATGGTGTGTGAGCAGTGACAGGGTGTGTGACAGCTGAAAGGAAACCCGCTCAACACTCTGCTGCCACGGTAACAGCATCCATCAGGGCTGTGACATCATCAACCTTTGGCTAAATATACAGGGGGGTCCAGCTACAAACACACACACGCACACACCTGACACACACACACACCCCTCCCTCCCTCCCCCAACACACACACACACGCACGAGTAATTCTCAGGCAGGAGATGAGAACAGAAGGCAGGAGCGAAGGCTCACAGGCAGACTAATCAAAACTCAATCAGTAAAGTCAATTAACTGCTGCGATTTTCACATTTCCGTCTGAATCAAAGTGAAACTAAAGGAGGACAGAGTCTGTGATATCATGTCTCTGTGGGGACGCCGTGGATCAAACCGTTGAGTGAGTGAGGAGACGCACAAACCTCAGGATTAGTAATGGAGAACAGAAAGTGACGTCTCCTTAACAAGATTGTTCTGCCTACAAAAACAAACTGATTGGTTCTCCCTCCTCTAACATGTTCTATCAGAAAGAAAACAAAAACACAAATCTAGAAAAATGGCAAACTCAGCAGCAAATCTTTTTCTCGCTCTCCTCCAGCTCTCTGATCTACCGTCTGTAGATTCGTATGAACAGCTCGTGCAGCCGTTTTAAAAACGATGGAAGAATCCAACTGAAAGGCCCCTCCCACCTGCAGGGAGACAAGGGGGGAGAAAGAGGAGGACAGCGCCCCCTCTAAGTGACCACCCTCCTCCCCTGCTCTGTCCCCCCTCCCTCGGGGCTGATGTGAGGCGGTGACAGAGTGATGGGGCGGACTCTCTCTCCTCCTCTCTTCCTTCCATCTCTTCGTCGTCTGAAGAGGGGGGCTGCTCTTTACTTGCCCTCTTCTGGTTTGATGGCCTGCGGTTTTATGGGGCCCGTCCGTATGGGTTTGGCCGCAGAGACGGGGGCTTTGTCAGGATCGGGGCGCTCTACTCCTGCCTGGTGGTTGGGGGCCGAGGCATCGAGGGCGGGCTTTACTCCCACTTTACTGACCTGTGGGGCTTTGAGCTGCTGCTGCTGTTGCTGCTGCTCAGAGAAGAACTTGTGAGTGGACTGCAGCACCTCGGCTCGCTGCTTGGCCTGCGGACACGAGAGAAACATTGACACCCTAAAAACTCCCTGATACAAACGAGTGTGCAGTGGCTTCTGTCTCTGATAACAGAGACAAATATGAGCACTATTCAGATTAAATATAATCCCAGACCTTCAGGTCCTGTTCTGCCTTTAGAGCCGCCTGTGTGCCCCGGGGTCCGAGAGGTGGACCGGGAGGTCCTCGAGGAGGGTGCTGGCTATGCTGTGGGTGCTGGGGTCGGGGATGGGGCATAAGACCGCCGCCCACATTGGCTGACATGGGAGGGCCCATTGGTGAGCGCTGAACACCTCCGGCAAACGAGTTAGCGTGAGGGGGTCGAACCAGCGGGGACACCATGTTGGGCTGAGACAGAATCTGAAAGTAAGAGGTCACAGTGAGTTTTAAAACCGACAAGAGCATCAAACAAAGACCATCAATACACCGTGTCTTTTTTGATTATTATTATTCATCCACCTGTGGATTGAACTGGCCGGGGAAGTGCTGCGTCATCCTCATGCCTGCAGAGCTGGGCTGAAACTGCTTCTGGTACAACATGCTGTTCATCTTACTGGACTGACTGCTAGGAGACGTGGAGCTGGCCCTGCAGGAGGAGGAGCAGAAATCAACATTAAAAAAACACCCATAACTACGAAAAGGACAAATGAAAGGTCAGAGAGTGAAACATTTTTACAGAAAGAGCTGTGTCTGTTGGCTGTTTAAGAAGTGTGACACTAGCTGCGTTTACATGGGCACAAATGATCACAATAAAAATGCGTCATGTAAACATGTCGATCAGAACAATTCGACTCAATCCGAAAGAAATTGTATTTCGATTGAGAGGGGTGGTTTATGCTGATCGTTATTCCATAAGATGTCCATGTATATTCCGATCGTGACTCTCCTACCTGACTCAATCTTCAGTCTTTAGCCTTTAGTTAATTCACTGAGGTCAGCTCAGGAGGTTTCATTATTAACACTCTGGCATAAAACACAACCGCAGGTGCCGTGTCTGCTCCTCTGATAACAAAACAAGGCGTACATACAGCGTAATGATGTCAAATCTGCACGCACAGCGCAACCTTTGACAGAACAGTAAAATAAGAAAGCAAGGGCGCCATCTAGTGACATTATTTAACAGGGGAAAAACTCCTGTATTGGGTGGAGTGAGCCACTAGCAAAATTAGACAGCTCTGTGCATGTCCAAATTCTTCTAATCTGAATAAAGCTTGGTGCATGATTGGATTATTTGATTTTGCACCTATATAAATAGTGGATTCAGATTATCCAATCCCCAATTTTTTTTAATCGGATCAAGACACTTTGCACATGTCAACATGTCTACTGTGTGGTACCTGTAGGGGCTGGAGGTGGGGGTGGTGCTCCTGGCACTGACAGGAGGAGTTCCAGGCTTCACATCCATGCCGCTGCCAAACAGTTTCAGGTCCATGTCCATCTGCACAGAGTCCACATGTAAACATGTAACAGTCCACTTTTACTGTCGAACCCTGATTGTCTGAGGGTCGTGGGGAAGTCTCACCTTGTTGGTGGGGGGCTGCATCATGCTGTGGTTGGGGCCCATGATGCCTCGGTACGGCTGGGACACCGGGGGCTGCCGGCTGATGTTTGGGGGCTGAGCCTGGGGAGGAGTCGGGGGCAGAGCCAGGAGAGGCTGACCTCCACCTGAGCCGAAGTTTGGCAAAGACAGCTGAGAGCTGGGCAGAGGGACGGTCACCTGAGGGAGGGGGGGGGACACACAGGTGTTACAAACTGAAATGAACTCAGTGATCAGAGCATCTATTTCTTAATGTGACGCTTGAAAATATCCAGCAGTTCAGAAAAGTGAGCTGTACAGCAGGTTTACACACATTAAATGTCTGTTTGGGGTTAGCATGCAGGTTACCTGTTGCATGGCAGAGCTGGGTGACTGAGTGTTGCTATAGTAACTACTCTGACCATGTTGCTGCACCTGTCCAGAGTACATGTTAGAGTGCTGGTTCATCCCCTGTCGAGCCTGAGACAAAGACAATTGAAACACATGAGAGAAATTCACTGAAATAAAAGCGTGTCCAGAAGAATCCTCAGCTGGATTCAGATAACGGCGAGCAGTCTGGTCACCTGCAGCAGGTGTGTGTCGATGAGCTGGGAGCCCCCCATGCCTGAGGGCTGGTTAAGCTGAGGCTCAAAGAGGATGGGGATGTGCTGGGTGGAGGAGGGCTGCTGATAGGCCAGGTTAGACTGAGGCTTGCCCAGCTCGGGTGCCTGCACGCCAGCGTAACTATGCAGCGAGGGTCCTGACAGCATCATGGAGGGCTGGGACAGGCTGCTCTGCATGAAGGCCTGCTGGGACCTGAGGAGTGGGGGACGAGGAGAGAGAAGGGGTCAGATGACAGAAGGAGGGCACCTCACAGCAGAGGAATGAACACCTGAGAGACTGTGAGTTACCTGTAAGGCTGCAGGGAGGAGCTGAACAGGTCCTGGGGCTGGGACACTGGAGGACCTGTGCTGAGTCCCAGCTGAGCCTGGTGTGTGTGTTGGTGCTGCGGCTGGCCCTGCAGGGGGGCGTAGATGGGGATGGGGATCTGCTGCACTGCTGTTGGCTGTGAAGGTGGAGACACAAAAACAGGCGATGTTACCTCTAACCAGACTGAGATGTGTAGTCTTATGGGTTTGTGTTTTAATGTAGTCTGTTCATTCAGATTAGCACAGGTGTGACATGATCTCATTGACAAACAGAGTTTTTACCTGTGAGAGGCCGGGCTGGAAGCCTTGCTGCTGCGCCAGAGAAGGGGGAGCCAGGCGAGGGTGGGGGGTGCTGAAAAGGTGACTAGTGTCCATGTAGAAGGCTGGAATCTGAGCTGCAGAACCTGGAGAGAGATTAACAGCCCATTCAATTAAATACAAGAGGAAATAGGAGCACTAACTTGTATTATACATCATTACACAAAAAGATTTAGCATCATGTCTCATATTTCGCTGTATATTTCTTTTTATTGTTTATTCATTTGGCTGTTCAATAAGCTATTCCAGTGGTTCTCAACTGGTGGGTCGCGACCCACACGTTCTAGATGGGTCGCAAACAGCTGGTCAAAAAAGAAAATATTTAGTGCGCATTTGATGTTTGACATACCTTTTATTTTGAAAAATAGCTTATTTTGTGCAATTTGATATTTAACCTTTTCTGTATATGCAACTTCAGCAGTTGTCGTCCTCAGTTCATGTGCTCTGAAATGAACTTTACTCAATAAAATGGGTGTATTTGTGTTAAAGATTTTAGTCTTTAAAGGTTTTTTTTTTAGAAAAAATAAATTTCCTTGATAGTAGCTGACAGAAATCTGAATAAAGGGTTAAGCTGAACTGAACTGTGAGGTGCTGTGTTTGTCCCACCTGCTGCAGACTGAGAGACGTACACCTGGGGGGTCTGCTGCTGCTGGGGCAGAAGGGGGGGCACACAGCCAAGCTGGGAGAAGCTGCTGCCGCTGGAGGAGGATGAAAGAACCCCACCCTGCAGCTGCTGAGGCTTCACCTTACAGATGTTAGGGGGGTCGGAGGCTGTGGTGGTCTTGGTGCTGAGAGAAGACGTGGTGTAGGTACCAGAACCTGAAGATGGGGAAGAAATGCATGTGAAGTTGGAAATCTCAAGTATAAGATAATGGTGGGTTTGAAGTTTCAAGGCAATACTGGAGGTCATGTTACCTGATAGGGAGGTGCTGGGGGTGACGGAGGCCACAGGGATTTGGGGCATGGAGGCCGAGGAAAAGGTGGAGTAAGAGGATGCACAGGAGGTGATGGGGGAGGAAGAGGAGGTGACTGGAGAGTTCTTCTCCAGACTGGGCGAGTTCTCCCACGCTTTCCGAGCAGATTCCATCTACAGAGGAGGAGACACATAGAAATGAGTTTGAATTTTTCATTTGACAAACAGAGAGGTGGTTGATGGGAAAAAAAAAACAAAACACCGAAGTACCTTTAGTGTTAGGTCCACAGTGGCGGGAGAGACGGTGCTGAGGCTGGAGCTCTGCTGCAGCGTCTCTCTGCGGGGGAGGGGCAGGGAGTGGGGGAGGGCCACCTGAAACACACAAAAGACAAAGCAGTCTGTGAATGACAGAAACTCACAAAGACATTCGACATGTAACTTATACAACCTCACTTTCAAAACACTGAAATACTCCTCAGATATAAAGGGAACAAAGAAGTAGAAAACAAACTCACATTCGCCACCAAACTCTCCTCCATCTTGTTTCCTCCAGTTGGGACACTGTCAGCCAGCGAGGAGGACGGCGTCGTGTAGTCTGTGACCGACTCCTGAAAGAGAACAAAAACAATTCATGGTTCATGTCAGAGTTTACGACAAACTGCAGGGGAGCAGCAGAGTTGAGAAAGACGACAAAAAAAAAAAAAGATTCTGTGAGGTGTTTTTTAATTTACCTTGGAGTTACTGTTGTACTCTGCTGAGGGGACGGTAATCATGCCTTCAATGTCACCACCAAGCTCGGGTACCGTGGTGTCACTGGTGGGAGGACTGGTGTCTGTGGCTCTGCTGACGCCTGCTCCAGGGACTCCCGCTTCCATCCCCTCTCCCTCTCCTCCTCGGGCGTCTTTGGCCTTGCGGTTTTTCAGAGAGCGCTCCTTCCCAATGGGACCAGGCTTGTACTCCTTGGTTTCCACTGGTTCCATTTCAGGAAGCTGAGGGATGGAGAGAGAAAACATTTAGAAGGCTCATAAAATAGAATCAGAGTTTTGAGTTCTTGCGTTTTGATCGGTACCTTCTGAGTTTTGATTGGTCCAGCTCGAGGTTGTTTCTGTCTCTGTTCTTTGGGAGCAGGTAGTTTGTTTTCAGAGCTGCTTTCGAGGAGTGCAGGGACTCCATCACTGTCCGTGCTGCCTGCAGATGACGGAGCTCCAAACTGAATACTGTCTATGGCCAGATCTACAGCACCGCCCTCTGATCCAGGCTTCACACCCTGAAAGGACATCAACAAAACTTTATTTCATTTCCAACAACATTCTGATGAACTGACCGCACATGGCAGGGCAGATATAAGAAAAGTAAACCAAAAAAAGGTCAACACTGTACATTTGCATTGGAACTAGGGCTGTCAAAACCGCTCCAAAATGACGTTTGAATATTCATACTAAAAATAACACATAGGATTGAACATATTTGAGTATCTAGCTTACACAGGTTGCACATAACTTTATCTCGCTTTGCATTTTTTCTGTCTACCTTGTCTGCCCAAATTCTGAAGAATTTCCAAACAGAGCTTCTAAAGTTTGTGGAGTCTAGACTTCTCTGTCTGAGTTTGGCTCAGAAAATCCCGTCATCTCTCTCTATGTGTGCAACTAGGCCTGTCACGATAACAAATTTTGCTGGACGATAATTGTGCTACAAATTATCGCCGATAAACGATATTATTGACACCATTTTTTAAATTATAGATAATGATATTATATGGCATAATAATGCGAGTACACCATGTCAAAAGTGATAAACTTTAATTTCCACATGAGAACAACACTGGTTGTTTTCGTTGACTAAAATATTTCCCTTTTCTCCCACGACGAAGACGTAACGTTGACGAGCTAAACATAAGTCGGAGATGACTAAAATGTGACGAGACGAAAGTGCGTTTACGTTGATGGGACGAGACGAAAATGACGAACAGAGTTGCAAAACTCAGTCAGTTAAACGCTAAACACACAGGAGCAGCTTCAGTCCGCTCTGACAGCTCTCATCAGCCTGCTGTGCTCCTCCAACACACAGACACACACACACGCGCGCGCGCACACACACACACACGTGGAGTTTTGTGGTTGACGAAAACAAAACTGGTTTAAAGCCGAAATATTCCTACACTTGGGCTGTTGCGTTCGGTTTAGACACCAAAGCTGTCGTGTTCATTCTGTTAGCTTGCTTTTCACTCACTACGCTCACTTGCAGCACTGTATCCAAAAAGTCTGTGTCTGTGTACCTGTGCGCGCCAGCCCCCTCGTGACAAAGACACTGAATGACTGACAGGAGGGTTCACTAACTCCGTTCATTCAGCTATAGAGCCAACGCCCCCAGGTGCCGAGAACAATGCGCAGAGTGAGACCTCTTCTCTCATCCAGCGTGTTTGGTAACGAGAGAGGAGGAAAACAAACGCACGTCAATTATCGAGGCTGGCAAAGTTATCGACCTCGTTTTTATTTATTGAGCGATAAGGCGATTTATTGATTATCGCGACAGGCCTATGTGCAACGGACGTTTTTTGTCGAGTCTCACTGCAAGTGCAGCTCCTGTGACCTGTCCCTGACTTGTCGTTACAGTGCGCTCACTCGCTTAGCAGCCGCAGATTTTTTTTCTCGTATCTATTGCCCCACTCAGTTTTTCCTAGCTGTTTATCTAATATTTTAATATAAATTTTCACATTTGAATCTCGATTTCTTAAATATTTGAATTTAGAATATTCGTTGATAGCCCCAATTTGAAAATTTAAAAAAATCACCAAGTTTGAAGGAGATACTTGTGTCAGGAAGTCAGCAACCAAGCCAAGAAGTTTAAAAAAACAGGGGAGGAGTTAGAATCACTGTGTGCAAAAAGCTAAGGCTAATTCAGGACTGTTTAACCATCAACTATATATCTAGTGGCAATGCAAACTGGAGTGTGTGGAAAGTGCTTCCTCTCTAATTCATGGGTTGTGAGCGGAACAAACTCCTGTGTAAACTGTTTTCAGAGGACAAGTTTTATTTCTCTCTCTCTTTTTTTTTTTTTTCATTTTTGGAGCATCAATTAGTTCATAGGTACATACAACACCTCAGCATATCTTTAGCTGCCCAAGTATTTTCCTGTCTTGCCTGCAAGCATCACACAAAAAAGCAGCAAAAAATAAAGCTGATGAAAGTTAAAGGCTGATACCAGGCGTGTATTTTTATCATCAGTGGTTAAGCACAAGGGTGACGCACATCAAATGTGAGACGACTTGAAATAAACATACCTCAGAGGAGACTGTGCCAGTGAAGGAAGTAAGAGGTTTGTTCCAGGCGCTCACTGAAGGAGGCTGAGGGGGGCTGATCGGACCCACTGGAACAGACACAAAACAGATCTTAACTAAAAGGCATGATCAAAAGTCGTGTTTTTTTTTCATTACTATCCAACACATTTGAACCCTAAAAAACATGTGAAGCCCAAAATTTCACCAATAGTTTAAAATTATGCAAAATCAAAGCAATTTAACACTCTGGACAAAACCAGACCGAGAACTTCTAACTTATACTTACAGCCCTGTGTTAGTTTGACATTTACTTCTAAACTCATCATAATAAAAAATTATCTGCATAAACTGGTTCAACCACTACGGTAAGTCTAAGGAGTCAAATCAATGTTATAAACAAACAGAAGAAACGTTTTCACTTACGTTTTTTCACGTCAGGCAGGACAGTGGCCCCGCCCACCTTGTTCTCCCACAGCTCTGTGCCCAAAGTGGTGTGCGTGGGCGTGGGGGCTGGGGGAAGGCTCTTTGAGGAGAAGTCCACAGTGGGCGGAGGGATGGAGGGAATCGGAGCCACAGTCCCCTCCAGAGTCTGAGGGGCTGCAGCGGGCTGAGAGGGGGGCATGTGAGGATGTTGGGGGGCGGAGATGGGGGGCTGCTGTTGGGTCTGTGGTGTGGACGATACAGGAGGCTGGGACTGAGCCGCTTGTTGTTGCTGCTGCTGCTGCTGCTGCTGTTGTTGCTGCTGCTGTTGCTGTTGTTGCTGCTGCTGCTGTTGCTGCTGCTGTTGCTGTTGTTGTTGCTGTGATGATTGTTTTTTAGCAAATCTTGGAGGCAGCTTCCCTCCTCCTCCTCTGCTCTTCTCACCTGATCCTTTCTTACCCCAGTTCTGTCAGAGAGAGGGTTTTAGTTCAAGAGGTTAAGCTCAGTTTCAAGTGGTACTTTACTTTTCTTGGCTTAAGATTACACTTTTAAAGAGCGCTTGAACCACTGGGGTATAAAGTGCTGCACAGAAGGATAAGGCAAAGAGAAAAAAAGTTGCAGATAAAGAGTTATGAGAAGTTTTCTGAAGCAATTGCAAGATTTGGCAGATCTTCTGGCTCATAAAGGATGATGCAAGAGAGATGGATGGATCAATTTCAGGATTTGAAACATAGAGGAGATGGATAAGGCATATCAGCAGGTCAGGCTGATGTCATGCTGTGATATGTGTTATAAACTAAGATCTTTGATTATTCCGACATGCGGCACATGTTTTCTCACCTGAGTGATCTGCTCCTCCTTTTTCCTCTTCTCTTCGTCCTGCAGGCGTTTCTGTTGCTTGCGTGAGACGACCTCGGTGAAACCGTCATCGTTGGTGCTGGACTGAAGGTCCTCTGTGGTGGTCACTTCTGGGTGATCGTCGATGATAACGACACCTACGGACACAAGAACAAACGGACATTTACTTCAAGTCGGGAGGTTTTGGTGTTCATGGAGAAGTGATCCAGGTGTGTTCTCCTACTGGCGTAATTGTTGAGATCAAACTGGGACAGAGCGTTCTCTTTGGGCTTCTTGGCGGCCTGTTTGGCCTCGTCTTTGCGGCGAGAAGGCTGATCTTTAGCAGACCTCTGAGCCGCTCCTCCAGCTGCTGATTGTGTCGCCTCCGAGTTCTGCTGAGCTGCAGGTCTGATTGAAAGACAAACATATCAGAGTCAGAGAGTTTGTACACACGTGAACCTGAGACCCTGAAGTTATTGTGTGGAAAATTCAGCATGCAGTATCACCATATTAGCACATACACATACCTCTAATGTGTAAGCAGAATTTTACACCATTTATTCATCTTATCCCCTGACTGTGTTTATTTAACCGCTGAAGGTCATGTTTACTCCATTTTTTAACGAGGATATCCGACTAATCCAAGAGCCAGAAAGGGAAACAAGTCCAATAAACTGCTTGTATCGGAGCGCTGATATCAGAGGTTTTAGATGCAGGCCGATATAATCCGCTATTTGTTTTTTGGCTGATATTGGACCGATATCAGCTATCAATATCGTATCGGGACAGCCCTAGTTTAATACTCTGACAAACTCTGCAGGCTCTCTCATGCAGGCTGCTCTTTGAGTCGACTCCTACTTCATCGTCAGAGTGTTACTGTAAGCAGACAAAATCAAAGCCCGAAAAAAGACAAAGCCTGATTGTTTCTACTCACCCTTTGCGGCTCGCTTTGGCCCCACCTCTCCTCTCCCCCTTCCCGCCTGTGTAGCTCCGGCCTGGTTTGGCTCCGCTGTTTCCTCTCCGGTTCTGTCTCTCTGTCGGCCTCTGGCTTGAGAAACTCCTCTTGGCTGCAGGAGCTCCTTCGCGTTTTGGTGTCACCCCTCCATCAGGAGGACTTTTGTTGGGGGTCAGAGAGCCCTGAGGGGGTGCAGGTGGTGGGGCGGACGCAGTGGCTGCTTCCTTATCAGCCTCCTGTGCTCCTTTTTTCTCCTCCCGCTCTCGCCTCTCGTTGAAGTCGCTGCTCTCTGAGGCCGTCTCCCACTCCTCGTTGGCCTGATCTGATGAGTTCTGGTTGGACAGGTCTGGGGACTTGGTACCCACTGCAGTGATGGGGGGGCTGCTGGACTCAGGCAGGGAGGCTTCCACAGGAGAGGGCAGGTCAGGGGCTGGCATGGAGGCCGCCACCTCTGCAGGCACAGTAACAGGGGTCCCTGGAGCTCTGGACAGGGTGGGGGAGAGGGAGACTTGGGTCGGGGCAGAGCTGGGGAGGGCAGCAGCAGGCACTGGGAGAAGAGGGACAGGGGGACTGGGTGCTGTCTCTCCACTGGCTAACACTGCAGCCTCCCGCTCTTTCAAGCGTCTAAAGCGAGGGGGTTTGTCTTGCCGTGGAGGCCGTGCTGGTCTGGACCGACGAGGCCTCTCTCTGCTACTCTGAGGAGCCCCCTCCCCAAATTTCTTCCCATCAGGTTTGGGGGGGCGTCGGTCAGCGGGGTGATTGTCATATCTTGGAGTGGACTCTGCATCCTCAGGCCTGAATGTCTCCATGGGTTTAGAGGGCCACTGTGAGGAGGACTCTCTAGGGGGCCGTCTGAGAGGGGCAGAGCGGGGGCCACCGCGCTCCCTCGCTCCTCCTCGCCTGCTGTACAGTCCTCCTCTTCCTCTCCTCGAGGGCTCTCCTTTAGGGAGAAACCCTGGCTTCGGCCTGCTGTCATCGTCCCCTCTGATCCCACTCTTTTCCCCCATGTGAGGAGGACCAAAACCTGGTTTGTGGGGCCCAGAACGGGCCTCCCCGGGGAGCTCTCGTCTCAGTGGACGGCTTGGTTTAGTGCTCGGTTCTCGGTCAGAGGGTCCAGTATCACTGGCAGACTCCCTCCCCCCCTCGCTCTCAGAGTCTGTGTCTGAGCCTCGCCTCCTTCTGCGTTTAGGAATAATCTCAAAGTCTGAGCTCTCACTGCGTGTCTCGCTCTCCTCCCTGTTCCTGAAAGCTGCAGCGCCCCCTGCAGATGGTAAATCAGAGCGAGATCTAGGCTCCCTGTAAGGGTACTCGGCCCTGCTTCGACCACGACTCCCTCTACCTCGGCCGCTGTAGGTCCCCCTGTAGCTCCGCCCTCTGGAGTAATACTCCCCACGACCTCGTCCTTTGAAACTGGCGTCTCCTGGCCAGTCTCTGTCTCTTTCCTTGTCCATTTCCTTCTCCCTCTCTCTGTCCCTCTCCCGCTCTCTCTCCCTCTCTTCTCGGCGGTAGCCTCGAGGAGGGAGATTGGACTCCTTCCTGAGGGGGAGTTTGGGTTCTGGGTGTTTGTCATTGCTTGGTAGTTTGTCTGTTTTGTCCTCCTGAGAGGAGGAGGTGGGAACTCCGGAGGAAGGCTGAGAGTCTCTGGCTCTCTGGTGTCCACTTGGTGTCTCTTCAGGCTCTGCAGCTTCTCTCTTGGCTTCGCTCTGAGGTCTGGAGCCCTCTGACACCGCAGCAGCAGCAGAAGGAGCTTTGGATGACTGATCCTTCTTGGACCGGTCTCCTCTTTCTCCCCTTTCATGGCGCTTCTCCCTCTCCTCTCTCTGCTCTCTCTCTTCTTTCATGTCCCTCAGGACGGGCTTTTTGATGGGCCCAGACCTACGGACAGGTCTCTCTCCTCCTGGTCCTTCTCTGCGCCCGGCCCCTGATCTTCCCCCCCAGCGCAGCTCGGCTTTCTGCTTGCTTGGTGCTGGCAGAGGTAGCTTCTCCTGTTTGTGTAATCCATCAGCAGGAGGTGTAGCCCTGTTGCTGGTCACTGCTGCCGGGGGGTAGAGGTCAGTCTGGGGTTTGTCATCAGACCGTTCTGAGTCCTGAAGCTCTAGTGTTTTTGTTCCCAAGGGGAGACCCTCAAACCGGGGCTCGTCCAGCTTCAGGGAGTGGCTGGAGCCCTGAGAGACGCTCCTCTGGAGCATTGCTTGTCCCAGGGCTTCCACCTCCTCCCCACTGGGGAGGCCAGGCTCCTCAGGGTCAAAGGCTGAACTTACGGGGACTCTGTCAAGAGGGCCTGATGCACTCTCTGGGCCCTGGGTAAACGCTGACAGGGACTCTGTCGGGTCCTGGAAGAAGTTACTTTTATGAGAGTCCAATGCACTGTGGTCCTGGGTATAAATAGGAGGAAGACCCCTGTCCAGATCCAGCCCAGAGTCCATCCTGCAGAGAATCAAACATTGGCTTATGTGGAGGAAGTATCTGTGATTTTTCTTTTACTGTGAAATAGTCGTTTATATTTTTCTTACCTGGACTCCTTGTCCTCCCGTCCTTTAGGAGGAGTCACAGATGGTAAAGGCTCGGACTGTGGGTAAGGGTCTGATCCCCACACCATGCGAGAGTCTGAGGACAGGCCGTGGTCTCGTATTGGTCGTGTCAGGTGGTCAAAGGAGTCCGAGCTGGAGCTGGAGTTATCACCTGGCTCTCTGCGCACGATCTGCTTCGGGGGCATCCTCCCTGCAGATGAAACGGCAGAGGGGGTTTTCAAACAGGTGGACTCAAAAACAGTCACAGAGACTCTTTCCCAGGATTTTCCACTCGACATCCTACCTGGGTGGATATTGGTTGGCATATCCATGGGAGGCCGCCCAGACATCATGCGGGGGTCCATGTAGGACTGCATCATGAGCCAGCGCGGGTCAAACCCCATGGAGGCCAGGTGCTGGTGGTGGGGGCCCATTGGCTGGTACATGGAGCGATGCTGCTGCTGCTGCTGCTGGGAGGCTGAAACTCCTCCACCTCCTGATGGGGACATGGAGCCCCCACCCTGCTGCTGCTGCTGCTGCTGCTGCCACTGTTGCTGCTTCATCTGCTCCTGGAAGACCATAAGGACAAACCATTAACAAAACCTCAATCACTTGAGACAAAATAATTGATCAATCATTCCACATTGAAAAAGGTTTTGCAGAACCAGAGCCTTAAAGACAAAAAAAGATGAATTAAAACATTCAGAGAACTGGGAGAAATTTGTGTAAAAACAGGAAAAGGACCAAAACCAAGACTGGACGGTGAGAAACAAACAGGACTATGTAGTGGAAATCACTGTATGGGCTTTGAAATCACTTCCAAAAAAACTGTTCATCACTGCATCTACAAATACAGGTTAAAACTGAAAACTGAAAAATGACCCTGTCAAAACTTGATAGAAGTGTGCTGCTGACATAAAATTTAATTCTAGTTTTTTTAAACAATAACAATTTTCTACTACTTTCTTCTACTTTTAAAACTACTTTCATAAAAAATAGCCTTTAAATGATCAGCAACCCATCACATCTTGTCTTGTACATCCCCATTGTTTGGGTTGTGTGGTATTTTGATTTAACCAGCAATGACTCAGCTACCACTGACTCAAGTGTCCAGATGCGGACCGTCTTACCTGCTGTCTGAGGAAGCGAGGAGGCAGAGACTTCTGGAACTGTTTGGAGTATCCTGAGGTGAGAGAGGGGCGCATAGCTGCTGCTGCTTCTCCTTCCAGCTGTGGGGGAGCCACAGGGACATCCTCTCCACCTGGGGTGTCCATGTGAGGCAGAGACAGGTGGGGCTCATCCACTGCAGGGAAAACAAACCAATAGAAGTGTAATCAATAAATAAAAGAGAGGCAGAGAGAAACATTTGTGGTTTTATTCTTTCCGAGTCTGCTCACCTCTGCTGTCCTCCATGTTGAAATAGTCTCTGATAGGCACTGGAGTCTGGCTCTCCTCCATCAGTGGGCCAACCTCACCCATGGAGCCCTCCCCCTCACTCTGAGGCTCCGGAGCATTGGTCGCAGGTCTGTGGATGGGAGGACTGGGCTGAGGGGGCAGGTGAACCTCCTCCTCCACACTTTGTTCTCCTCTCTCTTGCTCTACTCTCTCCCTGTCACGCTCCGCCCTCTCAGGCAGAGGAGTTGGCATGATGGAGGCCTGTGATTGTGAAGCTGTGATTGGAGGTCCGGGACTGGGTGAAGGAGCGGGAGCTGGTGAGGATGTTTCCTCATGGGTAGCTCCTGCATCATCCGCTGCAGTCTGAGCTGGAGCCGGTTTGCCTTCAGCTGACTGTCGGTGTTTTTCATTCAGGCGTTTGAGTTTTTCTGCACAAGCAGCGAGCCGCTGTTCTTCCATCCGCCGCTCCTCTTCTTCTCTCCTCCTTCTCGCTCGTTCTACAGCTTCAGAAACCTCCACAGGCTTCTTGCGTTTCTGTCTCCAAGCTTCGGAGTCCTCTTCAGCAGCAGGAGGCGCTGAGGCCGCCTGTGGTTTACTGACACGAGGAGCTCCACCTCCAACAGGACGACTGCCGGCCTGTCAAAGAATTAGCACAAATACACACTCAACAATTGGCTTTTCAAGCAAGAGAGAGACTTCAGTATAAGGTGAGACTTTTGAAATATCCTACCTGGAAGTCCTGAGGAGCAGCCGACTTATTGTACTGCCCCATACTTCCAGGCGATGGCGCTCTGGGATCCACAGGGTCAGCCCAGGAGGATTTACCACCACTAAGGTCCTCAGAGCCCTCCTTCCAGACCTCCTGACTATCCGGTGGACGAGATCTCATACGCTCCACTTTACCCATCCACTCCCTGAAAAATAAACAAGTTCACTGAGATGAAAATGGCGGAAATTCCAAAACAAGAAAATCCAAAACAAGCAATGCACCTTTTAAATATAACAGATAAAATATGCCAAAGTGCAACATGCTCTAAAAGATTCTCTAAAAATCCATGTTCAAGTTATAGGGAGCAAAAAAAATACAAATAAAAAACTACAAATCAAAAAGAGTGTACAAATGCTACAGTCCTCAATTAGTGTACAATCAGGGTGAATGTTTTGGAAGTCGTTTTGGGGCAAGCCTGGTCTGATTAGTCGGGACGGCATTCATCCCACTCAGGATGGGGCGGCCCGTTTATCCAGAAATCTGACAGATTTTACTACTTTTACTGACAATTTAGAGCGGAGATCAGGGAGCAGAGCTGCAGTCCTACACGCTCCTCTGCGCTCCCTTCAGAGCAGCTTCTTAGCTACAATCATTTTAATATAGAGACCAGGGAGCAGAGCTGCAGTCCAACGCGCTCCTCTGCCTCCTAGCTACCTTCACTTCAATACAGAGACTGTGTCTGTCCCTCGTCCTTGGCTCTTCAATTCTAACTGATCGATTAACAAAAGAGTAAATAACAAGAACCTTACTAGAATTATAACCGCTAACACAGCTTAACCGAGTAGTAGTAAGATAAAACGTGGTCTGTTGAACATAAGGTCTCTAAGTTTCAAATCTGTGTTAATAAATGAACTAATCTCTGATCATCGCATTGATTTACTCTCCCTAACTGAAACTTGGCTGCGTCAGGATGAATATGTCACTCTTCCTAGCCACCTAAGCTTTCACATTCCTTGGGACTGAGCGAAGGTGAAGTTAGAGCTATTTATAAATCCTGTCTTCGAATTAACCCAAGACCAAAACTGGATTATAACTCTTTTGAAAGTCTTGTTTTCAGTCTCCCGCATTTATCGCCCTCCCAGCCCATGCTCCGAGTTTTTGTCAGAATTCTCACAGTTTCTATCTGATTAGTGACTTTAATATTCATGTGGATGTGGAAAATGATAGCCTAAGCATTGCTTTCTTATCTTTGTTAGACTCAATTGGGTTTACAAAGTGTGTACATGGGCCTACCCACTGTTTTAACCACACCCTCGATCTTGTCCTGGCTTATGGCCTTGAAGCTGAAACCTTGTCAGTCAGCTCATTAAATCCTCTCTAACCAAAAATCAGTTATTAAAAAGACTGGAAAGGATTTGGCGCTCTTCCAAAACAGCTGAAGCTTGTATTCTCTGGTGGGACTGTCTTGATAAGTATATGAAAGTGACAGGCCTGGGCAATTAACTACTCGTCCCTTATTGAAGAAAATAAGAATAACCCCAGGTATCACTTCAGCACTGTAGCCAGGCTTACAAACAGTCAGGGCACCATTGAGCCGTGTATCCCTTTAGCCCTCAGCAGCGATGACTTCTTGAGCTTCTTGGCTTGAGCTTGGTAGCTGTCTAGCACAAGTCTGGTCCTGCTCAAGGTTTCTGCCTGTTAAAAGGAAGTTTTTCCTTGCCACTGTCACTCATGTTAGATGAGATGGGCCAAATCCCATTTTAGGTTGAGTCTTGATAATTCACCAAACAATGAGCTTGGTCTAGACCTGCTCTTTTTCTTTGGAAAGCATCTTGGGATGACAACTGTTGTGAATTGGTGCTATATAAACAAAATTTGATTTGATTGATTGATTGAGTGTGTACGGGTGTTTCAGGGTGGCATTTATGCTGAGATTATAAACCTGAGTAAGAAGGAGGATTAAAACCCTGACTTTACGAATCTCAGATTGAGAGAAACCAAGTAAGTTGAGGTACAACATAGATCTCAGAGGATAGTGTGTTTTGGATTAAAATTTTGGCTGGACTTGGACTGTAGGAATCCTCTCCCCTGCAGCTGTTAAGTGTCTCATCCTAAAGGAGATTTATGTCTTCGGGGACGCTTGGGTGTATTTTTGTTGGAATTCCATGATGTAGTCAATCACTGAAATGCCATAAGTACGTTTTTATCATTACATCATTGTTGTTTAAATCCTTCGCAGCCATTTCCAGCACAGCACACTCTCACACTCTTCTCTTCCTGTTAGCGATTGCCTGCTTCTTTTCTCCAGGTCAGTGACCAGCCTCCAGACTTTGATTTGATTTTGTTGTCTTTTCATCAAACTTCATCCTTGCCAGAGGAGGAGGATCATCAGACTTTCTTCAGGTTTTAACTTACACTCTTGAGTTTTTGGTGAAACTTGTATTGCTTGTCAACATTTTTGAAACACTGACTTGAATGTTGGTTTCTCTACCATCTCTTTATTCAGATACTAAGTAAGAGCGCCTGGGAGGTGTAATCTTCCATGTTTTTTTTTTCTTCTTGGTGAAACATGGATCTGCAGCAGTGAATCCAGAAATATCTTCCAGAAATATCTTACCAGTTTTCTCGTTTTTCTTTAGCAGCTTGGTTCTCCTCATCGTCGCTGAAGTTCAGTTTCTCTGTGTAGTCCACCTCCATCTGAGCTCCTGTTTACAGAAGAAGCAGGACCACTTTTGGTCAAACCTCTGTCCTCTGTGAGGTGGACTTACTGGTTCAACACTCAAATTCACATTGAAATGTTTAGATACCGACCTGCCCAGCCCTCATCCGCATCAGTGTCCAAGTTGTCAAGTTCCTTCAGTTCAGTGGCACTTACAATGGAGGGTCTGTCAGGGTCCTGGAGCCAAGCCTGAGGGGGAGCCTGCTGGGGTCGACCTGGACGAGGACCCCTAAAGACCCAGCAGAGAAACAAAGACAGGAAGTTCATTTTGGGACCTGGAACATCAGTACCCAGCTCTGTTTAATTTATAATCCACTAGATACAGATGTGCAGTGTTGAAAGCCTCACTCTGACATTTCAGGTTTGCACACAGTTCTAAAAAACCTAAAACTGTTCTTGATACAGTCGGTTTATTCCATGAAATCTGTCAAAAAACTTGCAATAATTCTTGAACTTACAAAACTAAGACCATTAGGAAACTTTTAATCAAAGTGTTATGACCTTTAAATTGTAAAAGGTTTCAGGGACACAAAGAATTTGAAGAAGCTGCACAAAATGACAGCAAATTTTGTGTATCTGCCGTCTTTCAACAACAGACAAACTTATTCAAACACCTCCTCACTCGTCTTACTGAACAGTGTGTCTCAAAAAACAAATAAGCGCTAAATTCAAATTACTTCTTGAAGATTCAGAAATATTTTGCTTCTATAAGTCTATTGGTTGAAGATACATTTGCTCTTTTGCAACAAAATGAAAATGTCTTGAAGGTTACGATGATTTAATGACCCAGTGCAGGTTTTACATATTTTCTGGTTAAAAAGCATTTGAAAATACTCCAAGAAATAACAAGGTCAGATTGTCTCTGTAGGTCCTGGTAATCTATGTTTTCCCTGAGATCATCTCAGTTGTTTTTGAGAAGAGAACAAAATTTATTGTACAAACTTTTAAGGATTTAACCCAACAATTATGTTGATTGATCTTGAATTCATCTTTAACTGAAGCATCATGTGTTTAGCCTTCTACTCATGAACTCACTTGGCTCCATCTTGTGGTACGGGGTGTCTGTAGTTTCCCTGCCCTGGACCAAAAGTCATCTGAGGATAAGCGTGAAACATCTAGAAAAAAACAAACAGAGATCATCATGCATGCAGACGATTAACACCACAACAAGGTGCTGCTTTGGTTTGTTGAACAGGTTCTTACGTAAGGTGGCATCATGCTCCTGAAAGCAGGGTCAAAGTGCGTGGGCACCCCCCCAGGAGGCTGCTGCCCCCCATTGAGTTTGGGCTGAGAGGGTCCAGAGGGGGGCAGCCTCTCCCTGCCCTCCCTCTTCTCCCTCTGACCGTCAGTGGTTACAGCTTGTCCTGGTTCATCAGCTTCTCCTGGGGGTGTCGAGGTACCCAGACCAGTGCCCTCTTCCCCAGCCCTGCTCTCCATCTCAGGGGGGCTGGGTGCAGGGTTCAAATTCCTGCCTCCACCCTCGCGCCAACTGCCAACATCTAAACCGCAACAAAGAGTGAAATATTTAACAGCAGTCAAACAGAAATCAACCAGCACACATTTATGAATGACTTGTGTCTGACTGAGGCCTTACTTTGTGGTCTGAGGCTTGGTCCAGGGCCATAAGGCTCTTCGTCTTGACCGTCCCCTTTCTCTGCTTCCCCTGCTGCCTGCAGGCTGGGAAACTCCTGATGAAAATGGCTGCTCACCCGAGGAGCTCCTGCACAGAACAAACACATTGAAATGAACAGACAATTACAGCTAAATAAATTCAGGGGGTCACAGATAAAGCTGAAAAGGTTGTTTTTTTTGGGCCACTCATTGTTGTGTTTTTTTTTTTTTTACCTCCTTGTAGGGCTGGGCGATAAACTAAAAATTTACTGATACTGAAATTTACGACAATAACTGGTAACGTCATTTTGCCCATGTCGGTATGTTCGGTGTCAAAAAAATAAATCAATAAAAGTTGATTTTGGATGTGTGCAGTTAAATTATGGTCTCATGTCCCTTTAAGACGCTGTCCTATGTCAGAGACATGACTCCAACCCCATCCAGTCCGTAACAAAGAGGGAAAGACAGGTGAGGAGATGGAGGACAGTTCAAAAGTTGTAGCGGCTGGAGAGAGACTCTGACCCAAGTCTTCACAGACCAATTCTTCTGTACTGTACTCGTCCAGACAGAAAGCACATTTGTTTTTACGTTATTTGAAGACACAACACTTATAGGTGCTCTTCCTGAGGTACAACAAGTATTACTGAAATACTTCTGTAGAGTAAACATGAGAACCTTTGTCAAAGTTTCGGAGAGTGTTTTTGTGTTGGTGGTCCCTCTGCTGGCCGGTTGTGTGAAGTCATCAGAAATATTGAATTTCCTTTTAGGATAATATGAAACCTGAACTTGAAACAAGTTTGCGATCAAGCCGTCTTTAATAATAAATCCTTTTCTGACATTGCCTTTTTTTTTTATAGCTAAATCCCTCATTTTTTTTGTTTTCTCCACAAAGGACATCCACTTTTCATCATTTATGCTGGTTTGGTTTTTCACAACTCATACTGTCAATACAAGCAGGAAACAGCACAAAACTGGACTCCTCAGCCCTGACACGAAAGCACCTTTACAACCACAGGGAAGCTTTTAGAGGAGCTTATAGAAGTAATGTGTCGTAAACCATCAGGGGTTGAGTCTCTGTTAGTTTGTACATGAGTAATAAGCGCACTGATTGGTGTTTACTGTGAGAGCCAGTGTGTAACAGATGTAATCCATGCTTGATAAGCATGTGAGGTGAGGGGTGTACTTACCGTCCAGCTGTGTCTGCTTGCTGTTGGCCCAGGAGCGACTGACCCCGACAGTCTGCTCCTGTGTCTGGAGAACCGCTGGTTTGTTCTGGGGTGGGGGTGTCTCCTGCTGCCTGTTAGTCACAAAGCAGAACAGTTTAAGACCACATGGATTACCTGAAACAGGGTTGACCCTCCTATAACTAATAAATATCATCAGTTATTCAGCGCAACATGCCACTCATTCACAGTGTCTGGTTGTTTCTGAAGGAGTCATAAATTGTACCTCTCGTCTCCAGCCTCAGGTCGAGATGCCCAGCCACTTCCGTCTTTGGGGACAATGTTAACGTTGGGGTCGTTTCCCTTGTTCTCGGCCTTCAGGCTGGGCAGGTTGGCCGGAGGGGGCATGCGCCTGCTGGCAGCAACTTTGCCCAAACTCTGGAGCCCATGTCTGGCAGCCACTGAGATGAAGAAAGCAGCAGTGTTAGTCATACAGATGAGGGTAAGACAGTCCTCATCCTTAAAATTTTACTGTAATGCTGCAAAAACTGATAAAAAAGCCAGTCCTGCACATAAGAGGTCTAATGAAGGGCAAACAGGCCACAGCAGCTCACCTGCAGTTTTCTGGGTTTCCAGAGATTTGCCCTTGTAGGTGTTGAAGAGGCTAAGGGTCGCATACTTTGTTTTGCCATCCTTTGCCTTGGTGCTCTGCCCTGACTTCTCGGACATTTCGCTTGAAACTCATTGAGTCTGGTCCTTTGGCCTCGCCCCCAGAACCAGCCTCCTGCAGACAGGGAGAGGACAATGAGGACATTAAACAAAGATGTAGGGGTTACTGATGCTGGATATGAAATAACAACAAAACCTTTTAGAGGTTCACAAACAGCATACTTTTGGCCAGAGTCTATTTCTGAGTTTATGAGTGGAATGGTGTATAAATTAAAAATCAAAAAGCAAACTTTTATGTGTTTCTCGGGAAAAAAACAAAACATGGTCTTCCTGAATTTAAGTTTGGAAAGTCAGTCTGTCAGTCTTTCCCCTCAAACAATGTAGAATGTGCTGTTGTCTGTCTGAATCCACATGAATATAGAGGGGCTGTAGGCAACAAAAACAACCATTCATACACCAATCAATCTGTCAGTAAAAAAAGCAAATTTTCCCTAAATCAGTGATAGTGTAGTCAGTGCCCCCTGGCTGGTAGGCTTAGGACTTGTACACACCTAGCCAGATATTTCTTATAAAAGAATATCTAACCCCCCTTCATATAAAAAAAAAAAAAAGTAACATACACACATTATCGTTTTCAAGTAAAATCCTAGTATCCACACAAAACCGCATAAATGTGCTATCGACCGTGGTTATAAGCATGCCAGACCTGGAGTTGGTAGTATTTGCTAAAAAGTTAGACCCATTCTATCAGATCAGAGCAAGCTTCCCTCTCTCGTCCTCACTTCTCCAAAACACATCACTGTTTCATGTGGATGGCAGGCCAAAACATTTAACATTACATTCCTTTTAGCAAATACCCGGCTATGTGTGGACAAGGTCTTAATAAACTTTTTTAAAAACAGAGCTTTTGTGGCTGATTTTTTTGAAGGTCATAATGTTTTCACTGGAATAGCTGAGTCAGAGCTGACCAACGTGAATCTCTCTTTGAGGGAAACAGAACTGTGCGGACTGGTGATCAGAGCAGGGAAACTATTCAGAAGAATGTACTAAAGAACTTCAGATGACTGATTTTGTGTTTCTTTCAAACTACCAACTGAACCCACTTGTGGACCAGCACTCCAAATGAATGTTTACACTATATGACTTTTGTTTTCAGCTTTTGAACATTAATGAGTTTTTACTGCTCAAATTACATTCAAACCCTGAACCTTGTTCCAACAGCCACAGTGTCCACCATGCAGCAGCACTTTAGAGTGGGAAAAGGAAACGAGAGAGACTGGTTAGGAGAAACAAAAGTCAAGTGTCTGGTACAGAGGATGAAGAGCTGGTCCCTCAGGGGTTGGAAGTTATCTCCAGTTTAAGAAAATGATATTCAATAAGACAAAAACTGTAAGAGCACCAAGAAGAGGAATGGAGCTACTTCTGTTCCTGCCTAAAATCAAACAGAGTCTTTTCAGCCGTTCATCACTATGCAAGGGGTATGGAAGAAATAGAAGCATGCTGACGAAGAGTTTGGGAAGTGATTCTGGTTAGTGAGACAGTCTGTCCACCAGCAGGACTCTGAACACATGGGGGGGTCAGGAAGCAGGAGGCTGAAGGTGATTGAGAGAGAGAGAGCAGCACCATGGACAGAGAGGCAGCATGTTCAGGCTGCAGTGTCTTTCCCAAGTCACACTGAGGTCATTTATTATTAACGGAGCTCAGTTGGAAGAGTTCGCGCGTGTTTAAGTAAGTGTGTGTGTGTGTGTGTGTGTGTGTGTGTGTGTGTGTGTGTGTGTGTGTGTGTGTGTGTGTGTGTGTGTGTGTGTGTGTGTGTGTGTGTGTGTGTGTGTTTCAGTGGAGCAGACAGCTTTGATGAGCTCTGTCGCTCTGCAGCATCATCCGGGAACACTTTGTGTGGGAACATCCACTTAAAGGAAGCAGCTTTTTATCTTTAGAGTGTAAAATAATATTCAAGTGCTGATCATGGACAATAAAACAGAGGCTGCAATCAACATTCATCTGAATATACAAAGAGAAAGTTACAGCTGACTGTGTTGTCGGTACAAAGGCGCTCATCAAAAATTCATTGTCTGACCAGTAACCGACCCTCTCAGTTGATTAAGCGCTAACATGACACACTATTAACAATCAACAGTCTTCACTGACCACTTACAAAATTGACACCTGTAATATCTGTGTTATTTCTATTTGTCAATTATTCTTTATCATCTAACAGAGTTTACTTTCCTGCTTACAGATGACATTAATTGGCTCAGAACAGATTTAAGACCTAACTTATTAGTCTAGAGTTTAACTGAGTTTGATCATTTACGACTTAAAGTCTGTTGAACTGATTTATCTTATTCTTATATTGATTTATTGTTATGACTGTTTATTGATAACGTTCTCTCAGTTTGTTCTTATTCTTTGTTTTAACTTCTCAATAAAAACTCTGGTGTTTTCACACTATCATGAGTTTATGAACTCATGATAGCGTTTCCGTGGTTGTTTTTAATATACCAAGTCTATTTGTTGTAAACCTCGCACATGATTCAGGGTTTTGGTCAAGTTGAATGATTTTTCTGTTCATTAAGTTGAAAAAGAAGTGATTTACAAACAAAGTCTGATTACAGTCCACCATGTAGATAAGGTTATTTTTCAGATGGACAGAAGTTGATTCATCAAAGTATGAAAATCATTTTTGACATACACACTGCAGAAGTATGGTCTTACTTTAACACCTGAGTGAACTGCGACATCAAACTGGAGTGTTTCTGGTGGCAGATGAGATTGCAAAAAGGATATTCAGTTAAGAAAAATCACTGTTTTCAAAGTATTTCACCAACCAGTGATAACACGATAATCAAATGCAACCTGATACAACAGTTCTACCATAAAATCTGCTTTTTAAAGAGGCTTCCCCATTTTCAGGTTTTGATTCAGGGACTGAATCTTTACTCCACCTCTCTATCAAAGTCACTTTACCTACAAAGTTGCACTGCATTTCTACACACCTGCATCAGTGTGTTTCTTCATCTCTGCTGCAGATGTCCACAGAATCATAACGCATAGTGAGGTTTCTATTTCTACTGTTGTTCACACTGACAACAGAGAAGTAATGACTTTGACGCATCCTCACAGTCGAGGTTTGAGGTCTGAAAATCTGCAGATTCACTCAGCTTCAGCTGTCTGAAAATAGTACATCCAAAAAACAACACCATCGGAGAACTTCAAGAGATTTACATCTTAGAAAGGTGACTGATCTTCACCAGATTCGTTTGAGTCATTTTAGCCCCAGACACTGACTCTGATGTCGGAGAGAAACAGCAGTGGTAGCTGAGCGTTGTGTTGCCTTAGGTTGCCTGTGTTTGGAAAGAAGAGCTTTACTTACATGCGCCAGTGAGGAGTCAGCTGACGACTAACTAACACAAACACTCAGTGCCTCAGGAGGCGTTAGGCTCATTTATGCCTTGTGTATGATAACTATGCGGATACAGACTTTACTTTCTGTGTTCACTTGGTCTGCAGTTCTGTATGCTTGTGGATAATATAGACCAAGGCTTGCAGTACCAACATCAACTCTTGGGGTAGCAAAGGTAATTATGTCATACTTTGAAAAATTCTAGCCTTAATCATTTGCTGTTAAATATCTAAATGGCAACACTTGGATTTTGTCTCTCTCTTTTTTTTTTGTAAAGATACACAATATCTCCTCAATCAGCACTGTGTCTGTTATCCTCATCAACTTTGGCTTGTTCTTTCTCGGGTGACTTTTGAGGTTACGCTTCACCCTTCAGGGGAAGTATTGCTTCACTTCCTTTTATATGCAAAGTACATATGGAGGTATGAGGGCTCTTATTTCATATGTAAGGGGAGCATAAGTGAATCTGTATCTGCCTTTTTAAAAAGGGTTATAAGCAAAACTAAAGCAGTCATGGCTGGACATAACAAGTTCAACATTTTTACACTTCTATTGCATACCATTCAGCTTATCAACTCTTTTTTTTTCAAACACCACAGGGGTGTTATGTGCCTCTGACTTCTCATGTTGGAGATCATTATGTCTCTCATGTCTGTAGCTAAATAATGGTGTAGAGACGTGGCAGCAGCAGGCCAAGATTTTGCTGTTGAGGATACTCCACGAGCTTCCCCTCCCCTAAAACAGGAGGATGTTCCCATTGTTCTAGCTTCTTTTATCCTTGCCCTCATTAACTGTCACCTGCTGACATAAATGGCCAATACGTTTTGACCACTGATTTGTCCTCCGATTGTTTTGATTTACTCATGTAACTCTACTACAGTCTAAAGAAATAATACCTTTCAATATAAATGTGTGATTGAGGTGACAGTTTGACTGAGTTGGCAGAGCAGGCATCCCATGTCTACTTGTCTCCTTCACTCCTTCTCCAGGTCTTCTGTCATGATCACACCATCCCATGTAATAAAGGCAAAAAAAGCCCCGGGAGTAATCTTATTAAAAAGTGTGTTTGCAACCAAAATAAGCAGAGGTAGAAGCAAGGACTTCTTTTCTGCCACAACCTGGGCATGTAGCAGAAAAAGAGGCAAAAAAAAAAAAATAACTGCACTACAAAAATGCTACTCAATAACCGCTTTTATGTGGCAATCTCCTCCGAATGTAAAGCAGGTAACTTGCACCCTCAAAATGCATAAAGCCTGTAAACCTCGCACAGTGAATCTTGTGATGTAAGATGAGTGCTATAGTTACATCTTTAGCTGATTCAAAACTCTGAAACAGCTGAACCCAAGGAAACAAGCCCACTAGAAACTCATGGAGAGCCTGTGATTGGCTGATGATCCTGCATGTGTCTGTACTGTCATGACACCAGGACCCTGTAAGAGAAAAAGTTCCTGTCTGTTCCAGTGCTGACGTAAACTTGTCCATTACAAAAAACACAATCTGAAACCTAGAATCCTGTTGAGCTTGTAGTTGAAACCTGAGCAGAGATTTGCCCATAAATTCGTCAGGAGATTGTAAATATCCGCAGACAGGAGTTATGAGAAATTGACAAGTGAGTCTGTTGCATTAATCATCATTATAAATCTAGTTACATTTTTTCCTGTGCAGCAGTGGGGCTTGACAGCAGGTGGGAGCTTGACGATTTACAATCACAGCAGGAACACTTCATTTCAGATTGAACTCTAAACTGCAGTGCTGCAGTGGGTTTGAACATTAGAGCAGTTTCACACTCTGTGAACTATTCAGGATGTTTGTGTGGAGTTCATACAAACCACTAGACACAAATCAACGATTAGAACTCGTACATATCACTGCATTGTTTAAGAGTTCTACACTGGCAGGGGTGTCAGGACTGAGCCCTTACCATTCTCATGCTTTCATGTTTCAGATACCTGAGGAGGCAGGTCAAGAAATCAGATAAAGAACCTAAGAGACCGGAGTAGAACACCTTTAGCCTGAGTCACATGGGGATGAGCCCCTCTGACACCCGTCATACACCGCTGCTGGCACACTTCCTGTATCAGCTGTTCAGAAAAGCTCAATAAGGAAAAAGGGAAAAAACTGCAGAGATTTGTCCTGAGGCATCCTTCCTCCCAGCCTAAATTAGCTCAGCCTAACCTCCATCATGACCCTGCACCCCTGCAACTCCTTCTGCAACCAAGTGCATCAATGCAGGCCCTTTATCATGTCAGAGAGATGTTCAAACATTCAGTACTTTGAATATTGCAGTCTTCATCCTTCTCACTCCTGGTTTAATAGTCTGTCTACAGTGTGCAGCAGGTTGTCATTGAAATATCAGACTTCTACTTATCTTATAATAACTTGTGTGCACTTATAAACATTTACACACACACACACACACACACTCTCTCTCTTCTGTCCAGAGCTTGCTGTTGAAAACTCTATGCTGCACACTAGTGCTCAGACTGTGTTATCAAGTTCCGAAGACTTCAGGGGTCTTAATACGACAATGCCATGAGGGTATTACTCTGAAGTACAAGCAACTGGTTTTAAAATATGGAGTGTGTACTTTAACTGTCTTGAAAAAACTGCATAGAAACATTTACTGGATGTCTGACCAATCACATTTTCAGGCACTGAACATTTGAAATGTACTTTTTCCTCTTTTAATGTCTGTCGCATTAAAATCAAAGCCAAATTTCACAAAAGAGACACTCAATTGTATCATATCATATTAGATTAGTGGTTCTCTAGTCCAGTCCTCCAGGCCTACGGTCCTGCATGTTTTTGGATGTTTCCCTGCTCCAACACACCTGATTCAAATGATCAGCTCGTTATCAAGCTCTGTAATGGTTTAATAACGAGCTAATCATTTGAATCAGGTGTGTTGGAGCAGGGAAAACATCCAAAACAAAAGTATGAATAACGTTTGGGGTGTCTGGATACAACTTTTTTTTTTACTTCCTAAAATGTCACCGATATTGTAGCCTTCAGTATTTGCTGATACCAATATTGATAATGGCACAAAATTGTGCACGACAAATTTGGCACTGAGCTGCAGCATCTTTTTCAGACTTAAACAAAAAATACTGCCACACGGCTGACATCACAACTACTCCTTGCTACTTTGCTAATACCTTAGTACACACTGTTGTTGCTATTACGTGGGTTCTCCAAACAAACAGCACAGAGATGTAAAAGTGGCACCCCTTTAGCTTCTTGCTATCACATTAAACCGGCTGTTTTGATACATGATTCGTCAACCGGAGGACGACTTCACAGTAACCAGCTGGAAGGAGTCACGTCGCCACCTACTGCAGCAGAGGAGGACATGTTTCTGTCAATGATTCGATTCTAGCCCAATGCATTTAAACTGGGACAAAGACACCAGTCCAGTTTAATTGTCTAATCAAACTATGGCCGTAGCTCAATTTCACTGAGGATGCAAATGCACTAAGTGTCTGCCCCCCTCCCATTCAGCCTCTCTTACAACCCCTGCAGGTGAGACCAGATGCAGTAAAACCTCATCTAGCTGCCCTGCCTTTGAACACTGTGTAGACAAGGTGTAGTAGAGTTGCAAATACACCACCTTGACATGGCAACATGTTAAAGCCTTTACATCTATGTTCAGTTTCAACCATCCCTGTCCAGGGCTCATGAATGTGTAGAGCACTTTCAGCACAACAATTAGACAAGGGCTGTGATTGTTTATCCTTTTACGAGTTCAGTGTGTGCTGTGGACAGAGATCTCTGAAAACTGGACTTTGTTTTTGGTTGACTGATGAGGATTAAAGCCACTTAAGGTTATTGTGCTTCTCCTGCACAAGGACATCAATCCCACTGAGATGATCTCCCGTGAGAGTCGTCGGTAGTTTCATTTAGCACAAAAGGAACCAAGGAGAAGGTTGTTTCTTCAATTCTTTCCTTTTTTGCTTTTTGAAAGTGTACGTATAGAAAAATGAGCTAGGATTATCAAAGCTTTTACGCTTGCATCATAACAGCAATACCAGTTTTTTTTGGACAAATTTATAATTTTGCTCAAGATCAGATCAACTAAGATTTGAGCTTGGAAATGTTTTTTTTTTAATCATTAAACAAAAAACAGAGATCAGGAAATGCCTACGGGGAGGAGGGGGTCAATTAAAGATGATTGAGAGTGAATATTTTTGTTTAAATCTAAACCTGACACTTTGGGAAAATCCTGCTCACATCTCATCAATGTGCACTCTCCAGGGTTGAACCAAAGTGGTGTATCAACCCAAAGAAATCACAGCACAGACACTGGAATCTCTGTTTCTTAACAGCTAAGGCAATGATTCAGTGAGCCCAATTTCATCTGCAGCAGGAATTCTGTGATTGGACAGATCACTGACTGGTGGATCAATACATTGTACCCTAATCAATACAAGTCTGAATGGCTTCCCTACACTTGCCAGATGCTGTTCTCTCATTAAGGATGCATGCACAGAAAACACAGCAAACTGCTCTTTGAATACTTCACAACCCCCGACTCCTTTCAAATATCTCCACCTTCAGTATTTCCATCACGTGTAGTCTTTCATGCCCCCAAATCTGCACAATCACAGAGTAAAGCACAAGGGCCAAACCTCGGTAAATTCAGCCGTTCTGACAATCTTTGGAGTATGTTTTAACATTATGCTGAGGTCAGGCAGTATTTTTGCTTGTTAAGATGGTCACTGTGTCAGAGAAAACAATCGCAGAGCCATGGGCTTTTGCTTTGATTTCACTGACAGGTATGACAGACTACACGGTGGTACCCCACAGACCATCACAACCGCCTTGATGGTGCTGGAGGAAAGAGGAGTGGGGCTAGACCACACCCAGATAGAAAACTTATCATCTTCTGCTGTTTCTTTTCAACATTTCTAGTCTGTCACGGTTGTCCCTCCACCGAATGTCATAAAAGCAGGGATGTTGTTGCTAGAGCTCACTAAACTTGTCCTCTGTCTTACAGTTACACCTCACAGCACCAACTCCACATTCTCATGTAGCTTCACCTACTTCACCTAAGACATGATAGAAAGAAATATTAAACATGCTAGACTAGGACTGGGTAATTATGTGATCGATGATCCTGATAAATTTCAGTTCGATCCCAGTGATCAGCTGTGAGCATATTTACTCGATCAAACATAATGGAAGTGTGCGTCACAACAGCCAATCAGAGTCGAGCTTTTCCTGCTCACTTCTGTAAGGTGTCGGGGAAGTAAACAGGAGAAGTCAACAGAATGACCGAATGTGGAGCTAAAGGTGGAGCTGAGGGCAGCAAAATAGATGTCAGCCATGACTTAAAGCCATCCTCCAAAGATGTTTCTGTTGAGAAGTTATTCAACGCCGGTTGTGTGGCGGTGGTTCGGGTATCTCCAAAGTGACGTCGAGCAGTTAAGCCGATGTTTAAGGTATGTCGACGATCTGTGCTCTCAAATACCGGCAACACAACAGATCTGTTCACTCATTTGAAGAAGTACTTCCCGAGTGAATCTATGTAAGGCATGAAAATGCGAGCGGAGTAGCAAACGAGCCACAACTAGCGGTGCAGCCACCAGACCAAAGCAGCAGTCAATCTATCATCTACACTTACATTTTAAGGCATCTTCATTACCTCTGAGGGGGCGTTTTGGGTCTTGCATACTGCAAAAACACTCAGGACCGTAAACTGATTCACTGTTTTATCTAGTATTTATCTACATTTGCTGTACTGTTGAGTTAAAGTGTCTCTTATTCAATTTGCTTTGTTATTTACTCTGTATGTTAATAAAATGTTGAACTAATCTAGTTCCTTTATTTTTCAGTACAGATGCTTTAAAACGGGCAGTTAAAAAAATCCAGATAATAATCGAGATCGGACGATATGACAAAATATATCGTGATCATTTTTTTGCCAAATCGCCCAGGCCTATGCTAGACTTTCGCAAAGGTCCTTGGGACATCCCAAACGTGGCTTTGATTACTCTCCAGTATGACACAATACACAGGACAGAATCATCAGTTTTCTGGTCCAACAGATCCTGATACCTTATCCCTACATGACTGTGCTAAAACCAGTTTATAGCATAAGAAATTGACTTAAGCGTTAACATTTGGAAGATTTATATGACCCCTCTCTCTGTTTTGTTTCCCTTAATATAAAAGTGTTAGGTAGGTTTGATGTGTGAACCAAAAGTGGGTCGAAAAGCTATGATCATGTGGGTGTTAATACTCACACTCAATACCAACCCTGCAAGTTCCCTTATGGATCACCCGGGTCAAAGAAGTGTGGACACACCCCTGTCTGCACTGGACAGAAGCTGATTTCTGACTAAAAGATGCAGCGTGGCAAAATCTCCTTTCAGATCCCCCTCCTTATTTCAACGTCTGCAGACTCAGCTTCTGAATCACTCAAGAGTTTTTTCACACCCTCAAATCTGTACACTCATGAAGTAAAAATGTGCCCCCTCTCCTACCTGACCACGTTTACCGATCTGCAGGATGTCATCATTATTGACAGGGAATGTGTTACTATGGACAACAGCTTTCACAACAATCAGTTACATCTCTAACACACAATGTTTCACTTACGATGAGGGTCGTTTATCATTGTTGTGCTGATTCTGAGTGTGGCTAACCCTGATGAGTGTGCAGGCCATCTTTCACGACTCTTGACTGCTGCTGGTGGGCTGGGTGGCTCACACCGGTTCGGAACTGAGGCCCCGTCTGCCCAGAACTCACCCACATCTGACTTTGATAGCACCTTCTGCACGCTCAAGTTACCATTGTTATTTCTATCACGTCCGACTGCGCGCTATTAGTCTGCGTAAAGTTAAACGTGTTGCTGTTGGGACGCTAGCTCACATCCTTTAGCACAGTTTCGTTTCTCAGTGGTCGCCATCACATCAGCCCTTCACAGCATGCTAAAAGCTAGTTCTCCAGGATCCCTTAGTCTCAAACTACCTGTCTGGACTTCATTCTGTCACCTGGCCTCACGTGCACACTCACCTGCCGCCGCTTCCTCCTTCTCTGTACTTTTTGCCGCTCTGTGGTCCGACTCGAATCCGGTTTCGGTCCGGTTCTGTGTGGACGAATGTGTGTCTGGCCGGCGGATTACAAAAGCTGGCTAGCCTGCTAACCCAGCTAACCCGGCTAACGGCGGTTAGCTGCTCTGCTCGCGAGCTGCCAACAAACAGCTCTTCACATGCACGCGGCGGTCTCACGTCCTCGTCGCCGGTTTTTCCGCCGCCGTTCCTTCCGTCTCTGTTCAGCCGCTACTTCGGGGGGACGGTGTGCGGTCGTCCCTTGATCTAGTGTCTCTTCTTTCCCGTTATCTCGTGCCAGACCGTTTTTCTAGTTGAGTGAGGCCCCGCTCTCGCCGCGGCCTGTCTCACAATCAAAGATGGCGGTGTGTGGTTGCCAGATTTATCTTTGGTATCCCCCTCTGCCCTCTAGGCTGCCTGTGCAGGTGCTCGGTCACATTAACTGGCGGTTTTGATAGTCCACAGTACATTAACACTGATTTACAAATTAAACAAACTACACTTGATTTACAATGAAGGACAGACGATAGGATATTTTTTCCAGGCAGATTAATAAAAAATAGTAAAAAAGTAGGTTATTTTCTCATACACCTTTAAAGTATATATTTAATTTTAGATTCTCTTGATCTTTTTTGCATTATTATTAATCTTATTCGCACAATTATCTTGTTGACATAATAAACATAATGTTAGAGTAAGTTATTGTTTAATATGCCCAAGTCGTAACCTTTTGGGAACAAGTTATCCTGTGCACCCAAGTTATTTTGCACCAGACTATTAATTGAAATACTTTTTTGAATTGACAAAGTACAGTACAGTAGTATTTTTATATTGTCTTTTCTGAGTTGTTTTGTTTTGTTTTATATGGGACAGTGTATGGAACTGTGTATGTGTGCTGTCTTTGGGCACATTTTCAACTGACTGCAAATGAATTTCCTCACGGGGACAATAAATTCAACCTAGATACCAAAAGGTTTTCATCTTTCAGAAGCAACTACATTATCTTACTTTATCATACTATGTAATTATCCTGTGTGTATCATGCAAATTGCTTGTGGTAACAAGTTATCTAATCCTATAGCATTGTAATATGATTTTTTACTACAAAGTAAATTATCTTGTCTGTCAAATGTTGGTATCTTGTGAGAACACACTATTGTTTTGAGCACACATATACTCGTATTGTAAGAGCAAGGATCTTGTGTGTGGAATACAATACACTGGATAATAGAAGTCGTTATATTCTGTGAACACGTCATATCTTGTGGGAGCAAGTTATCTTTGTAAAAATACAATTATCTTATTGAAACAAGGTGTTCATCTTGTGCACAAAATATTTGATATTGTGCAGACAAGTTAGTTATCTTGTGAGCACGATATTATGACCTTGCAGGAACAACTAACTATCTTGTACACACGTTATAATATAGAATGTAATATGTAATATTAAATCCTGTTTGATTTGTTTAAAACTGTTATTCAAACCTTTATCAGGTATAGAGAACATCAACAATCAGTTTTTGTTTGTGGTGTAGATCTAAAGCACTTAGTTGTCAACAAATTAACCTGTATGAAAATCACACTCAAAGTTTGATGAAATTTACAAAGACTAAATTACCATAAATTTCGTATTATTTAATCTTATTTTACTTAAGTATCCTGGATTTTATTTAATTGCAATTAATCAAACCACAAAACACTCTCACATTTGGATATCATGTGCTGCTGTAATACATTTGTGAGTGAAAGTTGTAAATATTTTCTTAAGAGGACCCTGACTGTCACATGATAATGATAATTTAAAGTGTACAACAATACAAACATGGCTGAAATATTTTAAATGAACAGTGTGACAAATGTGGCATCCCTTTAAAATCAATTATACCGCATGAACTCTTGAACATGGCAACCCAAATGTGAGGGAGTCACGCGTGGACGTTTCTTCTTCCGGGGTCTAGCTAAAGTGTATCCATCCATCCACCCAGCATTATATTTTAGATCTAGATGGTTGCATTTGATTTAACTCAATATGATTTTAATTAATTTAATTTAATTCAATATGATTTTGATTTAATTATAGGGTGAAGCAGTACAGATGCAAATAAAAAAAGGAAAATCACCTTCCATGAAAATGACAAAAGAAACATTTATTCGTTGATGTATTTGTTTATTTATCCTTTTATTTTTTATGTACTTTCTTATGGTACTGAAGTTCTTGCTAAATGCTTTTCAAAGAAAAAAACGTGTGATCCATCTTGTGGAGAGAGTCTCAATTCCACACAGTTTGTTTATTCAGTGGACAGTCACTTCATTAAAAAATACATGTATAAATATAACCCGCACAGTTCAAGCAGCAGAGGGAACAATATCTAAAAATCGTATTCTTTGAGGGCATCCAGAGGGCTTTATTTTTACAATTTCTCTGCTGGTAGGACATCCAGAGAGTACCTTTACAATAAATCCACTGAAAGGGCATCCAGGGGGCTCTACCTTCAAACTCATCACTGGAAGGTAATCCAGAGGGTAATATCTCCACAAATCATACACTGGAAGGACATCAGTGGGCACAATTTAACATGTCATATACTGAAGGGCCATCCACAGGGTATAACCCTGACAATAAATCAACTGAAATGGCATCCAGAGAGGCACATGTGTACAACTGAACTACTGGAAGGGCATCCAAGGGGCATTATTTTACATTTCATAGACTGTGAGGGCATCCAGTAGTCACTTTGACGTGTTTCAGCCTCTACAAGAGTGGCAATTACAGGCATTTCATGCATTTTCCAGAAAAAGGGCACCAGAGAAGGCCTCTAAAAATGTTATCGCCAGGAGCATTCAAAATGGCACTCCTGCGGCATTTTCTACATACATGGAGATCAAACCCTGATCAGTGAGGTCATAACCCACCTGGCTGTACATCTATGACATTTTCATTACATGCACACTGTGCTTGAAGCATATGGATTTTTTCTAACATAAAGATTTTTATAAGACTAATCTGCTTTTAGACATGATCAGCTGATGACGATACAATGGTTTAGTATCAGAGAAAGTAGACCAAAAGGTGAGCAGGTAAAATAAACAGAAGGTGCTCTGATAAATGGAGCATTGCTGCCTATAGAGGGAGACAGAGAGCATATTACTATCGTCTGCAGAGGATCAATAATAGACAGTCTAGATATTGTTTACAGTCTCGACAGTCTGTGAGGAATTATTCCTGGACTACTAAACACCTGTGAGATAGAAATGGAAAATAGAGGATAATACAAATAAAATCAGCCCTTGGGTTACAGCATTTTGATGCTTACTATTCTGAATGTGAGTCTTAACTATTGAGCTCAGTGGTTTAAAGTGGTCAGGTAACAGTGTTTAGGTAACAAGACTTCTGCTGCATAATCAGCATGCTGATTTGCCGAACAACATACCTTTTGAAGGAGGGACACATGTAAAGCCAAAACTGAAACTAGACACAAAACTTCAGATCATACCTGAACAGCTGAGATCCGTCAGACCGACAGCAAATAAACAATAAAAAGATCCAGAATGGGCTTGACTTTGTGAGTAAATTTACCATCAGCTATGATGCTACTTTTCTGCTTGAGTTTGAAGATGAATCAATATAGCCGTTATTAAAATATACAGAACTTTAGATATTGAAAAAAAAAAAACAATCTCTCAAGGCGCAAGCTGAATGTATCAAATGTTACATCATTTAGGTCTTGTATTTTTACTTTATTATAAGGTTTTATTTTCCCTCAGCCAGTAGAAATGTGATTTTGTCACACTGTAGCTGTTGACTGTTTCCCTTTCTCTTCAGGAAAGGTTTGACCATTGGATTGACAAAAATTGCAGTAGAGAGGCTGGCTATGTCTACCCCTGCTTTGGTTGTTGTTGGTGTAGTGGCAGTGGCATACCAATTAAGCGTAGGTGGAATTAAATCTTTCTCTGTTTCCTTCCTGCTTTGTATAAGAAATGTATGTACATGTAAAATTTGATTGACATACCCCAACACTTTTTCATATATCTTTTTAATATATTGTTTTTTTTTTCTTTAGAGAGGATAGCCACCAAGAGGAAGATGAATTAACTCTGTCAGAAAAATAACTCCAAGACTGCAGATGGACAAAAATGTTGATAAGAGATGATTTTAAAAAAAGTTCAATAAAAAAAGATGACAGACCACACTTGGTATCAGTCTGATTTTCAGTTTAACAGTGTTTTCTGAACTGATCTCAACTGTTGGCTTCATGTTGTACTCTGCTGAAACATCAATTAAAGTCGATGTGGAGGACTCTCATGTGTCTCACTGATTGTTAGAGGATGGTTTTAGCTTCAGTGACCTCAGACTGACATACTTTGGGTTTTTTTCTCACTAAAATTTAATCTATAATAACTGTATATAATTATGTCTTTCTCAAACATATCTATGATGTGATTTAAACTCAAAGATCAATAAGATAATCAAATCCATCCACAGTGATTTCACTGGGCTGAGTCATAGACCAGGTAAGATGAGTTTTGAAAGCCATGACTTACCTTTAGTAGGGCACTATTAAATGTGAAATCATCATTAATGATTATTCAATCAGCTCAAACCATCTCTGCCCCTCTTTAAAAACAAAATGTAAGACCATCCTTAAACAGAAGCTGCTCTGATAAATGGAGCAGTGCTGCCACTAGAGGGGTTAGAGCACATTAGTATCGTCTGCAGAGGATCAACAATAGACAGTCTGGATGTTGTTCACAGTCTCGACAGTCTGTGAGGAGTTATTCCTGGACTACTAAACACCTGTGAGGTAGAAACGGAAAATAAAGGATAATACAAATAAAATCAGCCCTTGGGTTACAGCATTTTGATGCTTACTATTCTGAATGTGAGTCTTAACTAATGAGCTCAGTGGTTTAAAGTGGTCAGGTAACAGTGTTTCGAACTTAAGATCGTTAATACTGGTGAGAACTCACCACAGAGTTTTGTACAAGTCAGAGACAAAAAGCCTGGAGATGCCACTTCATCTGAGTATTCTTTTAAAATCATGGACAAGTAATAATGAAAGTAAAAGTGTTTCTGCATGCCAGTCAGTTTCAGTAACTAAACAGAAACTTTGTATCCAGGCAATTTTTTCCCCCCGAATTACATCGACCAATAAATGCATCCAAGCAAATAAATGTGAACAGAGAAATATGTGAATAGTAAGTTGTGGTATTGATTTACAAAATTCTATACATATGATAACGTTTACCAAAACAAAATTAGGCAATGAAGAAAACAAAACAATTAGATACAAACAAAAACAAACAAGAACAAATGAAGAGGGTAGAGAGGTAGGGGAGAAAGCAAACAAAACAAACTAAAATAAAATAAAATAAATAAATAAGTAAATAGAATAATTAAAAACAAAAAATGATGATAATAACTATAAAGAGACGAGAGCAGAAAGACAAAGAAAAGGGGTAAAGGTAAAACAGTGTAACTATGATCCTGAATGAAACAGACAGGTGTATTTGGCAGGAGTTTTGTGATGAATTAGTTATGGTTATTTTCCTTTGAGATTCAAATTTATTTATTTTTCCCTTCTCCTCTTCACAAACAAGACTTTGTATGTTTATGCTGTTAATGCTGTGACATCAACTCACTTGCAGAGATGGCACTGAGAGTTGCAGAGTATATATGCTTCGATGCAACTGATGATTGTGGGTTGCTGATTGTTGTTTGATTAGCATGTGTTGTGTAAAGAGGTCTAACCATCACATTGATGTTGTTTTTTTCCAGCTTAGCAGTCTTGTTTTCTTGGCAATGGTTAAGGCTGCTTTATTTTTATAACTGCATTTTTGCACTATCTTTGTCTGTGATGCTGCTGTGGCAAAAAAATTTCCCCTCATGGGGGATCAATACAGGAATATTCTATTCTATATTCTTTCATTCTACAAGCAGGAATATTGTGATTTGTTTGGAGTTAGTGTTTAGTTCTTCTAAGTTTCCGAGTATGTAGACGAGGGAGAAAGTGGGGTGTTATGGCCTAGGAATTGGGATAAGGTGGTTGTTGGGGCTACAGAGCCAGAATGCATGGAGGTGTTTGTCGGTGATGTTGAGTGTGCAGTGACTGCAAATGTCTGTGACAGTAAGTCCCATGATGTGCATCTTATGCTGTGTGAGTTGTGTCCTATGGATGATTTTGTACTGTATTAACTGAATTTTTATATTGGTGGACATGGAGAATATGTTTGAGCAGACTGTATTCCAAAATTGATTGGTAGTGTGGATGTTGAGGTCTCTTTCCCATTGGTTTATTGGTATGTGATGTGAGTTGTTGTTGGAGGTTATGAGTTTATATAATTCAGTCAGGACCACTTTAGTCAAAATTAATTATTTATTACAAGCAAACATTTTTACATTGGTGGTATGGCTCTGTTCTGAGAGTTCCCTGCCCTTCTATGCACTTGCATGGAAGGGCACGGCTATAAGAGGGGAGAGCTCCTCCCCTCCCTTTCATGTGCATAAATGAAAAGCCAAGGCAGAGAAAGCAGCAGCAAATGACTAAAATTAAGATAAATAAATTAAAATCCCCTCACAGAACAGCGCAAGCATCAATGACAATACATATGACACTGGTAAGATCAGACACAACACAAACAGGAGGAGTTGGGGTGGAGGTGGGTTGCAGAGTGGTTGCAGCAGGAGAAGCAGTTTAAATAGGGAGCCATTTTGACATTTGCAAATTGGATGCATAGAGGGCGATCACCTGAGCTGTCAGCTGACTGAGGGCTGGCTTAAGATCAGGTGACTGTAGCCTTTAGCTTGACTTGTGTCCTGCCTGAGCTACCGCAATGCTCAATTTTTGAGAGAATTTTTGTGTTATTTTTAATGGATTGTATCTAATAGTGGTGGGTGTTCTCGGTGGATGTTTGTGACATTTGCTTTAGTTTTGATTGATTCTTTGAGTTCGATATATTGGAGGAAGTGTTTCTTATCAATGTTATATGTGTCAGCAAGCTTTTTGAATGTTAGGAAGGTGTTGTTGAAGACGTGGTGGAGGTGTGTGATTGCCTTTTCTTTCCATTTAGTTCCTGTTCAGGGTGATTTGTTGGCAGTGAAGTCAGGGTTATTCCACATTGGTGTTTGGGTTGTGGATGAGAATGTAGTGTTTGTTATTCTGTTGATCTTCTACCAAGCTGTCAGAGTTTTTGCTGTTGCAGGGTTTTTGAAACAGTTGTGATGTTGATTGTGACCTTCCCATGGTGCACTGTGCAGAGCTCTCTGTGCCTCCTGAAAGGGTTTAGGTGTTTCAACATGCTGCTAATGAAGGTTTATTCTGACTGAGATATTTGGAGTCTTAATAAATGAGTTAGCATCAACTGAGAAAGTATGTGGGAGCTTTTTCTTGTTAGCCTGCAGAGTTTCATCATTTGCTGAAAGTCTGATTGAAAATGTTGCTCCATGGTCATGCTGAGGAGAAAGAAACTAGATAAAGGGCACAGATAGACTGGACAGACTGTGGGGATCTGTGGTGGTCTTTGGGCTGGGCTCTATGGTGTCAGTAGCCAATTCTACATGTCAGCATATATTCTTTTAAAAATGAGGTTTTCCTTCTCTGTTTCAGTACATATATCCTGTCCACAACAACTCAGAAACCACTGAAAATGTGCACATGTGCATGCAGGACCAGTAGGTGGTGTTACTGTGTCACATAATCCCCATAAGAATGTGTACATTGTGTGCAGAATTATTAGGCAAGTTGTATTTTTGAGGATAAACTTTATTTTTGAACAACTGCAGTGCTCTTGGTCAATCCAAAATGTTAATAAACCCCAAACCTGAATATTTAGGGGAGTAAAAGTGAGATTTTGGCTTCCTTAGGAGAATATCTATGTGTGCACAATTATTGGGGGCAGCTATCAGTGTGCAGAATTATTATGCAACTAAATTGAGAATGAAAAATTGTCCATCTCACTTGTTTGTTTTCACTTGTTAAAGTGAGAATGATAAACAAACAACTCAATTTACAAATAAAAATTGTTGAAATTTAAAAAAAAAAATCTGTGACCAATGTTACTACCCTTCTTTTCAATAACAGTCATAAGCCTTCCATTCATGGAGTCTTTCAGTTTCTTGATCTGTTGACGATCAACTTTTTGTGTTGCAGTAACCAAAGCCTTCCAGACACTGTTCCAGACACTGTTCAGAGAGGTGTACTGTCTTCCTTCACTGTAAATTTCCCGTTTAAGAAGGGCTCACAAGTTCTCAACAGGGTTTGGGTCAGGTGAAGAAGGAGGCCATGTCATTACTCTTTCGTTTTTAAGGCCTTTACTGGCGAGCCACATAGTAGAGTACTTTGTTGCATGCAATGGAGCATTGTCCTGCATAAAAATCATGGTTTTCTTAAAGGATGCAGACTTTTGCCTGTACCACTGCTTGAAGAAAGTGTCTTCTCAAAACTGGCATTGGATTTGGGAGTTGATTTTAAGTCCATCTTTAACCCAAAAGGTCCAGCTAGCTCATCTTTAATAATACCAGCCCATACCAGTACCCCGCCCCCACCTTGCTGGTGTCTGATTCGAAGTGGAGCTCTGTGCCCATTACTGATCCAGCCACGGGTCCATCCATCTGGTCCGTCAAGAGTCACTCTCATCCCATCAGTCCATAAAACCTTTGAAAAATCTCTCTTCAGATATTTCTTGGCCCAGTCTTGACATTTCAACTTGTGTCTTGTTCAGTGGTGGTCAGATTTCAGACTTCCTTACCTTGGCCATGTCTCTGAGCACTGATCATCTTGTACTTCTGGGCACTCCAGGTAGGTTGCAGTTCTGGAAAATGACAGCACTGGAGGATATTGGGTTCCTGGTAGCTTTACGTTTGTGTCCTCTCAAATCTTTGGCAGTTAATTTGCGTCTTTTTTTCTTAACACATTTCTTGTGACCCTGTTGACTATTTGCATCAAAATGTTTGCTGATTCTGTGATCACGCCCAAATATCTAAGCAATTTCAAGAGTGCTGCATCCCTCTGAAAGACTTTTACATTTTTTGACTTTTCGGAGTCACTTAAATCTCTTTTTTGGCCCATTTTACCTGAGGAAAAGAAGCTGCCTAATAATTATGCACACCTTGATTTAGGGTTTTGATCTCCTTAGGCCCCAGCCTCCCTCATCACACTAATACACATTACCTGATATGCTTATATCCAACAAGCATTCAAGTTTATACAGCTTGGAGTTGGAAAATATGCATAAAAATGATGATATGATCAAAATACTCACTTGCCTAATAATTGTGCACACAGTATAATTAGCTCAGTGGATAAAAGTGGTCAGGTAACAGTGTTAAGGTAACAAGACTTCTGCTGCATAATCAGCATGCTGATTTGCTGAACAACATACCTTTTGAAGGAGGGACACATGTAAAGCCAAAACTGAAACTAGACACAAAACTTCAGATCATACCTGAACAGCTAAGATCCGTCAGACCGACAGCAAATAAACAATAAAAAGATCCAGGATGGGCTTGACTTTGTGAGTAAATTTACCATCAGCTATGATGCTACTTTTCTGCTTGGGTTTGAAGATGAATCAATATAGTCATTATTAAGATGCTGCTAACAGAACTTCAGATATTAAAGAAAAAAAGTTAAATTCTCCCAAGGTGCAAGCTGAATGTATCAAATGTTACATTATTTAGGTCTTGTATTTTAACTTTATTCTAAGGTTTTATTTTCCCTCAGCCAGTAGAAATGTGATTTTGTCACACTGTAGCTGTTGACTGTTTCCCTCTCCTTTCAGGGATAATTTGACCATTGGATTGACATCAATTGCAGTGAAGGGTCTGGCTATATCTACCCCGGCTTTAGCTGTTGCTGGTTTTGTGGCAGTGGCAGTGGTATACAAATTAAGTGTGGGTGGAGTTGAATCTCTCTCTGTTCTCTTCCTGCTATGTATGAGAAATGTATCCAAATGTGAAATTTGATTTACATACCCCTACACTTTTTCAGATCTTTTTAATATATCATGTCTTTGTTTTTTGTTTCTTTTTTTTTTAGAAAAAGAAGAAGCACCCAAGAGCAAGAGGAATTAACTCTGTAAGTAAAAAAAAAAAATGCAAATGGACAAAAATGTTGATAAGAGATAATATAAAAAAAGTTCTATAAAAACAGATGACTGTACACACAGGGTGTCAGTCTGATTTGTACTTTGACAATGTTTTCTGAACTGATCTCAACTGTTGGCTTCATGTTGCACTCTGCTGAAACATCAATTATAGTCGATGTGGAGGACTCTCCTGTGTCTTAAGGATTCTTATAGGATGGTTTTAGCTTCAGTGACCTCAGACTGACATACTTTGTTTCTTTCTCAGTGAAATTTATTGTATAATAACTGTATACGATTATGTTTTGCTCAAACATATCTGAGACATGATTTAAACTCAAAGGTCAATAAGATCAACTTATCCATCCACAATTATTTCACTGAGCTGAGTCATAGACTGGGTAAGATGAGATTTGAAAGCCATGACTCAGTTTAAATGAAGAATGCTGTTTACTGCCACACCTGAGTGAGGATAGACCAACAAAAGATCATCTCACCTGAACCAAGAGACAAATCTACGTCACTACAGAAAGATGAAACACAGAAAACCATGAGGTTAACTCTTTGATGGTCATCTTTCAACTTTGGTAGGGCACTATTAAATGTGAAATCATCATTAATGATTATTCAATCAGCTCAAACCATCTCTGCCCCTCTTTAAAAACAAAATATAAGACGTTCCTATGTTGCACTGTGCAGAGCTGTTTGTGCCTCCTTTGAGATTCAAATTTATTTATTTTTTTCCCTTCTCCTCTTTACAAACAAGACTTTATATGTTTATGCTGTTAATGCTGTGGCATCAACTCATGGGCAGAGATGGCGGTGCGAGTTGTGGAGTACATATGCTTAGATCCAACTGATGATTGTGGGTTGCTGATTGTTGTTCCATTAGTATGTGTTGTGTAAAGAGATCTAACCATTGCACTGATATTGTTTTTTTCTGTTTTTCCAGCTTAGCAGTCTTGTTTTCTTGGCGATAGTTAAGGCTATTAGCAGGAATATTGTGATTTGTTTGGAGTTAGTGTTTAGTTCTTCCAAGTTTCCGAGTATGCAGAGGCAGAAAGAGGGGTGTTATAGCATGGGAATTGGGATATGGTGGTTGTTATTTGTTTCCAGAAGTTGTGAATGGATGTACAGAGCCAGAATGCATGGAGGTGGTTGCCAGTGGTGTTGAGTGTGCAGTGACTGCAAATGTCTGTGACAGTAAGTCCTATGATGTGCATCTTATGCTGTGTGAGTTGTGTCCTATGGATGATTTTGTACTGTATTAACTGAATTTAAGTATTGGTGGACATGGAGAATATGTTTGAGCAGACTGTATTCCAAAGTTGATTGTTAGTGTGCATGTTGAGGTCTCTTCCCCATTTGTTTATTAGTATGTGATGTGAGTTGTTGGAGGTTATGGGTTTATATAATTCAGTCAGGACCACTTTAGTCAAAATTAATTTTTTATTACAAGCAAACATATTAAATTGGTGGTATGGCTCTGTTCTGAGAGTTCCCTGCCCTTCCATGCACTTGCATGGAATACCACGGCTATAAGAGGGGAGAGCTCCTCAACAGCTCCTAAACTGATTTTGAGTGTTATGTTGTTAGTATAAAACTGGTGATATTGTTATTTTGACGGATTGCTGCTATTAGCGGTTCAATGAAAAGTGCAAATAGTGATGGTGATAATGGACATCCTTGTGTAGTGAGATGAGCTTGTTTGTAATAACTGTTGCTTTTGGTTGGTTGTAAAGTGTTTTTATCCACTGAAAATATGATTGTCCAAAACCAAATTTTCAAGTGAGTGAAATAGGCCTGTAACTTGAGCAGTGGGTTGGGTCTTTATTTGTTTTAAGTAAAACTGAAATGAGTGCTGTGTTCATGTGATATGGAATTGATTGATTGCTCTTAATTTCATCTGCCAGCCTAATAAAAAGTGGTGAGATTGTTTTCCAGAATTTTTTGTAGAATTCAGTGGGATATCCATCAAGTCCTGGGGCTTAATTGTTTGTCATGGTCTGTAATGCTTTTTCATATTCAGTGGGAGTTAGTGGAGTGTCCATGATGTCTGCCTATTCTTTCGTTAATGATGTTAATGTGATATTGTTTAGAAAATGTTTTATTCCCTTTGGGTCTTTGTCTTTATTGTTGCTCTATAACTCGTGGTTATATTGTCTGAATGTATTATTTATATTTTGAGGGTCATTAGTGATGTTTCCTGTTAAGTCTGTTATTGTTGTGATCAGAGATTTTTCTTTGTTGGGTTCCAGTAGGTTAGCTAAGTATTTTCCAGTTTTGTCATGTGTTCAAAGTGTTAGTATCATTGTCTGTGTTGCATAAACAACACGCCTCTTGAAGGAGGGACACATGTAAAAACAAAACTGAAACTAAACACAAAGCTTCAGATCACACCCAAATAGCTAAGATCCTTCAGACCGACTGCAAAGAAACAATAAAGAGATCCAGGATGGGTTTGACTTTGTGAGTAAATTTACCATCAGCTATGATGCTGCTTTTCTGCTTGAGTTTGAAGTGAACTAGAGTCATGTAGATTAAGGGGTAGGTTAAAAAAGATGAAAAAATACAGTCATTATTAAAATGCTGCTAACAGAACTTCAGATATTTAAAAAATAAAATAAAATTCTCTCAAGGCACAAGCTGAAAGTATCAAATGTTACATCATTTAGGTCTCATATTTCAACTTTATTCTAAGGTTTTATTTTCCCTCAGCTAGTAGAAATGTGATTTTGTCACACTGTAGCTGTTGACTGTTTCCCTCTCCTCTCAGGAAAGGTTTGACCATTAGTTTCACATCAATTGCAGCAAAGAGTCTAGCTATGTCTACCCCCGCTTCGGTTGTGGTTGGTGTTGGTGTTGGTATTCTGGCAGCTGCAGTTAATACAAATATAAAGTAGGTGAAGTTAATTCTCTCTCTGTTTCCTTCCTGCCTTGTATGTGAAATGTACGCAAATGTAAAACCTGATTGACCCTACACTTTTTCAGATATCTTTTTAATATATCATGTCTTTGTTTTTTGTTTATGATTTTAGAAAAAAGAAGATGCAACCAAGATCAAGACAGATCAACTCTCTAAGGAAAAAACTCCAAGACTGCAGATGAACAAAAATGTTGATAAAGGATGATTTTAAAAAAAGTTCAATAAAGATGACAGACCACACATGGTATCAGTCTGACTTGTAGTTTGACAATGGGCACAAAATCACCCTCTTTTAAAACAAAATATAAGACCTTCCCATGGTGCATTGTGCAGAGCTCTCTGTGCCTCCTGAAAGGGTTTAGGTGTTTCAACATGCTGCTAATGAAGGTTTATTCTGACTGAGATATTTGGAGTCTTAATACATGAGTTAGCATAAAGTGAGAAAGTATGTGGGAGCTTTTTCTTGTTAGCCTGCAGAGTTTCATCATTTGCTGAAAGTCTGATTGAAAATGATGCTCCATAGTCATGCTGAGGAGAAAGAAACTGGATAACGGGCACAGAGAGACTGGACAGACTGTGGGGATCTGTGGTGGTCTTTGGGCTGGGCTCTATGGTGTCAGTGGCCAATTCTACATGTCGGCATATATTCTTTTAAAAATGAGGTTTTCCTTCTCTGTTTCAGTACATATATCCTCTCCACAACAACTCAGAAACCACTAAAAATGCGCACATGTGCATGCAGGACCAGTAGGTGGTGTTACTGTGTCACATAATCCCCATAAGAATGTGTAGTTTGGATTATATCTGGTTTCCTCTTTGCATGGTTCAATTTTAACCTGCTTTTATGGATGCAGGGTGATCACAGATGAACTGTGATTTTGTGCCCATGCAGTGATTTCCACTACAGAGTCCTGTTTGTTTTTAATGCAGTACTGCCTGAGGACCAGAAGATCAGGACCACCCAGTCTTGGTTTTGGTCCTTGTCCCTTTTGTACAGAGATTTCTCCAGATCCAGGTAGAATTTTTTTTTTTTTTGTAAACCTTAGTGTGCCCCCTCTTCTCAAGATTGTGAAAAAATACTCAGTTCTGCTTTTTAGATTCTCAGTAAGGGAGGGACTTGTACTCAGCAAACTGAAACTAAACATCTAGTCACAGATTTTTTCTACACAACTCAGCAGCTTCTGATCTTATTTACAAGAAAAACGACAAATCAAGGATGGCTGTGACAATGTGAGTAATTTAATCTCCGTCTAATACTCTTTATGGTAAACTAATAATGAGTCAGAAAGTTTGATTTAACAATGAGTCTATATGTATTTTCTTAAAGGCATAAACTGATCGACTGTTTCTTCTCTTTTTGTAGGGAAAGTTTTAAGTGCTCTCTTTTTCAGATAAGTGGTTTGTCTTTATCTAATCGCTCTTTGCTGATGATCGGAGCTGTGATTACAGTGGTGGCTGCAGCATGGATGTATTTTAACTGGGTGGGTGAAGATAAAATCTCCTCATAAAATGGATTAAGAAATCACATGTGAAATCTGACTTCCAAGCACACTACACACTCAATATTTTTTTCCCTTCTTGTCATTGTAGAAAATTGAAGAGACTGTTGGGAGCAAAACAAAATGACTTGTCATGAAATCTCAACAAAAGCATCGTTGGAACCCTGACCCTAAACTCTGTAATAAAATCAACATCGGTAGAAACTCTGTGGTATTAATGCTTATTTTTTATTTCCACATTTATGACATGTTTTCAGAATAACAGGAAAGAAAGTCTTCAGAGGCTGCATGTTAAACTCTTCATGTATGACTGGTATAATGTCGTATTTGATCCAAAAAGAAAATTTCAAGCTTCAGGCTGACTCTCAGTAGAATTAATGCTTGATTACATGTTCCTTATTTCACTTCATTTAACTCTGTCCAGAAGTTTATGAGAAAAGCAGAAGTTATTAGGGATTTCAGTCCTGGTGTTGATTACAAAGAGGAATGCAAACTGAAAGTACACAATACTTATTAACCCTTTAAAAGTCCTCTTTGACCTTTGTTTGACCCAAACCCTTTCATACAGAGATTTCTCCAGATTCCTCCAGAATCATTGAACTATTTGCTCACGCAGTCTCTCACAGAGTGGTGACATCTCCAATCAGAGGAACATCTCCAACAAATGAGATTAATTTCCAACAGGTTAGTAACATGATTGAGTATGAAAAGGACATTCAGAGAGGCTGAGTCTCCTAGAAAGGAAGAAAGGAAGACTGGAAGAGGTTCACCGCTCTGTGAGAGACTGAGTGAGCTAATAATTCAAGAGTTTCAGAATAATGTTCCTCAGTGTCACATGTGAAAGAATTTGTGGATTTCATCATCTACATAACATAATATTATTAAAAGACTCAGAGAATCTGGAGAAATCTCTGAACAACAGGGACAAGGACCAAAACCAAGACTGCATGGATTCAAAGTCATCTCCAAAAAGAACATGGTTGATCACTGCATCCGCAAAAAACTGGACCATGCAAAGAGGAGACAAGATCTAAACATGGTTCAAAAACACCAGAGACTTCTGGTACTTTTTCTGGAGATAATGTCATTTAGTACTTCTCTCTAAAAGGATGCACATTTGAGAGTAAGGACAACACAAGTAGAGTGGAAAACTGTTTTGTGGTCTGACATATGAAAATTTGACACTCGTTTTGGAAATCACGGATACTGCGTCCTCTCACACAGAGTTGGTCACAGAGCAGGCAGGTGGTCTTTTATCAGCAAATTAGATTTAGTGGTATGACTGTGTGCTGGGAGCTCCCAGCCCTTCCATGTGCAGATGTCATAATGTTAAAGCCTGAGGAAGGGAGAGTCCATCCCTCCTTTGTTTCATGTGCACACATAAAAAGCCAAGGATAGCAGGAAGACCATCAACTAAGACCTGTAAGTTACAAAACAAAGTAGGCATCAGAGACAGAGACAATCGACAATCTATATGACACTGGTAAAATCAGACACAGCATAAAAAGGAGGAGTTGGAGTAGAGGCAGACAGAACAACAGCAAAGACAACCAGAGGTGTAGAACAAAACATCAGTGAAATCCCTCTAAGAGAACAATCATTTTGAACTGAGACACTTTGTTGTTAGACACAATGTGAGAGGACAGGAACAGGAAGGACCACCTATAACCTGTGGCAAACACCTGCAGAACAAGACACTCTGTCACACTCAGCTCTGTGTGTGAGTGTGTGTGTGTGTGTGTTTGCAGTTTATTCCACTACCAGGTCCACGTCCTCTATCATACATCCATCATCAAACTCCATGCTGGAACCCTGAATTCTATGCACATGAGGTTTCACCTGCACAGTTCCAGATAGGATGGGGTTTGAGAGCTTGTTGTTTAGTGTGGGATGTTGGCTTTTAATAAACAGGATCACAGCTGTTTATGTTACAAAACGTGATTCCAGCAGTTCTTCCCCCTACCACCAGATGTCCTCAGAGTTCCTCTCCTGATCTGTAACTGTGTTCCAACCCTGAAGTTGAGGACATACTGACCTAATTTTGGTTTCCAGATATTTTCCCTGTGTCTGTACCTTCACTGAAACCTTAAATTACTCTGCATCACATAAAATCTGTACTGGCTGTTTTTTTTTCTCTTGTTTAGTGGCTGTAGTTATTCATGGTCTATGCTTGAGTCTGTCCCTTCACCACTCTATGTAATAGTTGATAAAAGAGAAATCGTGGCCTTTTTAAAGTAATTTTCCCCCGCAGTTTTTTAACCCTGCTTTTGTCATCTAAAGGTGAAGACATACCGGTTGGTTTAACAAAAGAAGGACATGAAGACATCCCTTTGGACTGTTGGTGATCCTTTATATTTATTCTGTATTTTATGCTTCGATATCCTAGCAATGTGTTCGTTTAACTAAAATTTGCTCAAGTTTTAAGTTTCAAAGATTGGTTTATTGATTACTTTGAATTAAAATACGTTGCGTTTAAAAAAAAAACTACAATATTTAAAAAGTAAGAGACTAGAGGAAAATCAACGCAATGTATATGACCTTTATATGAGGTGAGACTGAGGGCTTGATCATTAGACTGTGTGTGTTTTGCAATCTGTATTTGTTATGGCATGTTTCGTTAATGGTGTCTCACAGCCTGCAGGTGTTTTCCCACCTGGGAAGTCTTGCAGGGACAGATTGGGGTGGTAGTGATGTCTGTTACAGATCCTTGTTTGTGTCTCAACATCCCACTGACCTGAGTGAGAGAAATCTGACCTCTGCTTTATCTGCAACATCTTTGTCTGAACCAAACAGAGAAAACACCCCTGTCAGCTCTGATTACTGAACTCAGAGAGACTGAAGGAGTGCAGAGAGGTAGCAAATGCAGCTCTTTATGCAGGCCACACCTGTCTACCCGCTCCATCCTTCAGAGATGATCAGAGGGGAAACGCATCAGGCTGTTTCAATCAGTAAAAAGTTTTCATTAAAAAAAGTTCTCAAAGGTGATCATTTGACTCTTAATTTTTTTCTCTCTGCAAAAATAAAAGGTGCTCATCTCAAAGCTTTGTGATTTTTTTTTTATTCACCCCTATCAAATTCAATTCTTTTCTTCTCATGCAATCAATAACTTGTTCTGTTTTCCAGCTTTACCTAACATCTATAAACACACACTTCAAAGAGTATCCTACAATGTGGTTTTGAGTCTGTTCGCTTCTGTCTGAGGACGGTTTGCAGCATCAGTTGGCTCAGGAAGCTGCCATCTTGTCTTCACACGGCTGCATGTTGCATTTATTTCTGCAGGACAGCACTGAAAGTGTTTGCAGATGAAATGAGGCAGAATGAGGAATGAGATGTGACTGACACAACGTGTAAAGTCCACATATTAGGCCTCTGGGTGAACGTTAGTGAGCACTAAGATCAGATTTACTGCAGACCTGATGTCTACTTTCAGCAATGATTTAACTGATCCAGCATCCCCCCACATGACAAATGTGTACATACTGTAGTTGTGTATTAAGGAATCTGATTTAATCACAGCCGGTATAATGTATAACCTGAGTGGTAAAATATTAAACAGCTGTAGACATCTTTGAACCTCCTGAGCTGCTGAGTAATTCTCTGAACACCAACAGCAGGTCTCTGAAACAACATCCTGTGCCCAGAAAATCTCCAACAAGGACTCTGCTGCCACATAAAAACTAATCATAATGCTGATAGACAGATTTTCATTCCTATAATAACTTTTTTGCTTTATCAATGTGATAGAGAGCTGATCTGATTCTGTTATTTTTGGAATCAACAGCATGATGGAGCCCTAAAGTAAATATTTCTACAGTGTTGTGGATAGTGGCCTGTATGACACAAACTTGCACATACACTGAAGATAGTTCTCATGTGTGTTTAGGTAAATATCTTGTTCACACTAGTAAATGTGCAAAACTCAGTTTTCTTGATGACAAGTGGAATTACTCCCACTCCTACAGGTTTAAAACTCATGCACAAAGATTATTAATTTGTCTCCAAGATAAAAATGATTCCTTCATAAATAACTTCTTGTGTTGGTTAAATGATACCTTGGAAGTATGAAATGATAAACTACTCTCAAAAATATATGACATGCTTATGAAGGTTGATAAATGCACACAGAGTATCTTGTGCTCACATGACAAAAATGTATTTGAGAAACTTACCCTGTGTGCAGACGAGGATCACTTGTGTGCATAAAACCTTAAACTTGTGGACACCACAGATTAACTTGCATACAAAGATATCAACCTGCCTCTCTCTACTGTGCACAATCTTGTGTGCACTAGAAAATAACTTGTTCCCACAGCTTGAACCCTCTGAAAAGAAATCCCCCCAGGCTCCGATGTCACATAAGTTGTTTTATGTATGTGTGTGCAAAATAGTTCAATGATATGCACAAGATAATAAACCTGCGCAAACTTGATAAATAACTCATTCAGACAAAAACTTGTTTTATACCTACAATTTAATTACTTGTGTTCACAAGGTGGTTTACATTTCCTCTACTTTTACTTATGCACAAAGAGTTATCTTGTGTTGATAGGTTATCTTGTGCCCAGGGAAAACTTTGAACATTATGCGATTTCAGGGGCTCTGAAGATTGTCCATGCCCACCTCTTCTGGGGATTGACAATGCAGGACATAGGGCAACCTTGTCACTAGTTTGTGGATGTTTTAGATCAACATAATTATTGTTTGTTTTCTTTGTATTCAAATAAGGACATCAGTGGCATAGCAGTTTTAGCGTGCACCCCATGTAAGGCTGTATTCCTCAGCCATGGTCCCTTTATTGCCTTTTGTATCATATTTGATACATACTTTTATTTACTTCTATCAAATCAATATGATCAACAAATTACTAAAAAACACCTGAATACAGTCCGATAAATGTTAAAAATGTCCTCTGGTTTTCAGTAGTAAGTGAAATAAACATTTCAGCTCCCAAAAATTTTGAATTTTCTGGCCATAATTTGTGGTTTTAGGCATTAAAGGGTTAAGAAATCAAGAAGGTGAATCACAGTGTCACTTATTTGTTAATTTGTATGTTTTAGTGTTTTCAGGGAGGTGTAGAAATGAGAGGAGTATCGAAAGTACAGTTACTCTGATTACATTTTACTCAAGTAGAAATAAAACTACCAGCCTCTTATTTTACCCAAGGGAAACCTTACTGTACTTGAAATGTTCTTCAGGTCCTGAGTATATACCATTAACTCATGCTGGTGGGGTTGGGGATCGTAAAAATATTCCCTTTCGGATATGCAAAAGCACAATAATCAAGTTAATAGTTGAAATAAAACTGAAAATATTACTCTGTGAAATGGCTTTTGATTCTGCATCCCTCTAAGGTGAAGTTATGAAATATTTTTACAGTGTCTCTTTTGCATTTTGTATGGTCCTTCTACAAAAGAGTCCTGACTGGCTGTGCAGAGGATCATTATGATAGCAATAACTGCTCATTTGAGGGAGCGTCTCAATGTTCTTGTCTTCAATTAAGTATAGTGCAGTATTTTGACTAGAATTCAGATAAATTCACTTGGTGTGATTTGATATTTTTGCAGTGTAGTGTTTTTGTTTTTACTCAGTACTTGATGCAATGCAAAATGTAGGGGGTATACACATTCAAAATAAATCTATTGCGGTTCAAAACCACTCAAAAGAGTACAGGTTCACAAAAAACTAAACACAAATAAAACTCAATCACAGTGAGATAAATAGATTTAATTGTAACCCTTCAAAGCTGTGCACATGTTGAATCTCCCTTCTGGGATCAATAAAGTTCTTCTTATCTTTTTTATGATATGTTAGTGAAGTCTGCAGACAATATCAAACAGATTGTAAATAGCTCAGCATCCATGTTTGATCAAACTCAAAGGTTATCAGATCCTTCAAATCTAATTACAAACTGTGACTAGTTAATCTTCAACCTCTGTGAAGCTGCCTCAGTCTGCAACAGAATTACACACATGCAATACACATCTAATATGCACAGAGACATATTGACAAAACATAACTTGTATAGATGTGAATGTGCACTATGATATGAGCAATAAAATCCAACAGTCAGAAAAGTATGTGCATTGTCTACAAAACCTGCAAATGGTATTTAAACAACCAGCTGATGGAACATTTGATTTGTCTAACTCTGCAGAAGCGAACCACCTCCCTGTTTGCAGAGGTCTAACCTTTGTATGGAGAGAACACTGCGGATCTTCAGGAACGACCTTTGCCTCTTGAGTTTAGTGTGGTATAAGTGATAAATGTTGCCAAGTTCTTTCAGGCTAATATTGGCAAGGTTTAACAATAATTTCTAGAATGCTGAGGTTGCCAGAGAAAGAGATCATCGTAAATACACTTGATGTTATAACCCAGCACTAAAACTACAGGCTACTACAAATTTAAACCAAACTGTGTATTTAAGTTTTTAAACTGACAAAGTTCATAAGAGTCTAATCTTTACTCTCATATCTCACCAGCTGCTCAAAAAGGAATCACTCTGCAAAGAAAGTGAGACCTGAATGAGAAAATTTAGCGTGCAAAATCACTTCTCACCTTAATGCCTTCCCGCTGTAAAAGATCATACAACAATGCACACAGCTGCTCTCTGACTCTGATGCTTTTAAACTTGTCATGTCTGCATGTTTCTATGTGGTAAGAGAAAGCCAGGGCACGAACATGAACTTTAACTTGACTTTATTGGTTAAATGAATCCACAACCGCTGACTTTTGAACTGTCATACATCTCATGGTCTGTTTGACCAGAGAACACAAAGTAATCTGTGAAATGCAAACAGGTACTGTGTGGTTAAACTGACTTTTCAGAAATATTCACAGTGATATTTATCAGACCGTTTGGCTCGTAGGTGAAGAGAAACAGATTATTTTATGTGTAGTGTTCTGACAAAAAACATGATTTAATATCATGGTTATGAATCCTTCACTTTTAAAAGAAGGTATTGTTAAGACACATAAAACAGATTAATATGGTTGTGATAAAAAGGTTGCTGTGATATCTGGAGCATTAGCTGCTTGTAATTGTTAATATTATGAGTAAGCTGTCATACATGTTCATGCAGAGATGTATTTTATCTGGTTTTGTAGGAAGCAAAAACATTTGTGCAAATTAACTGACCTTGTGCATTAATTAATGAATTAATGATAAAGCATGTAATGAACATGGCATTTTAAACAGGTGATATAGCATAAAAGAAATGCAGAGTGACCTCTTTTCATCTCAAACTTAAGCCATCACCAACCTCAATCACAGTTTTTGAAAGCATTGAAAGCTTTTTGAAAGCGTGAAAGCTTTAAAAAAAAACTCTTTACTGATTGTACAGATTACATTTAGTCTTTGTTACATATTTAGATTTTAACAAATAAACATGCAGCATAAAATATTAGAACATATTCAAAGATGCAGCTGGATGAACATAGAATTACAGGCTGTATTATGCATATTATGTGTATGGTGAAATGTTTTTTTGGTCATAAAATGCTTGTGCTGTTGACCCTCTGGGCCATTGCTTTATTACACAAATGCCCATTTACACAGCATTATAATGGAAATGATAGACCTTCTCAAAATACTGTCAAAAGGATCTCATGTATGTTGTTTTCACCAAAAAATCTAGTGAATATAAGGACCATCACTGTTGGAGAGATGCAGTCAAGATCTGGAATTAACCTTACATTTTTTCAAGCACAAGTAAATAGTCCCTTTTGTCACACTGTATTCATGCCCTTGCTACCATGAAGGAAAACAACATCCCCTTTGGAGGAGTCAGTTAAAAGGTCAAAGTAATCAGCACCTTGTGTCAAACAGAATCAAAATATCTACCCTGATGCGTTGAGTTTGGACTAACAGCTACGAGCTAAGCATACAGGTGCAGCTTGTCAGACTGATGTCACTGAGCACCTGCATCACACAAGCTAACAGGGTGCTATTTAGGAGTATATGATGATCACAGTGCTGTTCAATCAGAGAGGTTAGCTGAATAAGTGGAAACTGAGTGTAGGTCGGTCAGCTTTTAGAAAGACTCAAAGACAGGTGGACTTGAGTCAATCATTTCTGGCATAGCTTACAAGTTACAGTACTTATGAAACAGAGAAGGCAACTGAGGTGAAACTCCTGAAAAGTGTAAATGCTGCAGCATTAATCTGGGATCCATGAACCACAGTGACTGAACAAATTTACCTGCGTCTGTGAGAATTTCTTGAAATTGTAAAAATTGACTTAAAAAGTTGTTTCGAAATGCAAAATACTGAAATTCCAAGTAAGCATTAAAAAAGGTGATTTATCATGTTTAACTACTGAAATTTACCCAACAAACTCAATTTAGAAATTAATACTGACAACACTGATACAATCAAATCCTTTAAAAAGCTCAATTATTTTCCTGATCAGATTTAGTTCAAAATACTTTTTACTCTTATATCTGGTGATTTTTTTTAAAATGAAAGCATTTTAGACACTACAAGCCCAAATTTTCTAACTTACGAAGGATAGTTTTATCATAATTTAATGAAGCATTAACACTACAGGTCATGCCAATAAACTCCATAATTAAACCCTGACTTAAAAAAAATAATAATTATACTGAGAGAGTTCAAAGAATTTGATCCATTGAGTTTAAAATGAGGACAAAAGACATTCACTGAGAGCGCTGATAAGATATCTGAAGATTAGATACAATATTCTCATTAATGTCATTAATGTAAAGCGATGATCCCAGGTTAGGTACACCAGGACAGCGATAGACTAGTATGAAGATGTTCACAGAGCAGGTAGATGGGCTTTTATGTGGTTCCACAACTCAGTGGGATCTTGTAAAAGGGCAGGAAGTCTGTCTCTGTTGAAGTAGGCAGCCACGCCCACAGTAGCAGCCACCACGATGGGCCCCAGAAAAGATCTGCTGGGTTCTGGTTCCTGGCAGGGTCGCGTTTGCATGGGTCGAGCCACTCTCTCCCACTGAGATAGGATGGCCTGACGGGCCCCTGCCCACTTCCCTGGCCCTCGGAGGCGATACTGATATGGCGTGCAGGGACCCAGCAGCACATTCAATCCTATCTTAGGATCAGTCAGCAGCAGCCTTGGGATGCTAGGTCGGACCCCCACCAACTCTGCGATCTCATCCATGTAGCTGACGTAGTCCACCTGGATGGTGTGTCTCTGACTGCTCACGTATCTGATAAATACATAACAAGTTAACATCCAAGATCAATAAAAGCTGAGAGAGCTGTGTTCATACTATCAATGTAAACTACAATGAAGCCTCTGTGTACCTCATCATTAACAGTGAAATTGAGACTCACCAAAATCTAATGATGAGTAAACCAGAGTGAAGCCACTGCATAACTTGCTATTTACAATTATTTACAATGAAACTCAGCAGAAACAGATGAAGACTCAATCCAACCACAGACTGTGTGAAACTCACTATTTACAGTAAAACTAAGATACAACACAAACTGGTTAAACCTACTTATTACAGTGGAGCTGAGACTCGTCATTGACACCTTAACAGAAAGCCAAAGTGAAACCTCTGTGTAATTTGCAATGAACAGTGGAACCATGACCCACTAAAAACAGATGAACAGTAAGTTTGAGCAGAAACTCTGTATAACCTTCTATCTTTGGTAAAACTGAGACCCACCGAAAACTGATGATCTTTAAGCCTGTCACTAATTTTAAACAGTGAATCTAAGACTCATCCCAACTAGGTGTACAGGAAGCCATTGCAAAGCTATTGCATAACTTACTATTTCCAGTAAAACTGAGACTTACCATACACTAATTTACAGTGAACTTTAAAGAAGCGTCTGTTAGACATACTTTTTACAATGATACTAAGACTTACTGCTAAGTCTTAGTATCATTAAAGTAAAACTGAGACTGTCCACAAACAAACCTCAGCTTGACCCACTAATTGTAGTGAAACTGAAACTGGGCAAAAACAGACATAGGGTAAGTTAAATTGAAGGCTTTTTGTAATTAACTTTTTTCCACAAAACTCTTTATCACAAAGGGATGTATAGAAAAGCACATTCTGGCTCCTGGGAAACTAACATTTTACAATGACACTGGGACTACCACAAACAGATCTAATTTAGTTTGCAGTATATGATCATTTTGCCAAGCTGAAGAAGTCTCTGCTGTACCTTTTAGCCATGGTCTCTTCCTTGTTCTGGATGTCCTTCAACATGTTGTCCATCGAAGGAAGTTTGCTGCAGCCTGGAAGAGGAGAAGAAGACAGTGAGGACTGATCTCTAAAAACACAGAAGAGTCTTCAGTGAAAAGCATGTATTACCTTTGAAGACTCGGGTGGACCACCTGGCCTGCATCTCCGAGACGGGCATGATGGCTCCCAGCGGCTGCACTAGACCAATGATGGCCAGGGTGGGGCGCTGCAGCTCAGGAGGGAACACGTACTTGTACAGAGATGCTTTGTTGTCAGACACTGTTGTTACTTGAGAGGACAGGAACGGGAAGGAGAACCTGTAACCTGTGGCAAACACCTGCAGGACAGGACGCTCTGTCACACACTGCTCTGTATGAGTGTGTGTGTTTTTTTGTGTGTTTGCACTTTAACCTACCACCAGGTCCACGTCCTCCATCACGCTCCCATCATCAAACTCTATGTTGGAGCCCTGAAACCTGCGAATGTTGGGTTTCACCTGGACGGTTCCAGACAGGATGCGGTTTGGTAGCTCGTCATTCAGTGTGGGATGTTGGCTGAAAAGCCTGACACACACAAACACACATTTTAATTTGCATTGGGGTCAAACAGTGCCTTGTGCAGCAAACTGATATAAATCTATCCTCTCTGGACCACTTGTTTTGATTAGAACTGATGGTAACTATGAGAAATCATCCAGTACCTGTGCTTTGGCTTCAGGTTGTAGAGACCATGGTCGAATCTGTTGTTGAGCCGTCCCTCCCCAATTCCACAGAACACATTAAAGGGCAAGATAGACCTCAGCATGTTCAGCACTCTGTTAAAGCTCAGGTCTAGAGGTAAACCATTATCTCCGACTCGGTTCAGGATCCAGGCCCCTCGCCGAGTGCTCAGGCACAACTGGGTGGAGAAAAGATATCAGACAGTGATTTAGTGGTAAGAAATCTAACTTTGGAGTCAGCAGGTTTTTTTTTTCAAGGAGCATCTAAGCTAGAGTGATGGAAAAGGAAAAAAGCAGCTTTGACATTTGAAAGATGAGCCTTCAGAATACTTGTGCCAGGTGAGAGGATAAACTAACTTTAGAGGAGTGAAAATGTCATTTTGTCATGTTTTTGATTTCTTTTTTAATTTCATCTTCACTCTTCAACAGAATCTTCTTCCTCTTGTTCTTTCTATTATATTTTTTAATCCTGGTGTTAATGTTTAAGTTATCAATTAAAGTCAGATACTAAATCTTACTCTCCTCCTCTTCTTTGTCTCAGTCTGTTTGTTGGATACTTGTCTTGAAGTTCTGATGATAAAACTTGAAAATAATTTGTATCTTGACTGACTGGAGTGTATCAGAGTGTATTGTGTCTGTATATGATATATTAGAATTATTTGATGATTGATGGGGTATTAGTTTATATAAAAAAATACATAAATAAAAAAACACCAGAAGCTCTCATTAAAGCTACTATGGGAAGCAAGACCAGCTGTTTGCTTTAATCCAGTGTGATTTTGGTTCAGGTGTGGGCATTAGGACAAACTGAAAAAAAACTGAAACTGATACTAATGGAGTTGTTGGTGTTTAAAGACTGAGTTTTAAGATTTAGCACTGCTACATCAGGGCCAGAATGTTTTTCAGAAGCTTTTTTCCATCTGCAGGACTTTGCAGAGTTTCTCAGGATCAGAATGGTCCTGACTGCGCCAAAGGGTTGTGTAAAGGATGCTTGCTCCATCTGTGCAACAGATGACAATCCATCTCCAAGAGCTGCAGACTGTTTTTAGTTTGTGCATCAAGTTCTGCAGGGTGCCTGTTGATTTGGGATGATTTGAGGAATGCAATTGGGATGGTCTTTTTCTTATTTGCTGAGGTTATATTATAAGCCAGCTTTCTTTGGTTTTCTTGATTTCATCTTTTGTTCTCCATGTTTTATTAACAGTGTTCATTTTCTCACTTGAACTCTCACATATTATCTCCCTTATTATAATATTCAGATTTTTTTGTTTTAGCTCACATATTTAGCTTTCTTCTTCCACTAATGAGTCTGATGGGTCTCAATTTAATTTGACAATTGCGATTAGTCTACTCTCTGTCAAAACTTTCCATATAGTAAACAAGTTGGTGCCAAAATATTGTCAATATCTGGGCAAAATATTACCACTTCAATCCTTGTCTTTTTTTCCTTGAACATAAGCTTTCTGTCTGTCGTTTTCTCCTTCACACCTGTTTGGTGACTCTGCTAAGCTCCACAGCAATGTCTCCTCCAGAGTTTCCGATCCCGATCACCACCACCTTTTTGTCTCTCCACTCCTCAGGGGTCTTGTAGTCTCTGCTGTGGAAGTACTTGCCTGTGAAGGTGTCAATGCCTGCAGAGAATAAAAGTAAAACTTGTGACTGCTCTTTTGAAAAGTCTTTGATTTTCCTTTTCTTATTTAAAAACCTTTAGAAATCAAAGTTATTGATCCCAACATTGATCTGTTTCCATAGAGCAGCTTTCTGTTGGCACAAGATTATATAACCATGCTGCTCATTACATGCTCGATCAAACAGTATCAAAGGTTGATTTGGTGTGTGTTTACAGAAGTCTGCGGGTGTTTCTCACCTGGGAAATCTTGTATGGGCAGATTGGGGTGGCAGTGATGTCCGATACTAATCATCACTGCATCAAAAATGTGTTTCTCCTTTTTGCCTTCCTTGTTCTCTGTCTCAACGTCCCACTGACCCGACTGAGAGAAATCTGACCTCTGCTTTATCTGCAACACCCTCGTCTGAACAGAGAAAACACACAATAGTCAGGGTCTGTCGTCCACATATGGGCAGTTTACCTTTTACTGTGCTGGCTCTAAAAAGGTAAAGTGAAGATCAGCTAGACATCTGCTTTTTTCTCTTGGATTAGAAAGAGTAGAAATTTAAGAGTTAAAACTTTGCAGCCTTTTTATTTTGGAGGAGAAGAAACTTTTCTAAGAAATACATTTCTTTATTTCACTTCTCTATCCACTTGAGTCTCCTGAATCCACCCTCTTTTAAGAGCAAATTGTAGGTTAAATCTCTAACAACATTAATCCATAACTGTGTCTAAAAACAGCTGCTGAGAAAAATTACGATTGTCTTACAACTTTTAAAAAACATGAATTAAAAGGGAAAGTGGAAGCTTTTTAATTAAGCTGCCAAAAAACCTCATGTCCTATGTGGGGCCCAGACTCTGCTTTCACTCAGAGGAAATTACAGGCTGACTTTTCTAACACAAACACTTATAAAATGTAAGTATTAGGAAACTGTCATTTCTCTCGCTTTCTCGTGGACTGGTCATATTATTTCCAGTATAAATCATCTTTACCATTAAATAGCAGTAATCAACTCCTAACTGTAAATCTGTACTGTAACACCAGCAATGGGGGAGAAAACAGCTCTTATTTTTCCTTAAAAATTTCCGATTTTTAAGGAAAACTCCTCTTAAGGGGCCTGATTGAGGTTTTCAAAGGGATGGATTGCAGGTAATAAATGCAACACACTCACGTTGAAGCGGATGTGTTTGGTGAGCTGGAAGTGGTCAGCATACATCCTGAAGTAGTCCATGACGAGCGAGTTGTGCATATAGTTGGGGTAGTGTGCTGGGATGGGAAAGTCACTGAAACACATCATCTCCTTGGAGGTGTTGATGATGACAGAGTGGTAGATGCTGGCCCTGTCCGGCTCTGGATTCTCCTGCAGAGACAACATCAAAACACCAACATCATCATAATGTGCAAACACTCTCAAACACACTGTGCTGTTTAAAGATGCATTGCTTTGGATTCTTTCTGTACCATGCATTTTACTAGTACTACCAGTAAATATGCAAAAACGGTGCAATCCACAGGTGCAATATTAAGGAATGTGCAGTGTGCAATATTGTGTTTTTACTGGGGCTGTCAATGTAAACACATCAGTCGCCATAAACCTAAATGCACGTTTAATCTTGTTTTACTGAATGCTATTATGTCTCTTTCAGCACACCGTAGTGAAGTGCTGCAGTGTCTCCCTGCTTCTTGCTGCTGCCATGTTGGAAAATAGAACCACTGCACCTTTAATTGAGACATTTAACTTCAGAAAGTTATCTACACTCTGTGTCAAACAGAATAAAAACCTCACTAAAGTACTTTGAGTTTAAGCTAACAGCCATGAGCTAAGCATACCATATCACAAAGCAGGCAGAGTGCTTTATTCAAGTTAAAACAGCACTGCTAAATGGATGGAAACTAACTGTAAAACAGTCAACAGTAAGAAAGGCTCATGTCTACGGGAAGTCCTCAGATTGGCTTATCATGACAAGTATTGCCTTTCTGTTACAGGGAACAATAGCCTCACATGTGTAGGGTTTTATGAAGTGTATTCGTTTAATTCCCTTACAAAGTAACCAATAAAAACTACTCAAAACTGATAATACGGACTTAAAAAGAGAATAAAATAATCACATTTTATACCATAAACTGAACAAAAGCCCAGGTGGCGTTTCAGTGACTTGATTCATTAGTTTCTGAAGTGGAGTTTAGAAGACTATTGATGGTGGTCACCGTATTGGACATGTTGACTCAGCATTTTTTTGGGTACGCCTTTAAGATGTAGAGGCTTAACTGATGTGGCTTTTAGCCCACCCTTACAGCTACAGTGTGCTCACCTGTCGCTCAAGACTGCCATGCCCCTAATTATGCAAACCTTATGACCTTGTTATCTTTAAAGCAAATGTCTTTTTTTTTTTAAAAGTTACAAGCTATCAGACTAATCGATTTCACCAAACAGGCTATTCCGTGACCAAACCTGCACTTGAGAGAACTTCTACAGGTGGGGCGTGACCAACAGTGACCAAGTGTTTTTGAAACAGGGAGCAAATATATGTATTTCTGCTACAATGATGGACTTTTGGAATGAGTGTGTATGTGGCACTTAGAGCTTTTGCAAACAGTCTCTAGTGGACACTCATGGAAGTGCAGCTCTGAGCAGATGAAATTTCAGTCTTCTCAGACCCACGGTGCATAAGAACAAACTACAAGAATGAACTATAAAAGTATAAATATAGACTAAACAACTAAGCTAAACAAAAGACTACATTAAATATTCTCAATTCACAAAATAAAGATAACAATGTAAACAGCATAACAGTGTAAACAGGGCAACAGTATAAATAATATAAGGAAGAAGGTGAGTGGAAGAAAGTGAATGTAGACAGTATGGCAGTCCTGATGTGGACACAATAGTGCAAATATGGCAATATGGACGCCATAGTGCAAATAAATGTAATACGGTAGTAATGATGGTACAATGATGAGGGTATCAGCCTCAGTTTTCAAGACAAGGTCATAAATAATCTCAGACATGAGATAAAAAAGGCATTACAAAAGATGCAGACAATTCTGACACCCTGTGGTTTGATAAAGTTTTTTCAATCTGAATTTATTTTGCACCAGTCATAGCCCTCCACTATCATTTTTCATCAATGTTTAAATGCCAATTAGCATACACTTCAGTCCAAAGTTGAGAGCAAGTAAGCAAAGGCCTTGACAGAAAGAAACAACATGAGTAAGTGCAACAAACTGTTAGAGTCATTTGGACTGAATGCTGTCATGCAGTGCAGATTTTGTTTTTTTCAGTTGTTTTCTATCATCATTACTCCATCAACTACAACGAATTCTAATCCAACAACATTTGTGCAAAGCATTGACAGTAAACAACCCTGCCACAAATATGACGCCTTTTCTGCAACACTGCCCGTTTTACACACAAACATAGACACACTGTGACCCACCTTAAACCTCCAAAGACCCCCCAGGTCGTCGCTGCTCTCGAAGCAGACAGGCTGCAGCCCCTCATCCAGACAGCTCTTGATACAGGCCAGACCCGAGCTGCCCCCTCCGACCACCGCCACACGACGAACCATCCTTCAGTCTGTCCGTGAGGAAACGCGCCTCAAACTCTAAAGAAATCGGGATCTGTGGGGAACAAGAGGCATGAAATAAGCTGCGAGAAAGAGGAAGTGAGACCCCCTTCAGTCCTTCAATGTGGACTCGCGAAAAAGCTTCAAATATCAGACATCTGCAGCGATAGCTGACTATGTCTGCAACAAACAGCTCTGACTTCAGAGGCGCACAGTGTGAAGCGCAAATATTTCACCAAACAGGCTGTTCCGTAACCAAACATGCACGTAAGAGAACTTCTACGTGTGGGGCGTGACCGACACTAACCGAGTGTTTTCTTTTGGCTGTTCCTGCAGCGCATTAAGTTCTGCAGGGCGCAAACAGAAACACAAAAACAAGTTTGAATGTTCCCTCAAAATTTCTGCACGTAACTCTTTCTGGTTCTTACCCTTCAGGCTGGCAGAAACAGACGGCTTGTTGGTGCTGGGAGAGAGTCCACGGTAGGCGTAGAGAGAGAGAGAGAGAGGGAGAGAGAGGGGGTTATATAAGGTATCAGCAGCGAAATCAGTGCAGGGTCAGAGTTCTATAAGTGGAGGAAAGGTAAACACACCTTTCTCTGCCCCAACACAAACACTGTGGTGTGATAAAAGGTGCTGAGCAGACTGATGCATGTAAATGACCTCGAAAATAGGGAGATCATGTAACTGTTGTTAGCATGTATTGTGCTCTGTTTACTGTCAGCCCACAATAGATCAGATTTATAGCTGCAATTTTGTCCACATCCTCCCAAAAGGCCTGGCTGTTGCTATGGATAATATCCAGTTCAACTGTTTACCATATACTATTACTGAAAACAACATCACCACTAACAACAGCAGTTTTAACAATAGCCATAATTATAACTGGATGTCTCTTAAGGTCACAGGCTTGCACAGTTGTACAGAGAAAAGCAGGACGCTATGACAGAGAACACAGTGATTATGTGTTTGCATCTCCATCTGCTGGTTTGTTGGTGCAATGATCTATGATGGTGCAGTAAACTGGTGCATGAATTGAGATCAGAGTCAGAGATCTTCAGCTTCTGTGCCATATACAACTTTATTGACATCCTCAGAGAAAACATAGGTCAGGGGTCTCCATTCACAAAAGCTTCAACAACTACAATTAACTATACTGAAAATCAATCAATCAAACTTTATTTTTACAGCACTTTTCATACATTGAATGGAGAACAAAGTGCTGTCCATTCACGCAAGATATTAAAAAACAATTAAGTAAAATAAATCAAAATACAAATACCAAACCCCACCCACCCTTCCAACCCCCATTCAACACATACAGCACTCAAAACGCTCACACACACAGATGCACACTCAGAAGACCAGATGAGGACTCTTGAACTTGCCACAGATGACTGAGGAAACGCTATCTTGAGTTAACAAAGATGAGGAAACACTGGATCTAGGACTAAAATGATAAAGCTATGATAAAATATAATGAAGGTGATAAAATGTTAAAAGTTAATTAAATAAAAGTCTTAAAATCAAACAATAAAAGTAAATCAAAAAAAGAGGTAATAAAACAATAAATAGTAACTCTAGGACTAAAACAGCGTAAAATCACATAATGCAGATTAAAAGAACAAAACAAAATTCAACTAAAAGCAAGACTAAAAAGGTAGGTCTTCGATTTACTTTTTAAAAGATTGTACAGTAGGTGTTGCTCTCAGGTCTGCAGGTAGGCTGTTCCACAGATGGGGATCGTAATGTTGAAATGATGATTCACCATATGTTGTAGGTTTAACTTTGGGAACAATTAAAAGACCACTACCTGAAGACCAGAAGACTCTACTGAGTTCATACGGTAAAAGCAAATCAGACAAATAAGAAGGACCAAGACCATTAAGAGATTTAAAAACTAATAAAAGAACCTTAAAATCTACTCTAAAAGACACAAGTAGCCATTGCGGAGATTTAAAACTGGAGTGATATGGGCTCTCTTCCTGGTCTTCATCAGCATGTGTGCAGCTGAATTTTGTAGAAGCTGAAGGTGTGAAATGTTCTTTTTAGGAACACCAGAAAGGAGAGCATTGCAATAGTCAATTCTGCAGGTGATAAAAGCATGAATAAGAGTCTCTGCATTGACTTGAGAGAGAAACTAGTGCACTCTGGAGATTTTCTTTAAATGATGAAATGCATCTTTGGTAACATCTTGTGTGTGTAGCTCAAACCTGAGGTTTGAATCAAATATAACACCCAGATTTTTAACTTCTTTGCATGGATTAAAAGCTAGAGCTTGGAGTTTTTGCTCCAGTTTCTCTCTCTGTGGACCTGTACCAATAACTAAAACCTGAGTTTTGTCCTGATTTAGCTGCAAAGAGTTGTCTGCCATCCAGGGCTGGACGTCTTAAATACAATTAAAAAGGTCATCAATGGGCCCAGAGTCATCAGAAGACACGGCAATGTAAGGCTGCGTGTCATCAGCATAGCTGTGAAAGTTGATGCCGTGTCTCCTGATGACATCCCCCAATGGCAACATGTAGATATTAAAAAGTGTTGGACCTAAAATTGAGCCATGGGGAATGCCACATTCCACACTTCATATGTTTTTGATGAGCATTCCCCAGTGCTAACATAAAATTTCCTGCCATTGAGATATGTTTTGAACCAGTTAAAAACAGTACCAGAGCTGCCAATGAGGCTATGGAGTCTGCTAAAGAGAATTGTGTTAGATTACATGAGAAGATGTACCTGATCCAAACAATCACACGAAAAGCTCTGTTTGCTCAAAGTTTATGATTAATGTGACAGTTTGAGGGGGAAGAAGGAGGAGAGAGTTTGTTTATTGATGAAGAAGCAGCACAGCAGAGCTTCACCTGAGAAAACCATCATAATACTAAGACCTGAGGAGGGTTTGTGTTCTGGTTCTGGTAAAACTCTGCTCCTGAAAGGCTGAAGCACACGCTCCCACTGAGTCAGGATGGCTTGGCGTGCTCCAGCCCACTGACCTGGTCCGCTTAGACGGTACTGATATGATGTACAGGGACCCAGCAAAATCTCCATCGCCAGTCTGGGGTCCTTCAGGAAGAGCCGAGGGATATTTGGCCGAACCCCCACCAGGTCTGCGAGAGAGTCCAGGTAAGGGATGTAGTCCACCTGGATGGGGGTATGTTCAGAGCAGGCGTATCTAAGAGAAAGAGGAGTGGAAAGAGACATACAGGATAGTTTAAATGTGAAGAACTGAGGAGAAGATTATTGAGTAGTTCTTTCATTCACTGTCTGTACTTAAGGTCTCATGAGGTTTTAAGCCAGTTGAAGCCAGGTAGGACAGGTAGCTGGTCTTTGTCAAGGCTGACATACAGAGATAGTCATACACACACACTCTCAGATCCAAAGGCAATTCAAGGTCATGAGTTAAACTAAGATGACCAAATTTGTAAATTTTTTTTTTTTTTTAATGATTCAATATCCATTATTGAAACAAGATCCATGCTCATATTTTCATCCAGAAGTTGCCATCAGTGAATGGAAGTAAGCGAGGGAGCAGCAGTGATCAACGGGCAGCACGGGCAGAACCAGACATTTGTGAATGTGGTGGTCAATTTGGGGCACAGACTTTTGCAAGAAAAATACAAAAACAGATAAATGGATACGCATGTTAGAGAACGCTGTAAAGTTGGCAAAATTCCTTAAATCTCTGATTTTGTTTTTGTTGAAAATCTGTTGATCTTGAGTTAGTTTTGCAAGCATTTCGAACTTAACAGGTAAATGAACTTAAAAAAACCCATCAAATCTAGGCAAATGATACAGCTTAAGTTTGTGACGCCATCGATTGGGCTATTCTTAAGGCTTATCTATACAATGTTGCAACAGACTGAATCATAGTTTAGTCAACTGACACAAATTGAAAGGTCTACACTGGAGCTTTAAAATCGATGTATGTTTAAAACTATGTTGGTAGTCTTATCAGTATGGAATAATTCGTATCATGTGTCCTTTGTGTATAATATTCTGATTCTGATTCTACACCTCAGTATTGTTAGCTGTGAGATACTGCATGTCTTACTTTTGATGCATGGTTGCCATGTCCCTCTCAATGTCCTGCAGCATGGTTTCCTCTGAGGGTAAATGTATTAAACCTTGAAAATGCAAAAGAATCAGTCTGAAAGTCATCACACTGAGGTCAAACACTTAAATGTGAACACCAAATGCATGAAGAAATACAATCAAAGACATCTAACTGTATGTGAAAATATTAAGTTAGCAAATGCAGAACGAGTTAGTACAAACTAAAACGTAAACCGACCTTTAAACACTCTTGTAGCCCAGCGAGCTTGCATTTCAGCCATCGGTGTGAGTGCTCCGAGTCCGTGGACGAAGCCAACCACAGCTAGTGTGGGTGGGGTCAAAGAGGGAGGGAAGACGTGTTTGTAGAGACGCAGCCTGTAACCACATTTAGTCTGCAGCTCTGGAGGCAGAAAGGGGAAGCCGTAGTTGTACCCTGTGGCAAACACCACTAAATCCACCTGCAGACACACACACACAACTAAATGATGACTGAATCAATTCATAATGAATCTGCAGGTTTCAGTGGTTATGATCTTTACACCTTGTCTAAGCTGCTACCATCCTCGAACACCACCCTAGACCCCCTGAACTCCTTCACGTTGGGTTTCACCTGAACTCGACCTGAAATGATCCGAGCTGGCAGGTCGTCACTCACCACAGCATTCTGTGCAAAAATCCTACAAAATGAACATCAGAGCATCAGTGAAGGATAGTTTACCTGGCTTTGTTTCCTGCACATAAACAACATCAGGATACAGAATATTTCATCACCATTTAAAATCCTTCTTCATGATCTGCCTCTCTTTTTATTCCTGGTCCACATATAAAAAGAACTACACCCTCCTGAAACAACTCCGACCCAGATCATCAGTTTCACCTGCACTTTTGGGGGCTTTAATTTTTAGCCAAGCTCAGACTAAAAGTTTATCTCCTCACCAACAGATATAGAAACAAGCAACACAGAAAGAGATGTGAAATATCAGTGTGAGAATGTAAAAGCTGTACATGTAAAACAATGAACCCCATATCATATTGAATCATCTCATGTTGTTAAATATTGTATTACATATCATCAAAGTCATGTTATAGTCATATCACATCTTTTTTTTTGTCATACTATCTTGTATTGCAAAGCCACATATCATTTTGCATCATTTCATATATTACCATATCTCACTGTATTGAATCATATATCATATTGTACCTTATTTGTATATCAAATTGTTTCCCATCCTTTCAAAACATTTCATATCATTAAATTATATTAATTTATATGCCTGTCTACTGTGTGTTTCTTGGAAAGAATGAATTGTAAATTGGGAATTTCTCCTTGTGGGATTAATGAAGGAGTATTGTATCGTATTGTATCGTATATTGTATCACGTATTATATTATATCATACTGTATCATATTGCATCTTGTTTTATTATATTGTTTTCTGGCGCATTGTAGCAAAATGTATCATATTGGACATTTTATTACATCTCATTGTACCATACTTTTTGCATTAAACAGTATTGCACTGCACTAGGTAGAGATAAAACAATATATATTCAACTTGATGCAGTTCCAGATACTGCACTGTAAGATGATATGATTCGCCACAATACTGTACAACATAATACAGTACACTACAATGTGACGCGATACAATGCAATAGGATTTGATTTAATTCAATTTGATGTGTTGAGATACGTACATGTTATTCGTTGCATGCGATACATTTGCAGTTTGATGTGGTAGGATACAATGCAAGGCAATTTGATATGTTACGATATGATAGCAAATGATTGGATGCACTGCAATAGAATATGATGTAATGTGATGCAATACCATGCTTTCCAGTGTAGTAAAAACTGATGTGATATGTCACATGAGAATGATTCCAGTTAAATTGCACCACGCTTTATAGCAGTTTATCGTATCACATTGTATTGTATTGCCAGTTTCACTGTAAGTAGTTATACAGCTGTACAGAGGCTTTACTCTGACTTACTTCAGCAATCTGAACCTGAAGGAGAAACTGATTTTTGTGTGGTTTTCTTTCAATGAAAACATGTTATATTGCTAAAAGAACAACTGATGATTGAGACTGCATATACAGCCTTCTCATTAATGATAAATCTGATTCTGAGTTAGTCAACTAGTCACATGACTTAATTACCCGTGCTTCGGTTTCAGGCCATAAAGTCTATGATCAAAGACTTTGTTCACTTTGTTTTCCAACACTCTGGCACTCCATGAAGGGAAGAGCCTCTGCAGCATCATATCCAATCGGGACACCCCCAACATGTCCACTGGGAGACCCCCCTCTCCCACTCTGCTCACCACCCAGGCTCCGCTTCGACTGCAGAGGCACACCTGCATGTCAGACAACACATACACTCTAGTAAAACCAAAACATGAATGGATCAAAAGTGAAATGCATGCCTCATTGATGTATTACCTTTTCAGCAACTCTGCTGATGTCCACGGCAATATCACCTCCAGAGCTCCCGATCCCCACCACCACCACTCTCTTTCCATGCAGACCTTCGGCACTGCGGTAATCCCAGCTGTGGTAGTACTGGCCCTCAAAGCTCTCAATACCTGAAATAAAGTCAGGGGATAAGAAAATGAATGCTCAGGTTACCTTTCCACAGGAGGTAACTAAATATAAATGAACATACCTGAAAAGTCTTTGAGTGGCAAGTGAGGAGCAAACCAGAAACATGAAAATAGTGGAAACTAAACACACTTTTTTATTACAGGTACTGACTGTACCTTGAAGTGTATGTGCTGCAATAGATTGAAGTTCTGTGCATAGAGCCGCAGATACAGAAGCACCTCAGAGTGATGCATGTTGTTTGGGAGCTCAGCTGGAGGAGGGAAGTCACTGTAGGCCATCCTCTCTTTGGAGCTGTTTAAGATCACAGAGAAATAGATGTTGGCTCGGCCAGGCTCCGGTTCCTCCTGCAGACAGGCGATGAGGAATGATAGTCAATAATAATACTCAGATCAGAGGTATAGTGGGTTTAAATCACGCAGCGTACGTTTATTTCTCAGAGGTGAATTCACTTTGAAACTGCTTGTAAAATGTTAGGCTGAGAGCTTTACAGTTTCACAGCATAAAAACAGGGAGCTACAGAAGACTAAATGGCACAAAATAGAAGCATGAATTAAAATATTGGCACTTTCTAGTGAGACTCCAGGCTTTTGATGGCACTACAAACTTGCACCATTTGAGCTGAGACTGTCTGAAGCATTAATGCACAGCTAATAATACTATTGTTGTGCAGATTAAGCTGACGGTGCAGCTGTTAGAGCAGTCTCATATAAAAGGGCTACTACATTTTACAAGATCTCCAGGGAATCTATGTCCAAATAAAGTGGTAAGATGTGTATCCCTGCCAGACAGATCTGAGCTCTGTCAGGATGTAAACTCACGGTGCAGCTCTGTACAGCAGATAGAGAAGAAGCTGACAGCCCATCTCCAGAGTCAGATGCAAAACAAGAGCAAACTGCACAGAGCTGCAGAACTTACAGGCATGTTTGAGCTTAAATACCACTAGAATATAACCCTGGTTTTGTTATCTTTACTTCAAAGAACAGGACTCTGCTCCTCTCTGTGTAATGTTTTGGAATAACTTCAGATTAAATTCAAAGTTATTATAAAAATGAATCAATTGACTCTCACCATGTCATGGCCACTCTCAAAGCAGGTGGGCTCCAGACCTTCATCCAGACAGGCCTTGATGCTGGTCAGACCAGAAATCCCTGCACCGATCACCAACACCTTCCTCACCATGCTGGACAGAAACTATGACTCTCTGCAGCTGGAGCAAAGATGGGACTTCAGCTCAAACTATCAGAAAAAAACATGGTTTGGTTGATCACATGTCACTGGCGCATGCGTAGTTGTTTAATTGTGAACCTATGAACTTGATAAACTACAGTCAAGGCTTAAAGTGGTATTAAAGTTGAAAGATTACTCCACGGCTCATTAGAAGAATGAGTAAGTGTGTTTGTGTGATGACAGGATTTATGACGTCTTACAAAGTTATGTAAAGTTGTGTAACTCAGAGAGCATGTGAAGGAGAAGGAGTGCTGAGCACTGAGATTCAAGTCATGAAAACAAGATAAGATAAACCCTCACAGCAACAAAACTTCAACTGTTCCACACAGGGAACAAAAGAAAAATTGAACATGTCGTTGCACATTTGAGTTACGATACCTGAGAAAAATGTAAGTACTTGAAGTTGTAACAGCCTGTCAATATTGCATGTTGAGGTAGCACTGAGTTATTGTCAGTTAGATGTGCTAACAAACCTCGACTATTGGGAGCGGGCCTGTTTAAACAGTCTGACTGCAGCAGGAAGGAAGGACTTGCAGTATCTCTCTGTCACACACCATGGGTGAAGAAGCCTGTCACTGAAGGAGCTGCCCAGTGCTTTTACATTGCTTTGCAGAGGGTGGGAAACATTGTCCGTTAGAGGTATAGCTTAGCCATCCTCCTCCGGTCCCCCACCACCTCTATAAGGTCCAGAGGGCAGCCCTTTCGCAGACCTAAAGGTTACAGACAGAAACATTTAACAGTGTGTTTTTAACAGAAACCTAATCTGTCATAAGGTGTTGGAGCTATGTGATGCAGATGTTAGATTGCTGTGTTTTGAGCTGTGCATCAGCTGATGGTTAATGTTTGTTTCATGTCATGCGGGTGTGGTCAGGTAATGGTGAAATGATTGAGGGGGTTTTAAATACACCTGTTCACCAAGATGGTGCGAGGAAGGAGTGAGGAGAGTGTTCTTGTGTTGATGGCTCTCATGGCTTAGCCTTGCCATGCTCTTAATTCTGAAGGTAGGAATTGTTGTTGTCAAAATAAATCAGAGGAGGTCATCATAGAAACGGTTTAGTCATGAGTGTAGAGTGTAAGCAGTGCCAGGCTTCCTCACTTAGCCTCTCTGTGGCTTTAATAGTTGATTGGAGTCACAATGCACAAGGTGAAACTGGTCGTAATAATGATATACTGGAAATGTGAGGCATACCTATAGGAAGAGAGGACCCAAAAGTAGACTGGCTGGTCATTCAAACTGCAAAAAGACGCAACACAAGAGGCTTCCAGTGACCGAGAGAGTCCAATGAGGATCAGGAAAAACAGTGAATCCCAAAACTGACATAAAAAAAGCACTGAGAAAAATGTCTCACAAACATCGAAAAGAAGATTTGAAAACACAAAAAGTACAAATCACAGAAATACTGGGGCAAAACAATGTCAGGAGGTAAAGATGATCAAACACAGACAACAAGGAGTCACATATAAGAGAAAAGACACAAAGCAGCAAGAGTGAACCTGTAGATGGAAGAGAGGAGGGAGAGAAACAAGTCAGACAAGTTTAGAAATACATACATACATACATACATACAGACCTCTCCCTAAACTCTCTCTCTCTCTCTCTGTCACACACACACACACACAGGTGAAAAGATCCTACCAAGACACATCTTTGTCAATAATGCTTTTTACGGTGGCCGAGAACCGCCACTGCTGCAAATAAAAAAAATCACAACAGAACTTACTGAGGCAAAAAAAAAAAAAGAAACCGAAGCCCGCTGCAAATAAAAAAAATGATGCAGATAAAAAATTTTTTAAAAAGCCACAACGGAAGTTAATGATGCAAAAAAAGTGGTGATGAAAAAAAACAAAGTTACCCACTGCAAAAACAAAAGGATACAACTAAAAAGTCACAATACAGGTCAGCTGCCGGGGACCAATAAAGATGATGCACCGGTGTTTTACGATCTAGGCACAGAAGACAACGACAAGAAGACGAGCAAAGAAGTTAGAGGAAAGGTTGCTGTTTAATTTTGCTTTGTGTGCTTTTCAGTGTGTCATTTGGTTAGCCCATGTAGCACCTGAGTCGATATGAAGTTGAACTGAAGCTAACACCACACCAGCATCCTCCAGTTCAACTTCATATCGACTCAGGTGCTACATGGTCTAACCAAAGGACACATTGAAAAGCACACAAAGCGAAATTTAACAACAACCTTTCCACTTACTTCTCTGCTTGTCTTCTGTGCCTAGATCGTAAAAGATCGGTGCATCATCATTATTGGTCCCCGGCAGCTCACTTCCATTGTGGCCTTTTTCTTTTTTGCATCCTTTTATTTCTGCAGTAAGTAACTTTATTTTTTTTGCAACCCCAATTTTTTATTGCATCATTAAATTCTGTTGCTATTTTTCTTCTATCTGCACCGTTTCTTTTTTTATTTGTGGCGGGCTTTAGTTTCTTTTTCTTTTTTTTTTTTTTTTGCATCGGTAACTTCCGTTGTGGCTTCTTTTTTTTTTTAAATTGCATTCTTTTTTTTTGCATTCTTTTTTATTTCTGCAGTGGCGGTTCTCGGCCACTGTGGCTTTTGGATTGGCAACAGACAGTTTCAGGGAAACAAGACAACCTCATTCATATAAAATACAGGTTCTTTATTCACATACAAGTTGTGTGCACACAGAGATGGCAGGAGGAGAGATCGTATAAGTCAAAGTGCAGTGTCTCAAAAGTTCAAATGTTTATGTACAAATTAAAGTCTGTCTTCTGGTCAGTTTGAGTCCTGTCTTGCTGCTCTTTCTATACATTTAGTGTTGGATTACACAGACAGATAGACTGTAATCAGACTTTTTTTTTGATGCAACTCAACACTTTGAAGATGCTGCACTTCTAAAATGTGCAATGATTCTGTTTTTGTCTGCATACAGAGCAAAAAATGATGAATTCATAAATACAAAGCATGACCTATTCAATTTTCAGACCTGTGAGTCTCTTTGTCTCTCTTTTTTACGTGTTAAATTTAGATCTAAAAATAAAAATGTTGGTTTTATTTTTCAAACCAAACCAAAAGTCGCTCCTGTTATTTTTGTAAACCAAGAGTCCCGCAGCAGAGTCCTGCACTGACCCAGAATCTGATCTCCATCCTGCAGAGAAAGAAATCCAGCGACTACCACGGTCCCTCCGAACAGCAGCAGCCACAGCGGGTAGAGCGAGGTCGGTCGGCTGTCTGGTTCAGGGACTGCTCTGGTTGTGAAAGGCTGAACCACTCGATCCCATTGAGTCAGGATGGCCTGCCGGGATCCGGTCCAGCGTCCAGGGCCAGTGAGACGGAATTGATATGGAGTGACAGGACCAAATAAAACCTTAATCCAGAGCACTGGGTCGGTCAGCAGGAGAGTCAGGAGGTTTGGCCGAACTCCGACCTGTGAGCAAAATTTTAAATTGATGGCTTTAAACGCACCGCGTGAATGTTCAGAAATTTATAATCACAAGTAAAAATAATGGAGCTGATCTGGACAAACCTTCTCAGCCATAAAATCCAGGTAGGAGATGTAATCCACCTCCAGAGCTGCCTGACGAGGGCACGGACAGCTGCAAAAATAAATCAAACTGTATTTACCATGTTGAGAAATAGTTAACCTTACCACAACGGTAAAGAAGAGTTTTACCTTTTCATGTTGCTCTTTCTGTCAGACTCAAAGACTTCTAGCATTTTCTCCTCAGTTGGGAGACGGCAGAAACCTTAAAGGTAAAAAAATACATCAGCTCACCTTTTATACTGAGTTCTTTTTCAAGAAGCCCGTGCATGTACAAATGTGTGGATCTTTGAACACGTAATACACTGTTGTATTTGTTTGTTGTTTTCTTTTTTTACCTGTAAAGACCCTCACTGCCCACCTTGCCTGCATCTCCACAATAGGCATGATGGGCCCTCTAGCCTGTAAAAGACCCATGATGGCAAGCGTGGGTTTGGACAGAGATGGAGGGAACACTCGTCTGAAAGCAAAGGAGTAAAACTAACTTTCACAAATTAATAAATAAAGACTAAACATCACTGACATAAACTGCTGGTGAGTAAAGTATGAAGGGGATAGAGGGTGGATTGTTGTAGTCAAGGCTGTTGTGGCAGAAATGAAAATGAGCAACAAATCCTTAAACTGGCCTCTTTCAAAAAAAAAGGAGAAAATAGACAAAGCTTTAAATTTTTGTCATCAGTTTCATGTAAAAAAAAAAACAACAACATAAGTTTTATTACTGACACCAAGCTACATCCTTATCTTCATCACTACAACCATCTTCCCAACTCACGCAGACCACTATGCATGGGGAGCAACCGAATCACTTTAGGCATGAATGGACACAACTCTTTTACAGCCAACTTTGTTTCTCACTTAAGATTTTTTCAAGTCTTGAGAGCTTTTTCAGGATCTCCCTTTCTAAGGCTCTTAAAGAGTTAACCAGAATTTTGGAATAAAGGATCCTACCCAGGCTTTTGACAACCTTGAAGAAATAAAATAAATTTCTTGAAAACTTCTTAGGGACTTTATATAATTTATCTGTTTAAAACATCTTTCTGAGGATCACAAAAAAGTATTTTGGTATCCAAAGAAAGAAAAAGGATTTCTTGATAATTCCTGAAACTTTAAAGGGTTGTTTTTAGGTTTCTCAGGATATTTGCGAATTATTGGACATTGTTAAATCTTGGAAGATCTCAAAGTTTTGTCTGGATTTCAACAATATTTCTTTCCATTAAGGTCCTTAGTATTGTACAAAGTTGCCAGGAGTCTTGAAGGATCTTAAAAAGTTTTTGAGGATCTTAAAAAATTTGGAGGCAGATTTTACGGATATTATTTTATAAGGATCTGAAGAATTTTTAGGATCTCCCAAATGTTTCTTTTTTTTTTCTTTTTTGGACCCTATTCTCAGGATTTAACAAAAAAGCCAAGAAATCACAAAAGTTTGTCAGATCAATCAAAGGTTCAACCAGAGTTTGAGAAAGTTCCTGTGACTTTTGAACTTAGAGAGAGCTCTTCAACATCTCTTCAAGTTCTTGGGAATCTTACAAATGATCCTTGGATCATTAAAATGTCAAGAATTAACATTTTATTTGAACTTTCTTGATGTTTTAGTGAAACTTTTAAAGGAACCTTGAAACATTTTAAGACATCTGACATTATTTAAGATCACACTACATGTGAATCAATTTTTCAGAGTGTTACAAACATTTTAAACTTTCTTATTAACATGATAATAGTGATGAGCTCAGGCTGCACAAATCTACACCCTCCTGGCTCTCTTACTTGTACAGTGTGAACTCTCCGTTGGGCCCATTGGTCAAAGCTGCAGGCAGGAAGGGAAAGGTTCCTTTATAACCCGTACAGAAAACCACAGAGTCAATGTTTTCCTCCACAGAGCCATCTTCAAACTCAACCCCAGAGCCCCTGAACCCTCTCAGGTTTGGTTTCATCACCAGCGCCCCCTGTAGGATTCGACCAGGAAGATCATCATTGATCAGAGGCCATTTGTCAAATGGTCTGTGAAAACAGGACATGATCAGTGACACAAAAATGAACTGAGAGGTAAAACCCTTTTCTTGTCCTGTGTGTAGCTCCCTCTGCTGGACAAAAGGGAGTATGCAGGTTTAAGTCCCTTCTGCATGGGATCAGAAGGTGTTACCTGTGTCTGGGCTGCAGGCCATACAGTCTGTGGTTGAATTGTTTGTTCAGTGATCTCTCTGCAGCCCAGTTTGTCAGACTCTTTGGGAGACGTTGCATGAGAATGTTGTTGAACCGAGTGATGGCAGTCATGTCGAGGGGAAAACCATTACTGGCCATCCTGCCGATCACCCAGGCCCCCTGCCGCGTGCTCAGAAATGTCTGTCAGAAAATTCAAAACAAGTTTAAATCTCCTGCACATTAAAAATAAGACCATGCATGCCTGAAAATTGTTCTCAGGACCCCCTACTCTCTGCAAGATGTGAATCTTCATTTCCTTACCTTTTCTGTAAATCTGCTGAGTTCTACTGCAATGTCGCCTGCAGAGTTGCCGATTCCAACCACCACCACCCTCTTCCCTCTGCAGGCATCTGCATCTTTGTACTCCCAGCTGTGCAAACAATGACCAGAAAACGTCTGGTATCCTGCAAAGAGACAAACAATGCAATGAGGGGAAAAGAAAAAATAAATCCAAGACTCATGTTAGAATGTAAAGACTATTGAACTGACTTCTGACTGTGTGAAATACCATGACAGTGGTTTGTATTCATTCACAGACCTGGGAAATCTGTCAGCGGTAAAGCTGGATGAGTGTAGTGACCTGAACACACCAGAACTGCATCAAACACGTGTCTCTCCTCCTCTCCATCTCTGTTAACAGTCACTACATCCCACTGACCAGACTCTGAGAAATCAGCTCTCTGTGTGACGCTCCTGACTGTGGTCTGAAGCATGAAAACACACACAAACACACGCTTTTTAAGATTTGCAAATCTTTCAAAGTCTGTATCTGTACCCGGCTCGATCATTTTTTATGAAAAACCAGGATTCAATTATCTTTAAAAGGTGGAAACCTAAATCTGCATCAGTCAGTTTAAAACTTTAGACTAACTGGACCTGATGCTGAATCAGGACTCACCTTGAAGTGGATGTGCCTCAGCAGGTCAAAGTGCTCGGCATATAATCTGTAGTACTGCAGCAGCTGGGAGTTGTGCATGTAGTTTGGATAGTTGGGGGGCATGGGATAATCACTGAAACACATCATCTCTTTAGACGTGTTGACCACCAGCGAGCGGTAGATATTTGCACGCTCAGGCTCCGGTGTCTCCTGAGGACAGAAAAGAACAAATTACGTCAGCTGATTGCTCAAGTCCACTAAAGAGGACATAAATAAAACTTTGACCAACAAGTTAAATCTGTCAGACGCTCTGTTGATGCCTGTCCCCACTCACCTTAAACCTCCACAGGCCACCGATGTCATCACTGCTTTCAAAGCAGACAGGCTGCAGACCTTCATCAACACAGACCTTTATACAGACCAGACCTGAACTTCCTGCTCCGATCACCGCCACACGAGCCACCATCGCTGAACACTGAAGTGTAAGATGGAGACAGGAATCATATACATGGAAACAAAAACGCTCTACAGCTGTGTTGCAGAAGTTAGGCAGCCCTACATAGTATGCAGAGGAAGCTAAGTGCATCAATTGGAGAATGAAACCCTCACCCTCTGCTGCTACTTTGGAGTTTATTCACAAAGCAAATTGCACTGTGAAGGCAAAGATGAGCTGGAATCTTCTGCACATGCTGTTACACAGAGCCGCAATGGACACTCTAATTCTAACAGTGCAGAATTACACATACATGTATGATAAGCTTGATGAAGTAGTACACACTTAATAACATTTATTGTGCTGTCAATTCATGACGGCACAATATGATGTGAATTTTACAATATAAATCAAGTTAACTTTCTGGAGTTAACCAGCAAAGAGCAACACATTCAGATCAATGTACAAATATAGAAGAAGAACTGGTCCAACTCTGCACAACAAAACAAACTCCATGTGCAGAGTTGGACCACAAACAGCTCTGGACTGATAAAACCCCTGATTGTTATAAAATGGTAAAGTTAAAGCAACACTAACAGATCTCCTGGATAAATATACATTTTCGGTCATCCGAAGGTTGAATTGTTGTCATTGTTACTGAAAACTTTGAGCAGAATAATGCTACAAAAAATTCAAGTTTATCACCGCCAGCCATCAGCAGATTCTGAATGTACGTGGCTCCTATGGTCTGTGTGAGTGAGTTGTTTTTTTGTGCAGTGAAGTACATTTGAAGACAGACAGGAGGCTATTTCATTTCTAATCAGAGCATAATGGCTCATTTAAATGTATGCGCTCATAGATGTTCTTTGCTCTGCAGTGCACTTTGGAGGTGTTTAAACCTTTTATGAATTGCATGTTTTGTCTTGTTTGAACAAGTTTAGTGTGCATTAAAGCTGTGCAATCTTTCTGCCAATAAGGCTCTGAGAATGAGGACAACTGTCTTTTATTCTGATGAATAAATGTGTTAAAAATGGCTTTACCCTTCCTAACAGCAAACATGTTACGTGTCCTGATTGGCTTGCAGGAAGAACAATGGCTTTGGCAACTGGCTTCATAGTCTTCTTTCACTTCATTTACATGCTTTAAATATGGATAATGGCTCTTTAAGTAGCCCATCAAGCACTTATCATCAGTACTTGAGGGCTAACCCCTAACATGGTTCTCCTCACATGGAAAATGTGAGGAGAACAGGTTTGTTGTCTGTGTGGTATTATGTCTAAGTTTGCAGAGCTTGGAGTAATAAAACTGCTGCAAAAAACGACATCAACATTAGTGACTGTATCAACTTGGAAATAAACAGAGGACTTTCTCTCAAAGATAACAGCTCCAGAAAACAGTGGGAAGTTAGAAAATTTAAAGACAACAACAACCACAATGTAACTGTTTGTGCTTGCCTGTAAATTTTGTTATTTACAGATACCAGTTTGAGATAAATCAGGAGTTTTTTGGCTGACACGGAGAAAGGAGATAATGAGTACAACAGGCCTCCTAGTTGTTTTTTTAAACGTGCTGACAGCATCTTTACTTTGTTTGTGGATCATGATTGAGGTTTCAATCTTTACATTATCCCTTACATTATCAACATTCTTTAGTACCATTTTAACACTAATTTCAGCAAAGGATAGCAGCTGTAAGTTGAGTTGACAGATCAGATAATCACAAAGACAAAATGAACAACAAGATGAGGCACTCCTACACAAAATAAACCACAGTTTTCTCTGCAAATCTCAAATTCAACAGGCGTCAGCTTCCCAGGACAGTTTGGACTTAGTGGAGTATTGCAGTGTCAAGCAAATGTAAGCAGACTTGTCCAGACCGGAGCAGTGATCAGATCAGTTAACAGGAACAGAAAGGGTGTCTGCATGTCACACTGTAGGAGCAAAAGCAGAAAAAAAAAACTGTGTGAAAGTATAAAAATCTGCTCTCACCTTCTTTGGTCAGTTGATTGTGAGTCTTGTAGCAGAGAGTAACAGAGCCCTGAAGTTCAGAAATGAAGCGACTAACGCAATCAGTCGAACATTACTGCAGAGGGAGGGCAGGGGTGTAGCCTGGCCGGGCCATACTGTTGCGTGAATCACTTGATGTTCCTCCCCACTTGTGGGAAGGAACATCAAGTGATTCACGTAACAGGATGGCCCGGTTAGGCTAGCAGGGGCGGGGTTTAGTGGGACTTTGACCCTGGTAAACTGTTTTGGGCAGAAAAAGACTCGGGAGTTAAGTTTTTACATGTAAACTTTATCAAAGTATTCCACATTCTGCAAGTGTGCTACTGTGTTTAGAATTATTCACTTACTTTAGACTAATGCCTCTTTCTCTCATGCACTCCTGTAGATTTTTCCACACATCTCTAGACTCTTAAAGTTTCCTGTTTGCACATGTCCTTCACAGCATGAAGTCTCTCCTGTCTGAGGAGAGGAGTGACGAGCAGAGATGGGTTTTCAGAGGCAGCCAATGACAGCAAAACAGGCAGTAAAAGGCTCTGTGTTTATGGCATGATGTAGAAAAAATAGAAAAAACACTGGAGGAACATCTCCAAACTAATTTCACAATTTGAGGATGATGTTAAGGAGGATAATAAATTCTTTATCGTGACTCATTTTGCATCAAAAACAGACATGACTCTGAAGTGGAAATCCTTTCAAAAAGAAAACCAATTCTGCTTTCTTGCAATGAAAACTTAAAAAAGGCATTTTTTTAGAAAGCCTCAAACTGATGCCTGCCCTCTTGCAGTGGTTCAAGGTATTAAATATCACAAAACAGAACTTGTAAACCATTTTGTTGATGGTTTTGTTCACTCCAGAGAGGCATTAGTGTGATTTTCAATCCATCCTACCACTAGAGAAAAACTCCCCACAGGAGCTTTAATGTGCGGTCTGTTTAGTATTCAAACACATTTTAATTTCAGTCAGATGAGAGCTTATTAATATTTATTTATTCACAATGACACTGCACAGACAGGGTAAATCAAAGTGAATAATAACAGATGTACAACTGGATGGTTTGGTTGTTTTTGACCTTTAACAGCCCATCAAACCCGAACAGACGACTGGTGGACAAATTCACTCTCAAGTTTGGTGAATAGGAGGCACTTTCAAAATATTTTTGTTAATCTACAGGAAGGCTGCACCTTACATAAGCAGCACAACATAACAGGGGGTATATCTGATAGCAGGCTGCTGCAAAAAGAGGATCTTGTAAAGTAAAATTTGACAGCTGAGGGCTTGCAGGAGTGTGCACAAGCTGCCTGCTCTTCTTAATAAATTCAGTGTTTTTCCAAATCTATTTTTAATCTAATCCTGATTCTCATGACAATGTGGTGTCAATGTGCTAAAACACTGGCTATTCAGTGGCTTTATCAACAGTTTTGGTTTATCCCACACAAAGGGGTGACCACTGAATCAGACATAACAATGCTCTGACTGTGTAAAACATGATCAGATTTTGAAGGATCAGCGCACTAAAAATCTTTTTAAAGGACTTAATGTCTCTTTAATCATCAGTTCATCGTCAGGAGAGTAGAGGCTTCAGTTGTTTGGTTTCAGGGTGTTCAGACTGTCAGTGGGCGAAGTTTGGACAGCAGGGAGGGGATCGTGGTCGGGTAGCGCATGTTGATGTAGTAAACAGCTGCTCCTCCAGCCATGGTGACCAGACTCAGATTCACCAGGCGGCTGGTCAAAGAGGTCTCCCCTTCCCTCAGCTGGGGGAGGAGGAAACAGGAATGAAAAACAAGCATATGATGTCTTCTTTTCTTTTTGCTTTGTAAATGACTTAATTACATTGATGTTAAATTTTGTGAATTCCTTTACAGTTCTCTGTTTGGCCTGACTGTCCTGCAATATCTCAAGTCTGGTCAAAATATCTAATTTCACCCAAGATGCAAATAAAAAGGCAGAAAATTTTATTGATGTTTCTTAAAATCTGATATTACACCTTATTTCAATAAAATTTACACATTTTAGCTGTGCTGGCAACTATTTTAAGTTATTTGGAGCAATCAAAAGGGACATTGTGATGTTTCTAGTGAAGTTGTATAAGTAACATGTCACAGGTATGGTTTTTGGTAAGTCAACTCAGCTTTTTAAATGGGCAACTGTCGGGAGAGTGAGGACGCAAGCCAGGCTACGGTTTTCTGTGGACAGGGTCAAGACTACCATGTAATCAAGCTAACTTTGAGCGACTCTGACCCAAGCACTTATCACTCATGGCTTCAAAGACACAAAATGAACTGAGTTATGTGGCAGGCTTGACACCATCAGCAGAAAACCATAGCCAAGCTTGCATGCTGGCTGTCTGAACAGTTTCTCATCAAAGGGGAGGAGCTGACTGTTATTGATGGTGGCTAATACACTGAGTAGTGACAGGCCTCTCAAATCAACCCCACTTTGAATACTGAAAAATCCCACCTTTTTTGACAGAAATAAAGTGAAATAAGATATTATATAAGATATATTATATATTATATAATTATATAAGATATTTTTAGCAGTCAAAACCCTTTTTGAACACCTGTGTTTCAAAGCACTAAATAAGATTTTTATTTTTATCACTAAAAGCTTAAGAGAAATCCAAATATTATTTTTGTCAAGCTAATAATTATAAGTAGAAACTGGGGTTCATGTCAGACCTGTCTGGTTTTCAGGGGCTGGAACATGCGATCAAACTGGGTGAAGATGGCTCTGCGGGCCCCGTCCCATTTCCCTGGTCCCACCAGGCGGTACTGGTAGGCTGATACAGGCCCCCAAAGGACCCTCTTAAACAGCTGGTAGTCTGTGAAGAACAGCCAGAGCAGACTGGGACGCACCCCAATCTCTCCTGCTAGTTCATCCAGGTAGGTGACGACATCCACCTGCAGGGGGGTTTGCCTGGACAGGATGTAGCTGCAGGGAGATAAACCAGAGAAAAAAGTTACTCAAAGCTGCACTCATCCACGCTTGTATCAAAGAGATATTCTTTTAAGTTGGTTTCAGACTTGCACTCTGATAATAGGGACTTGACTCAGACACAGATAATATGGATTCTTTCAGATTCAGATTCCAATGATGGGGACTTAATTTTGACCAAAACTCAGGTGATAGTGACTTGTCTGACTTTGATAATGACGATGTGAATCAGCTCTGACTCAGATAATGGAGACTTGACTTGGGGTGGAACTCAAACTCAGGTAGTCGGAACGTGGTGGTAATGCACCTTAAACTTTTTAATGGGGAACTGAGTCTGACTTGAGCTGAGAAAATGAAGTCTCAACTAAGAAAAATGGAGGCATGATTTGGACTGGGATATCTGGGACTGTGTTTAGACCTACACTCTGATTGTGGAGACTTTGGTAATAGCAGCTCCACTCTGATTTAGACTTAAATAACAGGGACTTAACTTGGACCTAGACTCTGGGCATGGCGACTTGAGTGACTCTGATTATGAGGTTTTGACGGGGACTTGATTTTAACTTTAAAAATGGGGCTTGCTCTTGGACTCAGTCTTCATTTATGAGAACTCAGCTTAGACTTAGACTCATGGTATTGGGCTGGATTTGACTCAGATAATGAGGACATGACTTACACTTAAAGACTTGTGAAAGGTCTCTTACTCAGGTAGTGGGGGTAGGACTAAGACACAAACTTAGATAATGGGGTCTTGACTCGTATTTTTCTCTGAGAGCTTGGACTGAGCTTGGATCTGAACACTCTCCACAAGAGACTCAGCTTGGACTTAAGGTTTGGGTACCTGACGACTACAGTGGCTGCAGGGATTTAAACAGAGGAAGTGAGAAACTGTGTTTAAAGCAGAGGCAGCCCTACCTCTTCTCCATGGCCTTTGTGTCTTTCTCCACAGTTTTTATCATCACCTTGTTGGAAGGCAGCTGTGTGACTCCTGCAGAACAAAATAAGACAGCTATAAAACAAAGCCATGTGATTTATCAGCACTGAAATGAACTAGATGTGTAGCGTCACCTTTGAAGACACGGGTGACCCAGCGCGCCTGCATCTCAGCCTGGGGCATGATGGCTCCGAGGCCATGGATGAAGCCCACCACAGCCAGTGTGGGATGCTCCAGATTTGGTGGAAACACGTGTTTGTACAGACCCACTCGGTGACCAGACTTGTGCAATGTGCTATCAGGCAAATAGGGGAAGCCGTAGTTGTAACCTGTGGCGAACACAATCGTATCCACCTAGAAGAAGGAGCTAAAATATTAGAGCTAAAATAAAGAGAGGTTTTAAAGGTGGCCAATGAGGTAAATTTTAATCAAACCTTCTCAACAAAGCTTCCGTCATCAAAAACCACAGTGGAGCCTCGGATCTCCTTTACGTTGGGTTTGACAACAACAGCGCCAGCCAGGATCTGAAAGGGCAGGTCATCGTTTATCACAGGGATCTGACTGAAGAGCCTGGAGAGTGAGGAAATGAAAAAAGCGTTCTTTTAATCATAATAAATGTGGATGGTTCATTTCTGCACATAGCAGCCATGTCAGGAAGTCAAAGTTGATTCAAATTTCCAGGAGCTGCAGTTGATGTTTATGACAGTGATACAAAAGTGTGCTGCTGTCACCAGTCTTTAAGTGACAGACATCTGACCACATTTTCAGATGTGATTGTAGTGAGGTTGGATGGTTAGCTGATTAATGTTGTCAAATGCATGATAATCTGCACGGTCAGAGAGAACCTACCTGTGTGTGGGCTTCAGGGCGTACATGGAGTGGTCATACATGGCATTGAGTTTCTTCTCACCAAACCAGTTAAAGAAGTTCATGGGGAGCAACTGAAACAGGATGTGGACGAATCGTGTGTTGTACTGCATGTCCACTGGAAGACCATTGTCAGAAACCTGACGGATGACCCAGGCACCTCTACGAGTGCTTAGGTAAACCTGCAGAACCAGAGTTTGGCATGATTGAGGATTTGTGCTTATATTTATACTTATATTTATATTTATATAAGAAGCTACAAAAACTAAAAGAGACCTCAGACCTGATCAGCCACTCTGCTGCTCTCCACAGCGATGTCCCCTCCAGAATTCCCGATCCCAATGACCACCACTCTCTTCCCATACATGTCCTCAGGTCCTTTGTAGTCCCAGCTGTGAAAGTATTTCCCTTCAAATGACTCGATTCCTGCAACACAGCAGAATCATGTCCCAATGTGAGCCACTTTGGAGAAAGACCTGGACTGACACTGAACTCATTCTACATCAGTGTTTGACTTTTCTGCCTGACGATTGAAGGTTCCTGTTACCTGTCTCTGCTGTCTGAAAAGACTGAAGTTAATTTATACAGAGAAGTTGCAGAGAAATATTAAGATAATTCAAGAAGATAATCTTGCTTGGGACTTCTTTCTTACCAGGGAATTCTTTGAGTGGCAGGTTGGGGTAGGTGAAGTGACCAGAGCAGCAGATTACCGCATCGAAGACGTGACTCTGTTGCTGTCCATCTCTGTCCTCAGTCACTACCTCCCACTGACCTGTCCGACTGAAGTCTGGTCTCTGTTGGACACTCTTCACCAAAGTCTAAATGATGTAAAACATACTGCAGATTAGATCAAATCTATGGGAATGTCATGAGCTTCCCTCAGTCCATGTTGGTACCTGGAAGTGAATGTGCTGCAGCAGTTTGAAGTGCTCTGCGTACATCCTGAAGTAGACCAGGATCTTCGAATGGTGCATGTAGTTTGGGTAGTCAGCAGGGATGGGGAAGTCGCTGTAACACATCATCTCCTTTGAGATGTTGATGGTCAGGGAGCGGTAGATACTGGCCCTGTTGGGCTCTGACACTTCCTGCAGTGGAAACATTTAAAAAAGTGGAAAACATTGAAGCGGGATAGCCGAGTCTGAGGGACAAAATCAGTGGAGGTAACCAGGTTGGGGTGCTGTCTTGTTTCTTTGTGAACTATTGAACGAAGACTTTAGTTCATTATTTTTTTCCATTACTGAGTTCAGGCCAGAGGAGATCATAAAAGAAAGAAAAGGGGGACTTTAAGAGTAGTAAGGGGTTAAAAGGGGAATATTATGCTGATTTCATGTTTTTTTTATTGGCCTCTTATAACATGACAAACAAGCTACAAAGCTCTTCATTAAGTTTACTTCTTTTTTTCAATCTAAAATGAGAAAAACACAAAATACGGCCAATAGGGTTGTTGCAATACACCAAAATTGACAATAAATGTCTAAAAATAAGCATATGGTAATACCAAAAGTAAATGGTTCTTCCCTGGTTTTCAAAAAAAAATGGAAGAGAGACAAATAAACAGCAGCAGCTGCTAGCAAGCTAGCTGTAGCAAGCCTATGAGAAATGATTTGACACTTTTAAAAACTGAGGTTGCAAAATTGACTGTGAATCCAAAAGGATCGTGAGAGGTTGTCTTTGCAATAATTGGAATATTTATACTTTCTTACCATTTTTTTTTAGCCGTTTTCAGTCAGTCTTTTAACTTGCAATTTATTGGAAATAGCACATACTAGCAAATAAAAGCATAGTTTTACAATTTAGGGAAGTAAGCTGTCTAAATGCAGAACAGAGAAGATATCAAAATAAAAGTGAAACAGTTTCCTGTACCTGTCAGCCAATTATACCCAGAGGAGTCACCCCCTGCTGGACATCATAGGTAGTGCATTATTTTTTTTTTCCACGTCTGTACTGGTCTCTTTGTACATTAGGCCTATAGACTCTCCTTAAACACAGTCTGTGGCCCCAAATAACAAGGTGACTACGGTTCAAAAAAGTTCAAAAATATTTGTCTGTATCTTTGTTCCTGTTCCTGTTGACTTGCCTTGAACTTCCACAGTCCGCCCAGGTCATCGCTGCTCTCAAAGCAGGTTGGCACCAGGCCCTCGTCCAGACACGCCTTCATGCTGGTCAGACCGGAGGGCCCTGCCCCAATCACCGCCACCTTGCGCACCATGATGGAACTGCAAGACGGGCAAAGAGACACATTTCGAATGAAACTTTCTGTCAGCCTACTGACCTAAATCTGCGAGACACAGTGATGCAAAAAGGAAATGACTGGCGCACACACTATGATGTGCAGATATGAGCCAATGAGATGATTTAGTTATTTTAGCTGACTGGCTTCTTTTATACTGACAGGCAACCAATGCACTCCTCAAATACACCCCCCCCCCTCATCATGATATATTAACACCAATCCTTTCAGCTTTGTGTAAAAGATGTAAAAGTACTGAGTGAGTTGGGATGTAACAATGTAACAGTGGCCCACTTTCTCAAAGTCATGCAAACTTCAATCAAAACCACCTGTCCCAGAGCACAAACACAATACAAATACAAATCCCATGAAGCATTAAGCATAAGAGGGAGAGGATTAATGTGGAGTTCTGGTGACCTTTATTAATCATGATAACCAAAAACAACTTTGAAAGGAGGAGGTACTGCAATGGCAGAAATTCACGCAGTGGGTGTACAGGTTTAAACACAGGGCCATGCTTTTCACAACCAAAGTATGTAAAGGACAAGATATGCGAGGACTGCTTTGTCAGTGCAGAAGAATTGACACAAACTGAAAGTTTCTTTCAGGAGCTTTCAAACTTGAATGTTCCCAAAATTAAAGAGGAGGCAGAGTTCAGAGAGAATCTCATTGCTAACACTCGTCTGATGACTCTTAGAAAGGAAGTGGAGATATGTTGGCACAGGTGTTGATGACAAGCTGACTTTTAAGCTTTGCTTTGGTGTTGTTTGACAGCATGGTCGTTTAATTATTTTTTTCTTAAATCAAACGCTGCATAGTTTTGATGTTGTCTAGGTTTTTAGTGACCAGGCACCATTAAGTTTTGCAAGAAAAATTCGGCCACAACTTCAAAACCATTTTCAGCTCAATGAATCATGAAAAACAGTCTGTTCACTCTGCAGATCAGGTGGGGTACTTTTTTCTTTCACAAAAGGTCAGTGCTCTAAAGGTTTATGGTTTGATCTGATCTGTCAGTAAGAATTTCTTAGAACCCTGGTTAGGGTTTTGTTCATCTTACTGAAGACATCAAAAGATGATTGATCTAGTCTAGGTTTCATTTATCAGACTCTCAGTTTTATTCCTCTAAAATCTTCAGTGTTGCAGTTTATTTTCAGATGGCAGTGACACCTCAGCACTGGTATGACAGCTTGGTCAATAGAGGAAAGTGCTGAAGAAAAAGACAAACTTATTTGGGCTACAACTGTTAGAATATGTCCTTGCAATTATTCAACAATGCATGCATTATCTTGTGGTCCTTCTAACACTGTTTTTGTGTTGAAGAATCAGACTGTTGTGATAATGCAGGAGCAAGATATAAAGATCTGTAACCAGGAAGTCATGTTCTACTTATTTCTAAAAGCTTTCTTTTTAATAATGCTGCAGTTGCACATGAATATACAACATAAGAAAATAATCTTACTTTGCAAAAGTGACCAAATATCAGCAGATAATTTTACAAAAAATAAAAATGTATGTTTTTTTTTTCTTACCTTAGTTCTTGGATTGTTTTTGTGCCGGTCAAATGGGATGAGCATCAGCTGAGCTCAGACTTTTATACAGAGGAGGTGACAGAGGACACACTTTTTAGTTTTTGTCGTCCTCTAATCCTGACCAAAAAAGGGAGACATCAAGTTAAAGATTATTTAAGCGAATTCAGCTGGTTTGGCTCTGACTGAAGGTCAAAGTGTGTCCTCAGGGCTCAGCCTAGATGAAGAGTTAATTATCTATCTATCTATCTATCTATCTATCTATCTATCTATCTATCTATCTATCTATCTATCTATCTATCTATCTATCTATCTATCTATCTATCTATCTATCTATCTATCTATCTATCTATCTATCTATCTACCTATCTATTATGTTGTGTTAAAGATACAAACAGGATATTATAAGAATATTCTCTTTGCACTCTTATATGTGGAATTTGATGTATGATGGAGAAATTTCTACCCGATCTTTCATTTGTTCTGAAATTTACATGTTTTTGGTGATTAAAGTATGTACCTTGTCACAGCGCCCGCTGCTTGGTCCTTGCAGATTCCTGGGCAGCATCTGGTTTATAATGCGTACCCCTAACATTGTGGCTTTGTTGTTCATTTTGAGTTTGCTAAAATGTCATTAATCTCTGTGAAGGAACCCCGCTAATGAACGATTTGTTTACATAAGAGAGGATGAGAATTAGATCCTGACAGAGTAAGACTGTTATTACCTGATGTGAAACACTTTTCTTCATAGCGGTTCGTAATTTTAGAGATGTGCTCACCTGCTCTGCTGCTCTTGTGTGGATTGCAGGATCCTGTTATTCAATATCCAAGTTATTAAACCTACAAATTCAGCACACTAATTCAATCCAACAATACTGCCAAAGAATTTAGGGATGATGCTGGTGGAAACAAAAATCTTTCTGCTAGTATTACAGTGACTAAGACATGCTGGAGATACGTCCTGCAGATTGATTTGACCTGAGGGTGTAATCTGTTTATCTCTGGTGCTACTCTTGTTATGCAGAGTTTTTTTTTTTTTTTTTTTTTTGTGTTGTCAGGATCAAGAACCAAGTAGTCACACAACCAGGTAATAACCAAGAAAACTGAGAGCGAAGTAGCTTGTCTTTTCCAGTCTGTTATACCCTGTCCCTGTGAATTTGCCAGTTTATTATTACAGGAGTAGCTGTGATAGACTCTTCAATTATTACCAGAATCAGGGGTGTGCCAAAAGTGGATGTTTATGACCAGTTCATCACTGCTTTACACAGGGTCCTTTTTCAGGGCACTCAAATGAGACAGTATGTTAAAGAACAGAGATGCAGCAGTTTACAGTGGTGCCTCACCATTTAGCACCTGCCCAAATATGACCCTACAGTGCAGCAAACACTGAACTTTTGTGGTGTTTGCTGACTTTAACTCTGACCTTGCCCAATATTTGTAGCGTCAAGACAACCCTGTGTGTGAAACTCACACATGCCTCGCAGGAAAGGTTCCTTATCTGGTCCCAGGGCACAGGATCATGTAAAGCTTTTTAGACTTGTTTGGACTTTCAGGTTACACATCTAAACCAACCGGGTTGACCCAAACCTCTGACTCTTCTCAATTGGTCAATTTGGAGAAAAGAGAGTTGTTTATTACCCTTCAAACTGACTTCATCACTGACCATCTAAATAATCATTCATGCCTCCACCCAGGTCTTCCATTTGAGATTTACTCTCTTTAAGTGTGTGAACACACGGATTCCAACCAAAGGTCTGAGGAGCTGAATGCTGACCTCCAGACCTCCAGAATAAGCCAATATCTCACTCTGACTGAATAAATTCTTTATTTTTTAGTTCCTTTAGACCATCAGCATTTCAGACTGTTTTGTAAACCTTTAAGAGTTAAAATTATTGAAACTGAGTCATGATTTTACTCTAAGTAACAGAAATAGTTCAGAAATGTTTAGTTGAGGTTTTAATCATTGATATTGTATTTTTAACCACCAGGTTGTTATAATGTCATTTAATAATCTGATTGTGAGTATGTAGAATCCATTATTAATCATTATGAAGTTCATTTACAAGTATTTACACTTGTTGTCCACAGTTTAAAAAGTGATATTCAAAGTGTAGTCAGAATATTTAATGTGATTCTACATTTCTTTGTGCTTAGTATCAAATCATTTATCATGAACGAAGCATTTAATAACATTAATCATAGTGAGTGAGTGTTAGATCCGACTCCTTTACCAGCCAAAAGATATTAGATATAATGGTGTCTGGTGTATGATGAAAGGAGACAGTTGCACATTGTTCCCTGTTTATTTAAAAACCTCCACAGTCTTATCATTAGGTAATATTGATCAACACATTCAGCATAAACACAGTGTATTCACATGACCATGCAGGCAGAGTTAAGAATACAGGATGAGTAACACACCCTATTATTTAGAGTATTAAGCAGGCAGAGCTGAGGGCAGAGGAATATTTCAGCATCATGTGAAAAGATGGACGAGACAGAAACTGATCAAGAGCATCATTGTGTTATTTGGAATGTGCAAAACCCATCCTGCAATCAATGATATTCATGTTCTCTCTCCTCAGCATGTACAACAGCACTAAAATCAATCATTAAAATCATTTGGTCACAAAGTTCCTCATCCAGCATGTTCAGATTATTAAGTAAGAATAAAAAAATCTGCAAGCTACAATGGGAAATTATTGCTGAGAGATGACGCAGCAGCTTTAAGGTCCATCAAACAGTCGAGATAGACGTCAGTCTGTGAAACCACGAGAGTTCACAAATCTGATCTACTCAGTGATTCACAGTCTTGGAAATTTGTTAAAACTAAAAGTGCAAAAGCTAAAACGTCCTGTCTCTGAAAAAAACGTTCACACTCACATTTACACAAGAATCATTATTATACATCATATAATATTTCTAATCAATAGAAACAATAAAACAGACGAGCAGGTTTGTGTTTCTGGCAGTGCAAACTTACAGCGTGAGTGTCAAGGTACAGCATGAGCCAACTCTTACAAAACATTTGAAATAGTTTTTATCCTGCAGGAGGACACCTGTGAGCAGGACCAGGTGCATCCACACTCACACTTCACTTCATTACGACCTCTGTGTGTATGTTTTTTTTTTTTTTTTTTTTTTTTCAAATAAAATGCCGTTCTCTGCTAACACAGGTGCATGCTTGCTGCACAATCAACAACAATTTCATCCTATTCTGATAAAAACAAAAAAACAAAAACAGGACTTAAACTGGGGAAACAGCCTCTAAAAGCTGCTTCATTTCACTGCTTATCAAAGCTGAAGACGTGTTTGTCATCTTCTGATTCATGCTGAGCTGGAATTCAGAGGAATTATTGTTCTGATGAAACTTGATCACTCTTCTGAAGACTTTTTATTCCTATAGATTTGCAGATGAGTGAGAGCTCTGCAGCGTTTACTTATAATTCCACTAATGGTTAATCTGACAAATATTTTCTCTGCTGTTACTTTGTTGTTTGGTCTTTGAAATATTATAAATAGAGGATAATATGTTTAAACGCTGACTTGTTTTGGTCCATAGTCTAGAAATATGAACTTTGCTATCATAAAAGAAAAAAAAGAATTTGGAAAATAATCACATTTAAGACGCTGGAAGACAAAAAAAAAACAAAAAACATTTTGTCTCTTTAAAAAAATGACTGGTCTAATGGTTGGCATTTGAAACAATATTTGAAACTTCTTTGTTAACATTTGCAGCTCTTGTAAGGATTCAAATATGTACACATTTCAGGTTTTGTGTCCCTGACGAGCTCCTATAGACAGGTCAAACTCATAGGCACAAAAACAATGATCCTGACTGCTGCCGTCATCAGAGTTTCATATTAATGTTAGCGAGTGAGGATCTGAAAACTTGAATCCAAACACGCCATAACTAACAGGCTGTCTGAGCGGTGAAGGATAACCAGCACACAAACACAAACAAGCACACACTAACACAGATGAACTCCTTCAGAATCCAAAATGAATTTCTGGAGATTTGAACTTTAGCTAAACTAAAGGCCTCAGCCTGACATGCTTAAATCTTGCTCATTTAGTATACTTAACAATTTTCTGGAAAAAAGGAGCATAGCTGACAATACATCCATACACAAGTCCCATTAAATTTAATGTCCATTTTTACTTTATATATACAGATTTGCATTTTTTCTATCCTATCTTCAATTAATCATATTTGAACCTTCTGGTTTTGATGTTGTAGTTTTACTCTTCTTGTCTTGATTTTCAGAGGCTCATTTTAATAGTTTAAGATACCATCTTTTGTTATATTTTAAAAATTTCTTTCATTTTATTTTTAACCTCTGTATTACATTTTTTTCATGTTTTTTTGTTAAGCTCTTTGATTGTTTCCCGCTGAATAAATAAACTTGCATGAACACATAAATCCTTAAAAATGAAAAATATCATAACATTTTAGCCTGTAGCTGTCCTGAAATTCTCTGTATGACTCTGTGCAGTTTACCACCAACTTCATTCAAAATACATCATTTAGTCTGATTCAAGGGTCACCTCTTTGGGTTGGACATTCTGCTATTCTGGATAAATCTAGAACATCACTTCCCAAGGAAAAAGCATGTACACACTGACCTGTTCAACTCTGTACAATAAGACACAGTAATAAGAATCAAGAATACTAGTATTTATTAGGGATGTCCTAATATGTCCTATGATACTGATATCGGATATGGATATCAGCAAAAAACGAATATCGGATTATATTGGCCTGCTTCTTAAATCTCCGATATCAGCGCTCCAATTCAACCAGTCCATTCCAGACTCTGCTCCGGCACCTCTATCTAGCAGCACCCGGATCTAACATGCAGAGCCCACAAAATCATAACAACAGTGTGTCCTAAGGTACTAACAAAATAGCAAGGAGTAAGAGTGATGTCAGCCGTGTGGCAGTATTTTTTTTGTGTAAGTCCGAAAAAAAATGTTGCAGCTCAGTGCAAAACTTGTCGTGCACAATTTTGTGCCAATATCAGATAAATGTTGTTATCAGCCAATACTGAAGGCTACAATATCGGTACTGTATCAGAAGTAAAAAAGTTGTATTGGGACACCCCTACCATTTATCATGTATCCAGGGTGATCAATAACTTGGTTTCTCTGTGTGCAAGCAAACCCCATATCTTCAGTCTTCAGAGTCATAAAGTTCATAAAAATCTCTGACCAAGACCTTCAGGTCCATGGAAACACTCTGAGAGTATCTTGATGTATTCATGTCATGCATACTTGGTTTAAACTTTACTTTGTGCACACTGATCAATAATCTTTGACTGGAAAACCTGAGGATTACACAACCAATGCAACCCCTACCTTGCTCACCCAAACCAATTATAAATAAACAATTATAAAACGGCTTCAGATGACGTGAGCAGTTACATATTCAGGATCAATGTTTAAGAATGTTTCTAATGATTAAACTGGAGTGTCAGTCAGAGCAGGCTGCAGGAGAAACAGAGCACAGTCTGATTTCAAGTGAGTGTTCGAGCTAATTTCACATTTACTGACACCAAAAAGGAGTCTGCCTCAGTGACCTCAATTAGTTTGGAGGATTAATTAACTGTTTACATCTTGTTTTTGTTTGTGCCGTAACTCATAAATCCAGTCTACCTGTATATCACACCTGATCCCATTGTGTAAATATTGAATTTTTTTATAATCATATCTTGCCCCATTTATATAACCTACCTTATCTTTATTAACTTAGCACTGTTTGCACCCGTTATTGTTGCATTATAATCTCATTTTCTTACTGCAAACCATCCTGTACACCTGTACACACCTGCATTATTTAAATGTTTGCTTTCTCGCTGTTGTCCTTGCTTTTTAGTCTATAATTAGCTCCTTTTTGTGTGTTTATACTGACAGATGTGTAAATCAACAGAGTCAAAGGTGTACACCATAAATATTGGACATCTATTAACACTCATATACTCTATGAACAAATGTAGCCCATTCAGGTGACTGTTGAAGCTCTATGTTTTCCTCTCTGTAAGGGAACTGTGATGGCAAATCTTGGAGTCTTTAAATTCAGACTCCTGCAGCAAAGAGAGTTTGGGTCTGTCCAGACCGACTGACAAACCCCATGTCTGTCTCAAAAAAAAAAAACAACAATAATAATCATCGTTTTAAACACCCCCAGAAAAAGTAATTATTACACTGTATAAGCAAGACGATCACACTTCTTTCAGATATAAGGGATAGAAACGCCCCTGAAAGTCGAAGAAACACACCAAGTTTAACACCGAAAGGCTAGGAATCTCACAACCAGAGTGGATTTTACAACATGAATAGGAAGTCAGACTGTTCTTATTTGAAGAGCTAATATGGTAAACACAACAAGATTGTGTTGTATACAACAGCTCCAGCACTGGTCATAACTACACCCCAAATGTAAGACGATCCCTAGTTTTTCAGAAGCAAAAACCGTGTCTCATATTCGGGTATATATGGTAATTTAAAATCTGGTTTAAAATCTTTGAAGCACAAAAAAATAAAAATAAGTGTCATAAAACAGCAAAACTGAAGTGTGATGGAAAAGCTCCTTTTTAGTCAAGTTTTCTTCTCAAATACTAAACACATACCATATATATAATCTCTGTATCAGTCTAAAGACAGATGGCATGTCGGCCTTTTATCTCCCTCAGTCCCTAACCTCAGACCTCCAGTCCCAGCATGCTTTGCAGTGTCTGAGGGGACAGCCACATCATCTCCACCAGGTTGTATTGACAGTATCCCATCCAGAAGCCGAACATCACATCCGTCACATTGTGCCTCCCCAGCAGCACCCGGCTTAGACCCACCAGGCTGGCCCACAGTAGAACCAGAACCCTGAGTGGGGCAGCTAGCACTAGGTGAGCCAGCAAGAAGCGACCGCACATTGCGGCGCGCGTGGCGTGGCCGGATGGGAAGGAGTACCGGTCCACAGAGAAGGTGGCGAACATGTCCATACGGTTATGAGAGGGACGGCGGCGACGCACCACGGCTTTAACCACGCCCACCAAGACCAGATCCAGGATGAGACCTGAGGAAGAAGAGTAGGGAAGATGTTAAGACACAGAGGTGAGACAGACATGGTATCATCTGCTGCAGGATACTTTAACATCCATCAGAACCAGCAGATACTCAGACTGAGATCTGGACTTAGACTAGGATCCAGACTCCGGGTGGGCCTGTTTTATTTGAGAACATTTACACCTCCTGCTGCTTTGTAGATCTGCAGATCTACAAAAACTTAAACGTCCACTCGACAGTACAACACAGGGACAAACAGCAGCTCACTTGCAGTTACCTGACTGAATCATCACGTGCTTTGGCGTCCTCTGATGGTTGACTTGACACCTACACAGTGACACACAGATGTGTGCACCATAGACTGAGCTGAAAGGGGCTGTGCTAACTTAAAATCGGTAAGTGGTTTGACCCTCAGTTTCTGTTTTTCTTTACTTTTCCAGTCAGAGATCCTGTTTGACTGGGGGGTTGATATTAAAGCTCCTGTGAGGAGTTTTGTGACTGGTTCTGAAACTAAACAGTGAGGCCTCTTGATAACCCCCAATACAGGAACATAGGGCTTGGCGATAAAACGATAACAATATATGTAGAAAATTAATTTCCCTCAATATCAATATAAAACATGGTCAATATCCTTTTTGATAGTCTGCATTCTGCCAGGTTTTGGTAGACTATACGAATAGCCAATGAAAAGGGAAGTTGCTCCAGGTCTGCTTCGTGCTGAACCAAGCACACACGATGCAAAAGGTTACCAACCCAGAGTGGAGCAAAGAGCCCATGGCGCCTGTGCAGCTGAAACAGCTGACTCTTCAGCTTTCTCTAGCGCAACGCCTTACGACAAAACGTTAGAAAGACACAAAGACCTCACAGATGCAGAAGCTTATTTTATTGCGAAAGACATGCTAACAATAAGCACTGTTCAATTTCATTTTTTATCTCATGATGTATAACGATAGACTGATGAGAAAAAAAAATATTGTGATAAACTTATTCCAATATCGCCCAGCCCTACAGAAACAAAAACAGACAGTTTCTCTGTTCGCCTGTACACATGGTGAGGGGGCAGATGTCAAACACGGCAGTTTTCAGCGAAGAAAAGAAAATACACCAATGCACATCTAAACTCTCCTCACTTATCGCCAGACAACCCTGTGGTTGGTGTTTTCCTTATTGTTCAATCCTTTTATGAAAGAGTCATGTTTATCATTTAAAAATGAGGGGAAAAGTCAAATCTTTGTCACAGCTGATGGCTTACTCATGAAAATGTCAACATCCCAACAATAAAGACATGTTATTTGTTGTTTTACAGTGTTAAAAATAACAGGATAGAAATGGAGATTTGATCAGTTCAAGGATCAGTACAGGGTGTTGAATTCACTGAGGTGACACCTGACAGAGACATAACAATCACTCAAATAGGCCACACCCTCAATTTTACAACACCTGTACCCTAAATCTAATATAAATGATGAGTTCTCCTTAAATTCAGCTCATATTGTTGTTATGAACAGAGAAACAAGCGACAGACACCAAAACTGTTTTTTTGTGTTAGGCTGTAATCACAAAAGGGGGTGAAGCAGCACTCTGATATACAGCTTCAGGTAATACAGTCAGAGCTACATACACATGACATGTTTTGTCCTCGACTCTCACCTCACAAACACACCCTCCAAATCTGAAGCATTAGTTAAGCTGTCAAATTTCCCATCTTCCTCCCTGCTTTGTTAAAGTCACTCCTGCCCAACTCCGCAGCAGCTCTTTACTCATTCGTTCAGACACAGCATCCATGCCTGCATTTACATCTGCATATCTGCATCCACCTGCTGGCCCCAGCTGTGGGGGCGGCATTGAATTTTCCTTTCTCCTTGCTGTTATTTTGATTTGAGGGATTTATGTAACCAGAATCACAAAAGGAGGCTTGTTTTTTTCATGTTATGATGGCGAGGCAGGACTCCTCTTCAAACCAGTTTACCCGAACAGTCATCAGTGAGCGTTACAACCAGCTTATTCAGCCAGTTAAACCAGTTCTGATGCAGATTTTTCTGCAGTGGATAACACCGTGCAGTACTGTGCACCCTCAGGGAGCTTTAATGTTTAATATTAATGCTCACTGACAGATGTTTGGAGTAAAAATCAGGAGCACTTTTTTACTCTCAGTGCAGGCCTGAAGAAACCCTCTCCACTGCAGGAAAACTTCAGCTGGGTCCATCTAATCAGCATCATAAAGAGGAAGCTGAGAGTTCTAGCTGTGTGTTTTTCAGCTCTTAAATCCACATTTTTTGTAGTTTCTGGTCTCTGCAGAACATATTGGTAAGAGAGGGAAAAAAAAGTTCAGCACAGTAGACAGAGATGTTATTTTAATAAAATTATTGCTCAAACTGACATAAAGGTTTTTGATGCCTCACTTCATAAAGCAGAGAAACAGTGTCCTCAAACCAGACACTGTTCAGTGTTTCTGCTTATAATTATCCTGTAAATCAGAGCTACAAGCCTTAATCATTTGGTTGATCAAAAAGAACATTTTTTCAAAAATTTTGATTATAATTTTTAAAGCTTCGGCCATTTCCCCCCACAAAAAACAAATGCTTATACTCTTACTATATTTATCGTTTTACTGACGTACTCGTCTTGCCTGCAGCACATTCAGTTTGCTGCAGTGACTGAATTTCCCCTCCGTGGATCAATAATGTATTAACTGATCATTCAAAGTTCATTTACACCAAGGCCTTTTTTGCAGTACTGTACTGAGCCAAAGTATTTTCTGTCTACATTCATCTCACAAAATAATCACCCAAATTCAGAAATCTTGTTCCTCATTTGCGAGTAATTTTAAATCGTTGTATTTTGTTAAAAGCAAAAAGGGAGAAAGTGATGCAGTCATTGGATATCGCCAATGAGCTGACCTGCTCTCTCATTATTGGTTTTGGCATTGGCCGTGGATGGCTGCAATTGTACTTGGTCGACAACTACTGCAGACTATTGATGTGGACTGTACATCAGAGGAGGATGTTTTTAACATGATTGATTTGAAAGAATTTGACTTTTTCTGTGAACCAGGATCAGGTTTGATGTTGAATGTTGTTCCTCAGTTTGGCAATTATATTTTGGCAGCACTGTTAGAAATCTGTTTCTTAAAGTAAACTACCATCCCAAATTAACCCGGTACAACACACCAAACTGACAGGGACATGAAGAAAGAGGAATTAATATCAGAAAACCTTTAGATTCAAATTAAAAGAGTTAGTAAGCTCAGCAAGAGAACAGAAAAGAGATCAGGAAAAAAGAAAGGTGGGTTATAGGAGAGGGCACACAGGTGAGAAATGAGGGGAGGTACCTGCAAGTAGGATGGAGATGAAAGTAAAGAGCAGAGGAGATCTACAGGTACAGGGCAGGTGAAGAGTTTGGGTAGCCTACCTGCTGTGAGGTCTGCGGATGAAAAACGAGAACAGGGATGCAATTCTGTGGGGCCCAGGCGAACAAGACGACCCCCCACCACCACCACTACACACACACACACACACACACACACACACACACACACACACACACACACACACAGAGAGAGAGAGAGAGAGAGAGAGAGGGAGAGAGAGAGAGAGAGAGAGAGAGAGAGAGTCGCACGTGCAGCAGGTGTTCTTACCCATGAGCAGGTTGAGCATGACCTCCTGTCCCGCGGCGCTGTCGCTCTTGTACAGACAGTACCCGGTCCCGGCCAGCCAGGGGATACCGTGTCCCGAAATCTCGATCAGCTTCATGAGGGGCCGCACGCTCCCCCACGAAGAGTCCTCGCACGCGCACACCCCCAGCCGCTTGGACATCCACAGGTCGATGGCGAGCAGCGAGCTGAGCGCGACCCGCAGGAAGGACGGGTTCAGCCGGATCCCGTCCTCCTCCGACAACCCCTGTCCGGAGCCCGTTGAAGAGCTGGATCCCCGGCGCCGGGTAGGGCTCTCTGAGGCCCGTAGGCGGGCGGTGGTGGGGTCGGAGCCCTGTCGCTGCAGGAGGAGAGGCGGGGGAGAGGATCGGCTCAGCGGCTTGGTCAGTGACATGAACTCGTAGCGGCCGTTCGAGCCTCCGAGCACCGGGCTGCCTCCGCCGCGGCCCGGGTTCTTCGCTTTGGGGGACGGCATGATGTCCGGAGGTTAGAGCGGGGGAGGGAGGGAGGTGGTAGTCCGGGTCTGAGGGGGTGAAGGTGGGTGTGATCTGGATGCACCGCGGGGTGAATCCTCTGCAGTGCTGTGCGGCAGCTCGTCTTTCAGATCATCGGCTGTTCGGCTCACGATTCACATCACGTCCTAAAACACAGAGTCCATCCGCCATCTTTGTTTATCTGCCCGCAATGACACCTGGGAAACTGTGTTTCTCTCTACACGTGACCAGTTACTATGACAACCCGATAGTCTATGGTAACGAATAAGAAAAAAATGCTTTACATTATTTAGGCTACGTGTTGAAAGAGTTTGATCAAACAATGAACACAATTAATGAGATTAAAAAAAGTACAAAAGTAAAATAAAATAGATGATACAGAAAATGTCAAACTGAGCCTCATATTCATTGCGGATATAGCAAAGGTTTAGAACCTTAGACTGTATCTAGTATATACAGTCTATATTTAGAACACGTGCATTGAGCATAGAGCATTTATTTAGTTATATTAAGCATTTACAATGCAAATGAAATGAAAAACTTTAAAATAGTGATTGACGTATTCAATCTCATAACATGTATTCTTTTGATATCAACCTTATATATACACAGCCTGCTGTTTATTCACATTGCAACCCTGCCTTTCAAGGTGACCTTCAGGGTCTCAAAAGGTGCCTAGGCTATGTAAAAATATTTTATTCTTATTCATTATCATCAATTTTTTAGGGGACTGCCTTCAAAGGCAGATTCATTTTAGAGGCAGGGCTTTAATGATTATAAAATGGTTGAATTAAGAGAAACTACAGAGGGTTTCAATGGTATTTAAGCTACTCGTGAGGGCTATTCTTCTGTTTTAATAGTTTAAAAAATACACATGAAGATTTTTGTTTTTAACCAAATACAGAACAATTGGCCACTTACTTTCTGCTTCTTCCGAAATATCTATGAATTAAAATTGTGCATTCAATTTATGATAGGCTATAGAAAAACAAAGTCATAATCCTGTAATCATGGCATTCATAAGAGCACCGTATACTTTTAACTGATCTTCTATTTGGTGTAAAAAGCAAACATGCTTCATGTCTTTCAGGCCTCTTTATCAGAGAACATCGTGGACTTGTCGATTCTCTTTGTCCGATCAGATGAAACAGACTCTTAGCCTACTTTATATTTCCTTCAGACCTCAGAGAAACAAATGTATTTTATTTATTCCTGATAGGTTATCTCATGCACTTGAAAAACTGTCCTTTTGTTCTGTGGTGATAAAACACAAGTTAACCTTAAACCATTAGACAGTGACCTCTGTTATCCTGGTGAAAAAATGTTCATCTGTGACCTGGAGTAAACTGCATCCTTATCCTTATACAACACCATGTGTGATGAAACAGTGTGCTCTGCTTCATCAAAAGCTTTGTTTATAATGTTTTTATAAATTTCACATATTTCTTTCTTTGTCATTAACCTGTTCAGGGACTACAGCTAAAGATAAGCAAGGATAGTATATCAATAGAAAAGCTGATAACGTAAACTCTTCTTTTGACTTTCAGCTGTAAGTTCTAGTAAGTTTGGATCTTATCAGATAAATATTTTAATACGGTACAAGACGACCACAATTTGATACACAACAATACATTGCACTAAGATAGGATTCCATACGATAGAATACAATACATTTGGTATGTCACCCAACAGTAGATATGTTTTGGATAGGACAGAATAGGATGAAATGTGACCTGATATAATACAAGGCAATGTAATCAGATATAATGTGATTTGGTTCATCATCATATAATATAATTCCATACAATGTAATTCACTACAACAAGACAAAACAATAAGATGCAGTTTGACAAAAACTATCATAGTATGATTTGATGCAATACACTTTGGGTTCCTTCCAGGATAAGTTAATTTGACATTAGGTGCTTCTTGCATTAAGCCAACCAATCAATTATACAGCACTTTATAACGCAATCAGATTTTTTCTACTGAGACTGATAACAAAATAAAACAAAACAGAAATTGGAACATCTATGCATTAAGAAACTGAAGTTTGCAGAGGCTTATGCAAACCAACAGCTTTGAATTTTAAGTTATTAAGACAGTAAACGGGAAATGAAATAAAAATAAGTTAAAGCATAAAACAAAAGATCATAAGCACACAAAAGCTAAGAACATAATATATAAAGAAAAGTACCAGGATAGCTGGGAAGATGAGAAGTTAGATGATGAAAATGACAAGAGTTGAAGAAACCCAACAAAACCACCTTAAAACCGACTTTATCAAATAATTGAAACAAAAAAATTCTAATGTAAAATCTAGATTAAACAGATTGGCTATCAGTTTTAACTTTTTTTTTAATATTTGCAGCCCTGCTCAGATCCTCCAGCTGCCTGTTTCAGAGTCTTGGAGTAAGGACGAAAGAAGAATCATAAATTTATTTGGTGAAAATGTTTTTTTTTTTTTTTTTTTTTTAATCAAATCTAAGTTGATTTATGTCGTTTTTATGTAAACCAGAGAGGAGAACGTTACAGAATATGCCCAGCCTGCTAACAATAAAAGTGTGCATTAGTGTCGCTGTGTTGCTCAGAGAGTAACTGCCTCACTTCAGATCTCTTCTTTAGATGATAAAATGCTGTTTTCATACATTAAGATTTAAAATAAAAATCTGAATCAAATGAAACACCAACATTTTTTGCTTGTAGGCTGAAGTTAAGTCCGAGCTCACTTTGTGTAGAGGCCTGTTTCTGTCTTGAAGCAGATGTTGAGAACTTGTGTTTTGTCCTGGTGACATTCAGGCTTTGATAACTTCAGTAAGTTTTAAAAGTGAACAACTTCATTATCTTCTGGTTTTTATTTTACATAACCTCTTCAATGTTGACGAGTAGCCTACTTTTGCTTAGAAGTGAACTTTAAGACGAGCTTTGAGTATTTTATCGGTCATAGAAACACAATAAAGTCATTGTTTGAGTTCAAATGACGTTTTTACATTTGTAACAGACCTATATCTTGTGAACTTTGTTGTGATTACTTTTTTTAAATTGTGGAAAATAAAATAAAAAACTATATAACACAGTTAACAATTCTGTAACGCTGGTTTTATATCAAAAATGTTGTAAAATTACAAAAAGATACTCTGTCGTCGACGCCTCCTCTCTGTTTGGTCGTTCTTTTGCTGCGTCATAAAGATAAGTCCGCCCATGTCCGGGTCTTCTCACGTGGTCTGGGTCAGGTAATAGCAGTGCAATCTCTCTCGCTCTTTCTTCTGTTGGGAGACCTCAGACAGAGCAACCATGCCGGGAATTCTACTGGGAGACGAGTTCCCTAACTTCGAGGCCGACACCACCATCGGTCGGATGCGCTTCCACGACTTCCTGGGAGACTCGTGAGTGCGCAGACTCCAAAACCGCATTTTCACATCATTTTAGTTTTAGCCCTGATATGTGTATGAGATACTGTGGGATGCTGCTATACAGAAAGCTGCAGGTCCAGGATTAGATCCAGGAATAAATTAAAAATCAAAGAGGCTTTTTGTTCACATTTGTGGAGGTTTTTAATGCCGCGACACCTGCTGGATCAGAGAGACCAACACAAGCATGACTGTAATGCGATAGACTGTGAATGTCCCACAAAAGAGCTCAAAGCAGAGGAAAGTAAGCAGAGATAATACAAACAAACATACTGCAGAGGGGCTTCTGTGTTCAAGGTTGTACTTTCACACGGATCCACAGCAAAATGAGAATTGCTTGTTTGAACCTGATCTCTTACATTTCATAAGTCCGTCTGTATTTATGTAACAAAAGGGGGAAAAGACACACACACACACACACACACACACACACACACACACACACACACACACACACACACACACACACACACACACACACACACACACAGAGAAAGAGAGTACAGTGAGTATTTTTTTAAACTGCAAGCTTTATTAAAAAGTGGCTTTAAAAAAAACTCTGAGCATAGCACTGATTCACTGTAGAATAACTTTTAACTTGGCTGATTTACAAAGGATCATCTTGTAGTCTTGAAAAAGAACAGAGATTTCTGCCAGAGTAAGGGTTTAATATGTAATGTCACGAGAGTAGAGTGGAATTGTTCATTGATAAAATGATGCAAGATTAAGGTTAGAAGCTTTTAATGATAGGCGATAAAGTACATTTTTTACAAGAATACAGCTGATATGCTCCGAGAAAAAAGTGCAAGAATGAAGTTTTTGTCCCTAGAATAGTTTTTGTGTTCTTAACAAAACTTTTTTCTTGTTTGGAGACTAAAATCCTTTTGTTCACAAAATAAAATTATGCCCAGGAACAAATTGTAATGTCACTGGAAAATGAGATTGTTATGTAACAAGTTGTGTTCACAGAAAAAAGTTGTGTTCTGAGGGTGAACTTTAGGAGAATGAGTCAAGTTGTTTCGTTGTGAGAACAATGGTTAAAGTATAACATTAACTTAGTTAACCATGAGTCTATATGACTGTTGTTGGAAGGAGAATACTGAGTTTTCAGCCAGTTTCCTGCTTTGAATGAGGGAGATGGTCCATCAAAGTGGTGGCTGACTGATCAAGATAAGATGAGATGAGATAAGATAAACTTTTATTCTTCACATGGTGGGAACATTTACAGTGTTAACAGCTGCAAAAGATCAGCATAGCAAACAGAAGAATAAGTACACTCATTATGCACACAGTGCATTGATAATTAAGTTTACTTAGACCTATACAAAAAATGCAATATACAAAAAGAGAAAAAATGTAATCAAAAACTAAAACGGTTATACACAGAGCTGGTCCATGGCTGATGCTGGTTCTCATACTGTGACAGCAGGTCTGTGGATGGCTGATGTATAATGCCGATATCACATTGTTATTTTTTCTTTTAATTTTTTGCCCACCTGACGGACTACAGAAATTTAATAATGAAATAAATAAATAAAAACAAAAAGCTTAATATGAGAGAAAGTTTTGTTAAACAGTAGTGGATAGTATTTTATTTTATTTTGTAAGACATTCCCACAAAGAAATTTTGGATGTTTGTCCGGCCATCTTAAATCAGAAGAAAAGAAAATTTAAGGTAAATGTTGCAAAAAATATTAAAATATTTATCTGAGCATTATTAAGATTTTATTCTTGTCACAACAAGACTTTATTCCTGTTTTACCATCACATAAGTCTTGTAGAGTTGAACTTTCTGTCAAACCTGCCGCTAAACACCATGACCTATTTCAAGTAACAGCACTTTATTCCTGTAAGACTATAACTTAATTGTAGTGCTATTACTTCAATTTTCTGATTGCTTGAATTGGAAATATTATGGTCCGACTTTGAAACTATGTATTCAGTCCGATAATGCTATGATTTAAAACTCAGTTATACAGATTTATTTTCTTATAACTTTTATGACTTTGTTCCTTTCAGTTTTCCCTCACACACTATCATGAGATTTTCTACTTTTTCTTTGTTTCTGCTCTCCTTCTAAAGCGTGTCAGTGTAAGGTCAGGGCTACAGACTTTACTAAAAGGTTAAATTATGTGCGTAACGATAGGAGAACCCCTCTGGACTTCAGTAATTACGCAACATCCCACTCTTTGTGTGGCGGGAGTGGTTGTTGGACTGCGAGAGGCTCCATCTGTTGGACTGGATCCCAGTTTGAGGCCTCACTGAGTATTTTGAAAAGTATCTGCAGAACCAGAAACTGTTAACAGCCTCATTAGTCTCTGTCTGTGTATTTAAAATGTATCTCTATAGCTCTGTCAGAGTTTGGTCCCCCTAGCTCTTGAACACATCCCTCCCAGTAAGAGTGTCAGTGCTCAGAGTGTTTCCTGCTGGTTCAAACTGGTGTGCTCCCAGTTTAATCTGGTCATTCTGTGATCAGGTGATCACAGCTCATCCTGTTGTTTATAACACGAGGCAATCATGTGAGGGAGAAATCTCATGTGAATGAGCAGTAAATTATGTTTTTAAAGATAATAAAGTCAGAAACATCTCCGCTCTAAACCCTTGTGATGCTTTTTAGAGGCTTGTCCGACTGCAGAGCAAAGCTGCAAGTTCTCAGTCATCTGTTTTCTCAATCTGACACTGGAATTTCCTCCTCTGAGACTCGGTGTTCTCGGTTTTTATCTCCCTCCTCCTCTGTTTTTCTCAGCTCACACAGCTGGATCTCAGGCTGGAACTGAAATGTGTTTGCAGGGGTGCTCCAAAGGGGTGGCCAGGCAGAAACACCCTCTAGAAAGCTGTTCCAAATTAATATGAGTGCTTGCTTGCCTTGTTGAAGGTGGACTTGTGTTAAAATCAGTCTGTTTGGTCTCACAGCATCTGTTTTTGTGTTTCAGTCAAGCAAATTTTCTTCACTTGGTGCGCTTCACTGCAAATGCATCTTAGATGTGTGTTTCCAGTTTGATAGCAAAGTTGTGTTTCCCTACACAGTCTGAAACATACTTTTGCATTAATGATAAAAATGTTTTCATGTCCTGTGTATCGCCCCCTGCAGGTGGGGTATCCTGTTCTCTCACCCGGCAGACTTCACTCCAGTCTGCACCACCGAACTCGGCCGAGCTGCCAGTCTAAACGATGAGTTCCAGAAGCGAGGCGTGAAGATGATCGCCTTATCCATCGACAGTGTGGCCGACCACATCAGTTGGAGCAAGGTCAGGGAGAAAACACACACACACACATGTGCGTGCGTGCTTGCACAGTGGTTGTGACTGTGTTGAGTAAGAGGTGAAGGTTGTGGTAGGTCACTGTGGGCGGAGCCTGCAGGTAATAATTGTCCAAATCTACAGGTTTTACTGTGTGCTTTTATTGGTAGCTATGTAGGTCAGAGTGAACACTTGTTTCTTATCTGTTTCCTGATCTCTTTGAGGTTTGAAAAGCTTCATGCAAACTTCATGCAATCCACTTTGCATTTAATGCAGTGCACTTCAATTTAAGTAGAGATGCAGACATCATTGCCCAGCTGTCTGAAATGTGGATGCATTTGCAGAAATAAAGAACAATCATCAAGTTTTAAAGAAACAGGCAGAGTTTGGCTGACTGGAGGCCTGCTATATAAAATGTGAACATTTTTTATGATTTTTTTTCTGTGCTGCAACTTCGTTTTAAGTGAAACCTTCAGTGAGGATAATCATTAAACTCTCTTCTATCTGTATCAGTGCTCATGCCGTGTTTTCTATAAACTGAGCGGTCAAAGATTCATGAGTCCGTCCTTCACTTTCCACACAGAACCATTCTTCTGTGATTGGCTGATAGCTGAGCTTCACATTACAAACCCACCTCCCCTCAGAGGCCCCTGATTGGTCCACTGGGTCACAGTTCAACTGGTGGCCAGATGAACTGATTTTATAACAATGACACAACCTAAGTTTGTGCTGAAGGACTAAAAATTGACTCTGGTCACTGCCTCAATGTTGCAACAGGGACTGTTTTTAATATTGAAGTTAAAAAAAAATATGATGGTAAATATTTTGATGATTAATTGATTAATAGAGTCACTGGTCTGGTAGAAAATGTCAGGGAAGGCAGCTTCTCAAACTCTCTCTCTTTATCAAATGTTGTGCACGCATCCACCCTCCTCCCATTGTGAGATGTGAAGTCATAACAGCTATGATATCTCTGAGGGTGTTCCCCAAGGATCAGTCTCAGTACTAGGCCTGCACGATATATCGTTTGACTATCGTCATCGCGATGTACGTGTGTGCGATAGTCACATCGCAGAGCCTGCGATATTGGATGTGAATGAACTCATTTAATTTCAAGGGTAACCGACTGAGAAACACTCCATGTGACTCTGCATGTGCTTTGCAGCGATCCACCAATCACCTTCGTCCTTAACTCAGTTGCCAATCAGACTCACTTCTCAGTTGCCAATCAGACTACCCTGCCAGCTGTCAATCAAAATCAGGGAGGAGGAAACCCACCCCTGCACATGTTCTGCACATGGAAGGAGACGTGTGTCCGCTGAGAATTACTTTCGGAACTTTACTCATGACTATTAAGCCCAACAAATAAGAACTGTATGGGTTTTAAATTGTACATTTCCGTGGACCACTCTACTATAAGCAGTGCGCGTTTTGCGAGGTGCATGCAATTCTCGGAGGACATGCGTTTCTCGGCACAACACCGCTAACAACAACAACAACAACGATCGCAAAATGAACAACGAACAAGCGAAAACCACCGAAAATGAAGATTTGTTGCCAAAAAGAAAAGGAAAGTCAGTTATCTGGAATTATTTCGGTTAAAAGAAGGATGATGTTGACCAAAACACGTGTTCTGTGTTCATCTGTCGCCACAATAACGTCCCAGCACAATAAAAGCTGAAAATATCTCTGAGACAGACAGAAGCCATTCTACTAACATTCACAAAAAGAGGTAAGATCAGAGCAGATTAACTGTCCTCAAGATTTCAGCAGTGCAGCATAACATTAAGTGCTATTCAGGTCATCTGGTGAAAATTCCTGTATTTTTAATATCGCAATATATATCGCAGGGTTGAAAAAATCGCAATATTATTTTTTTCCAATATCGTGCAGCCTTACTCAGTACCTGTTTTCTTTTCCACCCACACCATTAATCTGCCTGATAACTTGTCAGTTGCTGTCTGTCACATATAAGATAATATGTATTGCTTTTTGTTATTGATAACACAGGCCTTTTTGTTTTTAATGTTGCTGTGTCTTGTCTGCAGAAACTTGCATTGATTTTACATGCAGAGAAACCAAACTTCTATTATTCTTCAGGGAACATCTCGATCTTTCCTTAATAGCCAATCTTTACCGCCCAATAAAAATCTATAAAACTTTTTACAACTTTTAGGGACTTGGGTTTTCTTTTGGATTTTGGAGCTATCATTCAAAGCACATATTGCAGATTTGGTCTTCAAACTCAGGATGTAGATAGGCACATACTTAAGAAATACAGTACATCCTGCTGTGTGAGTTTGAAGGACAAATTCCCTCTCAAACAGCAGGTGAATTACGTCTAATAACTCTAGTGTCAGTGGATTTTATGATTCCTTTCACTGTTCCTTCCTTATTCAGTGCACACAGCACTGCAGAATACTAATTGGTCAACAGAGTTGTCACTCATGACATATAATCTCCTGTTTCAAGTGTCAAAAAAGTAACTCAAACTAAACTTGTCAGAAAAATGAACTCTTGGATATAAATCAGCATGATAAGAACTCACTTCAAAGACAGAAACCAGGTTTAGAAAACATTTATATGACCTGGATTAGGATTTTATAGTTTGGCCCATGTCTCATCTGTCTACATGGAGGATGCAGGATGAAAGACCTGTGCTACAGCCAGTTAGGGAGAGCTTAAAATCTGGTGTCACCCAGGAAGGCCATTTTTTTCTGACCATGTATGCACCCAAAGATGTGTTTTTCTTCTGTTTTTCTGTTTTGGATTAATTCCATTAAAGACACATAAAGCCAGAATGTGTGATGAAAGTTTTGCTCTATTTTCTGGCATGTTTAAAATATAAATCCTTGAGGAATCAAGAGAACTTATCAGCAGTGATAAAAGATTAAATAATTGTTTAATTGCCGCTCTAAAAAGCTGATATTGTAATTCACAACAGTGTAATCACAGATCTGATTAGTTCAGGTTTCTGGTCCATCCTAAATGCTGTGAAGATAAGTCAGATTTATTACACAGTCATATTTAGGTGGAGTACACGCTGTTAAATAATCAAGCTGAATGTGGACCAAGGCAAAGTCAGCATTTTTTTAAGGCTCCAAAGGTTATCAGGGCAGTTTAACCAACAAATAACTAACTAAAATAAACTACACCTAAAATACTTAAACAAACTGAACTACATTACCAAAAACTAAACTTGACTAAACTAAACCCTACCTAACTGGAATTTCATCATTACAGATTTATTTACTATTGGCTGACTTGCTTCCACACGAATGCCATCAGCTGTTTAAAAACGTATAACAGGCAAGTGTCATTATGTTTGAAGACGGAGACAAGCAGGCGTACCGCTATCTGTCCTGTACTTTAGTGCACACCCTGATATAATGCATGATCAATGACTCCACATGCTTTTAATAACACTAGAGAGCTAAACAATGAATTACACACAATTATGTGGTGATATAATGAGACATAACATGGATCTGTAGGATTTGCAGCTTGAATCTTATGTTTGATAAAAAGTTCATAATTATTTAATGTTTTTTGTTTATTGAAAGTTTAAAGTTGAATGAAAATGAACAAGGTTAGTTTATTCGCATCTGAAGTAGGATGGTAAAATCCAATCACAGGTGATCACTGGAGACTCGTGCTGGTGCATCACTTAAAAACATGTTTTGGCACAAAGTCTAATCAGCCTCAAAGATCTATTAAAAGACAGATCACTCACTCTTACAAAGCATGTTACACAGGAGAATCAAAATATCAGCAAGGGGTTCACCCACATTTTTTTTCCTCTGTTTAAAGTTAAAAAGTCTTTTAGTGTGGGCCTGAAAACAGTCTGTCTGTGTATCTCTATGCAGGATGTGATGGCATACAACAACGACCCTAAGAGTGACCTGCCATTCCCCATCATTGCTGACCACAAGAGAGAGCTGTCTGTCCAGCTCGGCATGCTGGACCCTGATGAGAGGGACAAATCTGGGATGCCACTCACCGCCCGCTGTGTGAGTAAATGACCTGTTTGCTTGATCATTATTTTTTCAACTCAATTCATCCTCAAAGGCCAGTGTGCATCCTCGCTCTAGAGTCTGTGAATGTTTGCTTTTTCTTTTCAAGTTCCATGACCCACAGAGTGAAGCTGCAGTGTCTGTCTGTGAGGCTGTATGTCTGTGTTCATAAGCTGCAGACAAACTCTGTACTCTGGTCTCCTGTCCTATATTCCTTTGGGGAAGTTCATCCAGAGTTTTTTTGTTTGTTTTCTTCCAAGTGATACCTCAGAACATCATGACCTTTAACCCTTGTGCACCCCTAAGAAAAACTTCCCTTAACACCCCTAAGGACCGAAACGGTCCCCTCCATTTTGCTGGAGTAAAAATATGGTCTAAATAAATATATTTAATTTTTTTTTTTTTGGCTGCCATCATTGACTTATAACCTAATCATGAATAGCAAAACTTTATTCAGGTTTTGTATTTTAACCCCATAAATGCCAGTCTTTTTTGTAAAAACCTGATATTATTTTAAGTCAAAAAACACAATTAGTGAATTATTTTCCCTCCTATATATGCAAATTGTTTTTTTAAACTTTTGATTATTAGAGCATGGGATTGGTAAACATTGATGAGAAAATTGATTTGAAAGGATTTGTATTTTTTCTGTAGTGTTGAATAATAATAAAAACTTCAATTAACACCCCTAAGGACCGAAACAGTCCCCTCCATTTTGCTGAAGTAGAAATATTGTCTAAATAAATATATTTAAATTTTTTTTTTTTTGGCTGCCATCATTGACTTATAACCTAATCATAAATAGCAAAACTTTATTCAGGTTTTGTATTTTAACCCCATAAATGCCAGTCTTTTTTGTAAAAACCTGATATTATTTTAAGTCAAAAAACACAATTAGTGAATTATTTTCCCTCCTATATATGCAAATTGTTTTTTTAAACTTTTGATTATTAGAGCATGGGATTGGTAAACATTGATGAGAAAATTGATTTGAAAGGATTTGTATTTTTTCTGTAGTGTTGAATAATAATAAAAACTTCAATTAACACCCCTAAGGACCGAAACAGTCCCCTCCATTTTGCTGAAGTAGAAATATTGTCTAAATAAATATATTTAAATTTTTTTTTTTTGGCTGCCATCATTGACTTATAACCTAATCATAAATAGCAAAACTTTATTCAGGTTTTGTATTTTAACCCCATAAATGCCAGTCTTTTTTGTAAAAACCTGATATTATTTTAAGTCAAAAAACACAATTAGTGAATTATTTTCCATCCTATATATGCAAATTGTTTTTTTAAACTTTTGATTATTAGAGCATGGGATTGGTAAACATTGATGAGAAAATTGATTTGAAAGGATTTGTATTTTTTCTGTAGTGTTGAATAATAATAAAAACTTCAATTAACACCCCTAAGGACCGAAACAGTCCCCTCCATTTTGCTGAAGTAGAAATATTGTCTAAATAAATATATTTAAATTTTTTTTTTTTGGCTGCCATCATTGACTTATAACCTAATCATAAATAGCAAAACTTTATTCAGGTTTTGTATTTTAACCCCATAAATGCCAGTCTTTTTTGTAAAAACCTGATATTATTTTAAGTCAAAAAACACAATTAGTGAATTATTTTCCATCCTATATATGCAAATTGTTTTTTTAAACTTTTGATTATTAGAGCATGGGATTGGTAAACATTGATGAGAAAATGGATTTGAAAGGATTTGTATTTTTTCTGTAGTGTTGAATAATAATAAAAACTTCAATAAACACCCCTAAGGACCGAAACGGTCCCCTCCATTTTGCTGGAGTAAAAATATGGTCTAAATAAATGTATTTAATTTTTTTTTTTTTTGGCTGCCATCATTGACTTATAACCTAATCATAAATAGCAAAACTTTATTCAGGTTTTGTATTTTAACCCCATAAATGCCAGTCTTTTTTGTAAAAACCTGATATTATTTTAAGTCAAAAAACACAATTAGTGAATTATTTTCCATCCTATATATGCAAATTGTTTTTTTAAACTTTTGATTATTAGAGCATGGGATTGGTAAACATTGATGAGAAAATTGATTTGAAAAGATTTTTTTTTTTCTGTAGTGTATTACACACACACACACACACACACACACACACACACATCCATCCATCCATCCATCTCTTGCTTTTATGCACGCACATCGATGATATCCTCCCTCTTCAGGTGCCCGCTATGAACCTTGTGCGTGCGCTCACACATGCATGCACGCACACACAATCTCACACACAATCTCAAACACACACACACATACACACACCATCCATCCCTTGCTTGCTTTTACGCACGCACATCGATCAGGTGCCTGCTATGAACCTCGTGCGCTCGCTCACACACACACACAAACAATCAGACACACACACACACACACACACACAAAAACAATCAGACACACGCACACATACACACACACACACACACACACACACACACACACACAAACAATCAGACACACACACACACACACACACACACACACACCATCCATCCATCCATCCCTTGCTTTTACGTAAGCATATTGATGAAGCCCCCCCTTTTCAGGTGCCAGCTATGAACCTCGTGCGTGCGCTTACACACGCACACACGCACGCACGCTCGCACACACAATCTCACACACACACACACACTCACACACACATTCACACACACACACACACAAACACACACTCACACTCCATCCCTTCCTCGCTTGCTTTTACGCACTCACATTGATCAGGTGCCCGCTATGAACCTCATGAGCTTGCTCACACACGTGCGCACACACACACAATCAGACACACAATCACACACACACAATCAGACACACACACACACACACACACACAGAAGGAAACTGCAGGTGCAGATTGTACAACTGCCGCTGTTTCTGGAAGGATTTTGGCTATTCTCATGGCTGCATATGCACACACACACACACACACACAAGTAATTCATGAAAACACATGCACATAATCCATGATGTCCCAAAAGCACACCTAAATAGTTTTTATTAAATTTATTTTCTCTCTAAAGATGTTTAGTATATTTAGCCTGTATTCAATGTATATATTTTAGTCTGCATTGTACATATTTCTTCTTATATTTAATTCTATTTTGTATTTTTTTGCTGCTGTAACATGAGAATTTTCCAGTTTGGGATCAATAAATTATATATCTATCAATCTATCTATCTATATGCATGAAATAAACCAGCTCTGTGACAAAGGGAAAACAGTGCCCCTCTGGTTCTAAAGGGTATGGCAGGAAAAAAGAAAAATGGCGCCATCTGCTGGTCGGCATAAAAAAAAAAAAACAGTTTGACCCTCAAAGAATAGGTGTACATGAGAAAAAAAAAAAATCCAAAAATTATACTGCATTGGCAGTGTATTGAAAAAAACATGTTTTAATGGGAGTCAATGGGACCGTTTCGGTCCTTAGGGGTGTTTACTGAAGTATAAAAATTGCTCACATGCAAAAAAGGTTAAAGGAAGAAAAAAGAAAAAAAATTAAATTGCACCTAAAATTACACACTTTGACAAACTTTAATGCCATTTGCATCATCACAGCCAAAATTATCCACAAAAGTATAGTTACAAAGGACCAAAACGGTCCCCAGGGGTGCACAAGGCTGCAGTGGCACACTTGTTGCAAATAAGGAATGTTGGTTTTGTGTTTGGACTTTGCAGTAAAACAAATATTTATTGTGCTGTCCAGGCAGGGACAAGCTGTCAGTCAGGTGGACTAATAGGGCTGATTGATGGCATTTTTAAATAATAATTAAAAAGATAAACCATTAATTTCTGCAGAGACTAGTTTGTTTCTCTTGAAAATAACCATGTCTTTAGATTTTAATTTGCATTGAATTATGTGTCGGTATTATTAGATTGTTATTTTTTTCAAATGCAAAGAAACAAGAACATGACAACAAACAAAAGAGAGGCTGTAATCTATTGCTGTGCCTTTTACTCTCCAAATCCCAAATTTCTACAGAAGACCCAACTCTGTGAATGTGTTCATCAATTTTTCGAGCCCTGCATTTATCGATGTGATTTTTTTTGTAATGTTTACGTGCTGCAGGTGTTTGTGATTGGTCCTGACAAGAAGCTGAAGCTGTCCATCCTGTACCCGGCCACCACAGGGAGGAACTTTAATGAGCTGCTCAGAGTCATCGACTCTCTGCAGCTCACCGCCCGTAAGAAGGTTGCCACACCTGTGGACTGGGTGGTAAGTTCGCGACACCCTTGGGCCATAAAAACTTTGAAACAGAGAGTCAGTGTTAAACTGTCAGAGCAGTCTTTTTGTTTATAAAAATTCCATCAAACAGATCACATTTTGTGCAGACTGAAGGACTCACATCTAGATCTCTTGAAATTATAAAAGTTGTGCCCCAGGGCCCTGTCTTGGGAAATTGTTATTCACATTTAATATCGACAGTATTGGCAAATGTTCCGTCTTTGTCTTTTATGCATGCCCTGCCTTTTCAATAGCACTCCTGTCAATAAAAAAGACAAAAGCCCCAAAAATATATTTAAGAAAATTATCCACAAACAAAAAAAAAGAGTGTGAAAGGCAAAGAGGGAGCAACACATTTTTCATAAACTTTTCTAATAAACACCTGATGTTCTTACATGTCAAAATTTTTTCATGAATTTGGGCAATAAGAATTAAGATTGATTTATTGTTTGATAAATGTTGTGTAATTGTGGTGTGTTTGTGTGTCTGTGTCTTTCAGCCTGGACAGAAGGTGATGGTGGTCCCTACTGTCCCTGACACTGAAACTGCAGCTCTCTTCCCCAGCGGAGTGACCACCAAAGAGCTGCCTTCTGGGAAAAAATACCTACGTTACACTGAGCCCTGATCTAGGAAGTAGACCTGACCATCTCCAGACTAAATCCCTCTTTAGTTTACTACTCCCACCTGAAGCTAACACAGATCTATCCAAAAATAAAAAAGCACTTATCTGTTTGGTGACTTCAGTTTCAGTCATCATGTTCTGTGCCTTCTTTAAACTCGTAAATAAAATCACTTTTCACATGTTTGTCTCATGATTCTCTCACTATGATCTCAGTTTTGTAGAGGGAATTTAGCGTAGTTACCAGCTCCACCACTACGCGTCCTCCTATGACCTAAAATACAAACCTTACACTTTTCTTACCTGCAGTACAGCCCTGCACCAGTTGATGGCAGTATATGCTAAGAGATTAATCTTCAGGTTTTTTAGAGGGAGTGACTCCACAAACTGTCAAGTAAATTCACATTATACTCATTTAAAAACAAAATATTGAGTTGATCTAAATCAATTTAATTCAGTGAGGCTCATTAACCTCTCACTTTCTTAAATGATGTATTTTTTAATCTAGTAATGTCTCCAAATGTCATGGTCCTCTGCAGGTCACTTTTCCCTTTCTCTATCTTTCAGTTGAACCTCTAAAATCTCTAATGTGTCACACACAAAGAGAGACAACTCTCCATATAGTTTAAAAGTGCAGAATAAAAATGACCAGACTTGTTTTTAAGACCTACTGCTTCTTCCATCAAAAGTTTATTATCTTACAGATTTATTAAAATTTTTATGATATAACAACTTTTGCGTACAAAGAATATTTTAAAACATCAGAATGAATGTAAAGAAATGAAGAAATAGATAAACAAATTGCATAGTTAAAACTAAATCCAGTTGAGGACATTAAAAAGAGGGGACCAGAAGAGGAATTTGGAACAAGATCATTCATATATTAAAGGTTTACAATGAAATCAGCTAAACTGGAAAGCTGTTTTTAAAAAGTCAAATCACACAAGAGCAGACCTATGAAAACATCCATTTTAAAAGGTGATTGAGAAGATGTTGCTCATTCTGCATGCCTTATCTTCTCAGGGGGGTCTTTCCAAAGTCGAGGGGCTCTCCTTTGGGTTTCACCCTCAATTTACAAACAGCTAGAAAGGCGCCGTCTGAGGCAACGATACAGTATCAACATTTCTGTAATGTATCTCAGTGCAAGGCCCAGACATGCTCTTAAAGTGATCAGGAAAACATTAAAATCAATCTTAAAACACTCAGATATGTGAGGTTTAGTTGCCTGTTGAAACTAATACTCAGCCGAGCAGCTGAATCCTGGTCCAGCTGGAGATGAGAGTGATTTATGGCTGATACTAGAGAGGAGGGAATTTCAGTGATCTAACATCAGACAGAAATAAACTCTACACACAAACTACATGCTCTTGAGTGGTTCACATCAAACATTAGAGACAGATCCTTTTCCATCCAATCGCGCCGCCATTTCTTTGCATGTGCCCCCATCTCCTGTAGAGTACCTCAAGACTTCATATTAGAACCTGCACAGTTCACCCTGTACATGTTCCCTCTGGATTTCATTTTCAAAAAAACAAAGTAGTTAATAAGACTATGCAAATGATACCCTTCAGTGAAACCCATCTGACAACATCAAAAACTCAGTTCAGTCCTTCCTGAAGTGAACCTCAGGGTGTCACACAGAGGAAAATAAGTCTGTACAGCTCAATGACAGTAAAAAAAAAAGTGATTCATCCCAGTGTTACAGAGAAAATAAGTCATCGCTGAGAGCCCCTTGCACTTTACCTACACACTCAGGAGACTACCCCATTATAAGCTGCTACTTTCAGTCAGGTCAGTCATCCCTGTCCTGTTTGCAGATGGTCCAAAACGCTGCAGCAAGACTGATAACAGGAATCATAAAGAGAGAAAACATCTCTTCTGCTCCTATGTCTCTGCATTGGCTCCCAATCAGGTTCAGGATTGATTTCAAGGTTATTTTGTTTGTTTTTAAAGCTTTACTCGGCCTCGCCCCGCAGTACATCTCCAAACTTTTCCAACCCTGTGACCCATCCCAGAGCTCTCAGATTAGCTATTACCGACTGTTCCTCTGTTGAGACTAAAGGTAAAGGGTGACTGAGCGTTTGCTGTCTCTGCCCCAAAGCTGTGGAATTCCATGTTGTAAACTCCGCTCATACTGATTTTAATCAGTCTAAAAGAATATAGCACATGTGAACGGCTTTAAAACAGGTCAGAGGTTCAGTTTTCTCTTTAACTTTCTTCAAACTGCTGCAGGTCAAACATTGGTCTGTGTAAATCTGAGCCGTTTGAACTCTGAGGCCTGCATTTCACTCTGAGTCTGAGGATCCCTGGAGACGAGGAGCATAGACGCCCTCCTCTTCCTCCTACTCCTCCTCTTTGCTGCGGTCAACTCTCAGCATCATAAATCTCTTCTTTTTCTCTAAAAACTGGCCGATCACTTCACAGTCACAGGGTACACATCAGATCAGATCTGATGGTTGAATCTCTGTTCTTCATCACTAAAACAGATAACCTCTGCCTTCCCCCCCTTCCCCCTGTGCTCTGTTTTATACCCCCAGTCCTCCAGAATAACCCCTCACAGCCTCTTCGCTCCATCAGAAGCATTTCTCAGATTCCAGACTCTGTCAGTCTGCCAGAGCACGAGACCAGCTTTGGGTGTCAGACGCTGGCTTCATTACCATGCCTCCCCCCTGTCCTCCCCCCTCCTGTTCATCTGTCACCCCTCTGTTCATGTGTACAGAGCCGGCCCACCCCTCCCTCCTCACTTTAGAAACACCAGAACATGAAACACAACACCAACAGGGACAAAACACTCACACACACACACAGACACGTACACACAGACCAAACACTGACCTGGATTCTGAACCCTTAGCTCAGTCTCACTGCAGAAACACACGGCTGTTAGAGGAGCTTCACATGATGTTAAACTCTACTTCTTGATGTTATATGTTTGCATTCATTTACCATGTCCAAATCTAGCGACTGCACACACATGCACACATGCACAAACACATGCACGCACGCACCTCAGTTGCAGCCTTCCTCTCCCTATACACAGCAGCATCTCCCACCCTGTCTCCTGCTGGTTTTTCTCACTTGTGTCTAAACTGTTGATGATATTCATTGCATTAACCTTATATTTAGATGCCCTGTAATAACTTGTGTTTGGAAACCTTTCACTCCATAATAGGACGGGTTATGCACATGTCAATGAGGATTATCAATGATGCCATTCAAAACGAATGAATTCAAAACTAATAACAGCTGTATGATGGTTGTTCTACCTTTATCTTGAATAGATCCTATTGTTAGGCCTCCTTTCCTTGACATCAGTCATGCACTGTAGATAGCTGCAAAAGGCAGAAAAAACATAGAGATTTCCCATTTTATCAATCTCATTGTCTACAGATGAAGAGCACATAAGGAAAATGTAAATATTGTCAATCCTTTGGGAGCCGGGAGAGCTGGGTTTTGTTGTTTTAGCTGGGCAGAGTGATCTTGATCTCTAAAAAAAAATTTAGTTCCTGCCACTGCTCCTCCGCTCTCAGAAATCAATCAATCAATCAATCAATCAATCAATCAATCAATCAATCAATCAATCAATCAATCAATCAATCAATCAATCAATCAATCAATCAATACCAAGGAGCAAATATGTTGTAAAACTATAGGCTTGTGTTCCTCACCCACAGAATCTTCTGTGTGACTGTCTGAGAACTTGACTGTCCAGTGAAATGTTACTCAGATAATGATTTGGCTGCTTGTACCCATCTTCAATGAATGCAGCATGATACATTTTCTGTCAGTCTCTTTTGGCATGATCCCTCACATCCCCCGATTAGTGGCTCTGGGTCTAGGGAGTGGAGGTGTGAGGTGCGTGTCTGCTTCTTCTTGTTCCAGAGCAGAATTAAAATCTGATCCAGACTGATTGAAAATAGCCCCCCCTCCTCTGTTCTGCTTTCTTTTGCTCGTTTTAATGAAGGCCATGTTTCAGCATGTGCAGGTCTCCATCAGTTCTGAGCAGCTGACACTGGCTGACTTCAACAGTATGGTCCTTACACACACACACACACACACACACACACACACACACACACACACACACACACACACACACACACACACACACACACACATTGATACATACACATACACACAAACTCCTGAAAAAGTCCTCTAATCAGTGTGTGAAAATGCAGCCAGAAACAACTAGACCAAATGTGAAGAGAGTTTTTCTGCTCTGTCTTACTAATAAAGTCATGAATTTGAACTCAGGAGCATTTGTTGCTTATTCCTCTCAGTTTACGAAAAAATAAAGAATCCTTGTTTCTTTGATGATTGATACAAACAGGTTAATAGATGCAAAATAACAACATCACCCCATGATTTTCAGCTGAGGAGTGCTCATTCATCTGTTTGTGGTGAGTCTCAGTTTCATTGTAAATAGTAGTTTCTCTCTGGCTAACTTAAGCAATATAAACTTGAAAAGGAAACAAATTAGTGGGGAAATTAAAATTGTCGACAGCAGCAGTACACACAACATACACATTCACACATACTGGGTACAAAAACAAACAAAGATGAAAGAACTAGTGTAGAGTATAAAAAATATGAAAAGAGAAAAAGATCAGTGCCAACAAAAACAGGTAGGGATGTGATGATGATTGATGATATTGCACATGATTAATAAATACTTGGATGCATATGGAGAAACATTGCACTTGTATTGTTGTTGGAGGTGTTGGTCTGCAAAGAGCAGGCCTGTTTAGTAGTCCGAGCCTCACTCTATATGACTGTATGTCTGCAGAGATTCTTTTTTAAGTCTGCTCCACATGTTGATATTCCACATGGTGAAGTATTGCTATAAGTAAGATTTTTGTAGCATGGCACTACCAAAATTAATACCCATACTATCCATAGCATAATATTTAAAAAGACTGGTCATGGAGAATACTTTGAATTTGCATCCTCAGTGAAAAGTCAAAGGTCAAGCTTTGTCAGGCCTGTCTTCGAGAGGAGAAAAAAAATGGACTTTGGTTTGACCACCTGTTGTATGTGGGATTTTTGCAGCATGAAAAAGTGTTTCACATTTTAATATTTTTGAGCAGCTGATTGATTTGTACTTTATATACACAGTAACAGAGAGAAAGTCTGTCTGGGTCTTGACATGGTCATGCGTGTGTTTCTGTGTGTTTTTTTGTATGTGTGTGTGTGTGGGGAGTCTCTGTAGATGTAGGTCTGGATGTGAGCCAGCAACAGCAGGGAATTCTGGGAGCAGACCCAGGAGTGATGACATCACCAGCCATACCGGGGAGTCACACTCACTGTGTGTGTGTATTTGTGTGTGTTTGTCAGTGTGTGTGGTGTAGTACCCTCACCTGGTATCCATCAGTCACACTCTTCTTCTCTCTATAATCAGAGGATGACCATCAGAACTTAAAAGTAAATGTGTGTGTGTGTGTGTGTGTGTGTGTGTGTGTGTGTGTGTGTGTGTGTGTGTGTGTGTGTGTGTGTGTGTGTTTGTTTGTATGCACACGTGTGCAGTGGACATTTTGTCCATTTGTGCATTTGTGTACTGAATGTGTGCGTATTTCAGGGATGTTATTTATTATCTGTCTAAACCGTGTCTGAGTTTCATCATCATCAGCACCTAAAGTGTCCTGGGCCTTTGATTTCTTTTAACTGAATTTAATTCACTACCTGTGAACTCTTAATACATCACTGCACTAAAATTAGCCACTTCAAATGCAAAAGAGAAATGATAACAAAAAATATAAGAGTCTGAGGCGTTTTTAGATTCTCCGAGAGTCCAATCCAATTTGTCTTTTTATAGAACCAATCATGAAAACTCAGCGTGATGATTTTCCCTTTCCTCACTCCCTGCAGACTTCAGTGAGACGCTCAGACCGCTCTGATGCTTTCCATGTTGGATTTGTTGATGTTTGGAGAGGGGTAGGAGAGGGGGGAGGCAGAGAGAGGAGTCATTGAAGTCAGAGCCCGTGTTTATGTTTGTGTCTGGGTTTCCCTCTCTCTTTTTCCCACAACAGAAAACAGCTCTCTGTCTCTCTCTCCCTCTCCCTACCTGTCTCCCCTCTCCCTCCCCCCTTCTTACTGTCCCTCTGTACACCTGCCAGCCTTCCTCCTGTGTTTGTGCTGCAGTCTGGCTCCTGACAGGTCTGTCTGGGCTCTGAGGAGGAGGGAAGCCCTTCAGTTGGAGCTGAAGAAAGAGCGTCTGTGGTTCAGGAACAGATTCAGGATTTTCCATCTGAATCCCAGACGTCTGAGCAATCTTTATCAGGACGCAGTTTTCTCCACGATCGGAGCGAACGGAGTGACAGCACGCTGAAAGACTGCAGGAGGGGGTATACACATGAGACAGGTCGGACAGCTGCTAATTCAGCTAACTCAGTCCCTGATCTTAACCTCGAGGTCATGTTTGTGCATTAAAGGCCTTTTAGAGGTCTGCTGAGCATGGTTAAATCAAAGTTGTTGGTGGATAATGTTGGCTAACATGGCTAACCCAGCCTGCAGCAGCCTGATTGAGTTATTACTGGAGACTGAGGCTGCAACGTCAGAATCTTCAAGATTCTAAAACAAACGCAACTGTCAGAAAAATGGAGCAAAGGTTTTTCACACTGGGACAGTCTCTGTCGTGCAATTATTTCGGACGTCAATATTTTTTTCGAACCCGTATCCTGTCAATACAAGTGTTCACATCAGCGACGTACTGCGATATTGCGGCATTACTTTTTTCAGATCATGGTCCATTTTTCTAAAGTTTTGCATACTGTGTGTCCACTTATGACCAATCATATTGCGTGTTTTTGCGACGTCAGATTCACCAGTATATCCATATATGGCCGACCAGCTGATTGTTATAAAAGACACAAACATTACAAAGATAACGACCTGAAGGACAACTTGTGGAGAGTCATAGTGTCGGATTTCTCATATGGCGATGGTTTGTGTGCTTTAACAGTTTGCTAAACGTCTTTGTTTTAACTTTCATCTGTGCTAAGTAACTTTAGCTTGTAAGCTAACCTATTCAGATTCAACATACCATATGTATTTTCACTCTCAAACTCAATCACAGCGTTGCTGTCACAGCACCATTAGGTCTGGGTTGTTACCTTACCTTTATGGATTATAGTTTAATGTGTTTATCTGGTACTGACCCCGACTCAGTACATGCTATCATGACAGACAGACATCTCAACACTAGTGTCTAATCAGAACTGAAAAACAGTCAGTCTGGTGTCATGTCAGTCTTCTCGCTTCCACATGGGACGCGTCTTTCTTCCCCCCGCAAAGTTTCAAAATCGCATCAGGCTTGATGTGTATAGTAAGGTGCGTCAAAATTTGCCTCTGAATATTTCGTAATTTTGCGTTCTGTATTCGTGTCGGCCCCAGTGTGTAAGGACCTCAAGAAAAAAAAAACAATCAGGATGCAGAAAACCGTTTTTTGTCCTGCCTGAAGCTTTTGTGTTGTTGTATTTGCAATGTCTATGTATTTCAAGCTTGTTTGCTAAGTTCGGCAGTTCATACAGTTGTCTCATCTTCTTGCATTCCAACAATTTTCTCCTGCATCATGTTTCTTTGGACTACTGAATACGCCTACAGCCTTGCAGACAATTAACACCTCCTGCCAGCTACCACAGCAAAAAGACTTGCCAGTAAACCTGCTAATGTGTTTGCCATGGTCCTAGACTGTGCTGATAACTTAATATTAACCCTTTGCCTAAATCTCCAGACCCACCCTTTCATCCAAATATGATCACTTCTTGTTTCTTCCATTGAAAACATAAAGGTGCAAAGTCCAGATTTATACAGTTATAATGGTTACAATGATTTGTGGGCAGTGACAAAAGGGAAAATCCGTTTAGTCTGCTGGTTTCATGAGTGAGCTCTGTTTTTGAGGGGGTGGGTTCAGATAACAGCTCTGCCCTGTTTACATCTCCATCCACCCAAACACATTAGCACTCTCTCTGAGAATCAACCCTCACTGCCAGATATTCATTTCACCTCATTTCAGAGGGTCAGAGGTCAAACACCCCCCAGGCCTTAACACTGAGACACACAACACCACTAACCTGCCTGTCAGCACTCAGTCTGCAGTTATTCCACATGCTGGAATAAGTCATACATGTTATGTCTTCATTTATCATTGTTGACATGTTTTCCTTTTACTGATATGATTTCATTTACTTAATTTTTCATTCATTTAATTCACCTCAAAAATGTTGAAAGTGACGTTTTTCACTCAGACCTATCAGACGATTGAAATCATGTTTACACTGATGCCAGTGTAAATGCTTGATTCAGATCAGCTCTGATCTGATGTTTGTTTGGCTGTTCCCATCACTTTTGAGGTCTGTGTCAGATTTAACCTGAAACTGTTCATGTCACATGGAGCAGGCTGTTTATGGATGTAAATATAGCAGCAGTGGCGATTGCTCTAAGACTGCAAGGGAAGCTCAGCTTCCCTTAAAATGTCACCCCCCCAAAAAAAGAAAAAGTGGTGAAATACGTACGGCTGTGTGTACATTTCATTAACTAAATACGCGCTAGAAAGCCTTCATCTTTTGTTCAGAATCAGCTTCATATCACACTGGGATAAGAAGCTGATTCTGCACAACTTCGTTCTCATTCATCCTCACAGCGCCTCAGCGCTTTAAACAGTCGGACGCTGGGCTTCTGCTGACTTCAATGTGGAAGCTCAAAGTGGGTTGTTCCAGCAGCGAAACTAGACGCTCATTGGATAAATGCTGGGCTTTGTCCCGCCCATCGGACGCTCAGCGTCTCTGGAGTTCTATTACGAGAGGGCGGTCCCGACTTTCTCGTGGACGCTGAGCTTCTGCATCCATGATTGGATGAGCTGTCTGAGGCAAAATCCTTTTTTGATTGACAGCTAAACAAGCGAATCAGCGATCTTGAAGAATAAAACATCTACCAAAGCATTCTCCAAGTTATTCATTCCGTTGTTCTTGACTGCTCCAGAGACTTTACCGATCCTCAGCGACTTTTGTCTTTTAAAACGACTGCCGTTGTGTTTGGCGACTCTGTTCTGTTACATACAAATAAGCAAACACAATTATGATGTAGGCCAGAAAAATGAGCTTCCCCTCTTTGAAAGACCAGCAGCCGCCACTGTATAGCAGCTCCTACACAAAGCATGGGTTATGTTGAATTTAATGAGCATCAGAGTCCCATTGATCTGGGTGTCAAATTTACGATGAGCTTTTATATTTCAGAGAACAATAGTTTCCCAGTTTCAGTATGTAAAGAGTCTGAGTAAGAACTGAAACTGTCTTCTTACTGCATTTTAAAACATACAGCAGCGGAAGAGGCTTTCGCAACTTTTTTCAATCTCTATAAGGTGAAAGAAAGTTACATTAGATACTCTTTCTAACGTTTGTACAACTGAATTTGTGCTCACTTCAAGATAGAGTAATAAACGACAGAATGACTTGAAGAATGACCAATCATGCTTTTATTTTTAAAAATAATTTTGGGCCCTGTAGAGAGGACTTTCTGACAGTGAAAATGAAAAAAGAAACAACTATTTATAAATGCCTGGGCATGTGAATCAGCTATTTCTTTTTCATAATAATTAACATGTAAACTCTGAAGTAACACAGTCCTATAAATATACCGACTTGTGATCAATTTCACTTTAAAAACAAACATGAGTGGGGTTGTTTTACTTTGCAGATTCAGTGTGAAAGTACAAATTATCCTCTTTAGTTCCAGTAAAACTCACCTCAGCTGACAAACCAGTCAGCTAGTACTCGTCTGACTGATTGACTGTTGGTCTTCTGGGAAAACAATAGAGCTGACTGAAAGGGCGTGAAGTTGCGATTTCTGTATTCGAAAATTTGGAAATTACACCACTCAGAATAAGAGCGCAAATATGCAGAAAAGTTTCAAACAGAAGCTGCATTAAAATATTATCAAAACTTACTAAAGAGTCTCTTGAGATGGGATGCAGCACTTTTCCACAAAGTTACACATAAAGTCACCAAAGCGTCTACTACCTGAGGGACCTTTCCTCTGACTCTTACATTTAAAAAGACCAGCCTTGCAGCAGATTCAGAGCTGCAGGAGCTAAGGACCTAAAACTCTGTTTGTCCACCTCAAGATGAACTGTATGAGCAAAAAGGAGACATCATTAACACTGCAAGAAGAGATGTTTTTGTTCACATGAGACTTAGATCTGAGTTTTTAAGAACAATCTGATCTTTATGAAGCAGATTTGCTTCACCTATGTGGTCCTGAACCAGTTACAGGTCAAATCTTTGCCATTCAACTTGAGTCCTAGCAGAGTCAGAGTATATGAACTTTGTCATCACTTTTCAGTGACAGCGAGACCGAGAGTGAAAGTAAGGGGTTTTTGTGAAAAAGTTTGATAGACTGGAGCTCGGGTTTGTAAAGCTGACATGGATGCACACATTTACTATATATCACCATGATTTTTCTCTGCACTGAAAGTAAAGCAGAGTTTATTCTCAAAGCCCATCATCACTCTGAGAGCTTTTTGAGATTAGTAATATCAATATACCTATGCACATGAGGGGCTAAATCTTCAGTGGTTTCACTTTTGATGAGTGAAAATGTTGAAATCATGGAGCTCATTTTACCCTCCTCCTGTGTTAGGGTCTGCACCGCCCTGTTTTTGATTTTAAATGCTTGAAAGAACCACTGAAATCAGCTTTTTTGCATGAAGACTTTTTGACTTTGTCAGGGACCTCTATTTCAACAAAATAAAAATAAAAAAATTAAATTGACTGAATTATAAAATGCTTTCATTAAAATTATTGCACTTGTCGTGTTAGGGTCACTGTTGACCTGGTTAGATCAATATCTAATAATTAGAGCAAAAACCCAAATTGTATGTGCACTTTCAGGAAACACACTGACAGTCAGATCCTCTTCAAATCATGTGAGATTTAGGAAATTCTAATTTTGCCATGTATTTCTCTGCACAAAAAACAACGTCAGGCATGTCCAGACATGTGAGATCAGTTCAGTATAGATGCTGTATGAGGGGTATACAGAAAAAGAAAGACCCAGAGGACCACTACAAAAACTATTATAAGTAAAATTTAATGGATAA